ATAAAAAGAATTAAGTATTTAGCTAAAGAAGATAATAGCTTTATAAATTCTTCTATAAAAAGTTTTTTTAAATATTTATTTAAAGCTTTAAATTCTGTTTCCAATAGTTAATATATAAATTTAAATATTAGTTGCTTATTGTTAATTAATTTAATTTAATAATCTTAAAATTAATATAGTAATAATACTTTTTCTTTTTATTCTTTTTTAAAAAAATATATCTATTTTTTATATTCTAGTAATATAAAAGTTTTATTAATACTTTTTCTTCTAGCTTTATAATTAGTTAACTTTTCTTCTATATTTACTAAAGTTAGCGTATTACTTAGCTACTTATTTTTCAAAATCTAAAATATATAAGTACCTATAATATTTTATTAGATTTTTTTATCTAAGATTATAATTATAAACTACTTAAGTTTCTAGGCTTTAATAATAAGTTTATTTTTAAACCTTAGTTCTCTAAATAGCTATTTAATAAATAAATTCTATTTTTTTAATTAAAATATTCCTAGTATAATATTATAAGTAGCTATCTTAAGTATATTAAATATTATATTTTTATTATATTATTAAATAGCTATTATTATTTATATAGTTTCTTTTATAATTAGGTTAGTTTTTACTATATTTTTTATTACTATTATAATTATATATAGTTTGTTTATTACTTATATTTTAATCTATACTTTTTATACTTTCTATTCTAAGATATAGTTTTTTCTTACTTTTATATTTATAAATATAATTATTAGTATGTTATTAATCTATATATTTATTATAATATATAAGTTATATTTTTTAGTATCTTACACTTCACTAAGATTATTAATTATTATTTAAAGTAGTATTCCTTATTATAGTTTTTTATTTTAATATATTTTATATAATATACTTTTATAGTATTACTATATAGAGTTTTATTACTATATTAAAAGCTAATCTTCTTCTTATAAAATATATAGCAAATATATTCTATTTTTTAGTTCTTTTATTAAAGATTAGTAATATAATTTATATTATTTATTTCGATATTTTAGAAAAAACTTATTTTTATATTTATTAAATAAATAAGATATATATTAGTTAATTATATAATTAGTCTATATAGTTCTTTTATAAAGTTCCTAATAAATAATCTATTATATTACTATTTTAAAGATTTTATTTTCTAGTATATATATAATATTATTTATCTAATATTTAAGTTAGAAGTTAATATAAAAATATAGTATCTTTTTAAAAAGTTGTTTATTACTATCTTTTAGTTCTATATTTCTATACTATTTTAATTCGTTAAAAAGATTTTATAATTTGTTTTTAAAATACTTTTATTTATAATTATACTACTTATATATTTATAATCTTTATTTAAGTTATTCTATTATATTATTAAGATCTATATTAAGTAATTTACTTATTTTTTCTATATTTTATAGGGTATTATTTAGTATATTAATTTATTCCTACTCTTTCTATTTAATTAGCATTTATTCTTAAGTATTATTATCTATTATTATAAAAAATAATATATTTAAGTTTATATTACTTACTAAGCCTTTAACTTCTTTATTATTAATTAATAATAAGTATAATAATAGAAGTTTTTATAGAATATCTAACTATTTTTATACTTAATTCTTTAATTAATAGTTATGTACAATATATTTTATCTTACTATATTTATAATACTTCCTTTAATTAATCTTTTTATAATTACTTTTATTATTATATTATAATATTAATATATTTAGCTCTATAGGATTATTTTATAAATTAGTACTTCTTCCCTATTTTGCTTTATAGTTATAGTGTCCTTAGTATTTTATTATATTATTACTATATTTTATAATAACTTATCCTATATATTATTTTCATTATTTAATTTATTTTATATATTATTAATATAGCTTATTATTAATTTTAATTACTACTTTTATAAGATTATTAATATTTTTAATTTCTTTATTATAGTATATAAGCTTGTTTTAAATATTGTCTCTTAGTTTTTATTTAAATATAAATATTTAAACTTTATTATTCTATTCTATTATTACTATATAATACTAAAAGATAGTTATATAATTAGCTACTTTTTTAGTTTATTATAGTTGTTATATTACTAATTTAATATACTATTCTTTATTAGCGGGTTTAAATACTTATTAGATTTATTTTTTAAATTTAGAATAGTTTTTAATTTATTTATAGGTTTCTATACTAGCAGTTTTATTTATATACTTTCTAAAGTCTAAGTTAATTTATAATAATATTTTACTTTTTATATATATTACTATAAAAACTATTTTAATTTTACCTTTAATATTAAATATTAATTTAAACTAGAAATTTAACTAGAATAATTAGTTATTAAACTTATTTTTTTTCTTATAAAAAAATTAAGTTTTAAAAGTTTAGTTTTATCTCTTTTAGTAGTAGTTAGTTAATATATTATATACTTTTACTAAAAACATTACTTACCTATTATAGATCTAGTTATACTTATCCTAAAAATATTTAATATATTATAACCCTAGTATTTAAACTAAAAAATAATTTTAACTATAAATTAGCAAGTTAGTTCTCCTAGAATATAAATAGCAGTTAAAAAGTAAGTAAAAGTATAATAGTAAAATAGAATTAAGTTATAATTATTTTAAATTTTATAATAAAAAATAAAACTTATATTAAATATAAGGAAATCTAGTTAAAAAAGGGAATAAAAGGTTCTATATATATAACTTTACTTAACTTATTTAATAATATTTAACTTTTAATTACTTTAAGTATATTTAATTTAAAGGTTGCTTAGTACTCTTAGCGCTTAAGTATATTTAAATACTTTAGCTAAATTTTCCTTTTTTTAGTTATTTTTCCTTATAACCTAGTATAGCTATAGTCTCTATCCTATAGCAGTTGTCTAGTCACATTTATTACGCAAGGTTATAATACCCCTCTTCTAGTTTATAAGTTATTATACTTAAGTATTTTAAATATATAAATACTAATAATTTTATTAAGTTATATAATATTTAAAAAGTATTATAATATTAGTTTTATATATTTTTATTATATTTAAATAGTATTTCTATTATTATTATTATATATAAGAGTATTAAGTCCTTTATATTAATAATAATTAAGATTATATTAAAGTCTTAGAATAGTAATTTAAAAAATTAATAGAATTTTAACTATAAATAGAAGTCTATCTAAGAATTAGATAAAAGTATAAATAAGTATATATACTAAGCCTAATTAGGTTTAGCGCTTACTCTAAGCAAATACTTATACTAAGCTAGGCCTAGAGCTATTATATTTAAATATAAAATAAATATATTTCTTTAAATAAGTAATATACTCTTAAATATAAATATATTAAAAATATCTTATTTTTATTTTAATAAAGACTTTTTCTTCTTCTTAAATTAGCTTATATTTAAATTAAATTTAAAAAATCTTAAATTAAGTAAAAATTACTTATATTCTTAGTTTATTTAATTTAAGTTTATTAAAAGTCTAGGCTAAAAGAATTAAATATAAAATAAAAGTAAAATTAAAAGTTTTCTAAAAACTTATATAATAAGATATTTATATAAAAGTAATAGCTTTTTAATTAATATATATATTAAATTATTATTTATAAGTTATAAAAGTAATAAATTTCTTTAAAAGTATTAATAGTAAAACTATTAATTAATTTATAATAAAAAGAGGGGCTAAAGCTAATAGTAATTTATATTTAGTTAGCTTTTTATTAACTATTTAATATTTAATATTTAATTATAATAATAATATTAAAAAATATATATAAATAATAATTTAAAAGTCTCTTTTAATAGTTTATAGTCTCCTTACTTACTAATTACCTAAAATATACTAAGTTTTAGTAATAGGAGGTTTACTAGTAATAAAGATAATATATTTTAAAAACTATAATATAAAAAAAGAAAAAATTCTTTAAAAAAAAAGAAAAACTTAATAATAAAAATAAAAGAAAAAAAATTTAATAATTTTTAAAATTAATATTATAAAATAATATTATTAAGTTTAATATTTTTATTATTAAATATATCTAAAAATATATATATTTAAAGTTTAGAACTAATAAGCCTTATATTAAATAAATAGTATTAAAAATAAAAATTAAGTTTTTTTTATTTATTAAATAGTTATTAAGAGTTGCGCTACTATATCCTATCTATAAGTTATAAATATACCTATACTTTCTATATACCTCTATATAGTATTTAGTGTCTAGAGTGCCTTAAAAATATCTATAAATATATTTATTATTTTAAAAAATAAAGTTTTTAATTAATTTAATATAATTTAAAACTATTAATTTTTTAATTTATAGTCTTTATATTTTTTTTATAATAGTATTCTTTTTTCAATTATTTTAAATATAATATTTTTTATAACTTAATTAATAAATAAAATTATTTAATATAAATTAAATATTAAATTACCTATATTTAAGATATATTATATTAATATTTTTAAATATAGTAAAAGTCTTAAAGATAATAATTAGGTTTTTAAAGAACAATAATATAGTAATAATATAAGAAGGCGCCTTATATAAATTTTCTGGGGGGCGCAATTCTAAATGCCAAGAATTTGCAAGATTATCAAACCCGTTGCCTACCAAAATGTTATTCCGCCAGCTCGAAAATGTGAAGCGATAGTTTTACCATTTTGCAGGTTGATGCAGGGTATGACTTCGTGCGCAACCCGCGCAATCCTAGAAGGCCAGTTCACCAAACGAGGAATCAAATTTCGTCGAGCAACCCATATGAGCAAGTAAAGTATCGTTCTCGTTCAGGAGTAGCAGAGGTACGCTATGCCACGGATCAAGGAAAGAAGCGCAGATGTGAAAAAACACCGACTTCCTTTTGTATTCATATTATGACATTCTTCAGCCTCTTCAATCCGAAAGACAACATAGAAAGCCAGTCTCTGACGGGACGGCCAAACTACAAGGTCGGGAAAATTATTCAGGGCGCAGTCAATTGCGCATCTGCCACGTAATGCCCACGGCCTGCGCAGAGGAAACCCCCTTCGACCCGCTTCCACGAGTACCCATTGGCGCACTTCCCAACCAGGTTGAGCGCCGCGACAACTTTGGTGTTTTCGGCTGTCGTACCGACGGGGATCTTCATCGCGTCCTTGGCTGTTTCCTTCGCCTCCTCGACCTGTTTCTTCTTCGCTTCCTCCTCTACTTTCATCCTCGCCGCCTTCTCCTCGGCTTCCTTCTTCTGGGCTGCTGCCTCCTCGGCCTTCTTCTTTGCCTCCGCTTCCTCCTCCGCTTTCTTCTTGGCGGCTTCCTCGGCCGCTTTCTTCTCTGCGGCTGCTTGTTCAGCTTTCTGTCGCGCGGCTGCTTCTTCGGCTGCTTTTTTCGCTGCGGCTTCCTCGGCTGCTTGTTTTTCAGCGGCGGCTTTGGCCGCCTTTTCCTTCGCGGCGGCTTCTTCTCCCGCCATCTTCTTCGCTAAGGCTTCCCCAGTGGCCTTCCGAGCGGCAGCTTCTTCCACCTTTTTCTTCGCCGCGGCTTCTTCTTCCGTCTTCTTCTGAGCAGCAGCTTCGTCGACCGCCTTCTGTTGTGCAGCTTGCTCGACTGCGGCCTTCTCAGCGGCTTGCTCCGCCGCCTTCTTCTTCGCCGCGGCTTCCCCCACGGCCTTTTGAGCGGCGGCTTCTTCCACCTTCTTCTGGGCAGCCACTTCTTCGTCCTTCTTCTTTTGAGCAGCAGCTTCACCGGCCGCCTTTTGTTGTTTAGCTTGCTCGACTGCGGCATTCTTAGCGGCGTCCCCAGCCGCCTTCTTTAGAAGAGCACATTCCTCGGCATGCTTTTGCTGAGCAGCTTGCTCACCTGCCGCAAGGTTGGTGGATTTCACCGCTGCTACCAGTCCGGCTGCGAGGTCGATTAGGATATCGGCTCCAGGGTACGTGGGGTCGGGCTAAAGGGGCCAAAACGTCAGGTGAAACTACCTTTAATAATGTATACCAGGTTAAGGAAATTACCTGAGACTCATTCCCGGGGCCAGCTCCAATGGCCTTCGTTTGCCCTATGCTGGTAAGAGCCCCTTGGCTGGGATCAGACTTTCCAACCGCCCCGGTGGCTCCATCCACACCCACGAGTCGCAATGTTTCCTCGAGATCGTACAGAAACTTAGATAGGAGGCCCTCAGCAGTCTTGATAGCGAGAACACGCAGGGCGCCGCTCAGTCGAGCCCGAGAGATATGGCACAAACGTCCTTTGACAAAGGTATCCTCGATTTCCTGTCTTTTTGCGTCCAGCTGGGGAGTCCCGATGGCGGTGGCAAAGAGCAGAGAGAACTCATCCAAGATTGTGCTGGAGGTAACTAGAGGGGTTACCACGCTCAGCGAGACGGGGATCCGGAGGCCGAAGTTGACGGTACTGCTATTGAAGTGGTGATAGTCCACCTTGGCGATATCTACTTGAGACATAGTGATATGAGTAAAGAATTGTGCGTGATGATAGATCAGCGAATGAACTCGACAAAGAAAGCCGCCAGTTTAAATAGATTTCTTACTCTGTGGGTTTTTTCGCGTTGATAAGACGTCAGGAACGCCGAGTTCGTACGAGTATATGCAATTAGTCCCGAGAGCTTTCTCCATCTACACGGCAAAAGATCATTATGCAATGTATTCAGGTTCCCATTGATAGAACTCAGGAACGCCGAGTTCGTGCGAGTATATGCATGCAACTAGTCCCGAGAACTTTCTTCATCTGCGGGGCAAAAGCTCCTTATGCAACGTGTACAGGGTCACATCGAGGTGTGCGTCATCTCGTTCAGATGAAGATCGACGCGTCGGAACACCTAGCAGATGCAGCGATTCCAACCAGAACAGCTTCGTTGGACCAGCAAGGCTTGGGAACGTTTCAGCTGATTAGTATGGTGATTCAATAGATTGTTTCTTCTGGGCGACGCCAGAGCCTTTAAGATTTGGCAAATTGAAACTCTGCCTTCCAGATTCTTGATCTCACTCGCCCTCTATATAAGCGACAGAGAAGCCAATGAATTGTGGATACGCCCTGCTTCACGAAACATGAATAGAGCGCATGTGACATAATCGACGCACGACGGCCTGGCATACCTGCAACCAGATACGTCCGTTTGTGGGGTAAGTCACCTTTTGACTCCCTCATTATGGCTCGGTCATTTTTGAAGCCCTTGGAGCATCGACGGCAGTGATAATGCGGGGTCAGTGGGCTCGAGATCTCTCATACCCCCGACATCTGTCGTGATAGGATTGCAACTTACATCCGAAGTGGCGAAGGCATTTCGCTTGCTCGCTTTCGGCTATGGCACTCTGGATGATGCTTCCGCCTGTTCGTCTGAGTATCATGCCTCCTTCCCCTCGTCAATTTCATGGAGTTTTTCGGGGCAGAGGATGGAGACTCTATCGTCGAGTTCTCGTGGCCTATGACGCTCCTATCTAGGAAGGTGACGGCGCAAGGCTGGTACCACGCTAGTCTCATCATTAGCCGTGGAGGGTCTTATGAGAAAGCGTTGGTTGAGATGGCCGAAGTCCCTCGCTGATTAAGGCGATATCTCCGAAATAGCGAAAGTTCGGCGCGGAAGAAACCCTTGTCCCGTTAGCGTCGTATCTAACCTCATAGGGAGCCTGTAGACGCTAACGGACTTTTGCCAACAGCACACTAGGGGTTGGCATTATTAAATAAGCGCCAGGTTTCGCGGTCAGCGAGACCGCGAAACCTTCAAGTACCGCCGTGAGCATAGCTGTATGGAAGTCCACTTTTTGCACTTCGATATGCTTCGTCATGCTCTGATCGAACGTCTTGGCAAACCTGAGCCTAGGATCAGCTCACAATTTCAGATTGAGCCAGTTCCAAAGCAGCTTACCACGTATCCTGTCTGAAAAGATAGCCAAAGACCTGGGTAAGGTAATTCTTCGCGCAGACTGCCCTTCGGCCGCGGCAGATAGTGCCTTCTTGTCAATTTGCTGCTCAACGATGCCCTCGCAAATCAAGGAGCTCCAGGCCTACCAGGATTGGACCATACCTCATAGCTCCTTCAACTTTTCTGTGCCATGGGTATCGAGGTTACTGGGAGGAAAGCCAACGAAGAAGGTCGTCTGATCATCGGACTCTTCGAGCACAAGCCTTTCCGGGAAATGCATCACAGAGAGCTTGTTGAACTGTTCCCTGTGTTTTGCTGGATGGCGCCCCCAGAGACTGCCAATTTGTTTTTTGAGTAGCGACTTCCCGTCGCCGGATTCAGGAGCACTTTCGCTGTCCTCATCCTCGTCAGTATCACGGCTTTCGCTGTTGTCTTCATCATACATGTCGGACGCCAATGCGTGCCCAGTCAAGTCAGTCATGCTTTCAGCGCTTTTCTTGAGCGCTCCCGGTTCCACTCGTACAAGATAGAAGCCTGTGGCAAAAAAATTATATTCTGTCTTGATGGCCAATTTGACAGCATGGACAGACTTCTCTCCACTGATTACTGCTAAAGCAAGGATGTATTCAGCGAGCTTGTTATCAGCCGGGCCGACAACAGAATCAATGTTGGGAAAGCCAAACCCGACATGAACTTCGACCACATTTCATTAGCATCATTTCAGGGTATGAACTTTCACAGAAGTTGGTGCATACCTGCAGTGGACGCATCGTTCATCAGAACAGGTGAGCCTGACTGGCCTTGAGTCAATAGTGTCAGTACATCGCTTATCCTCGCGAAATCGCCTGACAATTACCTTCGTACTCGTCGATCTCATAACTCAGCAGCTTGAAAAGTATGAGCTAGGCCAATTTCGGCGGAAGTCCACTTTTGATACATGAAATTTCCGCTGCCGAGATCGCCTGGATAACCGACCATACCTAGTTGCGTCTCGGTTTCCGCCGTTGGCGTACTGACACATTTGATGGGCTTAACCTCACTGACAGCTTTATTCAGCACGATCTGCATGGGAGTCAGGTTGGTATTCGGTAAAGTAGATGGACTGTCTAACTTACGAACGATACGTCGTGGATAGCGGCCTCGGCTTTGAGGGACTCAGCAGGTATTGCCACCCTGGTACTGTAACGGTAAGTAGATCCGGCTTTGTCAATTGACTCGGGTCCACTTTATCCAAAGTAGACTTTGATATAGTTCAAAACATGGCCACTTTCAACACCACAATGTCCAGCGGTGACAATGAGTGTTGGGCTAATAAGCCCACCAATTCGATATGCTCGTCCTTCGGAAGACCAACTTAGCTCATGAATAACTTGCAGATAGCTTAACGAACTTTAGATTCTTAAAAATGGTACAAAAATAAATAGAAGCCGAGATTTACATCCGTGTTTGCCATTTGGTTGGATGTCTGCCTCGGGGACCTTGACTCGGTGATCACTCTTCAGATTGAGGCTTTCAGTAAACTTGGCACGAGCTGGGCGCATAGCCTTCCTCTTCTCATTAGTAGAGGGGCTATCCAAATCCCAGCGCGCAACGATGGTCCTTTTTGAATCTTCATTCTTGTTGTCTCGATGCCATCATGTGGACTTTCGGGTTGCTTGCATCAATAGCGATTATAGTCTGGAGGGCGTCATTCTTCGTGGCAGCTTTGAGAGGCTTGGTCGATATCGCGGTTTCCATGTCATTGTGATGTTCTAGGCTGATCGGTGACGAAGGGACTTCTGTGCCTATTCATTGGCTTTGGAAACAACAGTCGGGAAAAATGCTGGAGCTATGTATGTTCACTCAGAAGCTCTTTGAATTCAGACATAGACAACCTTTTCTAGCCAGTTCTCGTAGAGTGAGACATGGCCCCTGAACCCCCACTTCGCTTGTTCGAGTCCTATCACCTACCTAACCTAGAACAAAGCTCGAACTTCTGAGTCAGACTGGAGCACCAGGTGCCTGATTAAATTAGTCTCGTCTTTCAGGCAGCTACCTCTTGGGTTAGACCCAAACTTCCCATCCCATCACGCCGTGTCATACATGTCATGTCGCATAGCTATGACAAACTTTGTTTTTCAAATCTTAACATCTACCTCAAAATTGATCGCGAGTTTCCAAGTGGGGCTGAAGTTCCGAGTGCCTGTTTTCACCAATCTCGTCTTCGAACCAGCTACCTCCGGACTAGTGCAAGACTCTCTTTCTGGTACCCCGTGATACATGGAGCATGCTGCATTACCGTGGTGGCCACTGCTCATCTAGAACATTCGAAGCAGCCGGATTTGTTAGCACTGTAGATGTGCCGTCACAGAATCTAGTACGCTATTAGATTTGTCGACGTCGCATCTGTGCCGATCTGCTTGATGTGCTGCCAACATTTCAGCTCAGGCACTTTGTGATAGCGGCAGGCACCATGTCCTCAGCTTGTCCTTTTTAAGCCACGGCGGCTAGCTAGGAGTGCCATACTGCAGCTCACTTACTTGCACAATACTAATCTGCGAATGCGTTGGAGCCTGTACAGACCGTTACACCGACGCTTCTTGTCAATCTCTTCGTACCTCCGATTGTAACAATCGAGTATGGGCCAATAGTCTGTGATCGAGAGAGGTTCAGATTGTGTGGCGAGCTATGGTTAAACAGGCAAATTTCGACAACGTAGCAACCATCGGCTGTGCGAAGCTATCCAAGATAGTACTTCCAGCAAAAGAAAAGCTAAGAATACTGCAGGAGGGAACAAGCAATAGCATAGCTACTGGCCTCTTCAAATTAGCCAGCAGGGAGACCTGGACTGGCTCACAGACGCGCCCACTGAAGGTCAGTCTGCCCTCGCAATCTTGCGCTGCTTTCCAAACCTCTTTGAACGACCAGCCATTACAGGGAGCGGTTCATTAAAGACTCGAATTGGAAGCTTTGGTATATGAACTTCGAAGTGATAACGCAGGCATCATACTCTTCATCGCCATTCTAATGGCTTGTAATAGTCGCCGTTAGTATATCGAGACCTACTGGCTATGCACCAAGACCTTACTAAGTGTCACACCTGATTGACCAAGTGTTCAATTTGGTCAATTAGCCTACCCTATTGATCAATTAGGTAGTTTGGTGAGTCAGACAGCTGATTGACTAATCAGATATCTTGTTCATCAAACTCATGCTGCTTTTGATAGAGCAGGGGTAATTATGGGCAATCTAACCTATCTAGGTATATTCTAAAAATTAACGTCAATATATTAGAACCTTTGTATAGTGTTTTCTTGACCTAGGCAACTTTTTAGAAAGCTTGCTTTACACCTCGCTGACCCCCTAATTTAGCGATTAGCACTATACAGATTAAGCTACTATAAAGCAGCACGATCTATATAGTCAATTGGACGGTACTTAATCAAACAAGCTAATTTTTGGCCAAGGGACTGCGTAGTTGATCAACAAGACACTATTGGTCAACGAGGTGAAAGGAATTGACCAATTGGGCTATTTGGTCAATCAGGTGTGACACTAAGAAAGTCGCTCGAAACAAGCATTGCGATAGGCTGAAGTTAGCATCAATCTCACCCTGATCCAGGTTCTTTTTCAACAAGAGGTATCATCGCTCATCTAGTTCACATCGCGTTTTGAAGGGGTATTCGGCCTATCGGCGTCCACATTCTTACCCTAGGTGGCGTCTCGGTGAGCGCCGATGCCATGGATGGCCATAATACTGAGCGTTCATGATCAGCTGTATGTAAGAAAGGAAGAGCGGGAATCTACCTCTTCCATGATCTTCTTCACCCAGCCTCTCATCCTTCTGACCTTGCACTCTCAATTCGTTCGGCTAACTTTATGACCGCTACAGATAACAGGTAGTCAGTGGCATTTAAATCAGTAGCTGTGGCATACACCCACATCCATCTAGCCCTGTCGGCACCATTCCATTACGCCTAACAGTAAAAACCCAGACCTCAGATCTCTCCTCCAAGCTCACCTTTCCTCCGCCAGCCCTCACGTCAGCAAGACCCAAAAGATTCCCGTCCTGCCGTGTTCCGAGCTCGAGCTTGAGCTCGTTCTCTTCATTTTTGAAACCTCGAATTTTCACCGACGCGGCCGTCGTCCAGCCCGCAGTCTTTTCTTCCGCATTCACCCACTTGATAGCCAATCGGACTGACTTACCGTCTTTACTTTGGAAGCAGAGCACGTCCCCTCGCCTTTTGTGTCTAGATTTCCATCCAAGTGGCAAGGAGAGTCCGTGGCGCGGCGTGTGCCTGATCTCGGTGGTGGAGAAGAGGGCGAGGAGGTTCCAGCCGGTGAGAAAATTTAGGAATTGGTGGAGGGTTGTGTGGCTTGATGGCCTGATTTCCTGCTCATGCACTTGGGCCTGTGCTGGACCTGTGTCAGGTCCCCTGTCGTGGTTGACCAGATCTAGGTCTGCTTGGAAATGAAGAGAGAAGCCTTTTCGACGTTCGCATAAGCCTACGTCGAAGAATTTGGCGGTGTCTTCGGGTCGTTCGTATGCGGAGTCATAATTTGACCGATAGTGAGGCATCCAGACGGGGTTGATCGTGAATTTGATATGACTCCGATTGTTCTCTAGCGCCCAACCAATATCGGTATTGGGAGGTACGAAGACCGATTCCCTTCTCCAAAACTGCGTCTCTCTTAGGGGATAGAGCAGTGATATTATTTGAGATCGCCCGCTGCCATTCTCAGTATCCCAGTCGAGATCATGAATGGTGAGGACTTTGTGGCCTGGAATTTGCAATTTATGTATCGAAGATTGCTCTAATGGCTCGCGGGAAATGAGCTTGCTGAGATCTCGAGCATCTGGCTCTTGTCAGCATTGGTCTCCTCAGACTAGTCGATAAAGATGTAAAGGACCTCTTTCATCGACAAGCTCGACTTCCATCCGAAGATTCGTTTTGAGGGGGCTACTGTAATGAACCTATTCATGGATGAGCAATACGTAGTACTAGCGGTACTATCCATTGATTGTAGCAATATACCTTTCTGAACATCGAGCGGCGATCTGGATCATGGATTCAATTAGTTTCTGTTTCATGCTCTTCTCGGTTGAGACCTTTGTAACGCACCGGTTATCCTCTCTACGTCCTGATCGCAATCGGACCATTCGAGCACCACGTTGTTTGCATTACACTGCACTTGAACAAAATAGGCTGGCAACCCTAATTCAGATACCATAAGCACTGCCCTCTCGAGTTTTGAAGGAAATATACGCACATTGTTCTTGAAGTGAATTAGATCCAATAAACAGCACGCGAGTTGTTTGCCAGGGTGCGTTGGAGACACGTTCTTGAATTTCAACTGTACCTTCATTTGGGTCCACAGAGTAGTTGTACTCACCGTATCGGGGCGGGTCGGAGGATTTAAGATCTTGTTTTCGCCTTCCAATCTTGAACGATTTTATAGACCTGGGATCCGAATAACCCATCGGTTTCCGTGGATTCGGTGGGGCACAGGGGGTTCGGGGTCTGAGGACAGTTTCCAAACAGCAGCTGCCGATGAATTTTGTGCCGCGAACTTCTTTTAAGAGCTGTTGAGCGGTTTTCCGCTGACTACGGTCCTCATGGAGCTAGTTATCTAAATCAGCGATGAACTGGGGATGACCTCGACTTTATTCTTACCATATTTGCGATTGAATCATCTAGAATCACCGATCGAACAATACTGTCACGTTTTCGAAGCATTTCTAGCCACGGCTTGATATTGGAAAGCGATGATGCATACGTCCAGGGTTCATTGAAATCACTAATGGCATTTGGTGCAATTTCTCTAGCCATATGGCTAAGGGTCTCACCTCGAAGAACAGTATGGATCTCAAGAAATATACACCCCAACGAGAAGATATCCACTTTACTGTTGTGTGTCAAACCGAGATCATCCAGAACCTCCGGTGCTTTGTATTTTCGTGTCCCGGCTTGGCCACCTTCTGTCGACTCCTTTCGGTCAGATGGTTCGAAATCATACGCACTACCAAAGTCGCAAATTAGAACACGACCGTCATGTATAAGAATGTTCTTCGTCTTCAAGTCACGATGTCTTATTTTCAAATCATCGTGAAGATAACGCACTGATTCGAGCAAACATCCAAATGCTTTGGTCAATGCTTTACGTGAAGCATCATGTGCGCTGTTATGTAGTTCATTTCTATCCGTGTAGCCACTCAGTACTCCTTGCAAAGTCGACTCAGCAACAGGCGACATCACAATGCAGAAGGAGGTTTCATCTGTGAAGCTTGCATGAAATTTGATCATATGGTAATGTCTGCATCTCAAGAGATTGTGGAGTTCCGTCTCGAACTCCCCGACAGTACTCCTGCGCGGCGAATTGCCACCGACTTTTCTTGGGGCTGGTTTGTTCATGAGCTTCAGCGCGAACAATTCAGAAGATTTATTGTCCTGGGTGGCATCGTGTCGCAATCTTCCGGCCTGGACTTTCCCGAAGCGGCCAGTTCCAAGTACCTTAGTATAATCGAATATTGAGGTTATATCGAAGGCTTGGATATGCGGTGGGTCTCTTCCCTCGAGCCTCAATTGGTGGGGGATCGATCGTAGTGTAAGTGCGGTCTCGTCGATATGCTTCGTCTGGGCCTCTAGAAAATCATTGACATAGTCCCAAGGATTACTCGGGTCGGTGCTGTCTTCAGGTAACTGGTCCTTGTGATACGGAAGCAGGTAATCATTCCAGTGGAAATCGGATCGCGAGTTATCGATGTCAAGCAGTACAAGCTTGCCAATAGTGCTTAGAATCTCATACGTCCTCGGACAAGACGCTGAGGACGAGGAAGTCGATGCTGATATTTGACTGGGCTCAGGCATGTGGGGTGGATGTTCGGGATTCACAGTCTTGGAAGCACAAACATAAATGAATTGCAGCAGCGGAAAGCGCAGAAGTTAGGCAGCCGCGAACATTGGGCAGTGGGCAGGGATCAGACTGGTTTCAGCCTCGTATATTTCTCCCTATATTTGCATTCAATATGCCACACTTTACGGTTTCAGAACTCCATAGTAATACATGTACAATGACTAATTGAATTACGCACGGCATTTGCTGGAACTCAGCTCTTCAACGACAAGCGTCCGAAATCGCATCGGCATCTTGTCAAAACCTCCTAGAGAGGAAGTCGTCTCTAAGGTTCCGTCAAGACATTTCAAGACACTATCACGATAGGATGAACCCATTGACGGCCCTAGACGCAATACAAGCTCCTCCATAGTGGATTCATCGCCGTTGCATTTACGTACAGCTCCTGGATACAGTTGCCAAATGCCTATCTCCAACAGTAGTATGCCTAGGGCATAAGAGTCGTGGTGCATTTGAAATCCCTGGCTCTGAGACCGATATTTCGGATGCTGATAGTAGTCATCCTCTTGTATTCCCGCTGCGGGTCCATCGCTGTGTGTCAGGTCCCGATCAGCACGACTTTGTGCAAAACCAATGAAGTAGAACGCTTTAGGATTAATTGGATCCCCCTGCTTGTCATAGAAGAAGATTATGTTGGATGCTGAGATATTGCGGTGTAGCCATGACACAGAATGTAGCTCAAACAGTGCGGCTGCAAGACTATGGGCAAGGTGGAAGCGGTCTTCCAGGAGCCAGGCCATGCTCTCGCTTTCGAGAATCTGGCGTAGGGTGATGTATTGCTCAAGCTGGCCATGCGGACCGTTGGGCAGTTCATAGAGTAATCCCGAACGTAGCTCAATTGGGTGGTGGTAATAGCCACGACACCGCAAGACTTTGTATATATCATTAGCTGCTGAGATCGAGAGCAATTTTGTTATCTCTTGTAAACGTAAGGGTGACGTTGGTTCAGGCGCAGTGTCGATCCCGAAAAAAGTTGTGTCTTCAACAAGAGCTACAGTATGCTCACGAGGAGTGCTGGACATGACCTGCACTTTGGAGATCTGATCCATTCCTGGCGAGGGGTCTAGTTGAGAAAATTCGACAAGAAGATTTCCGTCAATACGTTCATTCGACCTAGATGGCATAAGAATTCGTCTCCTTATGTCGACTTTTCTTTCCGTGTGCGCGTCGAATATCTTCTGGCTAAACTTGTGCAACTCTTGGAGCCACCCGAAATCTTTGCTCTGGAGCATGATGTGATCCATGTACGCCGAAGCGCTGGCACGTCGTTCGCCATCTAGAGCCTCCAGGAGGCGATCTATGCGGTTCCTAGCAGGTAAGAATGCCTTCCTTCCTCGATTAATATGGCTCTCTTTGAAACTGGCGACTGTGCTTTGCAATGCTTGTAAATGGTCCATCGTGGACGCAAAGCCGCCATAAGACGTATCTACGAAAGATCCCAGAAAGTCTGGAAAATCCGAATGCGTGATTTTGACTGCTAAACGCCATCCTTGGAACCTTACTCTCTCGACATGGACGTGGGTGTAGTCACTCTCGCAAGCCTGACGGAAGGCCTGGTCAACCGTCTGGGACAATAAATAGATTATCAAAGCTCGAATGTGTATATCGACAGCAGCAGCTCTCGGTCGCTTGTTCTTCTCCAGAGCAAGCAGTTTTTGGATGATTTTAGAGAGGCCTTGCACGAAGGCAGAGGGATCAAGGTCAAGTTTAGTAAATTGATCTATTAGACCCTTATTAGGTCTGTCATAATCATGAAAGCAATGATGCGAATACTGCGGCCATTCTCTTCGGCGCTTACTCTTGAGCTGCTCCAGCCCATCAGGACCATCCTTGTAGTACACTAACAGCATCAGCATGATACATCCAAATGCCCATATGTCACTCGAACGCCCGATGGGATTTCGGATGAAATCTTTGCCTTCGTGCTCAGGCGCCAAGAAGTCTCCCAGAACATTCGGTGCTGTAGAGCTAGAGGTCTCCTGGCTGTCCACAATTCTGGATAGACCGAAATCGGCCAGGAGCAATCGCTGACCATCCACAAGAACATTCGCAGGTTTGAGGTCGCGATGGCATCCTATCAGGCGGAGATTTCCAGATGTAAATTCGTGCATTGTTACCAATGCCGAGGCTAATCCAGACACACCCATAAGGACAGATCTATCAGATTCCATTATCGACCATTGAGATGGCATCTGACGTCGAAATAATTGTTCGAGGTTTCCGTGACTTGCAAGGGGAAAGATGAGATTGAAGCTTCCATCTTGTACATATGCTGACAATAGTTGGACAATGTTTTCGTGCCGTATTGAAGACAAAATACTTAAGTTATGAAGCTCCTTAAGGAACATCTTTTTCTTGACATAGGGATGAAACTTTTTGCGAACCACCTGCAGTTCCCGTCAGTAAGTCTTTTTGCAAAATACTCCGGACTTTGATTATACGTACTCTACCACTATAACCCGGCTCTGCTTGGTGACCTTGCTCAACATAAATCTCTGTGACAGAGCCGAACGCTCCTAGTTCGTCAAAGTGTCTTTCCGTCTCATTAGATCGGAGTGGCAGTATGACTTCTCGACTGAACTCGACTGGAGAAACTATACCAAGGCGAATGGTAGGTGCAATGAAATGCCATTGCTCGTTAAAGAAGGATTTCGCATGATCAGGGTCGAGCTCGCAAAGGTCGAGACTCTCGACAGTAAGTGGCAAACGGTGATCAATATCAGAGCCTGTAGAGTTTCCATACCTGATGAGGCTGACGATGTAATGTAGATAACGTAAATAGATCGGATCGAGGTGAAATAATATAGCAAGCGTTGCCGTCGCCTGCGCATGAATGGCATCCACAAGACCAGGTCGGTATTTGACCCCAAATTTGCCACCATCCTCAGGAGTTGGAAGGTTGCTCTCGTCTGCAAGCTGGGAAATAGTGTTCCTGTCGAGTAATTTATTTATCGTAGGCCTTGGTATATACCATTGATCGTCCACGTTCGTTTTACGAGCATCACAGAATCGTGCCGACAATTTCTCCATCTTGATACAGCTGCCATAAAGGAAGATTGCTCTGGGATTCGTCGGTCCAGGTAACAGATTCGATTACATAAGATCAGTAAGCTATAACGCTGTCAATCTCTTCCTGCATCTCATTAGACCGCTTCCTTGCGCAAAACTCTACGAGTATTTAAGGGATTTTCAGTAACCTGAGTCAACCCTCGTTCAACTTGCAAGACGTAGCTATCGTCAACAACCTATTGCAATGATTAGAGAGGCCAACATCTCTTACAGAGGGTTTGACACTGCCGACCTCGAGGGAATATCTTGACCCAAACAGGTTTTTGAGTAGTTGCACCAAATCTGCTTTATCGATGTACCGATTTGAAAGGACTTGGTTCTGCATGTTGCGAGGCAGCAACAATATTGAGTCGGCCTCCCTTAACCTCGGATTTGCACCGATCTCTGGTATGTAGATGTAAGGTTGAGTAATGAAAGAGCAAATTAGTGGAATCGGCGAAGTCCTTCCTACCCCGCGGACATAACACGTCAGTGGGCTTATTAGCAGGCAATGGAGTAGGCTGAATAGCGCCCTGCATAAGAACAGGGATCTAAGGGAAAAGCCCCGCGCACAGCCCGCAGCTGCTGGCTACATGCCCACAAGTAGGCTGAGATGGCGTCCTGCATAATGACGAAAGATCTGGCATGTTGCATGGGTCTTGCGAGATTCGTATTCCAAAATATCACCGCACTTGGTATCTTTTGCGGTATACCCTTCTAGTTATTCATCAGATCATGGACTCTAGGCGACCAGGACCCTTCTATAAGCAGGCATTCGAAGATGCTGAGCATATCTTCAATAGAGAGCTCGAAAGCGTCCGTGTCTTGAGAGCGCCGTCTATTCAGACTCCAAGTAATTCGCCCTCGCTGTTGGAGCGGGTTATGATCAGTAATTTCGAGCAGATGCGAGCAGAGACAAAGGTGCGGTCTCTCTTAGATTGCGAGACAACGAGGTTGTACCATATGCCTGACGGCTTGCGGAATTAGGCCAACTCATCTCACCGCCAACGATCTCTTTAGTGAGTTTCTTCTATGTTGAACTCCAAATGAAGACTCATTCACCTTCACCTAGCTTGGTATCCCGGAATTCAAGTTGGTCCTGCCTCAATACATCTCTCGAGAGTTTCCGTGAGCTCGTGGATGCCTATGAATTCAGTGATAATGTCTATGATGTTGTTCAAGCATTTGGGCGGAGACAGAGCGAGATCCAGCAATTTCGATGGAATGGCTGCCGAGCATTGCTCACCCATACCAAACGCCACAATTATGGCAAGTCTTTAATCTACTGAACATGCTTCCGCCTACTGATGTGATCGGTAGAGATATGCTACCGAGTGCAATATCCAGTTCGAAACAATCGTTCCCGGGGCGATCCGTTCTCCATGCGCCAGACAGGCATTTGTCACAAAAGATTTGGAACACATTCCTCGGCTTGGATCGTACTTCAGCCAAGCCCAGATATGGAAGCCGATATAGAAATGACGGTTAACGATCCAGGACTGCTTTTTACAATCGATGAAGACCCGATGCTTCCCCACTTGATCTTTTTCTCTTTCCAAAGTTCCAAGTGGGATGATTATGTGGAACACCTCCGGAAAGAACTGGAGCCCCTGGTCAGTGTATCGCAAAACTTTGCTATCCAATTAATTCTGAGACTAGAATGAAGCAGCGCACTTCTCTCGGGTCGGCCGCCAATGCAAATATTCCGAGTCCGACTATACGGTTACTTTTGCAGACTGCCAGAGGTTGCGAAAATTCCAGTGGAAGCTTGCCCAGATAATTCCGGCCTTGGATGGCAATATTGCAGCGTTGAGAGTATGCGAAGAGCGCTGGAATGAGTTGGATGACAACCACGTTGTGCATGCTTCCTTGGTCAAGGCTCGTGGCTTTATCTCTGAGGTTGAGTTTCATAAAGAGAGTCTGCAAAAATTGGCAGAACAGTCGAATCGATCCGCGGATCTGGTATTTTCTTTTTAAATCCGTTGCCTCACCCGATTCACTAATATCACATGCTGACTTTGCCTGTTTGAATAGCTCCACAGAATCCTAGATTTTCGTACTAGCGAGCAAATGGAAAGAACCAGCGCGGCAATGTGCCACTCTTTGTGTACCCTAGACTCACAGGCCAAACAACTTAATGTCCTTGGCACACAAATTGACAGAGATTCCAAAGTCATGAAGGCTCTGACATCGGTTGCGACTTTTTATCTCCCCGCTAGCTTGGTCGTCACAATTTTCAGTTCGAATCTCGTTCAATTGGCTCCGACAACATCTTCAGAACGGCCGAGCCACTTCCGAATAGCTCCCCAATCATGGCTACCAATCACGGCCACTCTATTGCTCATGGTTTTGACTCTGATCTTAGTACGACTTCTCGAGAAGGCCTTTGGGTACGGTAAATTGTGGGGTCGTAGGTAAAGAAGTATTGTTAAGAAGAGCGTCGTTGGCGCCGTATAACTTGAAATTCATCATTGTAGAAGCTTGGCTTCTGTGCTCTTGAAGTACTGTTTCTGCGCGCTCGCTGCACAATATTATCTTTAGGTAGAAAGATTGATTCACGGTATCCAAATGAAGGAGAAGAATATAAAGAAGCGATCTTTCATCGATCTAGACATGTACATCGGCGTTACTCGAGTATCGACTGTCACGTTTGTAATTCTAATTCTCATGAGAAACTGGGTGTCGTCGATGTCGTGCAGAAGATCTAGACCCGCTGTTGGCAAGTCTGATTGTATCATCGTTGTCGCTTCCAATGCCCCCATCAGATTCAACATCAAAGTCATCAAGTTCGTAACCACCGTTTGAGTCTCTATCCGCGGAGCGATGGACAAGTTCGGGATAAGGCTTCCGTTTGAACCAGCCCCCAGATACTAACCATATGACTTGAGCTTTGCCTTTTTCCATGATCTGCTTGGTACTAAAGTTGAAGACTCTATCGAGCTCTTCCAACTTGTATCGACTAGTCTCGGGCACGAAGCTATCAGCCGGAAGGTCAGTCAGCTGCCTCAGACTCTGAATAGCGAGTACGAACAAGATGATTAAGAACCATCCAATAAGATTCAGGATCGCATAGAAGCCAAAGCTCCCCTCGTAACCCCATCTAGCCTGCATTGGAGGCCAAGTCAAAGCCATCAAGGAATTCAAACCCCAATATATACCAGTGAGAAGACCGACTCCTAGATATTGTCAGCACTTTCTAGATAGCTTCACGGTTGTGAGGCTACAAGGAGACAACAAATTGAACGAGCATTTTCATACCTGTGTCCCTCAATTCCAGAGGGAGACATTCGGACGCATAAACCTAATGATTCAGCCTTCTAAATGGAATTCAAGAGGGGTTCACATTTTGTCTGCTTACCAGTGGCACTGGACCTTCTCCAATACTGTAAGCAACACAAAAAAGATATGCAAATGTGACCACCAAGGCGTGTTGATATTGGGAGTTCGCGCGGAAACAAAACCCTGTAATGAACATGAATGCACTCATCAACGGAAATGTCGTGATCAAAAGTAGACGACGGCCAACTCTGTCAATAAGGAAGGCTGCTATTATTGACATGCCGAAGTTTATAGCACCGAAACCCAGAGAATACTGTTGATACGTGAGCGGGAGTGCGCTCTTGTGTCCACAGCTGTACGTACACTGAGAGCGGTGTTATCCTTGCCAACGGTAGCTTTATCCAACGAATCCCAGAAGACTGAGCTGGAATAATATGCGAGTACGTTTACCCCACACAACTGCTGTAATGACATGACAATTAATCCCGCTGTTATTGCTCGACGACATCGGGCTTGTCGGAAGAGCTCTAAAATATTTTCCCGCCAAGGTCTCCACGGTAGCCGTGAAAACCCTCTGTCTCTGTTTGCTTCCGGGTTATATGACTCCTCACTTATCTCTTCCATGCGAAGCCAGGCGTCAATAAGAAACAGGTCTCTCGCTGCTTGAAGCTTAGTTTGACGGAGCTGTCTTAGTGCGTGGAAGGCAGCTTCATAGTGTCGCTCAATTCTTAATGAATCAGGCTGTGGACGTCTCTCGAGGCGCCGCGCTTTGAGAAGATGCCAACGCGGAGACTCTGGTAGCGCCATGGTCAGAAAGAATAGTACTGCAGGAGCCACCATCTGCGAGTTTAGTTAGCAATCTTTAGATACCAAGACTGAGAAATTGAGAGACTCACAGGACTGCCGATCATGAGTCGCCACCTATATTCCTAGTACCGTTAGATTGGTTTAAACCATGCGCGTAGTATCTTACCCCTAGATGCCTGAAAGCAAACGTGAATGCATATCCGAGCATGATCCCAAGGGCCGTGTACATTTGCCAGCTCATGACCAAAGCGCCTCGAATTTCTTCCGATGGCACACTTTCCGCTGCATAGATCGGAATCGTCGCAGATTTTGGACCTATTCCGAAACCAAGGAGCAAACGACAGGCTAGGAGCTGCTGCCAATTCTGGCAGAATGCCTATCCAAGGCAAGAGGTAAAGGAGAACACACAACAGACCATGATAGCACCTCTCCGGCCATAAAATCGATTGAGGGGCTCTGTTAAGCTGTCGAGCAGGTCAGCACCTGACTTGGAGGGTTTGGCACAATGGGCAAGCAGAAGAGGTCAATGTCAATTTGGTTCTTGTCAGAGTTTTGGACTTCCATTAACTTACGTGCAAGACAAGATGCACATCAAATATGGTGCAGCATTGACAAGTCCAATTTTTACAGGGTCTTCGTCAATGTTGAAGGTATTGCGATAAGTCAGTTGGGCTGGATTGCATGTTAGATGTTATGACGACTCCCCTTCATCGAACTCACCTCCATTGACTGCACTCTCGTCCCAGCCTTGTATGGCGGCACCCAAAGAGCAGCACAGAATCAAGGCATGAACATGCCAGTTCTGCCGCCTATAGATCTGCCATCGCCCTCTGTCACCTTCGCTTTCGAGATGTCTGTACATGTACTCCCGTCGACGGGTAACCTTTGTATCGGTGTGGTCTTCCGCCCGAGCTCGCTCTCCGTCACTTGCATCATCGTTAGGGTTACTCGATTTTCTGTTGAGAAGGTCCTCTTCTTCGTGCATTCTTTTGAGGTGCTTTATTTGTTCTGTCCCGAATGGTCGACGAGCAAGGAAGGCGCCAAGCCGAATTTCTTCGGCATACTCGTAGAGAGCTGTCCTCTTGAGAAATCGATCGATACTCCTGATCATGTCGCTGTGGGTAGGAGTTGGGTCGAATGGTCCTCCCACACCAATTGATTGCGTTGCAGCTGACCTGGAGGCGTTCGGCGCCATAATGAAACCTCGAAGGGTCTTGATTCTGGGCGAGGAATGTATCAACTTAGAATTTCCAAGTTGGTCAATCTGTCGTCCTTTAGCGAGTTTATAAGAAACGAGTCGCCACCAACCGATGAAGGTCTGCAACATGCTGATAAGGTGTGCATGCTTCAGCCTTGTCCTTGCAACCTTCGATTTGCTCCGCGTTAAAACGCTCGGGCGCTTTGGTACACTCTTGACAAGGGTATATCAATACTAAGCAGCGCAAGAGGGCGCAGCGGGATGCGGGCGCGTACAAAGGGCCAGTCGGTAATTGCAAGGCTGGGAGAAAGTCGCAAATGGAGCCAAAACGAGACTTATGTGAAACGAATATCGTTACTTCGTACGTGCGGCCGTCACGGAGATAGTCTTGCGAGGCCATACATTGTGTCGTCGTTGACCAGAACGATCAACACCACTAAACACTTCTTGTCTACCGCACGAAACCATAGAACTCCGTCGTAGCTAGACAAGTCACGTAGACGCATTATTGTAGTCGAGGCAGAAGCCTACAGATACATAGACTATGACAGGAATTGTCTCAAAGACGGCCACCAAGGCTGACCGCGGGACATGATGAGAGGTCGGAGTTCCAATGAGCAGCTTTTGAAACTTGCGTTACAGTCATGTTGCCCCTTGCGTCCCTCGATCATCCATACTGTTGCTCGCAAAAGTCTGTGTTCTGGGAGGCTGGAATGACAATTAAGGGTAAGAATTAGGGCTACACTCCCGAGGGTCCTAGCGTGGTTCTATCCGGCACTAAGTTTTGCACCGTTTTCAGCCGTCTATTTGGAAAAATCATTTGGTGAATTCATCAGGTGCCATATTGACAAGCCTTCACTTTGTGTGAGCGATTTCACACAGCCTGCAGCTCGTGTACGCGCGTCTTGATAACGAAACGGATGTCACCCTCCCAAACATACCGCGCCGGGTCTCCTGATAAGGCTCTGACTGCGAAAACGTTTGACCCATGTTTCACGACCAGCCTACTTCCTCGTTGCCATCGAGGCAACGAGAGCATTATCCGTTTCACTAACATCCATAAGATGTCCTGTTAATCGACTCGGACCTTAGCCCTCGGAGAATAGCGTGCGCTAGCTTGTTGCAAAGAATCTTGCAAGGCCTGTTGAGGTCTTTCAGTGTGAATGCTGTCTACGAGTGGAGGGGAAAAAGTGTATACCACTTTCAGTCAGTACAACAAGCTCCCAATAACTGGGGTTGCAAAGAGCTATTGATCCATCCCTCGTGGAATCATTGAAGCAGAAACATCCGACTGTGAAAGGCCTTTACGATGAAGATTTATACAGGTCAATTGGACGTGCCACTCATCTTCTGAATTCGAAGCAATAGCGTACCTGGCTCGCTATGCTGATATGGACCAAGAGCAGGGACAATTGCGGATGGAGAAGAGAGTGGAAAGGAATCCTCAAATGCGTCATTTGCAGTATAGCCTAGAAGTAATGGATCCCTTCACAGGGATTTAGCCCGCTTTTCAGCTCGGGAATTCTTGCAGGATGGTGTCGTTACGTTGTCTTGGGTGATATAGTGGTTCAAGTAATCAAGAAAGGCTCAAGTGCACTATCAGAAATATGAGGTACATGTGCGTGACATATGGGTGCCCAACGCTGTGCCTCGCCCAGCGGATGTGTTGCATAAAGCTCACGTCAGCACCTCGGCTGGCAATCTGTTGCCCTTTTTGTCGCCACCAAGGCAATCAGAAGCGTATCGGAACCATTGGGGCAAGAGTCCTGCCTAGAGCAAGTCATAGCCCTCCTCAAGATGGGCCTCATCAGAGTACCTTGCAAACAATAACCACGGCCGCGCGGATACCTTGCAAGTTTCTCTGGAGGTCTGGATTCCTAAGGCACAAGAAGCGGGAATCCTAATGCCTGCTCAATTAATCGAAGGAGAAAGGGCGAGAACGCCTCTATAGCGATACTTGACATAAGAATATGTTACTCTTGGTCTTCGTAACTTATCAGCTGTTATCACCATTTCTCCAGTGAGCTCTTTATGTGAATTGTGGTGTGTAATTGTTGCTAGGCTTGGTATCCACGCCCAGTGCTCTTCGACTCTACGTTCCTGACAGGGTAAGGGGTTCCCCCTGCGTTGTCGTGGCAGGACCAGGAACACGATCCTGTCAGTCGATTCAATAACATCCTGTGGGTCTTTCGTCGAACACAAGGGCTGCATTCGCCTCAGCCTGCCGTTATCTGGGTCTCATTAAATACAACATGCATGACAGAAACTTTGGAGATCCTACGGAAACACGAACTGGCTAATGGGCTCAGGATGTCGTCTTCCGTGGGGATACTTCCAGGGGTCACCTAAGAAATTGGGCGCTTTTGGTTTCTCGCCAAGCAATTAGGCATTCATTCCTTTCAAAGATCATGCTTTGGACTTGATACTCATACCAATCGCCAACGTATCATGTGGTGCTCGGTGGTCCGTGAAAGAGAGTCCTGCAAACCTGACTTTTCTGGAATCATGAATCGTCGAATGTGAAGATATTAGAACGTATTTCACATCATGTGACTAGCTTCTGCCTTAACACATTTCGAGGCGAGCCCCCAGCAAGTGTCTTCGAAGTGCGCTTTCTTTGTGAGAATGGGCGGCCTCGTCACTAAAGAAGTACATGATGCAAAGGAAGAGCCTTATGGATCATAACCCCTTCACCTAGAAGCGGTCCTTAAGTTCGCCGGTCGGGGTGGTGACCTCAACCTGTCGCCAAAAGACATTGATGACAAAAGCGACGCAGATGCGTTTACCAAGGTTCTGATCTGCATTCAAGTCGTGTGATTTGCTAAGCAATGTGCTGCACGATTTTCTGTAAAGCTTCCGGTCAGTCTGCTGGAAATTCATACAGTAGTGCACGTATTGTGTGCCCTTGGCAATGTATGGTATGTGGTGGAAAGTCAGCCGACGAAAGCCTAACCAGTGATTCCAATAACAGGTTCATTAGAAATCTCACAATGTCTCCCAAACTGTCAACATAAGATATATACGACCGTCAAGACGTTTCAATGCCCTCGCTCGAGTCAACTGGCCTGCGTGAGGTGCATCCAGAGGTTGGCAATCCAATTTTCGAGGGGTCGAGATCGGTGTCCAACCACAATCCGCAGATTGCACCGCATGATACAGCACACGAATCGATGCACACCGTCCGACGTAGCATATCCTACAAAGCCGTAAATTGTGAAGTGCTTGTAAACTCGTATAGACGTTCTTCAGACCTCGAACAAGACATCGCATGTGGTCTTGTCCCGGACCGGCGACCCAGCTTTGGGATCGACCATTCTGCGAGAGACGACGATCGAAGGTGTTCCCTAAGAAGCTCCGCGAATACTGTCACGCATCTCTTTGAAGACGACCATTCTCTTCGAATTGAGCTTGCAAAGTCAATGAGTCCGCCGAAAGAACTGAATCGCGCAAGGAAAGCAATTGCGCAACAGAGAAACGAGCCTGGCATTTGCGTACTACAACCATCAACATCAGCTGGTCCTGAATATGAAGCAGAGGCCTCGCTGAGCCTTCATCATCCAAACTACGTCAAGTGGTCGCTCTTGCATATTGCATCTGACCCGTTGCCGCCGCATGCAGCAGGAATCCTGTCGATAGTATACAGGGTCATCCACCTGGCAGCCTGGAATTTCAGATTCCCCTCAGGTACCGAGCAACTCTTGTGGAAGATCGCGAGCATCATTATCATAGCCACTCCACCGCTCATATGCTGTTCAGGTTGGCTTAAAAAATCGCGCTTTTCAAGCCCATTATACAAAAACGTTGTCCCGTATTCAGGGTGCATGATGCTCACACCCTACGCATTTTCACGAATTTATCTTCTTGTTGAGGCTTTCATCAGTCTACGTCACGGACCCTCGGGAGTTTGGGCTACCATGCCGTGGGGTCAGGCTATGCCTCATTTGTGAGGAAGACCGCGACAGGAACACATGATATCTTAGGGGTGACATGATCACGAAGACTTAAGTACACATTTGTGCTCTATCTGCTCTCTAATTTGAACACATTGTTCATTACCCCTTGACACTAGACCGGCTGGTTTTCCAAGTATCTTTGCCTCAGTCGGTAAGAACCGGTGATTTGACAGGGAATCTTCCTGTTTCCTCCTTATTTCATGATGTTTCATACCTAGACAGCTTCGAAAAAATCATTCACTAAAGCGAAAGCCATCTTGCATATCTCATCCTTTGTGCAGCTCTACACATCCCTCTTGAGTGGACCGAGTAACGCGTATAACGCGATCAAGTCCGCTTCTCCTTTATCAATGTCTTTGATAAGTTCATCTTTCACAGGTAATGCTACATCGGGTTGATCATTGACAGCGGCGACCAGGCTTTGGGAGAGCGTAATCGACATTTGAATTATGGCTGCTAGCTCTTCCCCGCTTTGGGGCTGGTCAGAGGCATTCTGTAATGACTGTGCTTCTGACTCTTGAGTGGTGAGCTGGTCCTCCAAGCTTTGCAGCTGCGGGTCAGGAGCTTCGACGTTGTCCTCCACGGCGCTGATGATGATGTCCAAGATTCCTATTACGTTCTCGATGACATCTCCTAGAGAGCGCTGGTCGAGAGTGAGCGGCCTGGAACAGATCGTTGTGACCAGCGAAAGCATTGAGAAGAGTGTTGCGAAGAGCTTCATTTTCTTTGAGGTTGAAGCGGACTGTCTTAGCAAGCGAAAGAACTGGGTGTGAGTGGGTGTGAGTTTCAGGAGTGGAATAAGCAAAGCGTGAAGAGACAGGGGAAAGTTATCAGGGTAATATGTCCTTAATGAACGACTCACACGACAAAAAGTAGCAAAAGATCAGTCATGATGGATGGGTGCTAAATCCAGGTGATTATGTGCGCCACTCAGCGGCACAATGGTGTGGTACGGTGTTGATGTAATGGAAGACAAATGATTTCTTCGACTGGGTGCGAATTACCTTGAACTCACTATCTTGCACGACGTTCGACGCTTGAGGATCATCGGACGAGAGGACGAGTGTATGTAGCGAAATGAATCTGGTAGTTCATCCAAGACCCACGAATCAGACCTTTCACAAGCCTATACACCATTACCTTCTTGCATCGACCACGGCCCGTAAGCGTTGAGCCTAAACCATCTTTGATCATGGCTGATCCCACTTGATCGTAATCACCACCTTCGCGTTGGGTGGTGGTGTAAAGACTACTAGGATTGGGTGACGATCGCCGAACCTTTCCGCCACTATGCTATCTACGCTAGTCTATAATTTCATGGTCGTGCAGCAATCATTCACCAACGCCGGCTTTTGAAAGTCCACGGAAATGCAGACGGCTCTTGGAAGGCGAGCTGCCTCTTGCCATTTAACCCTCGCAATGGTCAAACGTCATTGAATTGGACACGACTTTGACTAATCGCAACATTGAGACGTGGGTGAAAGTACGAGAATGTTCCTTAGAACCCGACCTCGGTTTACTTGACGACGAAGACTAGCCGTGATCTTTCACAAGAACTCTTTGAGTTTTCAACATATTGTCAGCTGTGCTTAAGAAGTCGAGCAAACTGGGAAATTGTTTACCCCCCGCATTGAACGAGGCAAATCTGAGGCCAATGTATTCTTGATCCAAGAAATTGATTTTAGCCAGCTACACTATGGGAAAAGCCATACGGTAGCCTGTGAACATACTCTTAGACATTTGGCGGGAGGTTGGTGTGAGGCCGCCCTTAAATCCTATTAGATAAGCGATCGCACAGCCCATGAAGACGGCAAGATCGACAAGAAAGGCAGCCATGGCCTTAGTTCTAAAATCATTGAAGGATGTATCCGCGAATCATCCAAGGTTTTGTCCTTTTTGAAACAGAGATTAGAAAGGATGGGATACCAATTCTTGACGAGGCCACCAATGGCATGCGGGTCGCGTCGTGTCAGTGACGTGGCCGACCATGAGCCGCCTGTAGTATTCGATAGGAGACCCCCTCCATCCTCTGGTCATTTACTACGCTCAGACGGCTGTCCAAATCTTGTAGGAATCCTGTTCTAGAGAAGGCAAGGACCCAACCTCCACCAATAATGAGAAAGCCAATGCTTGGGAATTGGGCAAAATGACTGCTTTTAAATGTCGCGATGCAATAAAATGTAAAACTCTTGAAGCTTGAGTCTCTCGAGGTTTGATATAAGTGTTGGTGACAACAGCCTTCCCATACTTGACCCAGCTGGCTTCTTGTGTGCTTAGCCCATTCGCTGGACCAAGCCACTGATAGTCTGCCGGATAGTCTACATGTACAGGCGCGTAGCTTGTTGATGATATGTTGGGGATGCTCTTGCCGTGAACACCAGCTATGATCCATGTATCAAACCAGATTGTAGGTGGCTAAATTCGAAGCGAGAGCTTCTCCTTTTCTTCCCTCCATGAATCATCCCTGGCACCGCGCTACTTAAGCCTTAAAGCCACTTGATATTTATAAATATCAAATAAAAGCCTAGAAAGCGGTCGTCCCTCTAATAGTCAGTCTAAGAGATGTGTGGTTGTGATCCTCCGAACCTGCGAGAGGGTCAAGTTTGAAGGAAGACCACGAAGCTCTGAATAATTGAGGGATATATTCAGAAAGGTCGTTGGTATTTGGAATATCACTTGGCTTCATCTCAAAGCTGCTTCAACGGGGGTTAGGGCCCACAAAAGCGTGAAGTGTTCCTCTTTCAACTTAGTATCGGGAAGGAGCTGGCAAAAACTACCTCTATACTTCAGCGATAGGGCTTTCATATCATGGACCAGGCGTAGACCGCAGTGCGTAACGCCGTCCATTTTTCGACGATAGCTCCCAGATGCTCTTAGCTCCTACCCACGTGTCTCTGATTGATCGCCTGGGCATTTCACTAACTTAAAGGAAACCAGTGGTATTGGTGTCGGGCAATGAGGTGGATTGTCAAGGAATGGGAGGAGTGCTATCTTGGAATGGATCATGATTGGATGCTTCTCATTCTGCCCGGGCTGCGGCTGAAGACTCGATGTCTTCAACATCCCGCCTTTCAAATTTCCTCTGTCCATCTCACGACTTTCATTTCCTATGTCAGTGTTGTCAGTGTTCTCAAGGTACATTTTGCGGCGTAATGAATTGGTTTCTGTCGTGAATGTGAGCACGGCCTGGTCGAGTGATAATATCCAAATTGCCTAGGCCTGACACTTTTGCGGCTCTGGTTCAGTATGCGTCTCTTGAGTATCGCTACTTTGCAGCTCAAGGAGTTTTTGGGCTCGAACATACCCAAATACGCTATCTTATTGCATCGCTGAGGCGATGAGGAGGTAAACTATAAATATTGGCGAAAAGGCACTTAGTCGGATGTTGATATCTCCCCTAGGCCAAAAGTCTAGAGACTATTAGAAAGCCTGCTATCTTGCCTATATCCAATATCGGAGGGTCCTAGTGCTATCAATATTCGGAACTTTTGCCAGCTAGCTGCTCAGAATGGGTTCAACTGGGACTGGGTTGATGCTTGTTGCATTGGCAAGAGGAGCAGTGCAGAGCTTTCAGAGGCCATCAACTCAATGCTGAAATGGTGTGAAAAGTGATTGTCCACTTGTCCGATGTTATCAAGTCTCACGAAGAAGAGCAAGTACTGCAAGATAGACTAGTGGTCGATCTTCTATTTCCAAGTTCAAATTGTAAAGAATCTAAGCTAGGGAATGATTGGCTGTCAGGACATTTGTCAACGCTGTGGGAAAAGCTCCGTGAAAGCTCTTGATTCACCCGAGTATGGACACTGCGGGCATTACTGGCACCAAATGACGTTATTTTTTGTTCTGATGAGTGGAGACCGATCGCATTTCTGATAAATATTGTGAATGAGGTATCCACGAAAACAAAAATTAAACCTGAATGTCTGCAACCATTCCAGCTGTCGACTGGTGTCATATATTATTCGGTGGCTGCGCGTATGAGCTTGGTTGCAAATCGATCTACAACTCGGGGAAAAGATCTGGCTTATTCTTTACTGGGACTTATCCAAGTAAACATGCCATTATTATATGGCGAAGGAGCTCGAACTGCGTTCCGACGATTACAGATCGAGATTATAAACATTTCTGATGATGAATCCTTGTTTGCATGGCGGACTGAAAAATGCACATTGTCTAATTCCATACTTGCAAAGAGTCCACGTTACTTTGCAAACTCTGGGGAGATCTTCTGTGAGAGACATAGCAGTCTTCAAAGAAATCCTTACAGTATGACTCATAAGGGCCTGATGCTCGCTGTACCCCGGCATAGTATTTCTCGCCAACTGATGGGTTACTTCGCAGTATTTTTAGAGGTGTACGAATGGTAGCCAGAACGAAACGATTTTCTTGTCCTAGAGAACGACCCCAAGGGAATTGTCCGAGCGCATAAATTTGGAAATGGAGACGATCCTCCTGTGTAGAGCTCGAGGTGCAATTTCGACCACTTACTGAAGGATCTTCAACACACAGAAACGATCTACGTACAGTAATATGATCAATGGTGTAATTTCAGGTGAATCTCATCCAGAATCCGTCTTGTCCCCATTTATGATGCCAGGGAGCTCAAAGGCTTGATGAAGGCATTAGGCACCTTCTCAACATCGGGAATAGATTAGTCTGCCTTCTTGCGCCCATGGCTCGTAGGTGGGCGATCTTTTTATGCGACACGCAGATTCAGGGCACTCTCAAAGTTCACGAAAGCCACTCTGGCGGCAAGGCCACTGTAGAAGTTCTCTCCACTTTGCCTTGCCCGCTCCCAGATCACTCGCACCGTCCGAATGTTGCTTCAAAGAATGATACGTCAACGTATACTCTCCCTCTTGCACACAAACATTCCCGTCTTCAGGTTGCGCGAGGAATTCAACAATGTGCCTCAGAATCGCGATACCCAGTCCACCTATCCACCACCTCTCCTGGAACGTTCCGAACAATACAGTCCAGTATGCAAGCAGGATCAAAGCCATTGGCTCTCTCCTCTTTACCAGTGGGAAGAATTGATCGTCTAACAGGTTACTCCAGACCATCACGATACTCTCATGATCAGCATTCACTGCCACGATAGCAAATGACGTTTTGAGAAATTTCAGAGCCGCATGAAGTATCATCTTGTCGACACTTAAGGCTGTATGTTGGTCAATCGCTAGTGCAAGGGCATCAAGTGCTGATAAGACCTGCGGTGAGACGGCTTGCTTGATTTGACTTTCGATGTCGCTTTCGGTACCTTCGACGCGTCGATGGCAGAGCATAGGCTGTAAAAAGCCATCCATTATGGTGGCGCCAGCGTTCTGGACAACTGAGTTGACACCCCGAACCAGGACAGAAATCTCCAACCAGTCGTCGATGGGCGATGGGTGCCGAGACTGATAAGTTGCCGCACAGTAACGATTTTGTGTCGAAGCTAGGGCATTGAGTGACAAGAGGGCCGAGGCAGCACAAAGAGCTTCCTGATTCTCCACGTTTAGGGTACAGAGACTAGGGATGTAGGCTTGGAAGGCCAGGCGTTGTTGTTCCAAAGAATGGCATTCGTATAGATGGCTTTGCTGCATCTGCCGCTCCGTTCGATCAAAAGAGTCATGGTAGAAGCTGGTTTTGAGGATCGATTCTCCAATAACAGGGGAGACATCTAGTATTTTCTGCGGTTGCTGTTCTAGGGGCTGCTTGGCATATGCGCCGCAGAGATGGGAAGCACTTATCGATAACATACTATGCATGAGGTACGGATGAGCTTTGGCTTGCTGGGGAATCTCATGCTGCCACATCTGCCGCAAATGGTCATGGGCCGAGATGATTGGGGCTACAGAGCTGCAATAGTGATCGAAGAGGCGGAATTCAAGATCTGAGAGTCCAAGGAGGGAGATCCCTGTCTTGACTGGTGACAATCGCTTGACTTCTGACGGTGACGCAGGAACTGAATCTATCGTCGAATTTGATGATGGTGTGGCACAGGCTTCATCCATAAGAACCGTTGTATTGCTACAGTGCTCATGTCGGCGTTCGCAGTGCTGGCATGGTGCTCTAGCGTCACACTACTCCCTCGTTCAGAGGAATCATTCGTAGTAAGAAGATCTACGCCGGAGCCTCACCTTCACCCGCCTGGTCTTGCATTGCTTGCAACCAAGCCTACTTTTAGGGTGGAAACGTCGGGAAGGCATGATCCTTGATTACGAAGCGCTGTGCCTGTCTTACTGCAAAGACACAGACGCAAGTATAGTTGCCCATTGGGCTGTGTGTATGTGAACATTGAAAATGAACGGTCCCAAGTTCCGTGCACACGTATGACAGAAGATTCGGCCCTCGTTTGTCCGGATGTTCCATTGACAATTTTGATGGCGCTAGGGGACATTAGGCTTAGTGTACGAACTATGCGTACACATCATCACACTCTCTGTACCTTTCAGCCTTACTGTTTTATTTACTTGACCTTTACGTCCTTGTTTTGAACTTCAATCTCTACTAGAAACCGTGGATATGAAAGAGGTGTCGGAGACGCTCCCCGCTTGCAATGTTCTGCTTCGCAAATTTGCTAGGAAAGAGTACCTTGCAAGACATTTGGTACACTGACTAGCGTTACACCTTCTGGGGCCAAACCAAAGAGACCTTCGAAAGCCGGAGCTGCTACCGAGTACCGCATCTGCAAATTGTGTCTCACTGAGCCCAAGACTGATCTCATTCGAGAGACTCATCTACTTTGTGCGCAATGAGAATAAGGTCAATTATCAATGATACCTGAGTTCACCTAAGGACTCATGTTGGGGGCCAAACCCCTAGTGCTTATGGGGGACTTCACGAGCCTCACCCAGAAACCTTTCGCTTGAGATTAGATCGAATCCTTTGTTTATATGGCGTGTTTCAGTATTTGTCAAGTGGCTGGCCAGCCCGGCCAGGATCCAGAACATTTCCTCGAGCTTGCGATTCACGGCTGGCTCCTACTCACTCAGAGATCACGCCGCATTCTCGTCCGAGGTCGAAAATCTAGATCAGCAGATCATGGCAAGCTTCCTATTACCTCGTGACGACTCGGGACCAGCCTGTTACGCAAGTCGAGGCAATGACGACAATGGGAACACCAAGATTGAGGCTGACGGTATTCAATCGCCATGTGGCGGTTCCAAAACAAATGTCACCTCTTGTTGTATTACAGGGCATGAGTGCACTCAAGATGGCATTTGCCATTTCCAAGGAGCGCAAGACAAGTCCAGCGGATACTACATTGGGGGTTGCACTGATAAAACGTTCAACGACGCAGCCTGCTCAAAAGCGTGTATTGAATTCAACCAGCACGATGTCATCTTCAATACAACGAATGGTCTTTGGTCCTGTTGTTGGAACAACGATCAGAAGGAGATAGATTGCACCGACCCCACCCGGCAGACCTTTCAGGCTGCCCCTCTAAACTCGCTGTCAGCTGCCCCAAGCTTTACGCCAATATTGTCATCAAGTAGTTCCTCCTCCGCAAGCAGTTCCGCCACAAGTAGTTCTGCATCTTCGCCCGCAGTGACCTCTTCCTCTTCTACAGCTCCTCCTTCAGCGGCCGATACGCCTATATCGTCATCAGGGGGCCTAGGTTCGGGCGCAAAAGCCGGGATTGGCGTTGGTTGCGCGATAGCTGGGCTGGTCATCATTGCGGCCCTGATGTTTCTGGCCTTGAAACGGCGAAAAGGAGGACGAGAGCAGAAACAGGAAATTGGATTCGCGGGCGAAAAAGCACGAGAGGAGCAATACGCGACGACCTCGATGATGCCAGGGGAGCTGGATGGTGGAGCAAGAGAGCCAGAGCTTGCTGGAAACCCAAGGTCTGAATTAGAGGCCAGCACAAGATTCAGACATTGAAGGACATGTCGTGGTTTTGGAAGCCTTGCACATGACGGGCTACACACTGGGATTACGACTCATGAAACTGAAGCGGGACTATATCCTAGGAGCTAATAATATGTCTGATGCTTTTGCCAGATGTCACCCATGAAGATTACAGACCTACAGACACGGGCGGATATTCCGGCGTCTATGATCTGGAATATACAGCGTGGACATTGGGCACCTCTTCGAGAATTGCCAATTACTTGGCTCTGCGCTATGAGCATCTTACTCTGTCGCCGACGGCAAGAAATCAGCAAATATCCTCAAAACTTGTTATTGCATGCTCGCCAGGCTCGCTGTTGAAGTGAAACCGGGATATCGACATAGACTCTGGCGACGAGGACGGACTTCAGTAGTCTGATGCTAGCTGCAAGCATGCACCAAGGCTTCGGTACACGTATTTGACTTGATGAGATATAGGCATTCGGCCCAGATATCTGCAGAAATGCTTCGCGTGCTTTCTTGCCCACTGAGCCGTTGCACGCAAAGTCGCTCAAGGCAGAGTCGACTGCAATGTTCGTCGGAAGTTCGACGCCAATAGGGAAAGCCCTTGGCTAAACGTCGGGTTGAAGATGGACCATCGGAGAGCGAAGCATGGCGCAGTACTTTTTATACAAACAGAGGAGGGCTTGGACAGAGGCGCTTGTCGGAGATGACATTGATGTCAAACGCTGCAGTACTTCGTTTTTGATCTACTATTCCATGTTTCTGGTGGAAATGCTTCCTTCTGATATTAGATGTCCAATGAGAAGCTTTCTCCCTTCAGCTTTAGGCTCTTTGGGTCTCAATTCGCATGAAAGTGAGCATGGACCAAGCTCTGGCAACCCTCAATTCTAGGTATCCAGTTGGCTATGCAATTGTCACTGCAGCCTCTCTCTCAAACCATGTCTATTCCCGCTTCACGTCCTAATATAATCTCTTGGCACTGATTCGCGACGTATGTAATTAAACCTAATCTCAAACCGTAAACTCATAATCTGGGACTTCTATTCTGACATTGCCTGTGCATTAAACCTTGAACACGTCAGCCGAGAAAGATCGAATTCCTTCCATGGCTGCAGAAGATATGGCTCCGTTTTGACATCCGCGTCCGCGTCGAGTCATCCTCATTCATTGACCCTCTGAAGTATGAGTGCACGCCGAAACGCCTTTCTCTCGCGGACTGAGCCGTTGCAGAGACACGCGTCTTTGGAGCTGCAGCATGATCGCATATCAGGGCCATTGAGCTTCTTGAACCCCACGCGCGCGGTCTACACGCATCTCTCGCCTCCAGTGAAGCCTAGCCAGGGTATCTCAAACGGGGCGCCAGACGGCCATCAGTCTTCCCATGGCGATCACCCAGCATCTAGACTCGAGTTCAAATGGCGATCCCGAGACAATCGGAAGGGTCGTCATACCCTCCTCGTTGACTCTTCCACCAATTCCGTCGCTCCTTCAAAGACGACTTCGTTGCGCGAAGTCTGCAAAGGGATACTCCGCATGCTGACTCAATTCCCTTATTGGGACATCTCCTGGCTTGTCGCCACAATTTTCACCCTTGGTTCCGTCGTCTGGGTCATGAATTCTTTCTTCGCTTGGCTCCCGGACGTGGCGCCATCTACAGAATTCGACAAGGAGATACTCTACGCTGGAGGCATCACGGCCTTCATCGGAGCTACGATCTTCGAAATCGGTAGTATCTTGCTCATAATTGAAGCGGCAAATGAGCACCGAGAAGGATGTTTCGGCTGGGCGCTGGAAAGGCTCGTGGAAGGCGATGATTCGGATGATGGCGGAACGCTGCGGATCAAGCCGGATAGCGACCGATGCGCGCATCATCATACTAACAAGAAGAATCTAGTTGGGAAAGGAGACACTGGCATGCTGGAGAAGACCGTGGACGAGCGTGGCAGTGGGAAAGGATGGACTTGGTTCCCATCGCGGTACGACTTGACGAATCACTACCTACGCGAGCTCGGCTTTCTTGCCGCCCTCGCTCAGCTATGCGGTGCGACTATCTTCTGGATCTCAGGCTTTACTGCTCTTCCCGGCATTAATGATAAGCTCTCAAAGGGGCTCTCAGACGGTATTTTCTGGACGCCGCAGATCGTGGGTGGCTCCGGCTTTATCGTATCTGGGACTCTTTATATGCTTGAAACGCAGGAAGTATGGTACAGGCCTGCATTCCAGGTGCTGGGGTGGCATATTGGGTTTTGGAACTTCATAGGAGCGATTGGATTCACTTTGTGTGGAGCGCTTGGCCCCGCATCTTTTACGAATAGTGGCGCGCTGTATCAATCTTCGTTGGCGACTTTCTGGGGGAGCTGGGCATTCTTGATTGGATCTACAATACAGTGGTATGAGAGCTTGGATAAGCATCCAGTTGAAGTGAGGAGCAATAACAGTAACTTCTGAGACGATTTCGCCAGACAAAACTCTATCCTTGATTGTAAACGAAAGACAAAAAGCTCTTCACCTTGTTTCGTCATCTATTCTATCGAAACATACTGTAATTAGTTAATCTAGATCTATAAAACACAAGAACGATCTGCCTTAGCTAGAGATTCGGCTTTGGCATCACCGCATAGCAACTCACTTCAAGGAAAAGTCAGTTACGTATCAGGATCTGGTGCTCTAATCGTCTAAATTAACTCAGATCCGTCAAGCGCATACAGAAGACATTCTGTCACTGAAAAGGACCTTCCTCATGATCCTCGCAACCAGAAATCCTCACCACTTCCATCAATCACCCTTTCAGATCCCACCTCGCCATCTCCCTCCCTAGCACCTCCTCAACATACTGATGTCTAGGCTTCAAATAGACCCGAAACGGCATCGGGCTCCGTCCACTCAAGCCATCATACTCATTCAAATCAATCGGCTCACCCGGCACTTCAGTCATGTCGAAAGCCCAAAGCATGCGCGAGATCGTGAGCCAGATTTCGCGCTCGGCGACGAGCATACCTGCGCATATGCGGCGTCTGTGAGTGGAAATAATCGTTAGCTCAAGGTAACAAGGGGGGAGGCAAGGGGGCAGCAAGGGCTGGGTGCGCATAGGGAGGGGAGGGGGTACCCAGCTCCAAATGTCCAATGATCGCGTTCGTACGGGTTTGGTAGATTTGCGCTCTTGGCTGAGGAGAGAGGGTCGTTCGTGTAACGCTCTGGCTTTAGAGGTATAAGCTGAAGTCCTGCTCTGCGAGTAATGAATGAGTTTCGAGGGTGGAAAGTAAGCCTACCTTGAAAGTATCTGGGTCTGAATACCGCTCAGGATTGTGGTGCATGGTCCAAGTATTGAGGACGATTGCAGTGTTCTTGGGAATGAAGTGGCCTTTGTATACGAAATCTTCCGTACTAAAGTGTGGCGTACCGAGCCAGAAAGGGTTTCGGCAGCGCTCGACCTACTGGTGGATTAGAGGATTGAACGAAGAGAAGTTGAGCTAGATGCGCACCTCTTTGATGATAGCGTGACAATATGGCAGGTTTCTCTCGTCATCGATATTTGGGAGACGGTGTCGGCCAATAACGCGGTCCAACTCCTCTTGGGCCTTCTGCTGAATATCGGGATAGGCTGGTATAAGGGCCGAGAACCATTGCATGATACCGGCAGTCTATTGCAAGCAGATCAGTAAGATGTCATGTAAAAAATTCTGAATGCGCTTGCTGTTTCAACGCCACCAATCATGAAGGCAGAAGCCAAAATCCTCATGTCCAAAGCACCTAGGTATTCCGTTCTAGGGGCTTGAAGCATGCTTTTCGCGAGGCAGTCCTCAACCGGTCTTCCGGCATTCAAGTCTTGCTCCATGCCATCAATGATCTCTCCATAGGTCTTGATGAGCGTGTCATGAAGTCTTTTGCCACGGCGCTGCATGAAGGTCGGAATGAATTGTAATGGTCTGATAAAATCGACTAGATTTGACATAGGCCCTGTGCAATTCCTGGATAACTTTTAGTCCTGACCTAGAGGAAAGGGGATACAGACTGTCACTCACATAAACTCACGGCTCAATTGGAGGGCCTGCCTCACCAATGGGTGCTCGATGCTATTAGTACGCATGCCAAAGGTAATGGTGAGCATGTTGTTGAGGGAGCAGCGACCGGCATGAGGCTTGAAATATTCATTAGTCAACCGGGATAAGAAGAGGCGTGAATCATGTACTTGAGGATTGATGGGGACCATGCCACAGTTGCTTTCTCGGTTCAAGGCGTGTAGCAGCACTGTCGCCTCTTTGTCGAGAACATCAGTGTACTTGTTCACGGCTCGTGTGTTCAGCCAAGCCGTGGCAAGACCTCGATGTTTACGCCTTTTGCTGAGCTTAGCTACATCGTGTCCGCTTCTCTATCTGGAGATACCCACGTACCATCTGTCATTGTACGGTGTCGCAGTAATGCCCCGTCCAGCGAAGATCGTCTGGCTTTTAATAAACATCTCTTTGCGAGAAGAAAAGATGTTGCCATTGGTGACCATGAGATCTTTCGCGACGGACGCGTCGGATACAACAATGAAAAGCTGATTGCCAAGCCAAAGAGAGTATATTTTGCCATATGCTTTGGCCCATTTGTCAAGTATAAGCTCTGGATAGTGTGTCAAAGAGAAGAATGAGCCTGCACAAAGTCAGATACACCAACGAGCGGCCGTGAGAGCGGGATCTCTAGCCACACCAACAATAGGCCAGCCCCTTGGACCCGAAGGAATCTTGGATCTTGGCTTGATTCGGTGAAGCTTCGCGGCTAAAAGAGGCGACAACGCGCGATCGACAGCAACAAGAAGAAGGCATAGGGCAGTTACAACACTTGTGACGATAAACACGTCGGGCATAAAATGGAGAAGTGTCCTCATGATGACGAACTTTTGAGTGAAATATGAGTTTGAGACTCGAGAAGTATTTCGACAGACAGAGACAACAACTTGCACCTCTCTTTTCTAGGAACCATCGGATTCCAGCGGAGATAAACCCTAAATTTTGAATGGCTTCTTTCAAGGATCTCCATCTCGTTGAAATATAATCGAAGCAACGCTTTGGGCAGGGAGACTAATGTGCCGAAAGAGGCAACGGCTTACACATCGATTGTGGAGCCGTAATTCTTCGGTTGGACTATCGATTTATGGAAAACTCGAGGCTCACAGACTCTCTGCGGCTCACCAGGAGCAGAACATTCCCTGCAGTATTTGCTGCGCAACGGAGGTTATTCATGCTCACTTTACCGACACTTGCTTACATGAAGTACGTCGAGCAGGAAGATCTGCTGAGCAAGCGTAAAGCCAATGGCTGGTAAGTACGACACCTGATCTTGCTATGAGGTTTTTGGAAGATCACGACGTTGTATGGGTAGATCGCGCGCTATCCGCATAGTCTGGGTAAAGTGGTGTCCTTTTCCCGGCTTTGTCGGACCTGACGACAAGATGACACTATACTAGACCATGGAATATCAACCATATACGATAGCTAGTGTCGCACTGAGCCAGAGCTCGACAAACAAGGATGGATGCGCTGCTATGTGCACCTGTGGTTGTAGTACAAGATGTATTCCAATGCCAAGAACGTTCTAGTAAGCAGAACAACCCTCAGAGGCGGTGATCGATTGCTGGAGAGCAGCCTCACACGATCAGTTGAATCTAGAACATGAGAGCTCGATGCAGATGACAGGTGTAGCTTGTCTGAAAGACAGCTGTAGGTAGTTGACTCCCACAACCTCAAGACTTCTCGTAGATCCGCTAATCAGATTAAGCTCAGCGCTAAAAAACCGGCTTAGTCAGCTGAGGCACTAGAGCTCGCTTAGATCAAATATGACGAGCTAGGCGAGCCGCAACTTCCGATGCTGGTGAATGGGTCGTAAAGATTGCTATTCTGCTCGAGCAAAGCCAACGCGAGATGCTGTGACGTTGTTCAACATCGCTCACTTTATCGAGTGCTTATGAGGCGTCCAAAAGCTGCTTTGGACCTCTTTTAATGATGTCCGTGCGCAGTGCCTATGGATTCTCGCCTTCCAGTGGATCAACTGCCATGACGGACGAAGGATGCCAAGCGTGGGCGTGCTTGACACGGTCAGACGTCATTCTTCTACCTGTAGTGAGGTTTGTGCAACTTGAGACTACAATGGCCCCTTCTCCAGGCAAAGACCGTTGCTCTCAGCTATTTGAGCCTCCGACCAGCGCGATTGGCCGTGGCCTCCTTTAGGCTCGAGCCTGCCAATGACAGGCAGAGTCTATGAGGCATCTCGGCCCAGGTGATTGTTGAACGCTCTCCCTGTTGACTGTTCGTGAGGAAATCCTCATGTTCAAGTTAAGTCATGGGAAAATTTTCTGTTACGTAAACACTAACAAAATCACAACGTCACCTGCACTAATCCTTGTCTCTTGCATCTAAATACCCACAATTTCTTCCTAATGATGCCTCAATGTCCTAGAACTGACCGATTTGAGTATCTGAAATGCTACATTCATGACGAGTACGCAATCTCTTCATATCAAAGATACAGTCTAAGGTCTCTCGAATACTGAATCGTAAAAGTCAGCCTTTAGCAAACCTACCCTGAGACACCATAATACTATTTTCCCCTGCATTAAGCAAAAGATCTGGTATGGCATCAAGACAACTGCTGTCACGCCTGCCCCTTTGGATCAGCCACTGGCTTGGATATCGACCGTCGCGACCAAAACCACCTCCTGCGTGGGCGGTCTACCTTTGGTCTTTCATCGGCTCTTTCATCGGTATCTCCGTTGTCGAAACAATCTTCATGCAAAGTTCCTACTTTCACGCTCGACATGCTCCGATTATTGTCGCTTCACTTGTAAGACTCGCCCAAATGCCGGATTCTGCCACTGTTTTGCAATATTCTCGAGTTCTCTCCATTGAATGCACCACTTACTAGAAACTAGGGTGCATCAGCAGTCCTCTGCTATGGCGACATCGAAACTCCGCTTTCTCAACCGCGTAACCTGATTGGCGGCCATTTTCTTTCTGCCTTGTCCGGGCTTTGCGTAACGAAGCTTCTTCGCCTCCTACCGACCACCAATCGCTTCAATTGGCTGCGTTGGCTTGCTGGATCCTTGTCGACTGCGACCGCAATAACTGTCATGGCTGTGACTGGAACTACTCATCCGCCCGCTGGCGCAACGGCCCTACTGGTTGCAACTGATGATATGATTTACGCAATGGGTTGGTACTATCTACCCGTGGTCCTTTTGAGCACCACCATGATCTTGGTGAGTGCTTTGATCGTCAACAATATTCAGAGGCAATATCCGATGTGGTGGTGGAAGCCTGACCCACCCGGTCCTTCTATGCAAGACGAAAAGGGGACAACAACGAAGACTCCGTCGAACAGAGCTGAGGGGAGCCAAGAGACGAATAGGGCCTCCTCCGAAGTTTAGTGTGGGCATTACCAAGGACGCTGCAGTACTCTCTTACCATCCAAAATAGCAATAAGCTTACGTATCAGGCTTTCAATTGCATAGGTTGTCACGATGAGACATGTGACGGGTGCCATGCTCCAAAGAAGAGCTCGGAAATTGTAACCTAGCATTGAAGGTTCGTTGATCTCAGATTTCAGCTTGTACAATAAATGTGGAAGCAAACTATCGGTTGCACAATTCGTTCTTGCCAGAATAGCTGCCCCAGGGATGAGCGTACGGATCGGGGTGCAACCCGACTCGTGCCTTCCAAAACGGGTGGAGTGTCCAAAGACTTATTTCACCTTCCGGCATAGCCGCAGACTAACACTCTGCATTCTTGGTATATGTGTTAGCATAGCATGAGCTACGGGATACAAGGCTTTCAAATATCATTGCTGCAAAAGCTTACAGCGGCCTTGCCTCTTGCCGTCCTGCTCAAGGTCGGAATCACTAGACTCAGGTCTGAGCAGTAAATATTCCGGATGCAATGCTGTACTACGACTCAAATTATAATGTTCTAATTTGCAGGTCCCACAAGCACGCGGTGAGAGACCTAGGATGGCACCTTCGAATCCACGGGGTTTCCGGAAGGGAGCGTGAAGCCCTTCTCACCGAGTACGGCTCACGGACCATACGAGACCCCCGTTTCAGGCTTGCGGATAGCACCGATGTCCGAAGCTGGCTGGCCGATCCTGTCGAAGGATACTTATGCGCAAGATGCAACTTCATGACGAGGAAATACATGCACCTCCTCATGCACTGGGAAAAGGCCCACTATGATTTGCACAATGCTCCACGTCCTACTTTTGCGGAGCCTAGAAGCCATGCCAAATGCATTTGGATGCAGACCCTCTACCCTTCTCCCTTCATTAGATGGTTCGCTGTCGAGTATCGGAGGGGGTCCATTTTTAGCGAAAGGCATGAAAAGATGCCCGTTGGTGCCGAGTGGCGACCGGAGTTTTTGAATGATTGTATACATAACCTACGTGAGACATACAAACCAGCCCTTCTTGGCATGCCTAGAGAAATCCGAGATATGATATACGAGCTTGTCCTTACAAAGGACGCCACCTACCATATTGAAGACATACTAGGCCCGGTTGAGCCCGAATTCGGTGGTGGGATGATTGACGATGAACACGATCTAGCGTTCGGCACCTTAGGCGATCGAAAGAAGCCTTATGATTTCCGAAAGGTGGCTGAACGTGACCTCGAAGCCTTCTATCGGAACGGACAACCTACTAAGCTACGAGCAGTCATGCTATCTTCTCACCAAAAGCAGCCGGTCAATCTTCTTCGTACGTGCTTCGTGATATACCTGGAGGCCGCAGAATTTTTTTACACCAAGAATCGTTTCTTCATTCACATGCGTTGGCAGAACTTCATGACCGCGATCCACTTTCTCACATCGCTTCGTCCCCAAACAAGAAACCATATCCGTGATTTGGGCATCAAGAGTCTAAGACCTCCTCAAGGAGCGGAGAAACCGTGGGAGGGACCGTCGCCCAAACAGGCGCTCCTCTATTACTTCTCCATGAGGGAATTTCTACGGGTTTGCGTACCTTCGATGTCCCTCAAATCTATTGTCCTTTGCTTCAATCTCCAGGACATTGACGAGGGAGGCCACTTATCTCCGCGCTCTTCTACCCAATCACCTTGGCTAAATCCATTCTTACGGCTTTCTACCGCGTCAATTGAGATCCGTATCGCAAGCTTTGACTTCACGGGATATGAGACTGGAACCGGCACAATCGACACTTCAGCAGGCAGGCTTGTTGATAAGCTCTGTGTGGTGGATCGTTTGAAGTGTATCAAAGGCCGATGGGGGCACGGTGATGACTACGGTGGTGATATTTATGCGTGGTGGAATCGAGTGCTTCCTAAAAAAGGGAGAGAGATATCATGAAGGGTTCGGTAAGGTGGAGACTTGATCAGTACAACAAGTTTGACAGTCGCGGCAAAAGTTATTCTACACTGAACATTTGGGCCAAGCTTGCCATCGAAGCAAGTGACGCTATGTTGAAATCGTCGACAAATCCTTACGAATGAATATTCTCGGAGGACATCGATGCATGAAAACGACCGCTTCAAGCCCCAGGACTTATACTTTGCAGGCTTGAATCTACTACTGTCATATTAATCGTTTCTTCCCACGAAAGCAGAAATTAGTTTGGAATCGCTAATTCTTAATCTGATATCGTATTCAATCGCTTCAAACATGAACTTAAATTGAATGTTAACACATTTCAAGCATAGGGGTTTCCCAGCAACTGCAAGTTTGGCTATACTACTCTCAACGTGCTTGTTTCGAGAACGACGAAATGCCCGCCAGTCACAACACGCTAAGAGCAACCCAAAGCCTGCCTAAAAAACAAAGAACAATCACCTACATCTACCTTCACTCACTCCACCCTGTGAGAACCGTGCCCGCATCACGATCGCTAACGCCAAAATGAAATCTTCCCATAACTGACATCACGTTCTATTCGAGCCTTCGCGGAGACTAATTCGAACTATAATGAGACGGAAAAAGCATGCAGCCCGCTGAAGAAATGCCGTAAAAGCCCGTGTGCTTGGTGTATCTTGTCTGGCTTTTCTGCTGTTATTGCGGATCATTTCTTCTCCTGTCTGCTCATGCATGAATTACTGGTGGTGGTTCCCTTAAGGAGCTGATACTACGATGTCCGCTGGGAGGGGAAGGGAGGGGAGGGGGGGGGGGAGGCTGTGGTGGCGCGCTGTCCTTATAGCTACCCGCGTGACATATCGTGTTGGAGGTGCAATTGCAGTCGTTCATTGATTTGAAACAAGGGAAAGTCGTTTATGTTCGAGTCGAGTGTTTGTTCGCTGCTTGCGGATCGCCTAGGAGGTTGGTAAAAGGGACTAACAGGCCCTGGATAATCGGGACTTGTACTGGATTGACAGAGCGAGGAGGAGAAGAGGGGTGTGTCAGAAGAAAGCCGTGAGTTGTCATTGAGATTCTAATCTTAAAGTAAATATTTAACTTATGCCCGGACTGAAAAGCGAAAGAAATCCATCAACGTAATCGAACAATTCGTGACCCGTCATATTTGGAGGCCGTTACACCATTCCCATCCATGCTGCCGTTGCCATGCTCCTCCGACCAATTTCCGTCACTGGTATAAAAATGAACCCCAATCTCAACTCCCCAGTATACCGGCGCCTTCCATCCTCAATCACCAAACTCACCACGAAAACTTCACCTTCTCCCACTCCTTCCCATTCAAATACTGAAACCCCTTCCCATCAACACTAAAAACAACCGTCAAGCTCTTCTCCTGCAAAGGCCACGGATCCTCCTTGAATAACCGATTATGCACATCAAATGTCGCCTTATCCTTCAAAAGATGCAGGAACGTATCCACTGTCTTCTTATCATCAAACACCTTCCCACCATACATGATCGCGTCAATGTAGACATTACCGAGCGTGTGGCCTGGCTTCGGCACCCATTTCTTGCGGTTGTGGAGTTCCTCGATCTTTCGGTGGAGGTCGTTGATTTCTTTCTGGAGTTGGTCGTTCTTATCTTTGAGTTCGCAGGCGCGTTGGGTTTGGCGGCGTGCGCGCTCTTCGGCGTCATGGAGGGCTTGGTGCGCCTCGTCGAGGAGGGTGCGGTTCTTGTCGGCGCGCTTGGAGGCGTCTTGGTAGTTTTGGCGGGCGTCTTTGAGTTCGTCCTCGAGGTCTTTGATCTTGCATTCGAGGGGGGCGATTTTCTCTTGGAGTTCGGAGAGTTGGTCCCTGGTTTGCTGGTGGTAGATCTTTTCTTCTTCGAGGGCCTTCTGGACTTTCCTCAACGTTTCGAGGTCTTTCTCATGTGCCTCTCTCTCCTTTCGAAGTTCTTCTTCAACCTGTTTACGGTACTGTTCTTCTTCGATGAGTCTTTTCTGCACTGCCTTCAAGGTCTCAATGTCATCCTTATGCTTTCGCTCTTCTTCTTCGAGGGCATGCTTAGTTGCCTTATGGCGCTCCTTTTCATCATCGAGAGCTTTTTGGACAGCCTTGTGCTTTCGCTTTTCTAATTCGAGAGCATTTTTAGTTTTCTGATGATGTTCTTTCTCTTCGTTTAGGGCGTTCTGGACTCTCTTCAAAGTCTCCACATCTTCCTTATGCTTTCGCTTTTCTTCTTCAAGGGCATGCTTCGTTGCCTTATGGTGTTCCTTTTCATCTTTGAGAGCTTTCCGGACTTCTTCCAAGGTCTCAAGGTCTTTCTTATGAGCAAGTTCCTCTTTCTTAAGCTCATCCCCCTTCTTCTTCAAATCGTTCAATGCCTTCTGGTACTTGAATTCGAGCTCTTTATATTTCAATTCGGAATCCTCCAGTTTATTTGCCAATTCCTTATTGCGATTGGTCAGATCTGAGTTCTCGTCGCGGAGCGATTTGTTCTTGGTGTCAAGAGCTTGATCGTGGCGGATAAGTTTTGTGATGATTCGAACATGGTGCTCATAGAATTGCACAATGTCATTCGCTGGTCGGATTACATCGTCTTCAGAGTCGGATTCGACAGACTCCGTGCGGACGATGAGATTGTCTCTAGAGGCCTCAAATGCCTTGAGCTGACTGAGAACTTCCGTCATGGTGATGGACTGTTGTTAAATAAAGTGGGTTGAACTGGGCAGAGCTAAAGGGATAGTTCAGATCAAAGGCGGATTCAATATTTCGGGTAATTGTTATAGTCTTGAACTGCTTTCTGTGGTTGAGTTGAGTGAAGAAGACGTTGGAAACATCCATCCTTTTATGCCTTTCGAGAGCTACGCGGTGAGGGTCTTTACAAAGTCTAGAAACCTTGGGATCTGTGATGATAAGGTTCTACAGAGCTCTGGACTGTCATTCTGGAATGCCAAGAGCATATTTCCAGCCAGCCTTGGGAGTGTGGCTTGCATATTCAGCGTTATTGATGGCAGACATCTGGGCAAAATGAGCGTACTACCGGCCGCAAGATGGCTCACTGTCATGAACTAGCCTGTGACTATTACCACAAGGAGAATAAACGCCGGAACATGGCGCTTGTAGTCACACTGAAGCGGAGAGGTTTCTAGAGGGCCTCGCCAGACGGCCAAAAGTGGCTGGCCACCGACTTAGCTGAATGGAAGTAGGAGGGTCGTGATAGTGGTAAGGCTGCCTGTTCAAGCGACGGTCTAGGCTTCCGCAACCATGGTCAAGGCGACGCCACAACACTCAGTGGAACCATTCATGCACCAATTGATGGAGCAATTGAGTTCCAGAAGCCCCTAGGCATACAGGTTGATATCCAGTGAACGGATGGTCCATGTTGCCGTGTGGGTCACTAGATCGTTATCTGAAGCTGTAATATCTCGATAGCTGCTTTCTGAGTGATATCGATGCACGGCCGGTAGGACACGTATGGTGACTGGTTTATGACGGTAATATTACGGTTCTTCTAGGATGTTATGTTCGGGAGGGCACTCTGTCGGCAAATCGCACGAAGGCAGAAGCTTGCCAATTCTTGTTTACCACAAGCAGCTTGACAGCCGTGTATCAATCAACCCAGCATGATCATTAGCGGTCGGTATTGATTGATGGTAGAATAAGGCTGTCAGCTTCTGAAGTACGCCACAAGCCACACGACCCGAATTGGAATGGTTGGTTCCCAATGGGGCAGTTTCCACGTTGACTTGCATATTTTAGCCGACGCAGTCAACAGGGGTCCATCCCGTGCGACAGAAGTCTAGACCTGGGTCCATGCAACGGTCCAGCTAGCCACGTCAATGCAGTTGCTTAGTCGGATACTTAGTGTTACTCCAACAGTCGCAAGTGGACGTTGTACCCTCAAAGCCTCTTATCAGTATCCTGCATACATATCACATCTATGGGAAGAATAGTCGGATTCTTACCTCCGCGTGATGGTGCACTCATTCCTCACAGGTGTTCCTTCTTGAGGCCACAAGAGGCTGGTCTATGCACTCCATCGATCCATTACACGTCAATTGGGAAGCATTCGTCTAGTTTAGCAAAATCGCGCCATAGCGAACGAATCAGAGCGTGACAAGCTCCCGCATGGATGGGAGCTCGAGGTCCATGGCTTGAACACTGCTCAGCTGAGAGGCCCCGGAACACTGGAATTGCTGTCGTGCCAAGGACTTCAGGGTCCCTCGATAAGCGTCCTGGAGAAGGGGTGGGCTGGGGACTATTGTTCGAACGTGCAGAAAGCTTGCCTAAATGCTCGCTGCTCAACCCACTCGGAGACAAAATGTTTCAGATGACTTCGAGTAACACATTCAAGGTTGCAACCCTCGAAAATTGCGGCCGTGCACGATCGCTTCCACTTTGGGAGGCTTCAGTACTCCATCGACACGGTTCGGGATCGCCCCAAGCGACAAGGCCCCCGTTTCTCTTCTGCAATGCGCCCGGCTCTGGGTTGTGTGAATGTTCTCAATGTTTCGTTACTCATATATCCTCGAAGAAGAAGACACGGCGGCTGCCAGGCTTCAATGAATAAGCAGCAGTCCTAAGGCAAGCATGTGGTGATGAGATGCGTTCAAGTACTTGACTAAATGTCGAAGGTGTGTGATTTCTTGCATGTCTAGTGATCCTTCGATGATCGAAGATGATATTGCGCACTGCTGCCAATGAAAGCCTGATGTTGTCAAAGTCTGATATTTTGACTCGGAAACATAATTAGATCGTGCATGAAACCCTTGTTCATTCGGGGTACACCTTACTCACATCTTCGACGTCCTGCATAGAAAATCTCGCTTAGATCAAGACTGTGGATATGAAGCCAAGCTTAGTCTACACAGGATCAATAAGTATCGGGTTTGACCTTCATAATGCAAGACTTAAAGTTCGGCAAGCGCGATCATGGTGCACTTGTCAATAGAAACTTGGAGTACAGCCGCTATGAAAGCAGAGGCGAGATCCAATCAAGCTTTTGATTTATCAGTACATAATGTAGGCTCATCTGTCACAGTCAAGGATTCTATAGCTGGCTGTTCAGAGCATTGACTCGTCCTGCTTGATGACTGCTTCATGCTGCATTTCTGGATCTTACCCTTCGTGCCGCGTTTCGATCGAGCTCCTCCCACCGAGACCTGAGGAGCCTCTCTGACCCATCTGGCCACAGCCTCTGCTCTGCCGCTTCCTGAAGGATGTTCTTTGGCGTACTGCTGCGACCATCTGTCGTCCTCGGACTCACTGTGGAACGTCGGATTTTGGTTTGAGGTTTCGGACTCTTGAGTATTCGCCCTCATCGCGGCCTGGAAGCTCGCCTCATCGTGTACCCTTTCATCAGCTAGAGCTTCAAGAATCGCTTCGTGCCTTCGCTGTTCTCTCATTTCCTCTGGTGTCTTTTGATGTGAGACTGCACCATTTTGATTTGGCAAGGGCGGTGGAGAACAGAGATTCTCCCATGACTGGCCGAGGTCGATCCAATTCGCCGTCTTCTGTAGGATCTGAATCCAGTCTGAACGACTTGGCGACCTTGCTGTGAGAAAGATAGGGTATCCTTCACAGATTCGAGCAAGCCGAGCTACCATATGAGCGTGGCGGAGTATTTGCTTTGGTGGAGTCTGAATGAGCGAATGGCAGAGGAGAACAGCGTGAAGTACTTCGACCACCAATGGGTGGTACGTCAAAAGCTCCTCGTCCTCGATTGGAGGGCGGAACATATCCTCTTTCACTTGTTGCGCCGCTGCTTTGCGGGTGACGGGCGCTTTCTCTGTCGATGGATAGGGCGGAATGTCTGCTGGTAACGAAATCGAAAAGAGTTCAGAAGCTGAGTACACTTTGCTTTGACGGAAAGTCGACTGTGGTTGGTGTGGGTTTAAATCAGGCCTGGCGCTTAGTTGCACATCAGACTGATCTCTATACTTGAAGGTGGAGGGGTCTCGAACTGACGACAGCTGTGTCTCTGATTCTTCACCAAGCCCACCGTCCGCAGAGATGGCAGCGCTTTCATGCGAAGAGCGCGTTTTGTGCTGACCCGATAAGCTGTCGAAAGAGTCCACTGTTGATAGAGCTGTATATTCCAAATGAGACAGGAATTCGAGATAGTCTTTTAAAGCGCGTTTGGCATTGATCTTCACAGACCTCTGTGCCTCAATCTGACGCTCATCCAATTCTGTTTGAAGTCTCTCTCCATTACCACCATGAGTGCCATTTGTATTGTTTTGCAGAGGCGTATCAAGTGCGACGTGGATCCTTTGACATGCGAGTGTCAGATATACGCCACCGCGATGAAAGAGTAATTGAGGCTCAAGGCTACTCAATCGCTCTACATCCTTTTTTATCGCTGCTCTGTCTGGATCCTGCCTTCTACGACCCTGTACATGCCCCACGACCGTCGAATGCTCGGCGGGGCGAGTTTTCCAGCCGTGTAACGGCGCAACATTGCGGTAGATTCGGAGGGCTGCCGTAAGATCTTCTAGAGCGCTCTGATATTCCTCCATGAACAGCTTGGTAACAGCTCTTGTTCTCAACGGTGCTGCCTCCAAAGGTTGATCCTCTATCACTTCATCGAGTGCCTGAAGACTTGTACATTGAGCGAGCATTCGTGACGGAATCTTCTCATGAAAGAAATGCACGTATTTGGCATGACTATCTTCTGGGTTTCGCTGTAACACAAGATTGGCGACATCCTCCAGAGATGATGTGCCCTGCATTGTAGCTACACTGGCTGCGATCTCTTCTAAGTAATATGCCTGCGACAGCTTGCGCGTCGCCAGATCCCGCATCCGATGTTTGCGTTCCCGACTCAATTTGATATTTGTCCCCCCTATACCGCCAAAGCCTAACGCTGCTGCGCTCCCGTAAAGCCCACTGTCAGAATTATGAGAACCCCCAGAGGCAGTACCGTTGGCTGCCCTGATTGAAAGATCTGTGGCGTCGTCGATCAGCTGACGTATTTTAACCATATCGAAGAAGATGGCAGGATCAATCGGCCGAGGACGTGGACAATTGTAGTTGGCGTAAGCCATGGACTCTAATATTTCTATGGGCAATTGAAGCCATGGTCCATGAAAGCAGGATATATCTGTAACGGTATTAGATTGAGAAAGCTCAGATGCGAGGACAAATACATCTCCAATGCTTGTTGCGACAGATGATCAATGAAGAACTTGCAGGCTTCTGTCCCTTCGCCGACCCAGCGCTATCGGCATTCATGGAATGTGATGAGTCCGGCGAGACTACCTCAGTTGACTTGAGGTGCCCATTACAAGTTTTGGAACCGTCTCCATTGCTGCTTTTCTTCTTCGTCATTGTGAGTGTCCGAATTCCACTTGAGCGGCTGGTAGTCTGTGGGCCGCTATGAAAATATCGAACGTGCTTCTTCCAGGTCTTTGTGCGCACCAGACGTGTAGATATACATGTGTGCAGACTGAGTATGCATGCAACTTCGTACTCTCAGGACGTAGGATGAGTGTAGTATTGTCAACACGATGCAGTCGCGGGATAATGGAAATTGGTTGTTTTTCATGCGGGTAACTGCGTCAAGCCGCAAACCTTAGACAAGCTTTTGTGACCCTTACGAACCTTAATCACCCTCCCTGTGAGGACGGCAGACAGAAGTCTACGTAGCTGTGACTGGATCTACTGCGCAAGAACGCGATCCTTTTGAATTGGAGGTAGAATTGATATATGAGTCGCGAGAGCTCAGACTTGCCTTTACTACATCACGGTGCTGTATATACGTCCTTGACTCGCTGTTTCACTGCTTCGCCTCTCATGGAACCAAAACCCGTGAGAACAGCTATCGGTGGTAAGCATCGCTGTTGCGGTTTGCAGTCACTCAGTAGTATCTGATCATCATCATCGCCCATTGCTGTACTACCTAGTGCTCCTCCGATACCAGCTGGGTGCCTTTCTTCTTTCCTGTCTCCATTCTAGCGGTCCTCGCACCAAATTGTATGGCTCGCTTCTTCTCGCCCGCGGCAACGCGAACTCCAAGTTGCCAGGCAAGAAGCCGCAGAATCTTCTTACTAGGGTCCAACGAGGGTTTTGCTCCGCGATCCTGCCCAAAGCCGCATTTGTGAGAGATGGGTGCTTTCAGAGCCCATGTTACCACATCTTCATCCAAGTAGGGGTACCTGACCTCCTTCCCCCAGTGTGAAATGATGCGGTCATCCCTACCTAGATTGCGCTTGCCAATCCTTTTAAAATCAAGCTCCAATTCGTCAGCGAGGCCTGAATGGCCGCGTCGATCATATGCAGTCGCATGTCGTTGATAACCACCAAATAGTTCGTCAGCTCCCAAACCAGAAAGAAGGACTTTGGCAGGTGTGGTGAAGAAGACGTCTGAGCCATGTTCTGTCGCGATAAGCCCGCAGCCTCGGCTTGCAAAGTAAAGGGCGTAGCCTATCGATAGATCCATTTCAGTGTTATGTGGTAGAAGCAACGTCAGTACTGTAGATCTGTGAGAGAAGGTCTCTGAGTATGGTATGTTGATTGCGACAAAGCGCCACTTTCGAGATGGGCAGACTTTGCGCAACTCCTCGTAAGACGAGCGTCCAGTCAGGCGATCCGGACAACGCTCATAAACCGAGTAGGAATTGGACGTTGCACTGTCAGATTTGTTAGCTGCTTCAACTACCCTGGGGTTCTCGAATGCCACATTGAGAAGGTCGATTTCAATTTGAGAAGGAAGTACATCATGAGCGATGCGTGCAATTAGCGTACAGTCAAGGCCGCCAGAGAATAGAATTGCTATTTGTTGCCGAGGAATTCCCATAAGATCAGTTACCGGAATCGAGGACAGTCGGATTGTAATAGATGTACGCAGGTGTCTGAAGAGATCTTCGACGGCCGGAGAATCAAGGTCTAAAATTGCATTGAAGGGCGGCTCCTTGTTGAGAGTTGGAAAGGGTGACTATTTTGGGCAATCAGACATTCGGCCCGAGAGCTTCGAGAGTGCTTACTTCTTGGTTGCCTACTAAGTTCAGAGACTCATCATAAGGCCAGGATATATGCAAAGCTGGCAGCAGTCCCACCTGATTCTTATCGTTTGCTGATTTGACCCGAGCGCCTGGAGCAAGATCGACAACGTAAATACCATCTGCTTCCACCTCATGAAAGTCCATGTCCTTACTACCATCAGAGACGCTCGAAAGCTCTAGGAGGCCATGAGAAGGCCGTCTCGTCAACAGTGACCGCCTTCCCAAGCAATCTCGCCCATAGAAGAGGAGTCGGTTAGAACTGTCGTAGAAAACGAAGGCGTAGGGACCAGATACTCTACTCAATACAGCCACCACAGTGTGAAAGACAGGATTTGATGCATTGCATCGTGAATGAGTAGAAGCATCTGCAGACCTTACGGCCGCAAATAGATGTCTACCTATGAACTCTGCGTCATTCGTTTGCACTAATTCAGCGTCGTACTTCCACGCCTCGCCATTCCATAGGAGGAAAGATGATTGTGGATCATGTTCCTTGATTGGCTGCTCGGTGATCGCAGTCCCACGAATGGCGAGCACGCTTGATACTGCATTCAACGTGCACGGACATTCTTCACTTTGAAGGGTTATTGAAGACGTCTGAAGACTATCTGGGCCTCTTTTCGTTAAATATTCCAGAAGAGTGACGGAAGGATGGGTGGCAGGTGGACGACCACAAGAAAGGAAGATCCCACACATACCATGTCTGGTAGAACACAATCAGGGGCAAATGTCTGCTTCAAGCAATCTCGTAATGCCTAGAGGCCCAAAAGGGTGGCATTTACTAGCGGGAGAGGCGCGGCCCGGGCGAGGTGTGAGCTAAAGACTGCTTTAGCTTTCGATATTGCAGGGTCAGGTGCAGCGTCTCAGATTCCAGCCATTGTGTGTGCTTTACAGAGTATCACTCTATATTCCATCCTAAATGACGTGGAGACTTCGTTATCGCTCGTTCACAGAGATGTCTAGATCGGAGAGAACGGTTGCTTAGCAAAAGAGCCGCCCAGCTTCGCTCGAGTTCAGTGTCAAGAGATTCACATCATGGATGCAGCGCATGCTACCATCACAACCAACGCGTTCCACGACCCGGCCAGCAAGTCGTTTGGTAACGCAAGTGGACAAAGTGCCCAGGCAGGAATAGCAGACAGTACTGGCTTGGATTCGGAGACAGCAAGAGATGTCGAAGGAGGACTACAAGACGTTGTTGAAGATGGAGGTGGCTCAGTAAATACTGAGTCGCCCAAGATAGGCACATCAAAAAGTGAGGATACATCACACGCCGAGCTACAACGGTGGAACACACTAGCAAAGGATTTCCGCGAGCTGCAAGTAGAGCCGGCCAAAATGTCGTCTGGGCCCTCCACCACCACGAACAGCGAAGATCCGCCAACAGAAGATAGCAAGCCAGAGATCTATCTAGATCCAACCCCAAAGACTCCTCGTATGTCTTCGCCTTCGCGTGCTCATGACAGTCCAGTCGAAGCCCCAGAGGAAAGCGGTCCCACACCAGAAATCCAGAACATCATGGACCAATTCGGAGATGCAGATGGATTCGAGGCCAAAGATGGTAAAATACATACGGGAAGAGCGAATGGAATGACTACAGATAGCTCAGTACAGCATCCGCCCCGGGGATCAAGTCTAGAACCTCTCATTCCAGGATTGGATGAAGCGGAATCGTTAGCAAGTCCCACAGATCGCCCGCTCACAATACCCAATTCAGAAGAATCAAATACTTCAGAATTGGTAATGCCAACACGTGTGTCGAGTCTGCCGCAGAATGCAGGCTTGCAGATGACTGGAACCAACGCATCTTCCACCCTTTCGTTGCCCAAGGCGTTGCCGCCAACACCTGATCCTGAACCAGATCTCCCCTTTGACTTCCATCGTTTTTTGGAGCAGCTACGCCATCGATCAGCGGATCCAGTGGCTAGATATCTACGATCTTTTCTCACTGAATTCGGCAAAAAGCAATGGATGGCGCATGAACAAGTAAAATTTATCCAAGACTTTCTAGCATTCATTGCCAATAAGATGGCACAGTGTGAGGTGTGGAGAGGCGTCTCTGATGCAGAATTTGATAATGCAAGAGAAGGGATGGAAAAACTTGTTATGAACAGATTGTATTCCCAGACCTTCTCCCCCGCCATCGCCCCTACAGCCACTTCCGTAGGCAAAGGCAAAAAGAAGGACCTGGAGAAGCTGCTGGGACATGGCAGACGAGGTCAACATCAAGAAGATATTGAGCGCGATGACATCTTGAGCCAGAAGGTCAGTATTTACAGCTGGGTCCAGGAAGAACATCTTGATATCAAATCCGTTGGGCCTAGCGGAAAGCGTCTTCTTGATCTTGCGCAACAAGGTATTTCCTACCAAAAGATGTCCACGATGGACATACTAACCTACAGCAGAGCTTTTGAAAATTAAGAATTACCGAGCCCCTCGAGATAAAATAATATGTGTGCTTAATTGCTGTAAGGTCATTTTTGGTAAGTTCGATATTGAATGGAGTCTGGTCATAGGACACTGCTGATCTATGAAGGATTACTTCGCAATTCCCAATCTTCCGATACATCTGCGGATGCCTTTGTACCACTACTCATTTTTGTTGTACTTCATGCAAACCCGGAGCATCTTGTCTCAAACGTGCAATACATTCTTCGATTCCGCAACCAAGACAAACTTGGTGGAGAAGCTGGTTACTATCTTTCCTCACTGGTAAGTGTAGATGTTGAGTGAAGGTCCCAAGCTGACGTGTACAAGATGGGGGCAATTCAATTTATTGAGAACCTGGATAGGACGTCCCTGACAGTCTCAGACGAAGAATTCGAGAAGAGAGTAGAGGAAGCAGTCTCAGTCATCACCGAGCGTCATCAGCAAGCATCTGTGCCGAATACGCTAACTTTCCAGCCCACAAATCATGTCCAGATCTCCGAAAAAGGCACGATCAGCCAGCCTCAAGTAGCTAGAAATTCCATTGAGGCAGAAAGCCGGTCGCCAAGAGTTTCTGGCAACAGCAACTTGGCTGGCAATGGCCAACCAGTCGAAGAGAAAAACCCCATGAATGGACTTCTAAAAACGATCCAACGCCCACTCTCGAGCTTAGGAAAGATTTTGACTGATGAGTCTTCTAATAAAGTCAACCCCAAGCCCCAAGCCCCACCACAACCACCACGTCGGCTTTCGCCTGCAATGTTCCAACCACCCCGTCATAGTGAAGAGCACGAGCGGCCGAGTCCGCAGTTTTCAGCGGCTGAGCAGACGAGCCTGAGCCAGTCAAAAACTCTAAGGGCAGAGGATGCAGCTGCTCGACAAGCCAGTGCTGAAGCAGCTGAGGCGCAGCGAATACAACAGGCAGAGCACAATAACGTGGTTGAGTAAGCGACCAGATACTGTACACATGTATCGCGCTGATGCGTGCCACTAGAACTCTGGCTGGGATGTTCCCAAACCTTGATAAGGATGTTATAGACGACGTTGTAAGAGTGAAGCAGGGCAGGTACAGTAGATGCTCCGGTGCTCGCCCGTTCAGGCTGACAAGGATGGCTAGGGTCGGTCTCGCGGTAGACGCGTGCCTTGCACTCAATACATGATGCTACCTCAATATACTCCTTGCCCAGATCGGAGACAGCATGGATCAAATTTCGCCTTGTCAGAAAATTCGACTGGCACACCGACACAATTTCATGCGATAACTCTAGCGTCCATCGCGACTTCCGTTAAGCAAAACGTTCGCAGTCCAGCAATACCAAATTTCCCGTGTCGACTCAGAGGACCACGAATCTACGCCTTCGATGGGTATCATTGGATAATATTCTAATCAATAGCCCTTCATGCATCCCTAGGCTCAGCAGTGATCGCTCCTTATCTCAATTGGTACAGACTGCCAGCCTATTTCATGATTGCGACGCATGAAAACTGAAGGTTGCAGGCTTACTTCAAACTTGAAGTGCCTTACGGGTGCAATATAGCAGACTTTAGCTGTCATCCTAATCTGTGGACGCGTTCTTGAATATCAATACAGGAACAGCGTGAAGCGCAACCACGGCTTTGAACTTCATTGGAGCTTTAAAGTCGACTCATCATGGTATCAGCAAGGCGTCTTATGGGGCTTCTCAAAGCCTTGGCGAAGACTTCTGTCGTGGCTCTCACATCCTCGCAATCCATGGGCAAAGGATTGAGTCAGCAATCCATTTCGCTTAACGATCAGTCCCAAGGCTTACATGGTAAACCTACGATGCATTCGTTGCCACACTCCAACGAGACTATACGTACAACTTTTGAAGCCGTCGACATACCGCCCACAGCCGCGAGTAGCTATTCGAATGGGCTGAAGAGCTCGGGGCTGCAATCTTGCATCGACAATACAAATTGCATCCCCATCTACATGCCTGGATTTTATCTAGTTCCGACGGTGCCTCAAGAACTCAGAAACGATGGCTCGGAAGACTCCAAACTTAAATTTGACATTCAAACCACAGGACTTACAATACCATGGAACCGTTCTCAAACAGCAATATCAATCCCTGGAAAAGATGCTGATCCCAAATTCCGGTTGGGGAGTGACAAAGCAAACCAGACGGATCAAGCTGATGCAAAACAGCCTCAAGACGAAAAGAAAATGGGATTTCTAAAGCGGTTCTTCTCTCCTCATGGATGGTGCATGGATAATGTCTGCCATGATCCCAAGTGGCTTAACACGACGTGTAACCTCACTTCAATCGAATTTATGAGGTTACCAGGAAATACCAGGAACGAATGCTTGTGGTGTTTTCCCCATCCCAAGGAGACAGCGCTTAAAGCTCATTGTAAGAATGTTGGCGACAGCATGGAGAAAGCATTGTATGGAGCGCTTGGGGCACTTGGAGGGTTGGCAATGGTCAGCCTAGTCCTAATATTCTTGACGCAGTAGAGGCTGAGAACGAGCCGGAACAAGGAATGTCCTCTTTGCATAGAGGGGTTCGGTCAGGCATGACCATTATACGAATATACGGTGGCTTGAAACAAAAGGGGAAAGTGCTTGACGCAAAGAGGTTTTTAGAGTTCTGAAAGAGTTGTATTGTTGTGGAAGTTATAGACATGCCGAGGACGGTAGATGAATGGGATCCTTATGTGCAAAGTGTGTTGTGCGTGATAAGGTCAATGACACAACAATCCCAATGACTTAGCGAAGCCCAACCTAGATAATCTCCTGTGGCGTGATCAGGCGTGAATCTTGCATATAACAATCCAGTAATACCTCGACGCCCTTTTCTCCCTCCAAGCCCATACTTGTCTCAATCCAATGGCGACGTAGGTCCGCCCCTCTCCTGCCCGCCCTGCCCCGCCCCCACCCGCTCACCCTCCCGCAGCAACATAACATACCACCCATCCACCGTCACCTACCCCGAGCGCACCTCCCTCCGCAAACAAAAAGGTTTCACCCTCTGGTTCACAGGCCTCTCCGCGTCAGGCAAATCCACCATCGCCAACGCGCTCGAGCAAACCCTGCTGAAGCGCGGGCTTGCCGCGTACCGGCTCGATGGCGACAACATCCGCTTTGGATTGAACAAGGACCTGGGCTTCTCGGAGAGGGATCGGAATGAGAATATTCGGCGGATCGCTGAGGTGGGTTTATCCTGTCCGGAAAGCAGCACACACCGGGTGGGGAGCTGGGTAGAGGACGAAGGAAGAGAGGGGTGGGGTGGGGTGGCAGAGGTGCTGACTTCAACTATGTGGGGAAGTATAGGTGGCGCTGCTCTTCGCAGACTCCTGCACAATAGCAATAACGTCCTTCATATCGCCCTACCGCTCCGATCGCGACGCCGCGCGCGCTTTACACGCCTCCCCACCCTCGCATCCGACGCAGTCGCTTCCGTTTCTTGAGATCTATGTGCATGTGCCGATTGAGGTTGCGGAGGCGAGGGATCCGAAGGGGCTTTATAAGAAGGCGAGGACGGGCGAGATTAAGGAGTTCACGGGTGTAAGTGCGCCGTATGAGGAGCCTGTGGATGCGGAGGTTGTGGTGAGGAGTGGGGAGGAGAGTGTGGAGGAGGCTGTGGGGAGGATTGTGGGGGTGCTGGAGGAGAGGGGGTTGCTGAGTTTTGAGGGGGAGGAGGGGAAGGAGGGCGGGACGTGAAGGGGGGTGAAGGTAGAAGGAAGGCGATGGGCGGACGAGGCAGGTTTGGAGAGCATCAAAGAGTTGCTAAGGTCGAAGCACGAGGGGTTTGTCCCCGTCATTGTATCTCAATTTCGTAGCATACATACGCTGAATAGTCGCCTCCATCGCCCATGTGACCAGCTGCCTGCATGTCAGCAGACATGGCCGAGTCGTCCTTCACTATTCTCCCCTTCTTATCTCTGCCGAAGGCGTTGCCTCCGAGGTGTGAATATGCAACATCGAGTGATGCCTTTGCTTTTTTGAATAGCTTTGGCGTCGTCTTGAAAACGGGGATTAGCATTGACATGTTCGCAGAAAGGTCTTTTGTTTACGTACCCTGACCAATCCACACACGAAATTGAGAGGGAGTCCGTATCTCAAGACCGTCTCCACGAAGACTCTCAATGCCAGCACATGTACCCAAGCCATGACGGCTTCCCCCCACGCCGTCCGTCCCAGCCGTAATGCCTCATTTCTGACCTTACTCTCATCCTTTCGGACCTTTTCCACCTCTTTCTGCTCCTCCTCCCGCCCACCATCCTTGAACTTGAAGTCTCGAGGCGTCCATTTATGTTCCCTGCATTTGTGTACGAATTCTGGACTGTTTTTCCGGAATGTTACGACTGCGTATAGAGAGAACTCATCATCCGAGTCAATCAACTGGGCCGAGCGGGGTACAACTTTGGGTGATAATCTTTCGTAGCTCTTCAGGAAATCTTTGATCAGCTGTTTGGGAACGGCGATGAGGTGTGTCTCGAGGTATTCGGAGTCTTGGATGATCTTAGAAGAATCGACGACGTTGGAGAGGGATTTGTTTGATAGGTTGCCTCTAGCCAAAAGTGTCAGCCAGCCGGAAGATGCGCCATCTGAAAACCTAAGCTCCTACGATTGTTTCTTTTCGAGATTCGCAAGAGATGTCTTGAGCTGATTGTATTGGTTGTATTTATTTCTGACGTCGTTGTCTATGCTCTGGATCTCCTACTTCCACCATTCAGCTGCTCAGGCCTCCTAATCTAGCCTGACGATAGTCACCTTTTGAAAAGTATCAACGAGTTCGCCCAAGGGTTTGTCTGCCCTGTATTTGACCTTGTTCCAGTGGAAAGATTTGAGATAGGCATCAGCAGGTTCTAAGCTATGTCAGCGGGGTGTTTGGTGGGCGCGTTGCAAGTGACAGACTATCATTGACGGTTTTGAGCTGCGCTATCTTTTCCTCGTCCCCGCCAAGTATGCTCCTCAATGAATCTCCAACTTTGTTCACGACACCTTCACATGCTCCTTCAAGCTTGGCAAAATCGTCGGCTTGCTGTACGAGAGCATCTAGAGAGCCGATCTTGAATTCTGGGATTGGGAAAGGGAAGACGGAGCCGTAGTCATTCGTAACGGAGGAGCGGAGAGCTGTCAAAGCTTCATCGTGATCACCTGAAGGTGATATTGAAGTTGGTAGAGAGATCAATAGGTATTTGATACCTTTAGACATCCTTACAAGGTGGACATCTATATTTGGGGGGAGCAATACTTCCGCTCACTCTAAATATCTGATCAAAAACGGAAGGGCGAGGCGCACTTCAAAGTCTTGGCGCTCGGGCCTTTCACGGTCTAAACTCCGAGGGCTGTCCTCCCAGAACCGGGCGAGCCCAAAGAACTTTCATCGTGGTCAAGCTCTTTTCAACAGGGAGACCCTATTTCGTGACGGAATCAGTTGTCTGATTTGCGACTAGGATCAGGTATTGCCGAACTTGATTAATTGGTTGCATACACTCTTTTGCGTGCGGATCGTGTTACCCTCCCTTAGCCCTGCTCGTCCAGGAATTTCCTGCCTATAAATAAATCATCCTACAAGGCTGAATGGCGATTCTTCTTCTACGAAAGACTTCATCATGAGCGTCATTCATTGCCATCCCATCCAGTGTTATTTGCTAGCATTCCGTCGCAAAATATTGTTGCCATTTTTTGAAAAAGGTCAGAAAATACCCACTGGTTTTGTCTTAAGACTTTTGAGACTGTTTGCACGCAATGTCAGCGCCTGAGACCTGGGATGTATTGAACTTCACCTTTTCTGAGCATTGGTCAGATTATAATTCCACTCATCTATCATCCAGTACTATCTATGGCCTCCAAAACGCTCTGAGTCCTAGTACAGGGTTCCAGGTGCCGTTCTACTCTGAGTATCACAAGTTATATATCTTCTGGGAGCATTGCTCCGGAAGCACTTCTTCCTGTTTCAGCCATTGCAACAACTCGAAGGAAATATTCTCGTCCCTACCTAATCTGCACAACTGCGTAATTGGCATGTTGTTGAAGCATTTTGCTACTTCTGACTCTCGTCCATCCTCGTATTCGAATGAAACTGGTCAGACCATATCGGTCCCTATCCTACCGAGTTCGACAGCTACACAACTCGGAGACCAGGTGAAGACATGCTTTGATAAAGCTTGCGAGCTCTCGACATTGTGCCTGCTCAATAGCACTTCGGATGAATTTTACAAGGAGTATGGAAGTATTTGGCAATTACAACATAAAAACTCCATCGGCAGTCTTTGTCATGCAACTAAAACTCAACTTACCCAAGATATCGGCGGAGTGGGCGTAAGTCTGCTGGAAATGGGTATGGAGATTTCTACTAAGAAAGCATAGATCTATATCTCGTACTGGATCCAAGCCAGTTTAGTCCTTCTTGCGCTAATAGGCATATTCACGTGCAAGCTGCTTCTGCCCAATCTGCACATTGTAGATGTGGAACGTTCGTATGCCTCACTAATCGCTCACAAAAGACTCTCAAGGCTTGTCCTGGCTTTGACCGACTTTCACAAGGCCCAGTGCTATTTCGTTGTAGCAACAAACATAGCCGCAATAGTCATCACCACGACTGAAGGTTTCAAACCGGACACCCTGCAGCAGATCTACAACAACTACTTATTCCTCAGACTTGTTGCGGTAAGCGGGTTTCTACCCGTATCATTTACCCTCTTGTTGTTGCACATAGTCCAGATGACATCGTGGTATCTGATCTTGCTCACTTTCATAGCAGTCACTACGGCTCTTGGTACACTGATCTTAGTCGGCATTTTCAATGTAACCGCAGAGGATAGCAACTTCCTAGCCACTAAAGCCTTATCAGGAGGTCCGGAGGAGTGTGGTGGGTTTCAACCTTGGCTTTGGTGCTTTGAAACTGTTGGTAGTGCTGGAGAGAAGGGTGTAGCCGGTCTCGAGAAACCGGCGTACAACACTTTTGCCTTTTGCCTTCTGGTCATATTTATGGTCGTGTTACGCAAATTTGGACTGACACATCCGGGCAAGCGATTGAGAGATTCCATGGGTCACGCCCAAAACCACGCTCGAAATTTTGTACAAAAAAAATTACGGCCAGCCACTGATACGATTTATCGAATTTATATCTCAGTCCGGCACTCTCTGCCTGAGCAAATTGCCAGTCTACTTGAAGCGAGATATGGCAGTCTAGACGGGGACTCGCAGTTGGACAAGGCCGTCGTACAACGTCTTACGACACTGAGCTCTTCCGAAACATTCTGGATCATATTTGAAACCGTCATTTATCTTGTCTTGATAATTGTATATCTTGTGTTCTTCAACACATTCCTGCGTGAGCTTGCCTGGTTCCACAAGCACAATATTTACGACACTAGTTGGAGCTTCGGACAGCTTGTCGCGATCTTTGTTTGGGCTCCCGCACTAGGGGAGTATGCACATTTGGAGTTGAGAGGTATGAAGCGTGGAATGGAACACAAACTTCTACCCCCATACCGGATAGTGGGCCGAGAACGTGAAGACACGAGCGACGAACGGGGTTCAAGCGCACAATCAGGAGATGTCAGAGCAGATTATGTCGGTACAGATAATCGCCATACCCAAGAAGTGGGTACCGAAGAATTTACTACACGGATACCAGAAAGGGACTCAGGCCGTCGGGATATCGAGAACCCCGAGACGCCGGTGACGTGGCAGGATGACTTACCATGGGTGTTTCCTGAACTGCGAGACTTGTAATATCGCAAGTCTTGATCCAACAAGTGTACGGTAATCTCTCTCGTGACTTCTCATGTGATGATCACTGCGAGTGCAACAGCAGAAGATTTGGGTAATGAATTACCTACGACACCGTCAAAGGCGATGTAGCAAAAGAAAGGCCATACAGATACAGCGTTTCATTTAAGAAAGTATTTCTCTCAAGCCTCCTTCGAAAGCAGCCCCTACCAAAAAGCTGATTCTTTCAGAGACGCTTTGCTGTGGGTATCCAGCAACCTTGAGAGTCGGAAAATTCCATTGTGTACAAAATATGGAGTTCTTGTACTCAAGATCAGGAGCATAATACACTAGGCTGCAGTCATCTCACTGTGCTAATTGAGCTCAAGCTAACATCATCCTCTCTGTCAAGTATGCTTGTTGCTATCTTCGGGTAGCAACCAAGAGTACCAACCTAAAGGTTAACATTTGCATCCGGCGTCTGGATCCGTCTGAACTTTTGCTCGCACCCAATGCATACATAACCTTTCGACCTCGCAACTTGCTACTATTCAAGAATGCTTCCCTTCAATTAGTGAGGACGCGGGGAGTTTTTGACCCGAGCATTCATGGCTTATATTTCTGCAAGTCAGCGCCATCAGCGCGATTATCCTCGATAAGAGGAATACCCTCCTTTTCCACCGTCTTCGACACCGCAGCACGCTTTGTGACTTCAAGCACGAGCTTCGTATACTTCGGATACGCCCCCTTCATATCCAATCTCAGCATGTGTCCCCAACGATAGATCACGTAGAGAAAAACATCGACCGCCGTAAATGCATTTCCCACAGCATACACTCCAGTCAACCGTTCCTCGACATCCGAAAAACACTGTTCAATGAAGGCGTAAGAGCTGCGACGAATAGGATCAAACGCAATCTCATCGTCGGCAAATCGATGCGGTCCGAAAAAGCTGCCGAATCCACGCTCGTGGAAGGTGCCTGAGAGCCAGTTGAACCACTCGTATGAGCGGACGATTTCGAGATCATCAGATCCGAGAAGATGATGGTCAGGCGCCATTTGCGAGATCTTTGTCGAGATGGCTACGGTTTCAGTGATGACGGTGCCGTCGTCTAGGATTAAGATTGGAAGGCGCTTCTTGGGGTTGATCTCTTTGTATTTCTCTGGGAATCCGAGTTCTTTGACGATGTCGACGATGACGAGCTCGAAATCGGCGTTGATCTCGTTGAGGAGGATGTGGGGGAGTAGCGAGCATGCGCCTGGAGAGACCCATAGTTGGACCATCGCGATAGATGTGGTGCTTAGATGGAAGATTGTTTTGCGTCAGTTGGACAGTGGAAAGATTTAGCTTTGCTTGTTGAATGAGGAAGCTCGAGTGAAGTACTGCCTTGCGAACTCGCTTTATGTCTGTGAATTTGTGATTGCAGATTGAGCGGGGTCGTCGCCGAATGTTTCCTTTATGAGATTGGCGAGGACTGAGACTAGCCGAAAAGGTAATTAACGAACACACTCAGCAAGGTTTGGTCGAAATTTGTGAATTGCTTATTGGTGCATAGGCAGACTTTATACTCTTCGTTTCAACGTAGGAGTGCTTACTAAATCCCGACGTTCAGATCCTGTTGAGCGTCTTTGCGAAGCTTCGGGCTAGGTAATCACCACATCTGCACGGCTTTGTTTGAACATGCGCGGACCAACAACGAGGAATCCTTGAACATCGACTCTGATCTTTTCTGAACGTTGTCAATGTAGTTGTGCTGAACCCTTTTCTCCGTTATACATCCATCTCCGTAGTACCCGCATCTTCGTTATGCTGCCATCTCCCTAGCACCGCAACGTCCGCAGTACCATCAGTCCGTAATATCAGTATCTCCGTATTGCATCCAAAGCAAGCACGAAAGACGATTCCTTAGCGTACCCGCCTCTAATACTGACTCTTGTGGATCTTTGCCTGTTCGAGGATGCCAGTCCTCAATTCTTTTCTAGGCGCAATTGACAATTTGGCTGAAAGGATCTTGGGACTCGTGCCTTTTGCTTCGAACCTCTGCGATCTACTATGGCTAAGGGTTTGCTAAACCGCCAGTGGTGTGGATCATTAGCGTGTCTGCAATTTGTAGGGGCGGGTTGCGGCAAGGGGGGACATTGAAAGATAGATCCATTTTTATATACTCAATGCGATTGCCACGCAGCTAATAGTTTTTGTGGTCCCTCCATTAACCTGACTTAGCAAGATTCGGGTCTTATCAAGCCTCTTGCGAAGGAGACTTAAATGAAAACCTACTATGCTAGACGCAAATAAGAATTTTTCGAGTCATAGTAATGTGGCTGCCACAACTTCAAAGACGCAATTGTAGGATACTATAATCTTAAAGGCCTATTTAAAGTGCTGTCCCTCCGATTTTATCCCTTTTTTTTGTTTTCCCCTGGCCTTGGCCACCACAATGAAGTCGCGGTTTGCGCGAGGGTTCCAGTGTGAAGTTCCAGAGGGCTTAAAATGGTCTTTTCGAGGGTGAGAATGGTCAACGAACTTCACCTGATGCAGATACAAGATTTCATCTGGACCATTCGAAGGCCGCACCTGGGCCAGTCTTGACGGTGAGGAAGTTCTTTTTAGCTCGGACCATCGACCTCGTCTTAGATGTCTGTACTTTCACCATCTGTTTTGTTGTCACCGTGCAGCGTGGGAAAGTAGCAAGGAAGACTGGGAAGTCAAAGGCGATACCATCATAGATCATTTTGGTGCCCAGTAGGGCACAGCAGGCCGCTACATACGCCGATGCTTTCTTCGAGGCTTTGTTTTGGAGATTGGTCACCAGCACGAATACTTGCTGAACCATGCCATCAGTGACAGAGAAGAGGATCCTGACCCCACGATACCGTACATAATGAAGAACACAAGCCCTGACGAGATGAGTTCGAACTGTTCAGAGGACGGGGAGGAGAGTGAGAACGAGGAAGACGATGAAGGTGAGGATGATGAGGATGAGGATGAAGAGGATGAAGAGGATGAGGAGGATGATGAGTATTTTGAAGAAGCTCGGGATACGAGCGACAGTGAACCTGATTTTATCGGGTTTCCGTAGCGCGTGTAGTAGACCAGTCAATTAGCCACGCCTGAAAAGGTGATGTATGATGGTGTCAATACAATTTCCGTGTCAAAGAACAATACAAAGGCCGATTCTCGAATTCGATTGTTTCCTGCAAAATTTAGCACTCAAAACATCTTTGCGAGGGGAGCTTTGACAGATCGAAAGCTCTTCTCCGTAGTACCACCATCACCGCAATACTGCCAACTCCGTAGCACTGCGTCCCCGTGGTACCCGCAACTCTGCAACACTACCATCCTCGTAGCTTTTGCATGAATGATCCTGGAGGACCTGAGCATACAAGGCTTCATCATGAGGTCCCGACCTAAAAAACTTTTGAGGTCGATGTGACAAAATACGTATTGCACGTCTATGAGACAGCCTGGTCGATCCGATCACACGGTCATAGTAGTCATCTCTACTGATGCTCCCGACTTTGCGTTATTGCGCGACTGACGCCAGAAATAATACGCAAATGCAACCATGGTGGATGGAACCGTGAGGATGACCCATACCCAGATCCTAGATGAGTCCTTCAGACTGTTGTCAAAGAACGGCATTGAAAGGATAGCTGCGAAAGACGTTCCTGGAAGAAACAACATTGTACATGCTGCAATCTATTGAAGAGTTTAGTATACCAATTGTTACTGACAGCGTCTAGCGATGGGAACTTACTGTTCGCATGGACAGGCTGTCCTCCTTCATGGACTCGGATAGCTTGTGTGCCTTCGTCGCTAAAAGTCGTGACACCTTGGTCTCTTCTCGTGATGCTTGCATGATGCCTTGCATCGCGGCTCCGTTCGCAACCATCAATCGGTCATTACTGAGCTGAATCCTATTGAAGAGCTGAAGCTTCCTTAGCAATCATCCATAATTCAAAGGACAGTAAACCTACCAGAGCTAGATTATTCTTGATCTTCTTCTCCAATTCTAGCTCGAACTCCATGACAGCCTTAATTTGGGAATGTATCTGTTTGAGATTGTCTTCGACTGCTCGAAACCCTGGATGCGATACACCTAATGTGCTCCCAACTATAATTGAATGCTGTGAGATTACTGCATTAGCCGTATCTTTCAAAGACTTGAGCTCCGAACAATAACGGTGAAGGTGTGCAGCCATTGCATGCAAAGCCCGGTTCATATCTTCATGCGATATTGAGGCTGCGGCTTGTGTTTCGTGGTCATTTTGAAGGTGATTCTCCTATTAGCCGATCATTAGCAGGAAGATCAAGCGCTCGAAAGGGCATGCCTTACATAGGCAATAAGTTGATCATTGATACTGCTCAGGGAATTGGTCCACCATCGCGTCACACTGATGAGATAAATTAGTTGAATGAAGAAAGGGTCGCTTTGTGTATCGTGGTTGTGGCTCCGTTCTAGGACTCCTCTGATTCTTGTCTCTGGGTCCTGGACTGTCTTCGGCCACCTCCCATCGATGAAGTTGACCGCCAGCATTGAGATTGAATTGTCTGATCTACTATATCGTAGAGAGAGAGCAATCACAGAGCCTCGGATATCAATCCCGTGATCCGGCAAATGCAGATGGTTGAAGGGATTCATCTGCTTTTGATTGGATTTGTTCGTAATATGACACTTTGTGGACTCCGAACACTTGACTTGCATCCGAATTGGAAGGAAGTACCAAATGCAGTTGCCCAGAATATCGTCGTTGGAGTAGAGGCCACACTCCCCCTGCCGGAAGGCAGAAAATAACGAGAGAGTGAGTATACAAAAGCCGAGGGTGCGTCTAAGGCGGATAAGACACGCTCCAAAGCGTTTTTCGAGATGCGGAGTTTCGCAGCGTCATCAGGTAATGTGACATTCTTACCCTTCAGAAGAAATCTATTGATGAAGCTGCGAATGAAAACGTATCAGACAGTGGAAGGTATACGCCGCTGAGAAGCCACAGGCATACAAGCAACTATATTTGTTCTTCACGCGCTCTAGCAGCTTGTTCCCCAAGATGAGTAAGCTAAGGGATTAGTCTACAAGGATTCTTGATGTGAACCAACCATTGGAGAAAAGATATGCGAGTCTTTGAGCATTACATCGCTGAGACCTACTTCGACATCGGTGACTGTTCAATTGGCCTTGCCTTGGGAGACCACGCACATCCTGAGGGTTCATCGAGTACCATAGATCGGAGACTTGTCTCCTCCGAGAGACACGAAGCAGCAAAAACATCGAATTCTGTCTCGATCTCGTTTCCATAGAAACTACCTCAAAGTCAGTAATTCTTCTGTGGGTCCTCATTTCTGGCGTGCTTCACAGATCGTTCATCGCGCCCCTGTCTGCTGATGACTGTACCACGATAGTCGAGTGGGTCAGGGTGAAAGACTGGCTGAGGCAGAAGACTTGATGAAAACGCTGGTCGGGTCGCAAACGTGGCGCAATTGAGGCTATGTGCTCTAAATAGGGAAGGTGGGGCGACGCCACCAGATGCAGCCAAGAAGAGTCATTTGAGCCCAAGTCTGCCTTGTGAGTATCGCTGTGCAGACACTCTTATTGAGGACCAGAACTGGATCATTGAAATTCGACTCTACTTCCTAAATCATGTCAAAGAAGAAGTTCCGCTACCACTCAAGCTTTGCACCTGATTGGGTGCTTCCATTGCAATCTGAAAATCCGGCGGAAGAGTCCAGCAAGAAACATGTCGACCCTCAACCTTCTCGTCCAGACTCCAAAGCAAAACCCGATCGATACAAGAAAGTGCTCCCGACAGACTGGGTAGATCAAGAAACGACTCCATCTAAACCCATCCCTCCGATACTTCCACCACTCACCAAAGAAGGTTTGAATGAATTAGGCTCACTGGAGACAGCCGAACCCAAAAGAAAGCAGCGCGACGTCCCTCTTGTCGATACCTCAATCCGCAAGACCCGTGCAAGTGGCCACACTCCACCTCCTGGTCCACGCCGCTCCACATTTGCTTCTGTTTGGGGCAGGCAACCTCCTCACTTTTCTGCAGATGAACCATCGCGTGGTGATGACGATGATAGGTCGGATCTACGATACGGGTCAAAGGCCAATTCATTCCACCCAGCCGAGTTTCAACCAGCCGCGCGCGAACAACCTATATCGCCTCCTGTCAGTGTAGGAGTATCATCGTCAGTCCTCACAACTAGTCCATACCATGGTCGAGATCTGCCAGTCAGAGGCCCTAGGATGTCTCCTTCCTACTCTGTTGTGTCGGGTTGAACATGGTGTTCGCATTCATCGAACGATGTAATCAGACACAAAGACCATTGATCAAGCTTTGGTCGTCAGGTTCTCATTTACTGAGGTAGCATCAAGTCATAATTGTTTCCAAAGACGTCGATGGCGTCCGCAGAGTGGCGAAGCACAAGGCTGACTCAACTCTCGAGCCATTTAGCCTTACTTGTGCAGCACCTTTGACAATCGGAGTACTTAGCAAGTCGTTTCCCATCTACTAAAACCATATCAGGCTTTTGGAGATCTACTTCTGGCAAAAATCTTAGTGAACTCGCTGTTGCAAGATTCTAGTCATGAGTGCTGCAACCCCGCAAGTAAGCTCGGCCAACGGGGATGGAGTTGGGCCTGATGCACCCAAAGCACCCTTCAAGCCTCGTTGGCCGAAATATTCGCCCACTCGAATCCTCAATTATGAGGCAACATCTCAAAACACTTCAGAGCCGTCGCCATTGCATATCAGCCAAGGCGAATCTCCAGTTCATGATCAACAAGAGCCGTTTGACTCGTCGTCCTCCGCCATGCAGGAAGCTGATTCCATGATGACGGGTACTTCAGAGCATTCTATTGAGAATGGCTCAAAACCTCGCACTCAAACTCTGCCGGTCCCAAAAGAGGCGCCTCTTCAACGCCCCAAAGCCTCTACCGTCTCGAGTAATGTCACCGAAGTGCCTCTACAACGACCTCAGCATTATGAAGAGGAGATTGCCTTTTCTGACATAGTGGCAACATTCGCTGTTGACGTATCTGGCAGTACAGAAGGAAGGGTACTTGAAGAAGAGAAAGACGCAATCAATTTGCTCTGCAGTGGCCTCTCTCGGGATGCTCAAAGTCAAGCGCAAATCATACCTTGGAGCCATGTAACTCATCGCGTGATTCGTCCGACTGAAATCGATAGTCTCCAACCAGGGGGTGGTACAGTTCCCAATTGTCTCAACCAGGAGACTGACTCAAGGAAAGCGCTGAGCATGTGCTCCGCTTGGTTCTTACTTACGGACGGACAAGTCGACCACCATGAGGTCCTAGACTTCTCTAAGGGCGTTTGTGAAGCAAGCCTGCATGGGACACCTTGCGTCATCATTCTATTCGGCTACAAGACTTCAAGACCTGTGCAAGCTAATGTCTCTGTCGGTCTGTCAGTTTTTAGCAATGCGGCAGATTGCTTGTTCTTGTTCCACGACATCGATAGCACACAGGTCTACGTGCTGCAATCAAAGGGAAAATTCAACCAAATCCTACCGCCAGGCTGTCGAGAGTTGCTTCTAGATCAGACAACTTTGTGGGGCAGCTTACCTAACTTTCACTATCGTGAGTTGTTTGATTTACCATTACCAGCTCGACAACAGTTGCAACCCGATGATCTATTACTACAAAGCGGAAAGAGAGTCAATCTCCAGAACTTGTTTCATGACCAAGTCGGATCTCTTGAGGCCCGAGAAATTATGGAAAACGATGACAACTTAAAGTCAGTATTACTCGCGGCGCAATTACGGGGTAGGGACGATGACGTAGGCAGTTGGGTGTCAAAACAAAAGCTCGACAAAGACAGCATCTTGCAATGCGATAGACCCGATCTTGGGATGAAAGCATTTCTCTCGATGCAACATTTGTTGGAGTTGCTATTCTGCCAAGGAATAGATTATTCGAGAATCAGACTTTGGAAGCAAGAATTAAGGTCAGCCCATTACATGAACTGGCGCAGCTTCGTGACTGGCGCCATTGCGCATCACGATTCAACGAGGTCTCGAGACACAGTCGTTAGAGACTCAATGTCTAGGCTTAGGAGCAACCGGAGAGAGATGGACACAGGGGTTCATAGTCCGCACATGATGGTGCCGGTAAGTCCGACGCCGTCCCTCCAGGGAGGATTCACCAAAAACATGTCTTATTCAGAGTATTATGATACTTCAAATGTTTCCGGACCGCCCGCACCTCCTACAATGTCCCGCAGACAGCTACCAGGGCATGGCGATCCCGATTCCAACCGAATTGGGACGCAATATGTGGGCAAGCAACAATTGAGCAGTCTCAAGGTGAGACTTGGCAAAGACTCTGGAATCCTCTATATACCGGGCTACAAGGACGAATTTTCGAATCCCAGCGTGGCCGGACTCTGTCCCATCTGTGACGAAAAGGATATACCACTGGTTGTTTTGCTGAAAGCGCCACCTCAAGGCCTAGCGACACCTGGGTTCCCTAGCCCGAACCAACGAAAGGGTCTCGTCTATCCTCTTGCAATGGGATCCTACCCTGAAACGGATGTACTCTCTTCACAAGTATGCTGTGACTCTTGTGCGTTCATTCTAGTACAGAACAACATGTCCGTTCGAGACGATAACATTGTTGGAGCGATACCAATCTTAGAGAGTGCCTTCACCGGAAAGTGCAATCAGACCACTTTCAAAGCGATTGACAAAGCTTTGCAGCACAGGTTTCACGAGTCCGCCGTATTCTTGGTATTCCTTGCAGTAATATTCAGCACAATTGCCAATACCGAAGACGACGCCTCTGACGTCAGCTTAAGTGCTCTGCAAAGCTTGGCAAGTCTTGTGGCCAAGCACACCGAGCTACCTGTGAACTTGAGTATGTCAATCAATGAATCCACTCCTCGGACCGGAACTTTTGGGAATCCTCGACCTTTGCAGCGGGTGATTTCGCAGAATTTCCTGGGTATTTGGGAGCCAGATTGCCCACTGTTGCAGCATCCGCTCGAGGGTTTCGTAGTACTCGCTCTGACGGCCCAAAATCTTGGAGTGTATGGTTTGCTGAACCATCGCGTCGACGTCCCCCTCGCAGTACTGCATCGCTTTCTGTACCACCTAGTGGAGAAACACTGCGCTTGCGGCAAGAAAGATCAAAGTGCGGCGTCAACGGCCTTGAATGCCATTATTCAAGATCTGCAAAAAGCTGGTAGACCCTACGAGAGCGTCTTTGAACCTCCGCGCGGGAAAGATGTTGAAGACCCAGATGTATCAATGACTGGGGAGACTTCGGGGCTCCAACAGATGTCAAGCACCATCCTCAAAGGAACATATCTTGTCTCGGATGAAGAATTGGAGGAGTTCGACCGCCTCGATGATTTTGCGGCAGTTGTCAAAATGCCAGTATCGAAACTAGAAACTTTTCCGAAAAGTTTGCTCTTGGAAGCGAGTCAGAACACTTATGCGAGTGGTGTCTTCGAAGTATTAAGAGCTTCTGAAGTGCTGAATGATACTTTCAATATTGAGTAAGCAGTACGAAGCGGTGAGGAGATTGTTGCGAGCTGTCACAGTGAGCCTTGTTGTACCCCCAGCTTTATCAACGCTAGCTTCCTGTTTCCCGCAAATCAACGAAATGATGAAAATAAATGCACATCTACAAACGGCTTAGGAAAGCATAGTAATTGCATAGATCCTTTCTACTAAGCTTGATTTGTATATTCTGAGTTTATTTTGGACACCGTCCACACCCGAATTTCTGCGGAAGTTGAACATGGTTACGTGGTACTATTTGCAGCTAAAAGCGAAGACACAAGTTGAAAGACCAAGCTCTTATCACACAGATCTCAATCAAAACGCTTGAGCCGTTAGCAAATCTTGCATCCATCACGCATCTTCATTTAAGCCTTTTTTGCAAGCGCTGGAACCAAGGGTCCCGGAGAGACAGTCACCTCCCCTGTCTGTGCCCCAACCGACACTGTAGTAGCGTTCCGCATCTCAAAGCTATAGCTAGGCTCCTTGGGCTGTACGCTCGGCTCCGTGAGCGGCTTGTTCAATGTGGCACCGAAGAACCACGGAGCGATCTTAGCGTCCTTGATCTTCCGAACAGCTCCCACAATATCAATGGGCACGTCCTTCTCGATGTCAAAGGGCTGAGCGCCAAGAATGGGATCCTTGCTGAAGACAGGAGGCAGCCATACGTTTCTGCCAGGGGAGTGAATTCTTGCACTGCCATCTTTAGTGCTGAAATAGCAGAGGAGATGGGATAAGTAGTTCGGATCGTCTACGGGAAATACGATGTGCGGGGGAAGCTTAGCTTTCACGATCAAGAGCTCGGCTTCAGGCGCGGTTCGTCGAACGATCGCTGTAGCGACCTTGACGCGGCCGCGGAAACTGAGATCTTCGTCCTCCTTGTCGTCCTTGGTGTTTCCGGCGACGATCCTAGTGGCGGCTGCCGCATCCTCGAGCACAATCACGTCGATCTTGTAGTAAGTGCGGATGAGTAGGCCGAAGTCGCGGCTGGATTCGACAACAATGTAAGTGGTGCCGACTTGTTGAGCAGCAAAAGTCCATTCGAGGTTGCCGAATTGGATTTTGGCGCTCTTCAGGGCCAGTGCGGTTGCCTCGTACTTTGCATCCAGCGATCCTTCGGGGGAGATCGGTGGGGTGGCCTTGATCGCGAAGTCTTGCCCCCAGAAAACGGTGATGGTTTCCACTTCGCGGTCAATTACTTGAGGTTGTCTAGCCACCTGATCTCCTTTCCCTTGGCCAGTGCTCGAGGCGCCATTTACCTCACTTTTTGGTGGATCAGGGGGGTTCAAGCCGCCCCAGGTAATTTCGACCAGCTCTCCTTGGGGTTGATTGGCAGTCTTGATCAGAACCTTGTTGTCCGGGCAGACGACCCTCAAATTTGGTATCCGAAAGTCTTGGGATTTCTCATACGGTTCGACTGGTCCAGTGCGAACTGGATCCACCCAAGCATTGAGGTCAAACAGGAGACCGCCAAGGATGATGCGGCGCTCAAATTTGATGGCAAATCTAGGGAAATCACTTTCGCCAGAAGCGCCGAGTGTCAGGATGGCATAGTGTGGGTTGTAGAACGCGCTGAGCTTGGTAGCAGGAACGAGTTGTAAGATAGCCATGATATCTGAAATGCTTTGATTGGTTCAAAGGACTGAGGTCAAGGAGGTCAGGATGTGCAATCTTTGTCTGGTAATTTTGGAGAAGATTTGAAAAATGGGTAATATGTCAATGAAGCTTCCATTGGGGGTTACTGAACACGTCTTTTATGCCTGAGAGATCGACGGATGACGACCCAAAACAGCAACGCCTCCAATGATCATTTTTTCGCGAAGCGGCAAGGTCGACCATTTTCGACCATCAAATTGGGGCATCAGGTCAAATTGGATGGCTACACAACCACCAGCGAGCGCCACACTGGCCCTCAGCAGCTGACAATCGGCCGTAATGGACCAAGTATCACCAATGTTGAAGGTACCTCGAAGACTAGATGCAACGATGGCTGAATCTGGCCCCATCAGCTCACAAAAAGGAACGATTGATGGCAGGCAATTATATCAACGGTATCTTGATCAGGAATGGACCGCCTCCTCCGACCAACAGAACGCGTGGGGTACGCCACAAGATTTAATTCGAAGCTGAATGGGTTGGGAAATTAACGGTCGCATATATGGCTGCGAGCTAGTTTCCAAAAGGAGTAATACACGGGCGGCTACGGGCCTGCATGACATGTGACAGTGACGTGACGGGCCAGCCCTTGACTCTTTTTGGACCAATTTTGTTACGAAATCTCCTGGATAAGGGGCTAGTGAGTACATGGTGCTAAGCTCTAACGGTAATCGGATACGCCATCGCTGTAGATTACCACCGTTTTCAGAAACAGCAGGAGGCTTGTTCCGCAAGAGCTGAGGGGGCATTAGAGGGCTTGAACGGTGCTTGTGAGTTGCCGGTCTCCATGGGTTAGAAAGACCAAGATAGGTCGTAGACAGGTTCGCTGAAGATACTATCACTTCCTGAGCCTAGTCTTCACTTTGCAATGAGATACTTTAGGTTCCACGTGATGGGGATGGCTAGCAAATTGTCCATTTTGGATGGTGAAGTCCTTTCAAGAGCTTTCAAGGAGGCGTGAAACAGACTACTGTGCGGGCGAGAAGCTGTGAGAGGCGGTGTAATTACCACGGGACTTCCATCTTTCAAGTGTTGAGGGGCTTTGAATCTGATGTGCCCAATCACTATCGGATGCCCGATTCGAGACGTTTACGCATTCTGGACTCTTGCTAGATAGCAATCCTCGGTACCAGTATTCTCTCTAGGGTAGGTGCCTCGAACAAAAAACGATGCGACGATCAGGTTCCTGAACGTCACGAACATAAGCTTTCGCTGAGCTCAAATATAGCCGAGCTAATTTCTTAGACTGTATGTGTTCTACCAATAGCGGGAGCGTCATTTGGCCCCTATTTCAACAGGCTATGGGTGCCGGCAGTTGGTTGACGCCTAGTCGCCGGGGCCATTGCGCCAAGAGCTTCAGCCTTGTGCAAAAGGATTGCATCTTGGTGGTGTCACCAACATATCACAAGATTAGGGCAATCTTCGCCAAGTAAGCCTAGCTTCGGGTCAAGTGGTGTCATATACTTGGTTGTGTTGTATATTGTAGGAATGTCAAGCAATAAAACAAGCGGTGCTTTGAAGGGCTGGACTTCCTCCGCCAAACAATCGAGGATCTCTGGACATTCTTTGGACTTGCCTCACAACCATCCTCCTGTCGACTCGGTCCGCTATTTGCCTGAATGTATCAGAACCTGATGAAACGACATGGAGATATCTAAGGCGTAAAGTGTGGCCCACTTGCATTGCATTAATGGGCCCAGAAAATCTATTAGGCTTCGCGCTCGGGGAATGGCAGTCAGCGCGCGTATCTGTGATCCAACTGAAGCAGATCCGAAAAGACAATAAGTGGAGGTTGAAACACGCGTTCTTCGCCGACATGGGCGGGTTTGTGCTTCGAACAGGCGATGGTGTCAGATTCTTTCTAGATACGAAACATATCCATTGGCTGCTTGACCATCAAGCCATTTCGATGGCACAATTTGAGGAGCATTTCCTTCTCGACCCTAAAGCTATTGATGATCGCAATAAATCTGACGTGTTCGTACGCGTCATTGCTGTTGGACAGGCACTATGGTTCTGTGTCAATATTATAGCTCGCGATATACGACGAATGCCTATCACAACGCTGGAAATAACAACTATCGGGATCATTATCGATAGTGTCTTAGTCTACTACTTCTGGAAAGATAAGCCTGCTGATGTCCAGAGGATGGAGGTGGTCAACATCCAAATGACCATCAGTGAATTGCTTCTGTTGGAAGAGAATGAAGCAGTTCGAACACAAGCTTACTTCCGAACACCGCTCAACTTCGCCAGCCGTAAGGTCTGGTCAATGAGCTTGATCTATATTTACGGGATGAATATGTTGAAAGGTCTGCTTCCTTCGTTTTGGCGGCCAAACACAGGATAATGACTTGGCAGGCGGTCAGAAAACGATGTACTTCCTATTACAGGAATCGCCTGGATCATAGCGTTGATCTCTGCTTATGCCTTCTTGGGCACTAACTTCATCGCCTGGAATTTCCATTTTCCGACTTCAATCGAAAAAATTGCTGTGGCAGCTCTCGTCCTGTGGGCTAGTGATACTCTTCACCTTAGGTATTCTGGTAGTCGGCCTTTTCTATGGAGATCGCGGCATCAGGAAGATGCAAGCAGATGTTCAAAAGCGCCGGGAGATGCTTGCAAACCCTGATCCTCTGGAAGGGAATGCATGCTTGAAGGACCGCGTCGTCCATATGTTCTGGACCCTCGCGATGAAGCTAATGAACAACAGCCTTGAGAATGATCCAAACCTGGATGTGTCCCTCGTCTTTCTTTTGGGTGTACCGTGTTTTGCAGCGTACACTGTCATCCGAGCGTATATCTTGGTAGAGGATGTAATTGCCTTTCCCGCGCTGCCTCCAGATGTGTACAGGACCGTCGATTGGTGGGGCCTTCTTCCGCATATCACCTGATGTTGGGCTCATCGAGAGGTTCACAACACCATTCAATTATGGTGGCTTGCGACCCGTCTCACTTTGGACGAAAGCCTACAGCAGAGATAGGGGGTTGACATAAGACATTTGTTTCTGAAGTTGAGAAGGGTCTCTAGTGCTCGAAAGTCCATTCCTTTGCGACCGCCGCAACGAATACTCCCCAATTCTTCTCAGTTTCGGAGCAGCGTCCGCCACCGTGTAAACGGTCGTGATTTGAAGCCAAACTGGACTATCAAGGGAAGAATTGAGCTTCCAATAGTCGGTGCGAAGCTCAAATTGGACTGCAGCTGGTCGGTTCAAACCCCTTAACTGGACAAGCGGGCAAAGTGTTGAGCTTGCTCAAACCGCGACCAATCCACCATACCGTCGGCAGCCCCGCCTGGGAGGAACTCCTCTCTCGTCCGCTAGTCCAAATTTTAATTGAGCGCCTGTGCCTGATATGGTGTAGCTTGCTGTGTATCCTGTCCAGATCAGCTGCGACACAATGGCGCCACAAGTGAGAATGATAAGGTTTCAGTTGGCGCTTGCACCTGGTCCCACTCCATTGTCCTTTCCACGGGCCTTTGGAGAGCTAATATAGTCAAAGATCCAGGAGTCTTGTGCCGTCACGCATTGTAAGCTCGCAAGAAAATGACGAAACGTTCCCCAGGATTAATTCTCCGGGTCTAGAAGCTTGACAGCTGGCTCGGACCTCTCAACCCAACGATAGCCAAAGTCAGCCACAGTAGTTCCTCACAGCTGAAATACTTGCTATGATGGTACTACGCACCAGAGCAATCTAGTCCCTTCCCGATCGGGCCGCCGATCAGCCACAAGCGTATAGAAAGCGCCCTATTCCGTAGATGCTGGCTAACCCGTAAGGCAATTACTCCGGATCATAGACTAAGCCCTACTAATGCAGGGTGACGTACAGTCGCTGCTGGCTTTAGTGTTTCACGATGACCCGTTCGGACGTTGGACATGCTCACCTCTGTGACCGACACTCCCTCACCTTGATGATTGGCAAGCAAGCTTCGCCATTAATGCAAGATCCAGGAAAGCGCACGTGCAGATTGAGATAGGCTCGTTGGGGAGGCCAGTACAGGCAATCGAAAAGTCGCTAGTGATCATCTATCAAGGCCTGGAACACGCCAATTTGGTGTCGACTTTCTTCGCGGCAACAAGAGTCTTGATTGCCGCCTCTGAGCCGGTTTATGTTATCGATGTAAGCATTGTTATTTTGCACCAAATCTTGCTGGACGTGTTGATTTGCTATTACAGCATGTTGACGCAAGCTTCGACCGGCAGACAATTGTCACGCGTTGCAATCGAGATGTGGCCTCTTAGATTATTTGCAAGTGAATAGACCCCATTTTAGAGACTTGGCACAGCCCGAACAAGCATCTCTCACTTGCCGTGTCGATTGCCTGTATCAAGTGAAAGATCTTCTCAATCCGGCCGCTTGATCCGGTCACCTGCATGCCTCATGTATAGAGAGGCTGGCTGAACATATGGCTAGCGCTAGCTATAGACGCATCGTGTGCTCTCTGGGCCGCACTCAGCTGGAGTATGGCTCCTTGCGGCGTCAAGACTTCAGTCTGGATTCAAGCCATCATTGGTATGACAAGCTGAACTTGAAGATGGCTCTCTGTCATTGGAAGGTCTCGGATCATCTCGACTCTTCTTATCTGCAGTTCAGCTGGACAAAGTATTGTGGCTGACAGAGATTGAAGTAACGACCGAGGGCATCTCCTATCACATACTGTACTCATCATGTTAGTGGTGTGTGGCGTCCTGATAGCGAAGTCGGAGGAGCTGAGTTATGAATTACGAAGGCGTCTCACACCTCTTGCTCGGTAAATGGTTTCCAGAAATCAGACATCATTGCAATCCGTCCAAAAATTATAAAGAGGTCGTCAAACCCGCTGAGTCCATCACATATCTCACAGCACTTTATCCAGATTCAAGCAAACTTAGCCCAACTTCAAAGATCATTAGTCAGTTCACCATGCCTACGACGTATACCATCAACTTCAACAACAACTCCAATTCGGACAGCACCTATGCCTTTTTCGTGAAAAGCCCCGAGCTTTCTCCCACTCCGGGATCTTATTTCAGCAACGTCTGGATTTCCCAATTTGTTCCAAACGGTGCTACCTTTGACATTTCGACAACTGATCAATTCTACGCATGTATGTCCCGAAATCCAAGCAGGCAAACGAGATAAAACATACTGATGTCGGGTTGGTGACATAATAGGGACTGGTACAAGTCCGGAAACAATTGCTCCAGGTGTTAAAGTTAAAGGGGGTGATGGTAAACCAGCAAACTTAGCTACAGTCAGCGAAAACGGCAGTAAGAAACCTCATTCGCTGCAAAATCTTGCTTCAAACTCACAAGAGTGACCTCTAGGTGACTACCCTATGACTACAGAGTCGGGAGCAGCTTTTTTCAAGGCCGATCTGGAAGACGGCAAAAAGGCCGGTAGCTTTGCTATCCAAACCGATGGATCATTCCAAAACGGGCAAAATTACCTTGTTGGCCTCGGTCAGCTCGATTTGAATAACGACCAGATTGTTCCTGTTGCCACAGTAAGTGATCTTATAGAAGATGGTACATCATGATATGCTATCTGGATCCGCTGAAAATACTTAGGCTCCCGCTCAACCCGGGTTTGGTTACACGTTCACTCCAGTCGTCAAGTATTACGTTGCCGAAACAGTCGAAGCCCTGGGCACTGTGGTGGAAATAGATGCTGGCAACTTGGAACCTGGGACGATCGATTTCACCAATGGGCCAGGACAAGGCAGAACGACTGCTAATGTCACCGTGGATCACTTCAATCATTTTGCGGTGACATATCAGTAGTGCAAATAACACCAGGGATCATGCCGATACTTATTGATCCCTTGACTGCTGTCAAGTCACGATTCGTCGACTTGCTATACAAAGGTTGCTTGGTCATTTTTCTGTACAGGCCTGTTTACATGACATTCGTTTTCGCGAGTACACAATAGCTTGTTCATATCGCAATACAAATCTTTGACGTCTTTTCGCGCACGTTTGTCTTAGTAGCCTAACACTCAATCGCAAGACTTCGAGCATGCATATATACTGCGCAGATGAAGATTTATGCTGACTTAGGAGATGAGGATAGTCGACTGTAAAGACTAGCTCGCAGATGTGAAGCCACTGCGATTACTCTTCCAAAGCCACCCTGAGAAATCGCAGTTTGATTCTAAGTCGATCTGCCTTTAGCAATGTCACCTTGACAGTAGCTTGCAGTGCCACAACATCCTCGTGCAGCTGACAGAACGAGCTATCACTGGAGGAGTCGCTAATGGAGGTCTCGGATACGCCCAGTAGCTCGAAAGATCGCAGCTAAGGAACGATGTAAATGCCAGTGCATTCCAATTCAAAGGGTCGGATAGCGCCATAACGCCGCTTCTAAATCGGCACATGGAACGTGAAGACTTGCCAGGCAACGAGTCGCTTGAAAATACATAGCTGAAACGGAGGATACAAGAACACACCCTGCTATTTCTGGAGGAGGGTAGCGCGTACAGCCGCTTTCCTGATGCTTGGCTTTTGACGAGGACGAGGCTAGTGCATGGAAGAGTCTTCGATAGAATTTTCCGGTGTTGTGAAGGAGCTCATCAGGTAGTTGCAGCTGAAATAAGCGCCGCTCTGAAGCTTCGCCGCCAGAAGCGGCACGCGTGACAGCTGTAACACAACCTTCTTGACCCACTAGCGCAATCAAAATTTATATTGCATGATCATGATTTGGCGATCCAGGCTTTCAAGTGAAGAGTAAGATCTGTCTGCTTGAATGCAAGAGGGCAATTTAGTGAAGAGATCGAAAGATTACTGAAAGACTCGGCGTAGGAAGCAGGAGCGTCTGCTTATTCAATGACTCTGCTAAAGAACCTCTGAATGGAAACAGCGGATTGGAACCGAGTTGTTCTTTCAAACGCAATGAAGTGAAGAGTAAGTGGTCATCCCATGCCATACCGAATGATCAGCATTGCGTGTAAGTGTTCAAGAAGTCTGAGCACTCTTGGTGGTGGTCGTCCCAAATCCATACCACATGATACCCAGCGAATGCAATGTATGCGGCAAAGCCAAGCCGGAGGTCCGGATTAGAAAATCAATCTATCCACCTTCTATATGCCACGTAAATTATGGTCTATGCTGCCGTCATTTCGTATCCACGTTCAGCCGGATGTTGTTGTACGCTGCAGGCATGAAGATGTATCAAGCGAAGTTTTAATGAAGCAATGTGCACAAAGCGACCAGAAAATGTGATCATCTAACACTGCATCTGACTAATCACAAACAGTATATAATCTGCTGTAAGACTCTTTCCGTTATCAAGAAAAATCCTCGATGGTCTAGTGGGTTAGTAACAATCATCCTGCTGACAAAGCCTAAACCTGACATTTCTGCTTAGTTATGATTTCCGCTTGTCGATTCGGCAGTCCGCGGGAGACCGAGTAAATTTCCCCCTTCAAATGCAGAAGTGATGATTAACATGGTGCAGGGTTCGATTCCTCGCCGAGGAGTTTCCTCTTCTTTTTTTTGGCTTCTAATCAACCCCGGCGGACATTGTCTTTCTATTCTCACTGAGCAGGAGGTCGTAATGGAACGGAATTCTCAGATCCTCAATGACCAAGATATGTATTAGGTATGTGTTGGATACAGAAACCCTGCATATCCTCAAGTAATACGGATACCCCGCTGGCTTATGCATTTAAGACTGATAGGAGACCTGAGCGTGGTCCTGGCGGGTGTAGGATCTCGCTCTTGTGAGTATGTATAGATTTGGTATACTGGCTATGCCGGTTAACTTCTAGGGAGACGCCTGTATCCTTGTGCAAATTCCGAAGAAAGATGGAGGCCATCTTACTCATTGTTTCGAGTCGAGGTCGTTCAAGCTAGGGGGCAACGTTGAGTGCTCCTCATCGAGGGCCAACTTGAAGAAAATTCGGAAGAGACTGAAGCCATTAGATGACAATCGTCTCAAGGCTGTCAAAATACATACCTTCACGTATTTAGGCTCAACGTATAAAGCTTCAGCTTCCACAAGAACGTCACCCGGCTTCTCATCGTCTCTGAGTAGCTCAATGGAGCCTTTCACCCAGACCTTCCTACCTTCAGCCTTGGTCGTATACGCTCTGAGGACCAGGTATGACCCTGCAGGTACTGGCTTGCGATAGTTGATCATAAGATTGGCAGTGACAGCGATTTTACTGGGCAAAGAATTAAAGCCGCACCGTGCCAGACCCTCATCGAGCATTGTCGCCAGCAAGCCTCCGTGTACAATACCGTTATGGCCGCACATGTCTGTACCCACATAGCTCAGAGAAACTAGCTCTTTATCATCGCTGAACACCAGTGGTGGCACCGGGAACTTTCCAGGACCCATAAGCGTACCGGCAGTCAGGCTATGAGGTCTGATCGTCTCAGGGTATCTGAGATGGGGTCTTGACTCTGTCCAACCTGGTCGTTCGCGCAGGGCCACCGAGATTGGATGATTGGTAATATGTTTGTTGATCTCGGCTGCTTTCTCGTGTGCGGTATGGAAAAGCTTCAAGGATTCGGCGTCTGAGGGGGCGGATACAAGAGAGAATATGGTCGTGGCGGCAGGGCCGGCGGTGGCGACGATGCCGACGGACGTAAAGAAAAAGGCAAATGCGCCATAGGCGAGGATTCGGCGAAAGCGAGCTCGACGAAGGCTTGGGTTGGGAGATGCTATATCATCACGGTCAGCAATCGGAAGCACATTGTTTGACACTCCTCACTTATGTTGGATTGGTGTCTAATGGCCTGAATATTGAATCTCGGGATAATGTTCCGGGGCCGCAAGGTTGCTGAAGGAATCCCACGGTGACCAATGGGCGCAAATTGCTTGTGGTACATGGAACGACAAATTGAGACATGGCGGGCAGCTGACATGGATGCAATGCTCGCTAAGGGGAAAATACGACTCGTCACAAACAATACTCGAAGTCGCCGCTTCCCGAAAAGAAATATCGAAAGATGTCAGATCATATCTAATCTCAATGATCTCTTGGCAGTCTTGGCAGTTTGCTTCGTCAGGGGGCAGTTGATTCAAGTTCAAATATATGCCGCTGCTCATGAAAATCATGATATGTACAGGTGGAATTAGAGAGCTCCTCATCCATCTCTCTCCCAGTCTAGCTCCGCATCTGCCATCGTCTCCACTTCCATGTCCGCCGGCCCTTCTTCATCGACCCTCTTCCCGCCTTCGACGACTAACTCCACCCCCTTCACTGGATGCAATAGCATGGCAGGTAAGCACATTCTTCCCTCCCCTGTAACCTCCTCCTGTTCTCCACCATCATTGTCGACTTTGTACCCTAGCCACCTTCGCCAAAGATTTGGTGAGAAGCCCGCATCATAGAACCAAGTTTGCCCCTTGAAGTTGTGTTCGCGGCCGCCGTATACGCTCGTTCTTGCGCCGCCTGATGCCCCGTTCCTACCCCCATTCATTACGTCCGCCAGGTACTTTGTCGGCCATCTTCTGTCGATGTAGACAGGATGGGGAGCGTAGACGGCTTTGAGACCGTGATGTAGCGCAATTGATGCAGGCCACATCTCGGAAAACATGTGGTGGCGCGCTAAGATGGTCTCACGATGCATTCTCTGCAGTAAGCGGCGGGAAAGACGTGATGACGCGCCGATAGCTGATCGTCGTGGTGGGAGGCCTGTGGTGGTGTTGTAACCCGTAACATCGTCAGTGTAGAACCATGTCGTGCCGTCTGGGTCGAAGAGGGGGCTGAATGTTATGAGATCGGCTTCTTCACCGACTCCCCATTCGTAGTGGTCTTTTTCTATCGAGGTAGCTGGAGTAGGGTCTTCTTGATCGGCGAGCATATCTTCTGGGCTTTCGGGGCCCCACACTGGTTTGTCGGTCTTGCCTTGTGGTAGACCTGGAACTTCACTGTTGCCGGATTTGAGGCCAGACCAGATGTTGTTTGGGCTTTCTGTACCCATCTCAGATTGCACGCGGACCATCTGTTTGAAGTCTTCCCAGCTACCATGGACTGATGGGATATAGAATCGGCCGTTTCGCTCCCAAAGCCCCTTTCGCGGCTGATCTCTTGTCCATTGCCGCACGCGTTCAAAGAGGTGGTACCAGTGGCCCGTATATCTCACATCTAGCTCCCAATTCCAGAGATGTTCATACTCCGGATGCTGGGTTGAGAAGTATTGTAATGCCATATACAGGCCCCGGTATACACCATGGACGGGTAAATCACGGAAGAAGGACTCTTCAAGCCCCCCGTAGATGAGACTCATTTGTCTCTCGCTCCACAGAGATCCCATACCGCGGAATTCCTCAGGTAAGGAATTTTCTAGTACCCGATCATAGATCTGTTTTTCAGCCCAGATCGGTACATTGTCATCTTTAACATGAACTAGAAAATGGACGGTGTACTCGCCACCTGACATTAGCGAAAGCTCAGATATCAAAGAACGCAGGTAGATGATTTCTTCGGATGTGTAGTCATGATCCCACCATGTACGGATGACAATCGCAGTTCTTGAAAGCCTTCTTATGTCCTTGTTCAGGGTAGTGTTTTCGGTGTCATTGTGTATTGATGAGACAGTCGCATTGTTCCTCTTGTTGAGCTTGACCTCAATACGGTCTTCTGATGTCGTAGTATCCCCCGCGTGGGTAAAAAGAGGCTTCGGCGCCGTCTGATTCGTCTCAACATTCTCGAGTCTCCTCGCATTCTTCTTAAGACAAGCATCCTGAGCCTCAGCCCACCTGACTTTCTTGAAATCAACTTCCGGAATACTTTGGCCCCCCGTCCACATATCATCAGCGCCTTCCCTGTCACCGTTCATGCCAGCACCCGACCCTCCCTTCCTGACACTATAACCATATCCATATGGTCCCAGCCGGCCGAATCGATCAAAGCACACATCATCACGCAGCCCCAGCGTCTCATGTGCACCGATCACCGGATCTGGCATTCCCCTGGGCACTCCCTCGTAAAGATGCACTTGCGGTATCCTGATCTTCTCCTCTCTATCCAAGAAACACTCTTTTCTCTGCGCAAACCCCTCTTCCATCTTGTGATATGGATCAAACGGCACACCCTTCGGCATCTTGTTCAAGTCCCTGTGCTCCACGGTCTTCCCCACCGTCTCATTCGTCTCTGCAGTTGCTTCGCCTTCCTCCTCGACTCCCCCTTCCTCACCTGGATACTCCCCTCTACTCTCCCCCTTAGGAACAATACTCCTCACGCCACCAAAATACCGTGTCAGGAATGGAAATTGCTCCCACGGCGGCGGTCGCGGCGGTCCGGTCTTCTCCACTGGGCCCATTTCCAATTGTTTTCTTGAGACATGGCTCGCTCTGATCAAGCTGAGGATGAAGAGGATGAGGGTCATGAAGACGAAGAGGCAGAGATAGCGAGTTGTGCGTCTAGAAGGGGGTCTATAAGGCTCCTGGGGGGTCGCTTGGTTTTGCGGCTGTGGTGGGGAAGCATTGGCGCGTTGGAACCGGATGTGGAGCGCGAGGAGGAAGAGTATGAGTAACGGATTGGGTGGAGGACATCATTTTCGTCGACGCTGGAATAGGTGGAAGAATCTGAGTCGGAATCATGAGAATAGGCGCAGGGGTAGTTCTTCTCGAGGTCGGGAATAGAGAGTTGAGGGCCGGCAGGTGCGTCGAGGTTACGTTGTTTGCCCATTGTGGTCGAAATGATGGTAGTTTATGAGAACCGCATGCACCTCATTGTCAGGTATTTTTGGACTATCAAGGGAGACCTGTTCCGGTGTTGCGCGCAATCGCGGTAGTTTTCGAGGGGAGATTCAACGTCAGTGGGGCTGCGTGTTTGTTTATTTTCCCACTTTTTGAGGGGCAACCGCTTCAGCCCTATCAGCCCTTGAACTACCAGGGGCTTCATCTAATGCCGTCTCCTCTCGTCCTCCCCATCTTCATCAATATCATACATACTATTCGGTTTATGATCTCTCCAAACAAATCACATGCTCTGAATAGGAGCTTTGGACTGACTGCTTGATGGAGAGCAAACAGTAAGATTGAATAGTCTGCTTCCAGCCCAGAAAAACACGGCGCGTTCGTGAAGCCGAATCTTTCGTGGCATGCATTTGCAATGGTCATGAGGACCTACCTTTGCGCAGTTGATTTGACCGACAATGAGTTGAGTCATACAGAACATGGTGGGTCTTCTTGCGTTGATTGCTACTCCCATCCGCGACGACAATATAGCTCCTCCCGTGAGACGAAATAGCATTGCTGCATCTAAGCTTTTCTAGTTGACAAGCATTGGGACTAGAGAGAGCTTCACTGAAAACGTTGATGGCCTATTCGTTGCTTGTAATGCGGACTGTAACATCAGGTAGGCTGTTGGGTATTTTTTTACGTTATTGGCCATCAGAGCATATGCTCAGCCCACAATCCCAATACACTGCGTCACGATTGAGCGTCTATAAAGTAGTAGCGGTACATCTCTTGATCATTCGTTCAAAACAAAATGCATGGAACTCAGCTTCTCACCACTTCTTCTGTATTCATGGCTTGCTGCTGATGTCTCCCTATCAACAGGATGGTTCCTCTGACTCATATTATTGGCAAAGTATCTCTACCTTCAGAAAAAATCATTGCTCCCCCTCTCCACTACAGTCAGGATAACCAGTACCAAAGTAGACAGCTCACTGTCCTCTCGTTGGCGCTTCGAGTTGGTGGCTACCCCTTCATTCAAGCGCCCCATCGAATCCAGGGTTGTGGTCAGCAGAGTTCCTTCAACTGCTTTGGAAGTTCGATGTCGGAAAATCTACCCGCTTATGCTTTCGCAAGATACACAAGCAAAACAGGTTTTCGAATTCTAGACCATTGCACCGAGTTTGATTGATGGAGTTTTGGCTAATCTAGCGTTGTCCTTCGGCTCCAAATGTAACCCAATGACCTATCGCTGCTAGTTTGAGCAAACTCGACGGAGAGAAAACGCTGATCCCTGAGGCATTGAATAAGCACCAAGGGCCTCCTTTACCTGAGCAAGCATATTTTACCAAAGCAGGGCCTACTATGACATTCGCGCTCAGTGGTTCGATCCAACTTGTGTGCGGAGCCCCTCACCTTCTAGAGGTAGCTGACAGCCCTGACGCTAAAGAGATAGACTGGCGACATCTTTGGTCTCATACGGACGGGTCATGTAGTGAACCCTCACCTAGTCCGCGTGGACTTGGCATAAAGTAACGCCAGAGCCGAAGCATGACATCGAACAAGCACGTGCACGTGAAGGATGATTGTCACTTAGAGTCATCATCAAGCCGGTTGATATATACTCCGACGGTCTTCCTCATGCTCCGCCTCTTCCCATGAGTCAAGGCGGACTATTGGTTTTCGAATAGGGAGATAGCGCACCTTACTTGATGAAGGACTTCATACTCCAGTGAGAATACCTTCCTTACCAACAACATTCATCCAAGAAGGCTGACCTTGACTGAGTGTTTCAGTACGCAGGCAAAAAGACCTGAGAGGCAAGAGTGACCAGCAATTTAAACGCTCTGAAGTTAAGAAGCAGTGATAACTCCTAAACCGGCTGTCATTCTTTTAAATTTTACTGCAAAGATCAGGCCACTCTCTAGGACACCGCTAAAATCGGAGGAGCTAGTTGATATTCGCGGTTGAGCTAAGGTTCCCCAGATTTATCCGCTCCAACAGCCCAAGCCGTTTGTATGGACCCTTCAAAAGCTACACTAGGAAACCGTTCTACAACAAGCGAGAAGTCGAGACAGCTTGACCACATAGGGCGAAGACTCCGCTGACTATCATTAAGTCTCTGGTAGCAGGCATTTTGTGTAGCAAGATTGATCTAAGACTGGCTATCGCCTGATCCAAATCGTTGAAGTATGATCCAGAATGCCTACCTATGATTGTGACCAGTGAGTCTAAGTCGTGTTGGATCGAGGTGGTCTGATCATTGCAATGACGGATCTACCGAGAAAACCTCAAGCCACAGCAAGGTCTGGAGCACAGAAGCCAAAGCACCCAGTGATATAAAATCCACAACAGACGTGGAAAACTTCTCGGATCCTTTCGTCTTCCAGACACCTTTCATTCTCACCGAGCCACACATTTCAATACCCAAACCAGCTCAACATGGTCCGCCTCATGCATACCCTCCTAATCCTTCTCGGGAGCAGTCTTCCTCTCGCCCTCACGAGCATTGTCCCGGCGACCCCAGTCCTCGACAAGCGCATCACCTGCCCCGCCGGCCGCGCAAACTGCAACACCGTCTGCTGTAATCCTGCCCCTAGTGTCCCACCGGGCTCGTTTGCCCAAGCTGCCGACGTCTGCGGGTCTTATTTCAGATCGAAATGCTGCCCCGCCTACCTTCCCTTCGGCGCCAGCTCGGTTGGCATAACCGCCCAGACAAACATATGCTGCCCCTCTTCTGATTACAGCAACTGCGGCGGAGCGTGCTGCTATGGCACATGTGTATTTGGTCCTAACAACTTCCCGTTTCCACAAACCCAAACCTGCCAGAAAAGCAAAGGCCCCTGCAATACACCCAATACAGGGACAGGGATTGCGTGCTCGGTCAGTTCAGATTGCACGAGTATCACGAGAGGTACCTGTCCGAGCGGTGGCGGATGCTGCTATACGGGTCCAGCTTGAAGGAAGGAGGGGACGGTAGGATGGAGTAGGGGAGGAGTAGAGGAACGGAAAGTCTGAGTAGTTGCACTATTGGAAGGTCTTGCTAGAGCAATTCTGATCAAATTTGCCATCAAGTAGAGAGGTAGCAACAGAGATCAAGTCAACTTTTCCAATGAGCGCATAGCTTCTTCAAGCCAAAAAAGCATATTGTGCGAAATATTTCCTCAACCCTGTGAATTGTGCTCGCAAAGAAGTGAAAATAGACTTACAGTCCCAGATTTGAGCGACTCGTCCAAAACATTGGGCCACGCTGATTTGCTTTCCCACTGATTTGTACAAAGCAAGCAAAAATATCCTTTCCAAACCTGTCGTGGCATGACATGCACCACTTCAAAACATTTAGTTTGTGATATCACTGCACGGCAGTGTCAAGCAGCCAAAACACCACTCAAGATCAGTCACATCAGTATTTCACTATCACGTCATCATTATACAGGCGCTGCGAGGGCACTGCAGGTGAAGTCCCTGTAAAATTTTGGTAAGACTTTGTTTGTTTACTTTCAATTCCCATGGCAACAGCCTCAGCCCTATCAGGGGTCTCAGCGCAGGCTACGCACATCATCTGGTCGATGCTTCGTCTCTCCTCTGCTTCAATCCTGAAATTCCTTCGTTCGATCTCTTCATCGTGCAGTTCTCAACGAGGTCGATCTTTCATTCATGACAACGAATCGAGTATGAGCCGCGCAAAGATCGAGAAGGTGACCATCGAGCATCTTCTTCAGACCGGCCAATTAAAGGAAATCATGTTTGGGAGCCCATGGCCAACCGCCGCAGAAATATGGTGTTCAAAGTATTATTGGAGCTTCATCAATGCGATGCTACCTATGCTCAAGATCGCTGTTCTAGAACGGCCTGGAGGCTCTTCGCAGAAGGCTGGGATGTCCTGTCGGATATCCTCGGCGAGGGCCATTGAGTTGCCACTTGGGAGACAAATCAGGCATCTCCTTGCGTCTAGTCTTATCCGATGGCATACGCTACTGCATATGACTGTGTTCAACCCTTCAGGGTGGATGGTTGAGGTATTGCTATGAGTGCGATGCAAAGAAGCAGACCGACTCGCCGTCAAGCACCATGGCGGAGACGTCGTGTTACGGCCTTGGTTCTTCAAGAGACTGCATCTCGATCAGGGTCGCATTGAAGGATATGTCTAGGATCCTTCGGTCAGGCACCGAGAGGCCAAGCTTGCCATCCAAGCAAAACCAATCATGCCTCTCGCTACTTACGTGCGAGTCCCCTTTCACGGTCTGCATCCCATCAGCCGTGGAGCTGTGCAGTGCAGTACACCAATATCACTTGCCAATGAATACCCTCATATCCACCGTCTGTTAAGCAAGATATTGGTCTGTCCGTTCTTGACGCAGTTCTTTAGGTTGTTGGTGCGGAAGACCGTGCGCTGCAGCGGAAGCGGCCTTCCCCTCTGACGTATCTTAAGAGGGTCACTTTCCCTCTCTCCCTCTCTTGTCACATGCTCTTCCTCTTCACCCTCACTTGATCTTCCCATTTCCCCCCATTTCTACTAAATTCTCATCTGGGGATTGCGTTCACACCTTTCCTTTGCGCTTCTTGTCGCTCACTGAGCTGTTCCTCGCATTTGTTCTGACAACACTCTTTATTCATATTCAAGCTTGTGCCCAGGTCGACACTCTTGGCTTGCAAGTCACACCGACTCCAGCTTGGATGGTTCAATCAATCAAATACTCTCAATTGTTCATGGACCGAGCAATACAATCACATCTCAGCAGTACAGTGCAGCTTCCCGAACGCTACACGCCATTGAACACCGCCAAAGAGTTCGGCAAGAGTAGCACACCATCACCTTGAACCGCTGTTGAACAAGGCACCGGACTGCAAGACAGCGATTCAACCAAACTTACAACGTGATAAAGGATCACTGAGGTAATTCCATGACCATGGATGCAGTTCCTAAAGCTCAGTGGAACCTTCCAGCCCGAGATATCATCAGCATCCTCGAGTCATCAAACCTGTCAAACATCTGCTACGCAACCGTAGGCAGTGTCGTGCTTCTCAAAGCCTACAATGCCATTCACAAGGACTACCAGAGCTTTCTCGCTCTCGGGCCAGGAGGCACCCCATCGACCGTCATGGGCTATCTGAAAATCTGCTACCTACGCCTATTCGCCTTGAGTGATCCCTTTCAGCCACCATCCCTGTCCCAGGCTTGCTTCCCTCTGAATGGCTACATCCAAGGCTTACCTCGAAGATCCGCTCCGAGACCAAAGACTGGCGGCATAGCTCCACACAGGCAGCTGAACCAGAAGTCCACCCCTGAGCTAGATCAAGTATTCAGGACTGCGTTGCACGCCATAGCAGACGCCCATCCCAACCTAATGCGGAAAGGCAATTCCTGCTTCGAAAAGCGTGGCCTCGCACTTTTCCTCAGCGCCTGCACTGCTTCTCCACACCGGTTCTGGAGCCATTTGAACCCCACGTGCGCTGACAGCGGCGAGATCTGTCACTTGCACGCTATGGTAGGGATTTCTTATCCAATCATCCCAACCCCCACCCCCCCTCTCTCTCTTCCCATCTCCAGTCGAAAAACCTCACTAATCTCCCCAATCCCTGTAGGATGGATCAATGCACCTGACACTCCACCCTCTCGATGCAGCAATGGTAATCGCTTCCGGCTGGGGCGAACGCCATCCCCTCGCCGGTAAGCACTCCCCACCCATCTCGACGTCCACCGAGGCATCGCACCCCAATGACTTGTAGCTGACTGCAATTCATGATTAGGTCGCAACATCCCACCCCTCCATGTCCCGCCCTATCCACATGGGAAACGGCTGCTACCTAGTGGGTTTGTGATGGTGTATACGGTAACTTTCTCTCTCCCTATCCTCCAATCATCCTCTCCCCCTATCATCCTCTCCCCCTTCCCCTCCCCGTCACCCCCTCCATCCCCTATCCCCCACCTCCCCCCATGCATCCTAACGAAACGTCCCACTGACTCCACCAACACCAACAGCCCCAAACAGAAGCCGATATCGCAACACTAATGGAGATCGTGCGCGCAGCGGCGTGGTGGGTCGGCGGGGTCGATTTGTCGGGTAAAGGGAGGGGACAATTCGTGGGTGCGGTCAAGGAGCGGGATGTGTTGTTGGTTGATGGTGCGATGGAAGGTAAGGAGGTTTGTGAGGGGGTTTGAACGAGAGAGGGAGGGGAGGGAGGGGATGTGATTAAGGGATTTGTGATGTGTGTGGAGGGGGGAGGGAAGTGCGCGAAAAGGGGAAGGGGGAGGGGATGTCAGAATGCCAACGAATGGAAGTAGATGTTGTGGAGGATGGGTTGTTTGTTATGGCGCGAAGAAGGGGGAAGGGTAAAATGGGGGGAGGAGAGAGGAGAGGTCCAGTCTGCTAAGGAGGAAGAAGTACAAGTCTTAAAAGGTATGCAAATCATCAACCGTGCTCGGAACTCACACAAAAAGAACTAGGAATTAAGAAATAAGCAACATATTGCAAATGAGGTGGGTATCTTAAAACAATTGCCATCCCACACCCTCCTTTTCCTTCTCACCCACGCAACCCAAGACTACTAGCCCTCATCCTCTTCCTCCCATTCCCATTTCCATTCCCATTACCACTCTTCCCACTCTCCGCACTACCCGCCCTCCGCCTCGCAACCTCCATCCCGCCACCCATAGCATCAAGCGGCTTCCTCCTCCTGACAAGCTGATAGCACCGATCCAGCTCCACCTCGACCGTGCATCTGATCTTCAACGAACAGACGTTCGGCCAGACACTGCGCTCGCCTTGGCGGACCCAGTATTCTAGCCTCGCATTCCCCGCTTCCTCACTTCCTCTGTTTTCATCGCTGTTTCCGTTGGTGAGGGCAATGGGGAGAGGAAGGGAAAGGGAAGTCGGTCCCGGTTTCTCCATGATCACTCGGATGAGATCTGTAGGTCGCAGATCCGGAACGAGGGTGAGGTTCGCCCCTGGCACCGCCTCGTCGATCAAGAACCGCCGGATACCAAGCGGGAGAAAGCCGAGGGCGTCGAGCTGGCTGAGGCGGTGATGCACCTCACCCGTTGCGAGCCTGAGCAGCGCGATCACGAGCCCACTCCCGCGTTTCTGCCGCGGGGAAGACGGGTGCTGTAGATCTGTGCGGAGGAAGGGGGCTAGAGACGGCCGCGCCTGGGACACAATGAAGTGGTTCACGTTGAAGAGTTCTGCTATGCGGGAGAGGGGGCTGTCCATGCCGGTCGTGCCACTGGCGGTCACGGGGTCGAGCCGGTGGGGGTGGAATGTCAGAGTCTGGGCGTGCGATTTCGACCAGGCTGTTATGGCGCCGGTTTCGTCTTTGCAGAGGAGGGTGAGGGGTTGGTGCAGGGCGAAGGTCGTGATGCTTGAGGCTTGCGCAGCGGAGGAGATGAGGACGTTGGGCGCTGTCAGGTAATTGAGGAGGTTGGGGACGCCGCCGCGGCCGGAGGTCGGAATTGTGATGTTGAGGACTCGTTTGGTGCGCGCGTAGGCTTCTTCGAAGGTTAGGTCGCCGACGTGTTCGCGGACGCAGGACTCGAGGATATCGGAGTCGAGGAGCCGACCATAGCGGATGAGGTTGATCAGGCGGTTGAGAGTGGCTTGCGTGTTGCTTTGGCGTTGTTCGGTAAGGATGCCTTGCGTTTCGTCGTCGGTGGAAAGCTTTCGTTCCTGGGCGAAGCTGGTTATGTCGATGCCTTTGCCGTTGAGGAAGTCCAGCAGCTCGTCTTCTGGGTGGATGCCGACGAGGGCAGCCACCAAGGCTCCGGTGCCGGTGCCGGTGATGATTCGAGGAAGAAGACCCCGAAGATGTAGCGCTCTTACGACTCCGAGATGGCAGTATGCAAACATACCACCTCCTTGCAAGACTAGAGTAGATCTTCCAAATGCTTGCCTTGTATCATGCAGCAAGTCCAGTTTCGCCTGACTGGTCCAACCACTTTCGTAGTTCGAAGCCGCCGGTAGAGCCGTGACATACTTAATCGCTAAGGCAACTTGCGTGATGTATTCTTCAATCAGCAACTTTGTCCCCGCGTATGCTCTGTTGAACAGCTTTGGTGCTGTAATGTTGCCCAAATTTCTGACCAAGCCTGAGCGAAGCAGGTTGACAAGACCGAGTATATCCTCATCTTCCCTAGCTTTTACGATAGCCTTGCGGCGCTCATATATCAGACGAAAGTCGTAATATTTGCTCGATGCATTTTGACGCCATAGATCAGTATTAAGGAGTTCGTCGATTTGGGAAGCTGTAATTTCCCATTCTTCGAAGGTTTGGGCATTCACGAGTTTATCAAGATGTGCCTCCAGAGGCTTTTTGTGCCAGACCCAGCCGTAGACTTTCTACTTCAGATGAGATATTGCTCGTAGGCTGGTGGACGTTTTGAGTAGACTCACGCTTTTCCAATAGCTTCCTACGTCGGCGAAAACGCCCAAGATAGAATTGAGAGGCATTGCTGAAGATGTGACAACATTTCAGCTCATTCAATCTCTACTAGCTGAGAAACGGCCGAACAATGTAAATCAAAGTACAAATAAATGACCTTTAAACTTCAAACTGAGATGATTTGGCTGAAGCGCGAATGTGACCGAGGCTATGGCTCTAATCTTATCGGCACGTGACTGTGAGCCTTGTCTACCTGATAATGCCCTAGATGTGCACGGGAATAAATCAAAACATTATGTGTACTGTCTGTGAAAGCTCCCTTATCCTCCTTTAAAAGTCATTGAGATGTTACTTGGCTCATGGTTCCTCCATTCTCGCTGCCCAGTGTAAAAGTCTCATTGCTGTTGCTCGCATCAGATGACCCCAACAACCCGTTGCCTGCATGCTGTTGGTTGCTAGCGCTTGTCCCAGTCGAATGACTCTTCTCAACGGTGATATTGATCCTGCCATATTTGCCAGTCGTAGTGGTGCCCCCGGTCCGTCCCTCAAGATACATACCCACCGCACAAGCATCGATCAAAAGTTTTACGCGATTGGTGACCACCAGCCAGGTACTTTCGTCTGTCTCGCCTATGCCAATATCGACTGTAATCAAGCAGATTTGCGTCTGAGGTATTTCACCTTTTGGCGCATGGACCTTTACTGGGAGCTCGTGATCATCTTGAACACCACCTGTATGAAATTGTCCGACTTCGTGACCCGAAGGGAGAGACATGATGGCACCTAGGCAATCCCGTGTTCTGGCCCGCTTTGTTTTATACAATTTACCTGGGAAACACTCGTAGTCTGCGTTTAGAGATTCATTGTGTATTGAGTACGGTACGGTCAACTCGGTCCTGACGGCATCGGACAGTGACGTGCCGTTAAGTATTGAATCGCCCTTGGTACTTTCAATAGCGTTGTAGCTGTTGGCTAGGCTTGGTAAAACATCGAGAGCTTCTGTGCCGTGAGATTCTCCCGCTGGATATGCTGCTATTCGATGGATAATGAGTAGAAGGCTAGTTAAGAACATTCTGCACGTTTGGAAGAGATCCATCTGTCTTACTTAGCTGCTGTCCTTCAGCACAGAGGCTGAAGAAAACGCGAGGAAAGATGCCAAACGCATTCTTAAATCTTCGTTTCGCATGAACGACGCAAGATCTCATGATAACGCGGTGGAAATCCGTGACCCACAAATGCCCGATATGTGGAGGTGGTTGTCGCGTCTGCCAAATTCTAATGCGATAAGACATCCAGCTGTAGTCTCAGACATTATCAATGCGCCTGCAGGGTTTCGACAATGATAGGGGGGAGGGGGGGGTTCCAGAATCTGCTTTGCAATCATGCAAATATTGCCCCGAGTCCTTTCTTTTATTGTTGGGAAAATTGTTATATCGTGTGTCAATGTGACCGAAATATAAGGCAAACATGGGAGCAAGACCTCAGGCACTGGATGAATTACACTGACACCGACAAGTAGCTGCACCTTTTGCTCCAGAACTTTCACTTGCAAGATTATCGTCCAATGGTTCATTGGAGGAAAAAATCACACATCAAGCGCCGCACTAACGGCAATGCAACGCATGTCTCCAACTCTGTAGAAATAATCGACGCAAATGTCCGAACAGGGTTCTGATACATTCAAGCATGTAGACGGAAAATCTCGTGTGCAGTGCAACCTTACGCGAATTTTGTTTTCAATGTTCTCCGACTAATTTGATCTAGCATGTGAAATTTGCAGGCAGCTGTGAAAGCCTCAATTGTCACTCTGTGAAGTCTCTGGAGGCTTTCGGCTGTGAGTATAAGAGGAGGAGCCTCAGATTGATGGAAAGATGATCATTGTTGATGTAAATTCATGATTCATGAACTTTGAGTCTGCCGTTTATTCAGCTGACCTATAATAACTTTGGTATGAATGTTTCATCAAAACGTCTTGAGTGGACTTCATTCAATGAGTTTCTCTCGCTAAGCTACTTTGCAAGAGAGGTTTAGACCGTCGGAGCGACTCGGGAGACAAGGACAGCGACTTATTGCTACCCAGCCTCTGAATAGGTTAATCAGTAAGGGTAGTGACTACATTCATGTGATATAGACATCGCCAATGTCTACTTTTGTGATCTCGGAGAATAATAGTTGCATAGAGCGAGAAGAAGGTAAGAATCGAAGATTGGCCGGTGGAAGATAGTAATTTCCAGGCAAAAGCTTTTCAGCCCTATAAGTCTTGGCGTCTCGCTTAGCTCTCTGCCGTCGCTCCACCAAAGCGGTCGCTTAGTATCTCTGCTACTAACAATTCTAACCTCAGCTCCTACGCTGTCTCGCTAGCTACGATGAGGTACATACACTCGGAAGAGTCATTAGCAATTCCGGACAACGGTGAGCTCCACGATTCAGCAAAGGTCTTGAAACAATGGACGAGTTGCTGACCCCGCGCAGTCAAGGTCCACATCAAGTCGAGGATAGTCACCGTTGAAGGACCTCGAGGTACGTTTGAAAAACGTTGTCAGCGCACTGGACTTATCGACTTACACCTATTAGGCAAGCTCGTCAAAGATCTATCCCACATTTCCGTCTGCTTCTCCCGTCCATCGAAATCTACCATCAACATCGAGCTCCACCATGGCGCCCGAAAGAGTGTTGCTACACTACGCACAGTCAAGACCTTAATAAATAACCTCGTGATTGGAGTCACCAAAGGCTTTAAATACAAGATGCGATACGTCTACGCCCATTTTCCTATCAATGTGAACGTGGAAAAGAATTCCGAGACTGGCTTATTCGAGGTTGACATACGGTACGCTCCAAAATTGGGGGAACAATTGCAGAATAACCAAAAAGGCTGACTATGTACTGAAGGAACTTTATTGGCGAAAAGATCGTTCGGAGAGTCACAATGTTGACAGGTGTGACAGTAGAGATATCGAAGAACCAGAAGGATGAGTTACAATTGACGGGCAACTCATTGGAGAATGTATCCCAGAGTGCGGCAGATATCCAACAGATATGCAGAGTCAGGAACAAAGATATCCGAAAGGTAGGAGCCACGCTGAGAACCTGAACCTTGGGGGAATGCTGACAAGATTCTTGCATAGTTTCTTGACGGATTATACGTATCCGAGAGGGGGAATATCGAGGAGGGTGCATAAAGGACCTCCAGACTCGGAGCGCGCGTGGTGATCCAAGATAGCCTCAAAATCAAAGCTGCATAGCGAACGGGCCTTTGCACCTGATCTACTTCGAACGTTTCTTGACCAATTTCGTTGCGGCCGAAGATCCGGAACAATTATTTGCATTTCCGACTCAGCTTTCGAATCCTTTGGTCTTAGGCTGACCCGGAGAACCTGTAGCCTGCCTTGCAACCGCAATCATGTGTATCTGTACGAATGATGAGTATTCTTTGGTAGTAGAATGAGCGTAGACACAAGACGCCAGGATGCATGACGCTAAGACTTTCGCGTGGTCATAGAGGGTTGTTAACTCGAGCTCTACTTGCCACCTGAATGCAACCGTTGATCCAGTGATAGGATCGGGGTGTGGGGGACGGGTTCGTTAGTCTTGGTCCCAAGACAGTACTAAATCGGTCGTCCTAACCTTTGGAACTTCAGCGCCTTGCCAGTCTCTGCCTAGAATCGCCGGTAATCTTATTGAACCAAAAAGCAACAATGTCCGCCCCATAGATCTTCTATCATGAGTGCCTGGTCTCGGTATATTCCATGTTAGAAAATGTCATCCAACGTCACACCCCGCTGCCCACGAGATCCTCCGCCCTGAAGCTTCGCGCTTAAGTGCCTGCCTGCATACCGGGCCGCAACACCATATCTTGAACAGGCAGGCCATGATTTAATCTCACTTGACACTCGGACGACACTTCATGTTGGTTGTGTTCGCGCCTACTTATGCTACCCTCCCCCTCCCACTCTCCTCCTCCATCACCTACAGCCTCTTCTGACAACTCTCACGAACTACGACCCTTGATCGGCCAATCCATGGAAGACCAGAAGGATATTGAACACGTTAATATAGACTCTCATCTTCCAACTGGCGGGGTTTTACCACGTCATGCAATCCTCAATGATCCCGAACTCGACAGCCTGACCTTGTACGAGAAGAAGGCCTTGCTGGTCAATCGCGAGCTCGACAGTCATGGCATGGGAAAATACCAGTGGTACATATTCTTTCTCTGCGGCTTTGGCTACCTCTTAGACCTGCTGTACGCGCAAGCATTTGGTCTGGTAGAGCCAGCGATTCAGCAGGAGTTTGGCTTTGGAGGTGCGTATTCCTCTGACCATTCAACCTCTCTTTGCCACCACTGATCGCGCCTTCAGATGCTCAGTCTGGCGACCTCTTCTCCTCCTTTTCAGCGGGCCTAACGGCTGGCGCATTTGTATGGGGTGTCTTGGTCGACATTATCGGTAACGTACTCTGGCTCCTGTCCTTTCTCCTCATCATTACGTGGTTCTAACTGCCGCACACCTAGGCCGACAATATGCATTCAACCTGACGGTCCTGATAGCTTCTGTCTTTGGCCTCGCGCTTGCGGGACCTGACACTTACAATGGCGTACTCGTACTGACAGCTTTCGTTGGCTTCGGCGTCGGAGGGAACATCCCCATTGACACGACAATCTGCCTTGAGTTCATCCCTCAAAATCGGCGCTTCCTATTGGCCTTGCTCTCGGTTTTTCAGCCAATTGGTGTAGTTCTATGCTCCGCCATAACGTACGGCCTATTGCCCAAATACTCCTGTGGAACAGACGCCAATGGGGACGATCTGAAGGCATGTAGCAAGGTGGCAAAAGGCGCCGAATGCTGTACAAAGGCGAGCAACATGGGCTGGAGATACACTCTGATCTGCCTGGGAGCGATATGTCTGGTTATTTTCTTCCTCCGATTCGTTCTCTTCACTTTCCAAGAGTCACCTAAGTTCTTACTGTACCGAGGGAAGGATGAAAAGGCTGTCCAAGTCTTACACAACGTGGCAAAATTCAACAAGAAAGAAAGCAGCATCTCACTAGAAGTATTCGATGCCTTGACCTCGGAAGACAACTCGCAAGCAAGTGCCGATACATTCGGCGGAGGCGCAAAGCAGCTGAAAGCCAATTGGCGTGAAAAAATAAGCCTTGAACTCCAGAGATACAAGATCCTTTTCAATGGTTTCAATATGGCGCGCCTGACGATCTTAGTCTGGATTACATACATGTTCGACTATTGGGGCTTTAGCATAGCTGGTAGGTCCGGTCGCTTTCTACTAGCAGCAGCTGTGCTAATATCTTCCAGGCTCCTTCCTCCCCAAGATCCTACTGAAGAAGAACAAAGACATCAAGGTCTCCACTGCTGAAACCTATCGCAACTTCATCCTTATCTACTTCCCTGGCATCTTCGGCGTGCTCCTCGGTGCCCTGATGTACACCGTGCCACGAATCGGACGTAAATGGGCCATGGTTGGTTCATCGGCTCTGATGGGCGCCTCCCTCTTCGCTTTCGCCGGTGTCAACACTCAAGCCTCTAATATTGGTCTCAACGCCATGGAATACTTCTTCCAGTCCATGTTCAACGCCGTACTGTATGGGTGGACGCCAGAAGCTTTCCCTGCGCCAATCAGGGGAACTGCATGTGGCTTGGCGAGTTTCTGGGGACGATTGTTTAGCATCGTGTCGCCACTCATTGCGGCACATCTTTACACTGAAAATGTCAACGGCCCACTGTATCTAGCAGGTGCTGGAGTGTTTGTGTGCACGGTGGCACTAATCTTGATGCCGGCAAAGAGCATGGGTGCGCAGAGCTTCTGAGAGGCCTGAAAGAAGCGCACATTCGACGAAGGTGATGACAATGAAGACGCTGGCCACAGTGACGTGGTCACGCAATAGCATGCGATGGGCGGTGGGTACACAACAGATGAATTCTTGTTGATATTGTTAGGACGATGGTACTCCTACATAGCCTTTCAGAAGCGAGCAGTATTTTCGTGCCTGTGCATCTCCATCTTGATGCGCCTTTCTCCGCGTGTGAACCTGCTTCATTCCTGCATCACAACAAGGACGCTGAGATATTTGCTCGCCCAATTCGAAGACTTGTGCGATCCAACTTCTGATTCGTAAGTGCTCGAGCGGAGAAACCAGTTTGTAACGTACAAGGCCTTGCGGGCACCACGCGACTTGTCAAAACCCTCTGAGACAAGACCGAGCAGCCGCTTCGGTTGGCTGCATATTCTACTTAGTAGTGAGCCACACCCTCACCCATTGTGCACGTGCTTCGAGGCATTCACGCAACCATGAGCTCGTCGGCTAAACAGCCTTCGGAATGAGAAAATTGTCAAGATGATATATTTCGCATACGTAGGTCCAACGATACGCAGTCTCACGGGCTGAACGCGCCGGCACACGCAAACGTCAAGTCAAGGACAAATCCAACATGCACCGAGAGTAGGCAAACGAGGCGCGATGGACGGACCAAAAGCCTAGCCCTCGCTGGCGTTAATTATTCACGCCACTTCAACGAGGAGTAACTGACCAACAGCCCTAGCTTATCTGAATGACAGCTGAGACGTTGTTGCCACTACTACCACATGTTGCGGCAACAATAATGGCTTGGGTGGGACTACTTCTCAAGCTATGTTAGCGTTTTCGCAGCCACTTTGTATTGATGTTGGCACGCATCGCTCGGTGCTCGCTAGAAGTCTGGACAGATTTGGATCTCCGACCAACTGTGAGGCTGAGATGGTACGTTCGGCATCGGCGAATCTCATTATTGACGTTTTGAATACTACGCTGGCTGGGCTGGGCAGTCTTTTACGGTGATAACATTTCGTAAAAGGGTGGAGCAAAGAAGCAGGCTAAGTATGCCTTCAGTTAGATGCCCCGCAATTCCGTCCCATCGGTCGCTGCGTGCCATCGCACGCCATTCAGCCCTTGGCTTGACTCGGCTTAACCCCAATCGTGGGGAACATCTAGGCCTAGAGATGTCGCGATGCCCTAACGAGCATATCCAATAGTCAATGCAGACTCTCTGATCCAGCAGCTTCCTCCATGCGAAATGGACGAACTTCTACATTGCCATCGAGTAAGCGATTGAGAGTGGCGTTGGAAAGTAACCCCCACCACAGTGCACGCACCAACGTTATTTCCCCGAGGTCATTCTTCAATAGTCCATACAGGCTAAGCTCTAGCCTACATCATAGCTTCCTGGCCTCCCTGCAGGCAGATTGCTGGGTTGGTCCTTTAAAGATCGGCGCATTCTCGTCGCCAACATCTTCTTTTCCTCAATTCACCCCACAGCTGCACATCAGCTCTTATATTTGAACTTGAGTCCGTCCCTCGAGGGAGCTTGGTCTTTGCTGTCAACCACGTTCTGGCCAGCCTAATTCGCTTCGAGTCCGGCCCGTATTCAAGTGACGTTTCCTTGAAGACGCGCAAAGACACCATCATAACCGATCTCGATTTGTGGTTAATGCTGAGCGAGGAACGAAGGATCGATCGTCTCATCAACACAGTGCATTTGCGCTGCATCAGGCTGATAAAATGGCGTTGAAGAACAGCCCGTCGGATTCTTCTAATGAAAAGCCCGGGGGTGGGACTATGATGCCGAGAATGGACGTCAAGGAAGCCAGGGCCGAAAGATGAGCAGGGTTGGAGGCACTCTTTCTGCGCAGACTACTTCCGACGACCACACCGATGTGGATAAGCAGATTGAGTTGGAGGCGTCCAATTCGATCAAATATAGGACGTGCTCGTGGCAGAAGGTAATCGGTCTCTCATTTCTATGTTTTCTAACAGCCCCCCATCGCACAGAAAGTTTCGATGAAATCCCCACGGCCCTGTCTCATAAAACATTTCAAAACGAAAGAATCAGGATGTCTGACAGTGATTTATTAGACTGCTGCCCTGCTCTTCTCCGAGTACATTTGTTTGGCTATCATGTCATTCCCATACTCGTACTCCATACTGGGTCTAGTTCCGGGTATTATTGTGACCGTCGCCGTTGCAGCTACCGTGCTGTACACCTCCTTAGTCTTATGGTTCGTTGAATTCCACCAAGGTTGCGAATTTAATGCTCACAAGTCGTCAAGGGAATTCTGTATGCGACATCCTGAGGTTCGAGATGTGTGTGACGTAGGCCAGATGCTCTACTGGAATTGGCGCTGGGTCTGGTACTTCACTGCGGTTATGTTCCTACTCAATAACACCTTCATTCAAGTAAAGTGGCCCCTAACAGTATTCGAGGCCTCCACTGACTTCGTCAGGGTCTTCACGTCTTGATCGGTGCGGAGTATTTAAACACCATGACAAACGGCGCGGTCTGCACAGTGGGTTACTCAGCGATAACTGCAGTGATCGCATTCTTCTGCTCATTACCGAGGACGTTCGACACCCTTTCCAAGCTCGCTACTGCCTCAGCATTCTTCACTTTCATCTCCGTTCTCCTGGCCTCCATCTTTGCCGGTATCGAGGACCACCCCGAAGGTTACAACACACCAGGTGGCGGCAAAACGGGCCTGTTGACAGGAGAACCAATCGTGCTCACCGTCGCAAAGAGCGGAACTCCCTTCGTTCAGGGAATGTTAGCTTTCCTGAACATTTCGTATACTTTCATCGGCCAAATCACGCTCCCCAGTTTCATCGCCGAGATGAAAGAACCCAAGGACTTCCCCAAGGCCTTGTGGGCAGTCACGATCGCAGAAATCATCCTGTTCAGCGTCTCAGGCGGAGTTATCTACGCCTATACTGGAACCCAATACAACACCGCTCCCGCTTTTGGCTCCCTCGGCAACGCACTTTACAAGAAGGTCTCATTCTCCTTCATGATCCCCACCTTGATCTTCTTGGGCGTTCTCTACGCTTCCGTATCCGCGCGATTCCTCTTCTTCCGGATATTCGAGGGCACGCGCCATAAGGGCAGCCACACGGTCGTTGGCTGGGCCAGCTGGGCAGGTATCTTGGCTGTGACCTGGATTTTTGCCTTCATCGTGGCAGAAGTCATCCCTTTCTTCAACGATCTGCTTGCCTTGATGAGCTCGCTCTTCGACTGCTGGTTCGGCTACGTTTTCTGGGGGACTGCGTACTTCAGGATGCGATCTGCTGACTACGGTCCTGGGTTCATGACACGTAGAGGGTTCAGGGGTATCGCGGGGGCTGTGACGAATGTGTTCATCATTGGGATTGGTATCTATATGTTGAGTGCGGGCACATATGTAAGTTCAACTGCTATGGGAGATTTGTTTTGGTTATGCTAATGCGCTCGCAGAGCACGGTGCAGAGTATCATCGATAGCTACGCTGCCGGTACCGTGAAGGGTGTTTTTACTTGTAAGAGCAACGGTGTATAAACGACGAGACGAGAGTGAATGCTTGGATCTGACGAGTGGGTTGGAAGTGGCTACATACACCTGTAAATACATAAATATAACCTTGGAATTTGCACGCGTTATGATTGGTCAATGGCACGCCTGCGCTATGACGACTCTGGTCCTCGCGGAAAACCATCCACTTTCTCCGCATCGAAACACCAAGCATTGCCCCCGACAAACCCATTGCCCATAATTCTCCCCTTCATTTCTCCACCTCCAGAACCCATGTTGGTCTCGTAATACTTGCCATGGTCACAGGCTAGCATCGATCCACCCACCATCCTCACCCCAACACACAATTCCCCGCCTCCCGTCAACAAGCACAACAACAAAATGAAATCCACAAAACTCCACCCCTCCACGCTCTCCCGACCTACACGTCTCCTCCTCTCCCATCTCACGACACCTTCTCCCTTCATACGCTCAACATGCTCAGCTCGGCCTTATACTCTCCCCACCATCACCACCCCTCGTACCCCACTTCATCCTACTCACCCCTCCCCCTCTCCAGCCCCCGCTCTTCGGCGCTACAACAGCACAGCTCCCACACCACCGACACCCTCCCCAAACGCCGACGACGCCTCCCTCCCCTCCGGCCAGCTACGGCACACAGACCTCCACGCCTTGCACGTCCAAAAGGGCGGTAAAATGGTTCCCTTCGGCGGGTACAGCATGCCCGTGCAATACAGCGATCTCAGTGTCAGCGAATCCCATAAATGGACCAGATCAGAGGGAAAATGCAGTTTATTCGACGTGGGACATATGGTGCAGCACCATTTCTCCGGCGTTGGTGCGGCGGGGTTTTTGGAACGTGTGACGCCTTCTGCATTGACGGGGTTGGCGCAGAACACGAGTACGCTGAGTTGTCTCTTGTTAGAGTATACGGGCGGTATTGTGGATGATTGTGTGGTGACGCGCCTCGGGCCAGAGCTTTTTTATGTGGTCACGAATGCGGGGTGTAGGGATAAAGATCTGACGTATTTGAAGGAGCAGTTGGCTGTGTGGAGGGGCGAGGGCGCGGGGATTGGGGGAGGCGGGAAGGTTATGGGTGCGAAAGGCGTGGGGGAGGTGAAGTGGGTGATTAGGGATGGGTGGGGATTGGTGGCGCTCCAGGGGCCGGGGAGTAAGACTGTTTTGGGGGATGTGTTGCAGAAGTTGGGGAGGGAGGGGGAGGCGGCGGGATTGGAGGAACTGTATTTTGGGCAGTGTTTGGGCATTGATGTTGGGGGGCTTTGGGAGGTAAGGGGGAGGGGGAGATTTTGGTCAGTAGGGCGGGGTATACGGGGGAGGATGGGTTTGAGATTTCGGTGCCGCCGGGATTGACGAGGGCGTTCACGGAGTTGGTGCTTGAGGTTGGTGGGGAGGAGAGGGTGCGATTGGCCGGGTTGGGGGCAAGGGATAGTTTGAGATTGGAGGCGGGGATGTGTCTATATGGGCATGATTTGAGTGAGGATGTTACGCCTGTTGAAGGGGGCTTGGGGTGGGTTGTTGCGAAGGAACGGAGAGGGACGGGGGGGTTTCATGGGCATGAAACTATTTCTAGGCAGTTACGGCCTGTGAAGGAGGGAGGTGGGGTGGAGAAGAGGAGGGTGGGCTTGGTTGTTGAGGGGGCTCCGGCGAGGGAAGGGGCGGATGTGCTAGGTGAGGGGGGAGAGGTGGTCGGGAGTGTGACGAGTGGGTGCCCGAGTCCGAGTTTGGGGAAGAACATTGCTATGGCATATGTGAAGACGGGGAGTCATAAGTCGGGCACGAAGTTGAGAGTGAAGGTTAGAGGGAAGGAGAGGCAGGCGGAGGTTGTGAAGATGCCTTTCTTGCCGAGTAAGTATTGGAAGAAAATTACGGGGACTGCTCCTGCTTGACGGAGAGGCGGTGTGTTTAGAAGGTTTTACGTGCAACACGAAGGGAGGTCTGGTTTATGACATGATGATCCTTGGTCACCTGGAAATAGAGATAGATCTATTAAATTTCAATACTCAAGACTCCGACAGTTACACAACTATAAGTACCCCTAAAAAGGGCCTTATTACAGCGAAAAGATATTATTCTATTGATATTCTTAGGTAACTATTGTCAAATGACTTGAAGCCATCGATTTATTAAGTATAAATCCCGAGATGGCTCTCCATACGTGCTCTCAACCTAATTAATCATGCCCGAAATTACATTCTTTCCATTCATCATTCAAATCCTCAACGCCTGCAAACGGATGAGGGGCGTAGGAGTTTGGATAGCGACCTAAAACCATCGAAGCAGCTATATTATGTCCTTTGAAGCCACAGTCAGCTTTGTTCTGGAAAGAAGCCGCTTCTCTTTGCCGATATTTTTATTTGGTAAATACTTTGGCGTAGAACGGCTCCCAAGTTGTGTCCAATACGACAGAATGTCCGTTGACGCATACGCAACCGAGAGCAATACGATTGTCTAGATAGCAGCGAAAGACGTCATTGTAAAGTCAATAATTGAAAAGGATGTAAAGATGATATAAGAATGGTCGCAAGCAAGGGACTAGTCAGGACGGGAATTTATGCAAGGGGATGGGAGGACCAATGACTCTCTCGACATATTGAAGATATCACAGACGCATGTGCTGAAAAAATCACTACAATGAGGGTATGGTTTCATACTGTACCGCTTGCCAAATAACGTGAAAGGGCCAGGACTTGACGTCTTTGAGCCAGCCATTCTCGTTGATTTGTGAACAAGGAGGCATGAGCATTTTTACAATCTTATACATTGAGTAAGCACCTATATCGAATAAGCCAAACAGAAGTTGTCGGTCGAGGGTTGGTGTGTTTGAAGGTTGCCGCGCCAAATTATAGGCGCTAATTGGGGGTAAGGCGGCCTTATACAGCCCGCCTGTAGGCAGCTTTCCCGGGCAACCCCCCCAAAACGCCCCCTAAAATTGGATTTGGCGCGGCAACCTTCAAACACACCAACCCTCGGGTGCTCGACTGAGGATTTGTGCGGCTTAGGCTGTACTGCTTGCCGTAGTCGGGAAAAAGCAAAGCCGGCTAGTCTGGCCGCACAAACCCCACATGCCTGGAGATAGGGGCAGGCCGGCTTACAAGGCGCGTCCCGGGGGAGGGAATCCCTACAGCTGCCCCTAAGGGCGATCGCGCTCAGACTGGCCGACCCTCGGCTTGGCATGATTTTCATCAAGAATCTAAATATTGGGGGCATAGTCACATAATCAACGAGATGCCTTCTAAGGGCAAAGTTAGTGATGGGAATGGCGTTGCTAAATCGCAAGAACCTCAGTTCGATTCAAATGCTCTACTCCAATTGACCCAGAAAATCCAAGATGGCTTCAGTAAAAAAGCTACAAAGGGCGCGAAAGGTGCGCAACCTTTGCACGAGAAAAAGCCCAAGCTAAAGAATCAAAATCGATCAACCGAACGCGGGGGCTCGATAGCCAAGTATGGAGGTGATAAGCAAACTCGAGAGACACAGAAAATTGGAGAACATGCAAAGAAGCCCCAAGGGAAGAAAAGATTGCGGAACGGGGAAGAGAAGGAGTCGCAGGATTCGTTGGCTGCAAACAAGCAAAGAGCAAAAGAACATAAAGGGGACAAAAGAGTGCATGATCAAGCTGCTGTAAAGCCAGACCTTCGAGCTTTGGTTGAAGAACTTGGCGGCTCGGAGGACGACTATAAGCTTGTTGCGAATGTCGAGTCAGAGTCAGAGCATGAACTTACAACTTCAGGAGAAGCAGACGGGAAACTTGCAAATGATCTCAAGAAGTTCATGAGCAGCCTTGGTCTCGAGAAAGCAAAGCGAGAAGCCTCAGAGGAAACAGTAGAGACTGACGACTACGACGAAGAGAATGTTGAAGAAGATGGTCAGAGGCAGATCAATGGTGCTCATACTCCCACTCAGCCCATCACAAAGCAATCCAAGACGACAATTAAGTCTCCCAGCAACGACCATGCTAAGCTAGTAAGGCCCCTACACATGAGATGCGTGACCAAAACCGTGTCACTGACTGCATCAATAGATATTGCAACCCTTATCTGAATGGCATGCGGCAGGGCTGGCTCCAATAGAACAGCAATCGGAAAGTCGGAGCTCAGTGCACAAAGACACAGTAGAACGGCTACATACTCACGCAAAATCTTTACTTGAAAAAGAAAACCAAATGTTTGCAGATTCACAGCGCTCAGCATCATCTTCGCATCAATTCTACACGACCATTATGGCAACAGGGACGCTTTCAGACAAGATCAGCGCGCTGACACTATCAGTGCAAGAGTCACCCGTGCATAACATGAAAGCTCTCGAGAATCTGCTTGGACTCGCACGAAAACGAAGCCGAGCTCAAGCTGTAGATGTCCTTGTTGCCCTGAAGGATCTTTTTGGACTAGGAAATCTACTACCTTCCGATCGAAAACTGCATGCTTTTGGAGCCAACCCCTGCTTGCACGCTGTTTTAGCTTCTCATGAAGTTCAATGGACAGATAAGAAGCAACTGCCGCGACCACTGACTGAAGCACATCTCCTATTATGGGCCTTCGAAGACTGGTTGAAATCTATGTTTTTCCAAATGCTTCAGATTCTCGAAAGTTGGTGCAATGATGAGGTAGTCTTCGCACGTAGTAAGTCAGTCGACTGCGTGTACTCTCTTCTCAAAGAGAAGCCGGAACAGGAAGCAAATCTGCTACGTTTACTGGTGAACAAGCTAGGTGATTCCGACAAGAAAGTCGCTTCGAAGGCTTCTTTCAACATCTTGCAGCTTCAGACAACACACCCCTTTATGAAGCCGATCATTATCGCTGCAATCGAGTCAGACCTGCTATTTCGTCCTGGTCAGAGTCTTCATGCTCGATACTATGCAGTTATCACCCTCAATCAGACTGTATTAAGTAATAAGGAGGAGAATGTTGCCAAGAAGCTCATCGACATCTACTTTGCTCTGTTCATGAAGCTTTTGAATGATCCTCTGGAGCCTGTCTCCAAGGCCAAAGAGGTCAAAGTAGCCAGTAGCGTCAAGATCAATAGCAAAGGAGAAGTGCAAGGAGGTGGAGGAGCACCAGGCAAAAATGCCCTCAAGAAACAAGCCCAAAATAGCAAGTCCACGGCTGCTGCAGAAGAATTGCGCGAGAAAATGCTCTCTGCTGTCCTCACTGGAGTCAACCGCGCCATTCCCTACACCAATACGAATAATGATTCATTCGAGAAACATGTCGACACTCTCTTCCGAATCACCCATTCCTCCAACTTCAACACAAGCATCCAAGCTCTTCTACTAATCCAACAACTCCAAGGCGCCACCCAAAGCTTCAGCGACCGATTCTACCGAACCCTTTACGAATCCCTTCTCGACCCTCGTCTCCTCACATCCTCGAAACAAGCTATGTACCTCAATCTCCTCTACCGCTCTCTGCGCTCCGACCTAGATGTCAAACGCATCAAGGCCTTCGCAAAGCGTCTCCTCCAAGTAATCTCCATGCACCAACCTTCCTTTACCTGCGGCGCAATCTACCTCCTCCGCGAACTCGAGACCGTCTTCCCCAGCCTCTCGAATTTCGTCTCGCAGCCCGAAGAAAACCTCGATGACGACGAAGAAGTATTCCGCGACGTGCCAGACCCCCTCTCTACCACCCAACCACCCAGCAAAGACGCTCTGTTAACCCCCGCAGCACACCAACGCCCCTCCTATGACGGCCGCAAACGCGACCCTGTCCATGCCTCTGCCTCCGCCTCCACCTGCTGGGAATTACACCCCCTCCTTCACCACTTTCACCCCTCCGTCTCCCTTTTCTCCACTCGCCTGCTGACCCCCAGTATCCCCATGCCGCCGAAACCGGACTTAGGCGCCAATACCCTCATCCATTTTCTGGATCGTTTCGTGTACAAAAATCCAAAAGCCGCCACTAAACAGACGCCTCTGAAAGGCCAATCGGTAATGCAGCCATCAGCTGGCGGTGCTAAAGGCAGTATTCTCGTTACTTCTTCTAAGGTGGGGGCGGTGAAAGGAGTGGGGCAGAATTTTACGGACGAAAAGTTCTGGAAAAGCGAGGAGGGAGGGGTTAGGGAGGATGAAGTCTTTTTTCATCGCTACTTCTCTACCGTGCAGGCGAAGAAAGAGAGGGCGAAGAACAAGAAAGCAAGAAAGGAGGAAACCAAACGTAGGAGGGATCGCGCTGATAGCGAGGGTAGTGCGGAGGATGACAGTGGTGGGGAGGAGGAGATATGGAAAGCTCTTGTCGGAAGCAGGCCGGAGATCGGTGGCGACGATGATGTTGATGGCGAGGACGACGACGAGATCAGTGAGTTAGAGGATTATGACGATTCCGAAGGCTCTATTGGCGATGCAGGGGTCGAATTCCATGACAGCGACGCAGAGGAGAACGTCGACGGGCAGGGTAGTGCAGATGCCATGGATCTCGATGACAACTCTGAGGGCGCGCTCTTCGATAGTAAGGATGAATTGCCTGACCTACCTTCTGCTATGCCTTCAGATGCGGGCGAGAGTAAGGGCAAAGGCAGGAAAAGACGCAAATGGCTCAAAGACTTGCCTACTTTCGCCAGCGTGGAGGAATATGGGGATATGCTTGGCGGGGATGAGGAGGAGGGATAGGTAGCGCAACTAGAGTAGTGCCTTTCCCTTACCTCTGCCCTATATACCAATCAAATTGCTTTGCAACTGCCCTCGAATTTGCTTCTGCCGGGGATTGCGGGCACTGCGTAGCTTTCACTGCTGAAATATAGGTGTGTGGGCGAGAGAATGAGAGTAAGGGATAGGATAGGATAGGATAGGAGGGGAGGGGAGGGGATGGGGTAACAAGGAGGTAATTATTCATTAAATTATGATTACGCCAGTCTATAGTATCCACACCTACACCCATGCCTATACCAGCCCACTTTCCACACCAGGAGTACAGATTATTGGTATATGGCTCCAATAGCAGATCAATAGACAGCCCATCCACCCACTGCCCTAGATCAGACCAAAAGTCTTCCTCTACCCAACCCAACCCAACCAAACTCCAAACGCATGCACCCCCAGGCAAGCAATGCAAGATCGATATCCACTCATACCCTCCCAGCCGTGCGTGCGTGCGTGCGTGCGTGCAAAACATGCGGTAAACCAAAAGCGAAAGGGGGGTATCATAAACAAAAAATCTCTCTCTTCCTTCCCCTTTTCCCTACCTCCTCCCACCCCCAGTCAACGCCTCCCAATCCCTCCACTCCCCCGCCACCTCTCCAAGCACATCCGCCATCACCGCCGCATTAGCCATCAACCCATGCCCTTCCCCCTCCAAGATCCTAACTTCGCATTTTCCCCCTCCATACATCCTGCCGCCCCCTCCCCCTCCCCCTGCCCCTCCTCCACCTTTTCCCCCCACCCCGGTATTCACACCCTTCCGCATATTCATCATCCCGCCCAACCACTTCACATTCTCCACGGGCACGCGCGTGTCTTTGCTCCCGTGGTGGATGACGATGGGGCGGGTGATGTCGACGTAGCGGAAGCCGATGGGGTGGCGGCGCTCGAGGCAGGTGAGTAGGTCGAGGTGAGGGTTCGAGTGTGCTTGTGAGAGATCCCAGATTCGGGTTGCGAGGCGGGTTTCGTAGTCTGCGGATCGCGTCGGGTCGGTGGGGTTTGATGGGGCGCTGTTGGTGGTATTGGAGGGGTGAAGGAGCGAGGTGGTCGTCGTGGTGGGTTTGAGGGGAGATGAGGCGCGGCTTGAGCTACGGGCGTGGGACGAGCGGGGGAGGGAAGGTGGTGAGGGGGTGGGAGGACGGTTTTCTTTGTCTTTGTCGGAGAAGGGAGGGGGAAGGGGAGATAGCGGCGATTTCTCGTTGGAGTGGTCTTCTTTTGGCTTGGGCGTCGGAGTGCCGTTCGCTGCATTGTCGGAACTCGTGGTTTTGTTTGCGTTGCGCTTCTTGCGCGCGGAGGAGCGTGGGAGACTGGTCGTTAATTTGTTGCTGGTGACAGAGAAGAAGTTGGAGTTTGCGGCACGGAACCAGGCTTCGGGGAGAGAACGGAGGAAGCGTTGGGAGTAGGGAATGGCGGTTGATGGGAGCGGTTCCTGTGCGGTGCCAATGGCAGACATTTGAGAGGGTGGGATCCAAGGAGCCAAGAGATGTACGCGGCATCGGATGTGCTGAGGCATGCGGAGAGCCGTTGCCAATGCATAGATGGCGCCCGCGGAGTGCGCAAGGATAGAAAATTTGGTTATGCCTCGATGTTCGCATATGGTTCGTACATCATCAGGCCAGTTCAGAGGAGTATTATTTTCGTCAGCGTAGGGTTCACTGCCGCCGACTCCAGGCCGGTCAGGAGTTATTAATCGTAATTTCAAGGCTTTGGCTATGTCATCGTAGAATGCCGATACGTATCTCGTCAGGCCCATGCCAACGCAGCAAAATATCACAGAGCCATTCGGATCTCCTACTTCGGAAAAAGAGATGACGCGTCCGGTTACCGGATTTGCGACTTGCTGCGAAAGTCTAGGCGAGGAGAGATACTCGTCAATGGCAATATCAATCGAATCAGCGCTATCTGGTCGTGGCGAGTTGTTATTAGAAGTGTCTTTTGGACCGCCGATCTGGAGTGATAATCGCCTGCGATGCTTCTCTGTAGATGTCGGGGTTCCTGGACGAGGTTGCCGTCTGAACAACTTCGAGTTCGCTCTTTGAGGTGCACTGAAAGAGCGTTGATTATCCTGTAGGGGACTTGGATGTATTTTCGGAGTGATCTTGGTCTCTGTGTTCTTGTCTGTCCGTAACGGAACGACTCGAACAGAAGGAGATGGAGCAGTCTCTTCGTTCTCTGCTATTGTAGGAGTATTCTCGACGTGACCGTTTGGAAGCTTGAGCTCCGTCTTCCCGGCTGTTGTTTGGTCAGGTGTAGGCTCTCTTGGTAACGGAGAATGAGAGCGGCTCCGACTTTTCTCCTCAGGTATGTCTAGGGATGCAGCTGCTGCCTCAGCTTCAAGTCGATCTCTTTGCGCCTTTTGCTCCCTCAATTCTTCTATACGCCGATTGACACTAGCCTCATCAAGCTCAGCGATAGCCACGGTCGGAGTCTGAGGAGGTGTGACGAAGCTGTCATCGCCTGCCTCTGTCTCGTCGTCCTGTCCAACACTACGATCTGATTGAGTCGTTTTTGATCTTCTATGGCGGCTGGCATAACTCAGGCTCTGACGCTTGGAAGAACTTCTAGTCGGTATTTGACCCTGATGGGCAAAGTTATAGGAGCTTCTTTTGCTCTGGCTAGGCCCTGCTGAGGAGGCAGCATCTTCCGAGTCCCAGTAGAGTCTCTTATTGGCCAGGACAGATGGCAATGTACCAGCCTCATCTGTTGAATGTAGAAGATCAAACGCATCCACAGGCGCATCGATGCGCGAATCTCTCTTCTTCACACTCAAGCCCTCTGGTGTAGGTGACGAGGAGCCAGAGCCAGTCAGAAACAAACGCTCTCGTTTCTTCTCCGGCTCTTTCTTTGCGACGAAGACTGGTACATCGCCTTTGGGTAGCGAGTCTGTCGAGTTTCTCATTGCTAGACTCCGAATACTCCTCGCGCTCCGTAGACTTCTCAAGCTTTTCTTCTTGTCTGGTAATTTCAATGAGGGAGCTGGCGTGACTCCGCGCTCGATGCTCAGTGTGCCGATGCTGTACGCATCGTCCAGAGACTCTTCATAGGCCGCTCCCCGAGACTTCTGCTTTATTGATATTTCGGTCGCATGTTTGGAGGATCGTCGGGAGGGGGTTTCTATCGCATGAGCAGGATGGAGATGAGTGATGGAAGGCGACGTCGACTCGGCTACGCTTTCAGTGTCAATGCTGAACCCATTGGCTAGAGGAGAGGGTGGCGCGCGGAAGCTGCTCCCCGATCTTGGGAAGTGAGTATCCCATGCGCTAGGGGAGACTGGAGTGGAATGCGACTCGGTGATGTTTGGCAAGCTATCGAAGTGTTGTTCTGCCGGCGCTGAGATGACGGAGAGAGTCTCAATGAGGGAGGAGATGACTTCGGGAGAGGCTGGTTTGACTGTCACGCGGTTGGATGATCTGCGTCTGAAATCGTGGTTGTGGTTTGGTGAAGCGGGGAGGGACTTGCGTTTCCTCTCCTTGTCCTTAGGACTATTCAAATGGATTTTGGCAGGAGTCAACGAAGTCCGCTCTGGGATGAGCGGGCCATTGCCATTGACATGAAGATTGGCATGATTGGCGTTAATGGCGCCGTCGGCCATAGTGCTTGGTCTGTGGGTGGAGCCAAAGCGCAGTGGGCGCGTTGGGGTCAGTCTGTCAGGTGCATTCGGTGGATGGACCTTATGCAAGGGCGGCCCACAGCTCGCCGGCTTGGGGCCCATCTCCATGCGAGTGAATCATATTGCTTTCTGGTTCAAGCGCCAGATGGCCATTGGAGACCATTCTGCCTCAGTTCAACAGTTTGGGGTGAGACTGCGAAATATAAAGGATGAGGAGATTATTGTTTATTCCGAAAGAGCTTTCAACATGGAAAAGGAAAAATTGGGCATGAGACAGTTGGGGGTTAATGACAGGGGGAGGCAGATAGGGCGTAGTTGGTGCAGGGATGGATGGCCACCAGTAGGCCACAGAGGCCGACGATCCTCCACCAGGACGGCAGAACTCGATATGCTTCTGATGCTTATCCCCAGCTTCTCATCCGCCATAACCTCCGCAATTTCGCGTCTCCATCCAGTCAGGCCAGACCTGTTGCAGCCTCAAATGTCTTTGATCTCCTCGAATTGATACCGCCATCATGGACTACATCCCCTACCTCACCCGCGAGCCGACTCTGTTCGAGAAGGCTTGGAGCACTGTCACCTACCCGGTCAATGTCTTCTACCATCCAATCGAATCGCTCGTCTCGTTGCCGGCCCTCTCCTTCCTCATCATACCCGCCTTCTCCTCATATGGCACCACCCTGAACTTCTTATTCTTTTATATGACATGGGCCATCCTGATCAAGTCTAACCCGCCGTTGCAGGTCGAGCTGATAGGGACCGCGGGCATACGCGTCTTGTTCTACTTGGTGCCAAGCACCCTGTTTCTGGCTCTTGATAGCTTGGCTCCTGATTTCGCGCAGAGCCTGAAAGAGCACGGCGAAGATGCTTTGGCCACAGGAGAGGCGCAGGGTGGGCCACAGGGCAGGTGGTGGAAGGTCACGCTCGTCAGCGTCTTCAATGTCACCCTTGGCGTGTTCCTGCAGACAGGGGTGGATGTATTGTTTACAAAAGTGTTGGGCATAAGAAGCGCGATCAAGATATCTACAAACCTGCCTATGCCCTGGACCATCGCTTTGCAGCTTGCATTGGGACTCCTGCTGAGAGAGGTTCTGACGTATGCAGTTCTTCGCTTTGTATTGCATGGGCAGAAGTCGCGTCTGAAGACATGGCACGAAGGGTGGCAGCATTCAGTGGTCGCTCCTTTCAGCTTCGTCGCGCATTATGATCATCCAGCCGCGTATCTGCTTCATGTATTCCTCCCCATGTATTTACCTGCTGTCCTTCTCCGGATGCACCTGTTGACATATCATATGTACATGATCATTGTCTCCCTTGAAGAGACATTCGCGTATTCTGGATATAACGTTCTACCAACTGCTTTCATCCTGGGAGGTATTGCTCGAAGGCAAGAGCGTCATCTTATGGGAGACGGAGATGGAAACTTCGGCTGTTTCGGATTAGCGGACTTGATCATGGGTACGAGCCTAAGTGATGATCTTGTGGAGGATGTTGTCGATGAAGCAGAAGAGAAGCAAGTCGCCAAGAAAGCAAAGGGCAAGGCAAAGTCCGTGAAAAAGAAAGCGCGTAAGCATGCGCCTAAACATGACAAACAGGAGGAAGAGGATGATAGTGAGCCCACTGAGGAGCAGACAAGTGAGTCGCACTCGAGAAGCAGGCCAGCTCGTGGAAGAAATGGGAAGCAGAAGGCCAGGAGTGAAGATACAGAAGCTGATCAGCACCAAGATGAGGACGAAAAGCCGAAAAAGAAAAAAGCTGCCAATGCCAAGAAAGTGAATGGTAGGCGGAAGAAGCGCAGTAGTGACGAGGATTGAGACATTGGATATGTGATGCTGGATGTCATGTTGTCATGATTTCACTTTTCTCATGCAGGTTCTAGGCGTCATGAGGTCGTCAAGATACCCTTTGGACGCTGGAACAGGTGTTGTACGAAGCCAGCCCGGTTGGATGTTGGTAGTGATATTTGATGATGATCGAGGACTCGCTCGAGAATATTTCGTGTCGTTTACTTAAGTTTAGTACAAATGCTTCAATCCATGATCTCAGCCGCCTGCACACAGCTCCTAAGCTCACCCAGTTATCCTCATTCTACCTAACGCCTGTCTAGAACACCATCTCATGTGGCCGATCCCCGCTCCTTAAGCTGAAAGTCGTCGCCAAGTAGTCTTTCAGCAACGACTCTTTCCCAAGCGTTTGTAATATCGCCTTATCGACCGATTTCTGATCGCTTGCTCTCGTCGATGATACCTCTTTCTTCTGTACGCAGAGACGAGTCAGTCTTGTAAGCCCATAGAAAGTCTACCGGCATGGCTGAAATTCCTAGCTCACCTCAGGCTTCTCCCCTTGACTAAAGAACTTATCTTCCCCGCTCTTTTTCTGTGCCTTGTCCTTTGTGAAATACCCCTCCTGCCCCACCTTCTCCAGCACCTTATCGTCGATCCCCTTCAATTCGACTTTGTTCTTTGTAACAATTACATATTTGTGGTTCACTCGCCGTAGCGGAACGCCATTCACTCTGAAAGGACCCGTAACGAGTAGCACGCCTTGCGAGAGATGTTTGAGAAATATGACCTTTTTGCCGCGAAAGCGACCGGCGAGAAGTATGAGGACAGCACCAGGTACGAGGGAGGGGCGGAGTTTGGCTTCACGGATTGACTTGCGGACCTATGGAGGGACTCAATCAGCGATGCCCCCATAATTAGCATCATCGGAAAGGACGATTGTGAAAGGCAGTGGAAGGAAGAGAGGTGGCAAAGCTTCTCGCGAACGATTGTCACGATGCCAGCTCTGGGTATCATTGTATTGAATGGGAATACACACTTTCTTCGGCTTTGCTTCGATTTCAGCCGGGTAGAACTTCCGGGCCTTCTGGGTGTGGTGAGGGATTGTCCGCTGGCCTTTGCCGAATTTCTTTGTCTTAGGCTCAGTCTTGCCACTAGGCTTTGTCGAAGACATCTTGAGGGGATGGGGAGCAGATTCCGCCGAAGTTGTGTGGCCGTAGTTATTGTGATGGTTGGCGAACGTTGATAGTGATCGTGGGCGCGCTCTTGTGTGCGGCGCTAGCGAAGCTTTTCTTGGCGGCTCAAACGGGCTAGCGTAGATAACCACCCGATATGCGGGACGACCGCTACCGATCTCCGTACTCCTGGGACAATCCACCTCTATATAAAGATGTGATTGCAGTCAAACTTGGTCGTCTTTTTATCCTGAATCACGCGCACGCCAAGTCTGTAATGGAGGATTTTTAGCAAAGACACATTTCATCACAACGATTCTGAGGGCATCCCGAAAGTAATGGTACCTCCGAGGACAATGGAACCTTGGACAACGACAAGGGGCGGTTCTGGGGGTAATTGACTCATTACAGTAGTATATTACTGCCGCTACCTGTTGCTTTCAGACGCAGAAGCTACGATACAAATGTAACAGAGTCTTCATATCATGCGTTCTGCTCGTAGCATTGTTGAAGGCTACATCTAGCATTTCCGTGGTACTCAAGATCAATTAGATGCTACGCTCACTCTCATTCGCCTTTCACTTTTTCCTTCACAATCTCCTGCACGATTTGCATAATCGTCTTCTGACCATTCATCACGTCTGACATAGGTATAGTAGCGCTAGCCTCCCTGCTCAACCAATTCCGAATCTCGACTGCAACGAGACTGTCAACCCCGTGACCTGACAAGGAGTCGTCGTGGTGGATGTCATCGAACGGAAGGTCCAGCAATCTGGACAACTTATGGCTGAACGCGTCAAGAATTACTTCCTGCAACAAATCCTTGTTAGGTCCAATCGTCGCGATTCTTTCAGCCAATGATGTTTGGTCGCCGGTTGCGGACTGGTTGGTCCTTGATTGTGCTTGACCCGCTGCGATATGCGAGAATCTCGCGTCCCACGATCGAGTTGCTTCGATTCCAACGGACACTTGAGGATCAACTACGAATCGCTTTGGGCCAGTTTCCAGAGAATTGATGATGTTGTGCTCAATCAGGCGAAGCAGATGTTCCGTAGTTATATGCTTCGCCCATCCAACACCTTTACCCGTCGCAACAAGGTCTATGTTCTCAATAGTCCATCCTGCATCATCTACGAATCCGACGTCGATTGATAGAGCCGGGAGGCCCTTTGCCACTCTGTGGTATGCCAGCGCATCCTGATATGTGTTGCCTGCGGCGTAATTGGATTGTGACAAATTCCCGTAGATGCCGGCGAGAGACGATAGCATGACGAAGAAATCGAGATCCATTGATTGTTCGATGAAGTATTCATGAAGATTTCTAGTCCCAGCGACTTTCGGACCTAAGGCTCCATTGAACTTGGGAAGGGACATATTGGCAAAGACTGAATCCTACTCAGACGACATCCGGTCAGCGATCAGAACGATTATCTATCAGAACGAAGGGACAGGAAGATTCTTCCACGTACCTGAAGTACCATAGCACCTTGAATAACACCTCGAATCGGTGGAAACGACCCTGAGCAATCCTTCAGTGCATCTTCAAGCTGTTGTCGATTTGTCACGTCGCAGGCTTGGACTCTGACCGCTGCTCCCGCCTGCTCTAAACCTTGGACAAGTTTAGACGCGCCTTTAGCTGTTTGGCCAGACCGAGATAGTAATATCAGGTTTTTGGCACCCCATGCTGATACCATCCATTTGGCGAAGGCAGCGCCAATACCACTCAGACCTCCTACGATCAGATATGAAGTATCTGACCGAAGATGAATGCTAGGCAAGGGCTTCGGAACAACCTGACAAGACGTTAGCGTAAGAGTCAGGAGCGTCATGTTGGACTTACAGGGACAATGCAGTCTTTTATAACATTGATGACGATTTTCCCTATATGAGTCCCAGACTGCATGAAACGAAACGCTTTTTCAACCTCTGGCATCTCATACACTGTGATCGGCTCAATCGGAGACAATTTCTTCTGGGCGAAAAGATCAATGACGTTCCGCAAAGCCTCCCCGGGAATTCTGTCCTTGTGGAGTCCAAATAAATCGAACCCGACCGCAATGAAGCTCGCACTTTTCTCAAAAGGTGCCATTCCGAGGTTAGCTTTGTCAATGGAGTCTTTCTTGCCCAACTCAATGAAGCGTCCAAACATTGCAATGCATCTCCAGCTCTCCCGAAGTGCATCTCCGGCTAGGGAGTTGACGATGACATCTACACCTTTGCCCTCGGTCAGCTCCATGATCTTTGGTCGAAAGCTCAAATCTCTAGAGTTCAGAATGTGACTGCGAGGTATGCCAAACGTTTTCTCGAGAAAAGCAATCTTTTCAGGAGTTCCCACCGTCACATATATTGTAGCACCAATCAATGAAGCGAGCTTGATGCATGCTTGACCAATACCACCAGCCGCTGAATGTATGAGGATTGTTTCGCCAGCTTGGAGTCGAGCAGCGTGGAAAATGCTGTAATAGGAGGTGCTGAATACTGAAGGTATGGAGGCCGCAACCTCAAAGCTCATCTCTTCGGGTATCGCACATGCCAGGTTTTGTGATGTCCTGGCATGAGTACCAAAAGTACCAGCGCCTACTGCACAAACGCGCTGCCCAACATTGAAGCCAGTCACCGCAGTTCCCATCTTGGTGATGAAGCCTGAACACTCCACGCCAAGGCCCAGTGGGTCAGGGAGCTGATCTGTAGCTATCAGAAGATCATGGAAATTGAGTGCGGTCGATCTCACTTCTATCTCGAGGTGATGGGGATGTATGTCATTTTCAGCTTGTGGGTCAGAAACAAACTGAAACGTGTCTAGAAGACCTTGATGACGCATTTGAAGTCGAAGAGGATTGCCTGGCTGCCACAAAGGCTTCATTTCGGGCTTCAGAGTATTTGACTTGCCATCGACGGCTCGGTTTGCTGCCTTGTCCTCAAGCAGTCGTGGTATCAAGAGCCTTCCGTCCCTCGTCACGAATTCGAGATCAGACATCTCAGCCGCGAGAGGGGATCCTCGAAAGCCGTTCTCAAAGACTGATAATATTGTTGTTGCCACATCAGCATTGAATGCTTGAGTTTGCATGGACTCGCAGTCAAGTGAGACGCATTTCAGGCTCCCATATTCCGCTCTCAAAGTCCTGAGAAATCCTAAGACAGATCCAGCTTCCGGAAAATTAGCACCCATGAGGCCACCAAAAGTCACCCATAGAAGGCCTTTTCCATTTGAAAATACCTCTTGAAGAGACAGCAGGTGTTCTTCACTCAGACATGTCAGAATTGGATGCTCTCGGTCATCTAGTATCACGTATAAAGTGTTAGAGGGAGAGATTTCTTCGAGGCTTGCAATGGAACATGTCAGCCCTGAGGACTCGGTATGCAGTGCTTCTGCTAGGCAGCGTGCTAGTTCTACTCCTGACTGGGAGACATGAACCACTGTCACGTCACTTTGTGGTTGGGGAACGTCCTTGCTAAGTTTCGTCGAGACCATCATCGAGATTGAATGTTTATCCTCCGCGCTATCTCGCGCAGCTATGTCGAGGCCGCTGAAGCCGGATCTACGGAGAAGCACATCCCATCGTTTCTCAGTCATAAGGGGACCATCTACTCTCCCCTCTTCAACACCTGTGCCCCCGTCAGTCAACAGGTTTTGTTATGCGACTGACATGAGACACTTACCTAGCCACCATCCAGGTAGCAAGCCGAAGACCATTCCTACAGATATCTCTCCCACATTCGTGAGCTCGACCAGAACAAGTTTGCCGCCTGGCCTCAGTAATCGATTGACATTCGTCATCGTCTTCTCCATGGATGCTGTTGCGTGCAAAACGTTCGCGGCTACAACGAGATCATAGCTTTCCGGCTCGAAGCCCTGTCCCTCAACTTCATTTTCAATGTTCAAGGTCTTGAAATCTAGGATATCGTCCCAGTACATAAATTTCTCTCTGGCTTTCTCAAAGAAACCGGCAGATATATCAGTGAACATGTAGGAGGAACAACGTATCAAGTCGTCTTCTTCACTACCAAGGGTCTTTAGTAAGAAAGACGTCGCACTGCCTGTCCCTGCTCCTATTTCGAGAATCCTTATCTCTGGCCATTTGTGGGCGGCGAGATCAACATACTTAGCCGCATATTCGTAGGCTCGGTCCTGACTTGGCAATTCGGCATAGTAACGGTCAAGAAGTCCGTCTTCCATCATCACAGAAAGTGGATCGATTTCTTGACGCAGAATATCCGGAAGTCGGCGCCCAACTTGAGTGACCATCTGTGCAGGAGCAGCCGATCGACTAGCCTGCTCTAAGGTCGAAGCAATCGACTGCTCATCTGCATTCATCCAGTCGGGGTCCTGATATTTCAGATTCCCAGCATCACCTGTTTCCAGACTCCCTTTTGCCCATTTGAGGTAGTGCTGATGATGCGAGAGGAGATTTTGTTGCTCAACGTCAGTCAATGTCTCGACAGCCCGCCTGATGCAAAAGTAAGCCGCTTTTTCGATGAGAGCACCACCCTTAATCTCTTCGGCCGTCTTCACATGTTCGCCCCAAAGATCCTCAACGACACTTTGATCAATAGATGTCACATCAGGTTTCCAGACGGTATTCCAACAGAGCTTGTTTTCGCCTTTGTTCTTTGTCTGATTCGACCCTTTGAGTGCTGAGGTTAGGACGAACTTCGCTCCCTTGATAGTCATGACAGGTTCTAAGGAGTCAACCGTCGAGTTGGCAACGATAGCGTCTCCAAAGAAGTGCCGAGGATCTTCAACGTGCGTTTTACCTCCAGCGCGGAAGACGTGCCCTGCTTCAGATGCCGCATCCTTAGATACGAAAAGCTCTTCAACAAACGTGGGCATGAGCGAGTCTTCAAAGGCTTCGACCATGTTTACGACTGCTAGAATGGCAACTTGTAGCGCTGCATCCAGTACTTGAGGCTTGACTATCTGTGGGCTCTCATACTTGTGCGGCATAAATGACCGTGTATCTGGGATTTTAAGGTCGCATACGGTTTCGTCATTGATCACTGAGCATTGTGATAGCAGCAAGAATGTTTCCTCGAGCTTTACGCCAGTATTTTGGGTTCTTGAAAGCAATGTTTCGTAGAAGTGCGTGTCTTGCTTACTTGAATCTGCCCTGAGCGAGTCGATCTGAGTCGAAGACATACCGATTTTTGCCTCCCGTGAGGTGCTGATGAGACCACTGCAGTGTTCGATGGCTTTTCTGTCGGCAGAATAGGAGAGAATACGGAAGGTATTCCAGGTATTGGACGCTGATGTAGAGCTGTCACGCGCCGGTTCAAGTATCAGAGTAATTTCAATCCCGTCCGAAGTATCAGGCACCATCAGAGCCACAGAAAAGTGCACGTCCCGCAAAGAATACCCTTTGATCTCCGAATCTACCAAAGTAGCCTTCTGCCGCGCAGCTTCAATTGCCATGGAAAGATACCCAGCACCTGGGAATATAGGCTCTGACTCCAGAGTATGATGTTTCAACCAAGGCAGATCCGTCACGCGGAGGCGGTTCAGCCATCTCATATCGAGGTCACTACTGTCATCAGACATTGTACCGAGCAAATCGTGTTGTGGACCAAGTCTTTTCAAAAAGTTGCGAGCAAGCCTTCCATCCTGCCAGTACCGCATCGAATGATTCCACGGATATGGCGGTAGATCTGTCAAGACCTCAAGATCTTGTTTGTGGGTTGGAAAGTTTACTTCTCGGGCATCGATACGGACACCATTCGTGAAAAGCTTGCAGGCTAGGTTTAGCAAACACTCATCGGCAGGCTTGTTCCTCTCTAGAGAAGGCAGGTAGTGGGGTCGCAGATTTGGCGCAAGTATACTACAAATTTGCTTCAGTGGCCCGGCTAGCGCAGAGTGAGGGCCGATCTCGACGAAGGTGTCTACTCTAGTGGTCTCATTGGACGAGGAAGAGCATATTTTCTGGACCGCATCACTGAAGCGAACCGGGCTGAGCAAGTTCTGAACCCAGTACTCTGCATTCGTTGTGAGTGGGATTCCTGGGAACACCGTAGAGTTGAACTTGACTTCAGGACTCGCAGAATTGGCTGTGATATCGGAGATGCATCCGCGATATTTCTCTGAAATCCGGTGCATGTGATGTGAATGGTATGCTACCTTCACGCGCAATTTTCGATTGAACATGTTCGCCTCGTTCAGACCAAGTTGAAGTTCGTCAATTGCGGCTGTGTCGCCAGAGATCGTCACGCTCTGAGGGCTGTTGATGCATGCTACAGTAGCTGTACCTGCCTTCAAAACCGATAGTCGGGGCTGAAGTTCCTCGGCTGACATGCCTACGGCCATCATTGCACCAGGCAATTCTTGTTCAGCTTCGAGCTTCAAGGCCGAAACACCACGGTAGTAAGCTACCTGCATGGCAGCTTCTAATGAGAGCATTCCAGCAGTGTATGCAGCCGCAATCTCTCCACTGGAGTGACCTACTACGGACATGGGTGTCACGTTCCATGACTTCAAGAGTTCGACTAGTGCGATCTGCAATGCTGTGCACAGTGGCTGACTCATGGAGGCTTCGTCGATTCTTGAGGTTTGTGCTTCCCGTAGAAGCTCGTCTATTCGCTTGTGAGTCTCGTACTTCCACGGTTGGATTCATTCCAATTACCTTGTAGCGACCAAGTAGCCCCAAATTGGGCCAGTGCGTCAGCCGCTGCACGCAAGGTATTTCGATACACTGAGTACGCGTCAAGTAATTCATAGCCCATTCTGGCCCACTGCGATCCTTGACCTGTAAACACAAAACAAATTCGAGGTTCCCTGGTTATCCGCGATGCCTTGGTCGCAGCAGGTTTGAGCCTGGAGGCAAGGTCTTTCATGGTACTGCCTTGACAAGCAAATCGGTATCTCAGCAACGACCTACGTTGTCCAATCGTGTATATCAGGTTGTCAAAGAACGCTAGGTCGTGAGTGTCGTGAGTATATTCTGCCACTTGCTCAATTAGCTTTTGCAGACTCGCTTCATCGTTCGCGCTTAGTAGTAAAATCCTCCTTTTGAGATCTCTGGACGGAGAAGATCCATGTCCATTGAGCAATTGGCGTTGCCTGGGAGCTTCCTCAACTATAGCATGGACATTAGCGCCGCCGTACCCAAAGCTGTTGATAGAAGCTCGTCGTGGCCCATCACGATGCCAATAGTTGACCTTTGTTGGGACCTGAAAATGTCAGATTGCTGTCTTTGTCAAAACACCCAACGTGGACTAACAGCGATTCTCCAGTCTTGAAAATTAATCTGATCGCTAGGTATACTGAAGTTGCAATTTGGCAGTATGCACTTGCCTTTCAAAGCCAGGACGGAATGAATCAGTCCTGCTACACCACTGGCTCCCTCACAATGACCCATCAAGGACTTGACGGATCCTACGAAAATTGGCCGCTCGGGATCTCTGTTGGATGTCTGCAACGCGTTGGCAAGCGCCTCTGCTTCCGTACGATCGCCAGCTTGTGTGCCGGTGCCGTGAGCTTCGAAAAAGTCCGTTCCAGATACGTCAAGCCCGGCTTGGCGGTAAGTCTGCTCTATCAGTGCTTGCTGAGCGCTCATACTGGGCATTGTGATTCCCGGTGTCTTCCCATCTTGGTTCATCATCGTGTTGCGGATCACGGCATGTATCGGATCATTAGACTCGAGAGCATCTGACAGGGGTTTGAGGATCAGAGTTCCTATACCTTCGCCACGAGCATAGCCATTGGCACGTTTGTCGAACATGTAAGTTCTACCATCTGGGCTCAGGAAACTGGCAGTCTTTTAGCAAGCATAGGAGGCGGGAGACTAGGCCGTACTTGAGCGTACTCAACCCAAACATGACAGTCGGACTGAGCATAAGATTCGCTCCTGAGACGACCGATATTTTTGAAGTCTTTGTTCGGAGAGTCTGACAAGCTAAATGTAGAGCAGTAGAGGATGCCGAGCATGCGGTATCTACACTCATGCTTGGGCCTCTTAAGTCAAACCAATAACTTATTCGGTTCGAGAACATAGAACTCCCGAGACCTGTCGCTTGATACGCAGGAAGGAGGCTTGGGTCTTTGTCAATGAGTCCGCCGTAGTCTTCATTGAAAGAGCCAACGAATACAGAAGTGTCAGATCCTGCCAGCGTTTCGATTGGGATCCCAGCTAAGAATGGTCAGACCCCTTTCCAGACTTGAGTCAAGAAGTGTTACCGTTTTCGAAGGCTTCATACGCAGTTTCGAGGTGCATCCGGGCCCTTGGATCCATTGCCTTGCTTCGTTAGAGAAATTATTTCGAGGACGGATCTCACTCTGCTCTACCTTAGCCTCATTAGGGCTGATATTGAAGAAAGATGCGTCGAAATAGCCATACTGGTCTTCCTGTAAGAAGTGCCCAGATTTGACGTTCATCTACTCTATGTGAGCTAGGAGCAAGACATAAAGCATACATTCGAAACTTACAGAGCTGCTTCTCTCAGGGTTGGGATGATAGAAAGCATCTGCATTGAACCTTTCTTTTGGAATCTCGGACCAAGCGCTCTTGCCCTCCGCGCATTGACGCCACATTTCATTAATGTTATTTGCGCCGCCAGGGAAGCGGCAGCTCATGCCTACGATAGCGATGGGCATTATCTTGCTATCGTCGGCGTTCGTAAGGACTGCCTTTGCACCTTCAACGCCTCGAGTCTGAGGCATCTCGTTGGTTCTTGCTTTGGGGAGATCGATTACCTGGTAGCCATTGGAAAGTCTGTCTGATGCTCCAGACATGCTGTCATTCTGAAGGCTTGATGAGCTGGAGTTGTTCGCAGTTGACGATACTGAGAGAGTAGCATCACGGTCTCTATTATCAGTCAACCCGTAAGCCTTGATGACAGTATCGCGGATAGCTTCGTGGTCTAGACCCTGCAATTGCTCCTTCGAATATCCACGGTTACCAGCCTCGTCCATTTTGCTTGATCGTCAGTTTGGCACTTCAGTACGGATTCAAAAGACGACTTCAGGCTCGCCGAGGTCGGTGCAATGATAGTCGGAGGGTCCAGGCTTTTACTCTTCTCCAAAACCGCTTATATACTAGATCCCTGTCTCCTAGATTTCTGTTGCAACGGTCTGCGCTTATACTCTAGGCCCACGCAATGACCGCCTGACAGGTGTCAAATGTCATGTTGAAGACCTCGAAGACTATGTTCTAGCCGATATGAACCCTTGCAACTTGTGTTCAATGCTAGGGCAATGAGTAGCTGTCGTCGTAGCTATGAATGGCATGGGAACGCACCCCCGCTGTCAAAGCCTTGTGTTGAAGTAAGAGATATTTCTGGGAAGTGCGCGGAGTGGAGACCCCAATGATTCCAGTCCAATAGATACGATGGCAGATATTCTTACAGTCGGAAGCTGTGAATTCCGACCCAAGCTTTCCTTCGCTTCGTTAGCTGCATGGAGATGGAGAACGCGCCCTGCTTCGAACACTCTGCATCTCTTCCAAAGGAGCATCCGGAACGTTACCCCCCGCTTGAGATCCGTTCTTGCGCAGTATCCTGCAGCGACCGTTTAGCGAATGCAAGTTGGCCGTTGTGTTCCCCACATTCTCCATTAGCCCCCTGTCGAAATCCTCTTTTTCTCGCCTGGAACTGCGTCCTTTCTCTTGCACTTTCTGTCAATGAACTCCTAGAGATGAAGGTCGCGTAGGAAAGGGCAAGACACTCTCGCACAACCGAATACTCCGGTGTTACATCTCGCGTGAAGCCATTGAAGAAATGCGTGTACTGTGTGTGCACGGATGGGGTGCCAACGCTCAGGTAAATGAAAAATGTTTTTCCTTGTGACAAGGGGCATCAGGTTTTGAGACGAGACTGATACTAATGACAATACTAGATATCGAGGGCACAGTGTGGTATGTTGAAGTGTCTCTCCCTTCGACCACACTGAGAATAGACAGCCCACGATTGGGCCTCGGAATCACTTTAAAACAGAAAGCTGCTGATTTTCGATTTACAAAGCACCACTTCGTCAAGCACTAAAACGTGCGGGTCATAATGACGTGTTTTTTGAATATCTGGAGGGAAGGATCGAGGCAGCGCCCTTCCCCGGTAAGTCATTAGAATCTTCTGCTACCACAGCCCGAGAGTCTTGTTTCTCACCTCTTCAATTGTCATAATTCTAGGCTTGAGTGACATATATACACCGCCTTTCTATGGATTCTGGGAGGAGAATAATCCCGAATCCATCGTGAGGGAGACTGGTCGTATCAGATCTGTACTCGAGGACGATGGTCCCTTCGATGGTGTATTTGGAATATCTGAAGGCGCTGCCGCACTTCTCACTGCAATGTTTCTGGCCAAGAAAGCGCAGGTTTCCTTGGGAGTGAAGTTCATGGTGCTTGTGGCCCCAATGTCGCCTTTCGATCAAGAGGGTCAGCGAAGGCTTGATCGGAGCATGACGGGGGGAGCAGTGTTTGATGTTCCTGCTATTGTGATTAAAGGAAGAGAGGATCCAATCAGACTTTTGATTAAATTGGTACAGGGACTCTTTTCAGAGGGAAAGACGACAGTTGTGAGGTGGAGTGGAGGACATAGTATGCCAAATTCGGGCGAAAAGGAAGTCTGGGAGCAGACCGCTAAAGAGATTGTACATATCGTTGAGAAATAGTCTACTCTGTTGTACACTTTGTTATTCCTCATCGTGTGAGACAACAAGGGATGTTGCTAACCTTTCCAAGTCGAAGGCATTCGTGAAATTACGTCAATTTGCGAAGGGGTACACATCTTGCTAGAGATTTGATGAAATCAACTATGGCGCTGCGCATCATTTAGCCTGCTGACCTACGATTTATCTTTTGTTTTCTCCTTAATTTTAAGGGGTCTGCGGTGGGATTGAAGTGCTGGTCGCAGGGTGCATTTTTGCATTCGACAGGAAGAAGAAGGTGGTGAGGGACATCAGGAGAGTGTTAGTAAAAGATGGTGGGACGGAGGTATTCCAGAATATCATGGAAGGGCATAAGAAAGAAGGGTTAGGGGTTTAACATCACGGATAATAAGAAGGGAATTCATTTCTGAGTGATTCGGACCCTTGTGAGTGCCTGTTGGTCAGTACTTTGGATCCACCTGTAAAAGGCGGATGTGTGTTCATATAAATTGCGGATATAAGTATTCTAGCTCTGAGGACGTTGCAGATACTCACTCCTTCTTGATTGTGGCTAGCTACTGAAGTGATCAGATGTATGAGGAGAAGAGCCTTTATACTGATTGCCAGACTTGCCAGGAAGAGTGCAGCCCGCGCTGCTTGTAATGTCAATTAAGGACAGATCACCCCTACAGCATCTGTTCGCTTTGTTGCGCGAACCAGTTGCCAGGTATTGTGTTGGATGGGGAGGTCAGACTCGTGGGAAAAGGTTGCAATTCGCGCTGCTCTCGCTGCTCCATGTCCACTGTTCCCCCCCGCACTTTCTCGACGTGGTGCAATAGCCGATACAATTCTTTGATATCATCATTCTTGCTGTACTGTACAGCATCTTTTGATGAGATAGACCAAAGGGAAATGCCTCTACCTACTTGGTACGTTCGACAAGACTCCACTACGAGGTGGCCAAGGCGTGGAAGGAGGCATAGCATATGAAAGACGCTATACCATGATCCGCGCCTTTGGACTAAATGCTGTAGCTGTACCTCCCTAAGACTGAGGGAACGAATGGTCTGGAGGTTTTGAGTCTTTGTCAGGTCTAGTAGGCTGGTTGAGGGTGTCATGACGCGAGTCAAATCCAGCACCTGTAAGGTCCGTAGATGGGCTGTGTTAAGTGTGCTTAGGTTGAGCACTGTGTCGCAGCAGATGCTCAATGATACTAGATTCGAACTCCTCTGGAGAAGGTGAAAGAGCCCTAATCCTGCATTTGCTGGGAACGCAGGATTGGGAAAATTCTGTTGTCGATTCCCAAAGCCATGGTCTTGCGCTTGGACTCGCAAGTGCTGGATCCTTCTTATGTTGTCTGTTACAGAGAATCGAAAATTGCCTGAAAGTTGAGTAGGTCTTGATAAGAAGTCCTCAATGTTGGACTCAGAACCCACTCTCGTCGGTAAGTCTAGAATAAACTCGTCGAATCTAGTAGAATTCAAGGCTAGGAGCGTACTGTGGACAATGCTCGCGATTGCGTGTCCTACCTTCAATTCAAGCTCTGTATCTTCTATCGTTCTTCTGTATGAGAGTGCAAAAGCGCGAAGGTTGCGAAATTGCGGAATCAAAACAGGAAGACCAGATTCAAGACTACTCAGGTAGGTATTGAATGCGGCTGTTTGGCCGCTCATCCACTCATCCTCCACATGGATGGCAATTACGTCTACATGACTTGCAGTGCAGGCATTCTCGGCAGTCTTGCGCAAATGTGTCAGACTGGAGAAGGATGTGACATTGATTCTCCGTCGAAAATGTGGGGTTACAGCTCGATAAAAGGGTTTGCTCGTGAGTCTCAGGCTTCGAAGCGCCTGATCATTCTTATGCTGTTCTTGTAGCCACGTATGTGGTGCTGAAAGGCTGTCTGGCACTGGTCCATCATCATCTACATAGAATGTGATCTGATCAACGAGATTAGACAAACCTGGGATAGTGTCAATCAGCAGCACTCACAAGATTACAGATCTCCTGAGGAACGTTCATACTGAGTGTGATGATGGCGTATGGTCAGATTGGATTTCTTCGATGGTCGAGTGAGAGATGAGAGTCGGCGGAGGCAAATTATCTGCGGTCATTTGCGGGGTTGTACACCCAACAATGCTCAAGTGTAATGGCCAAAGTCGGCAATTCTAGCTTGAAATACTGGTGTTGTCGTTGCCACTGTGGATCCAGAGCAGCGAACTCGACAGCTCATGGTGTGTTCAATCTCGAATCAACCGGGATGAAATCCTACTTCTGGGCTCACAAGGTTACTTTTCCTGTTCCTCATTTCTTTCCTACTAAACGCGTTGCGTATTCCCCCAAAGTTGCGTCTTTCTTTCTAGTCACTCCAATTCTGCTCGCCGCAACAATTGTGCGATACCCTTTCAAACACCCAAGACAAAGCAATATGGCAGTCAAGATCATGGATCTGAGCAAAAGCAACCGCTTCTACCCCTGGCTTTCGGTTTTCGGCTTCGTGTTGCTCTTGCTATCCACCTACCATCTGACGAAGGAGACTTCCTGGACAGGCTCGATTTCCCTCAAATCTGACGCAGTCGCACCCGTTGGACCTGTTGTACCTGTTGCACCTGTCGCACTCGAAGCTTCAGGTACCGAAGCAAAGGTTGGACTGCATTTTGGAGATCCTGATGGAGAGCTCACGCTTTCGGACAATGAATTTCACAAACTTTTGGACCATGGATTGCACAAGCGACAAAACTTTTGGTGAGTCAATCTACAGATAATAGCGACATTATTGTGACCGAACTGACGTGGGATGATGTTTTAGGAATAATGCGATTCGAAATGGCCAAGCCAAGATCGACTTGATGAATGGACCTAGGGTCCAAGCCCGACTGAGCAATTACTATGATCTGGCGGCTAATGTAAGTGAGCTACCGGGATAATAGTCTTCCCATCACCTTATAAGGGAAGCTGCTGACATGTTCTAGGGCTGGGATTACGAAGATGAAGTTAGAGACGAAGCAATGGTCATCACAGGGAAGTGGGTGGAAATCTATGAACAATTGGGAATTGATCCAGAAAACGACAATGATATCGACAACCATCAGTCCCAGCGGTTCTCCAATTGCATGTTCCGAAATCTGGTCAGTCACTGAGCAGCCTTCCTATAGTGTCGCCATACTGACGCGTCGTGCAGCCACCTACCGGGGGATCTTTTGAAAATAGATACAACCCCAAAGGCCGAATGATAACAGGCGTCAACAACTACAGCCCCTATAGTAAATTGCAAGGTCAGGCGAACGTCACTATTGGGACAAACACCAACGTAGCACCGTTCCAGCGAGTGCCCGATTTGCAAAAATGGTCGCAGGTGGTGGCAATTGTGTGGAGCCATCTCGCGGGCAATGATGCGCATAACCTGAAATACATCTTCAAGTCAGTTTTCATCTTTATGTGCCTTTGGATTCGCAGGATATGAAATGCCACTGACGCCTTTAGAATGGGTATCGTAACTACAGCAACCCAGCAAGTCATGATAGAAGCGGCCAGGAGACAGCCCATCAACATGCAGAGCGCCAACACCTTTGAATTTACTACCGAGTGGCCTGGTTATAAATTTGGTGCGGGCTCGGATGGCTATGCGGCTCTGATGGGAACCCCTCATGGTGTTGGCATTGCGTATCTTTTGCACGAACATCCGGATCAGTTCGGCACAAAGACAGTGGAGTCGATCACGATCTTCACTAATCCTGACGACTATCCCACCTACCATATGCTCTTCACCCTCACAGATTAGGATATCGCCGTAGGGCATAAGACTTTACGTCATTATAAAAGAGCCTGTGTCTCGCACGAGACGTATTATGATATTGAAAAAGAAAATTAAATCAGAACATGCGATTGGATTATACCGAGACGATATCGAATGGTAGGAATTTGAACACTGGAATGACATAAGATTCATTAGAGGGGGGAATTGTGACTTAACAGATTTGCAACACATGTGATATAGACACTGGTACTTCTACCATCAATGAGAAAGCCGTCAGCACGCTGGCATTACTCACATCTGCTTTTTTGCTACAATTTTTGACACTCAAATGTACAATCCATATCCCGATTCCCATCCTCATACCCCCGAACGCTGCAGCGATTATCATCGCTCGACCAGGAGTCGCCTGCGTATTTGAAGTGTAAGGGCTTACTATCCACATTCTCTGCACTCCCAGGCTTATCAGCTATGATGACGAGGACATAAGGCAGGGCGCTGGCGAGGTCAGCTATTCCTTATGAGAAAAGATCTTTGCATTGCTGCAATCAAAATTCGCCTGGTGAAATGACGCACAAGAGAGCATTCCATACTAGAAAGTGCTGTACCGCGTTGCAGGGCACATTGAGGCGTTGTGCAAATCACTACAACAGTCGCCACCGTTTCAGCACCCGGAAGGAGTGAGTAAATGCACACGAAACTCTTGGCGTCTATTCTTAAGGTAGAGGGACGTCTATGACGATTGGCGAGTCACGTGTATGCCTCGAAGGAAGCTTGGCCCCGATCGGAAGGTGAAATCAGCGAGACTAAAGGCCAACAAAAAGCTCGCAATGTTGGCAGCGCTTCCTGTTTTGTCCCGTATTTTTGTTGCTCTGATTATCCTTCGAGTGTCGCCTCTCGCTGTGTTCGATACGCCCAGTCAGCCCTACTACTCGATACTATCACCGAAGACAGTTATGTCTTCTCAGGAGAAAGTCAAGCTTCCTCCTGGACTGATTGCCGCCATTGAACAGGATGATCTCGAGACTGTAAAGCGCCAGTATGCGGAGCTTCCTATCGCCGAACAAAAAAATCAGCACACCTTGTATGAGGCTGCCAGTCTCGCAACATCTTCAAGTCACGCCGAAATTCTATCCTTCTTCTTCTCTGAAGGCCTTGTCATCGGCACCCAATCTGCCCACGATTCTATTATTGAAAAGGCGTGTGGAGTTTCTTCCATACCCATATTTCGGGTCCTGATCGAAGAGGGTCACCTGGATCCTTCTCGTAACCTAGAGCTGTATGGCGATCCTCTCACAGGTGCAGTCTTTCATGGCGATGTCGAACTCGCCGAGTTTCTCCTGAGTAAAGGCGCAGATCCCAATACCGACTACCCACTTGGCCACTATAGCTCTCTAGTTTGGTCCATCGTCGGCGATCATAATCGCGAAGCACCGGACGGTGGTCATCGTATGATGAAATCATTGCTCGATGGTGGAGCAATAGTGAAGGAAACTGGAGCGCTCATAGCTGCCGCCGATGTTGGGAACACGATCGCGGTGCAGGTACTACTCGAAGCCAAGTCGAAAGGTCTCGAGGTAGACTTGGAGGACCTCACCGAGTATGGCGAATATGATTCCCGAAAGGATGAGGGGACTGCCCTGTGGTGTGGCGCAAGAAGTGGCAATCTGATGGCTGTTAATCTGCTACTCGAGGCAGGGGCAAGTGAGGAATTTCGAGATCGTAAGGGACGAACACCGATCGAGATTGCGCGTGCCAACGGTCATCAAGACGTGGTAGATAGTTTGGCAAGGTAGAGTCATGTCCTGCCTCTGTTACTTCGCTCCACATGTGAGACTCTGTATCCTGTCAAAAGGTCTCAATCTCCTGTGCAATAGCATTGCGTTGTTGATGGAGCAAAAATCAACGTCGGCAACAGTCTACTGGGGTCACAGTAAAGACTGTGTCAAAGAGCCATACACTTCTCTCTCCATACTCATGACACGTCTCCGCTGGCCGTGCCTCTCCATCCATCTCATTCAATATCTTGCAGGGCCTAGCCCGACTAGGGCCAAAAAGACCTCAGAAAACCACCCTCATAACACCCATGACGCCAGCACTGTGACGCGTAGAGCCGCAACTCATCTATTGAAAAAGTTTTACTTTTTGAACCCATTTTTATCACAATTATAACTGATATAGCTGTCGCGAATATAGCGTACATGCCAACGCGGCACTCATGCGGGCAACATTGGCGCCTCACAACTGGTCATCAATATTACAACTATCAAAATAAGCCGCGGAAGACGTTTCCAAACGCTGATATGTAGATCCTGTTAAAATAAGCCGCGGAAGACGTTTCCAAACGCTGATATGTAGATCCTGTTAAAATATGCGAGGGGCGGCTCGCTGTAATACTGACGGTAAGTGATTGCTTGAGCAATAAAGTATTCGAGACCGCTTGCACGGTTGATTTCAGGGTCCCATTTTTGATGTCTTGGCGGATGAAGAGGACGAAAATGCAAAATCCCTTCTTCGTGCTAAATTCTCTGTGGCATAAGGGGCACCACCCGGAGTTAAGCCAGATTAAATCCAATGCCAAGACTAGTTGCCAAGAGGGACAGAAAATTCCAGGGGTTGCTGATCAAATTTGCAGTGGGAGGTATATCTTTTAGACTTACGTCCATTGCTTAATAGCTGAACGGCCATGTCGCCTAGGCTTTCGTGGATGCAGTGTGTCCAAGGCTAGTAGCTCGTCGCAGCTTTCCGTGTCTGTTGACAAGAGCTCTGTGCACGATGGTCGGCCAGAAGTGTCAACGTTCAAGCATCCATACTCCACTCCCGGACCTTGTTGCTCTATCCAGGCCGATCATATGCCGCTTGACCTTGAGCGTGAGGGTCCAGCCCCATCTTCACTTCGATGTTGGCTTACAAGCAGCCAGCTGAACGCTCAGCCAGCGCCATGTTTGCTTCAACGAGAGTTTGCTAGCCGCCAGCTGGAAACTAGATATGCACAATCATGCAGCAAGGCTCGTGGTGATCACCAAATTTGCCCCTCCTTCCTCTTTTGACATAATACCAGGCCACTGACCGGCGCGTCCTCCCTTCGCCCCACTTACTCTTATAGGCTATACTTTTATGCAACTCACCTCAATCGTATGTGTACGGCTTTGATACTTATAAATTTAATCACTAACTTTGATCATCTACAGCTGTTGTTTAATTCCACGCTGAACATTCAATGCCATTTCACCCTGATGAAGGAGTTGGTCAGGCTTCATGTAGAAATCCATCAAAGATACTTTGTATAGGGACATGAGCTTCAACGCGAGGTATTTGGCCATTGGGGAGGCCCGGAGACCGCAAAGCTACTCCAGGCCAAACAGGCTTACCTAACTGATTTCACAAATTATAGCCTATTCAGAATCCAGAACGACATCTCAGCTGTAAGTGTAACGTTCAATACTGACCAAAATCCTGCCATTTTCTTGAAAGCAAAACATGGTTGCTTGTTGACTAAAACAAAAAAGGTGCTGACAAGATATGAATAACAGCGCCTTCAAACGGTCATCGACTCGATGCAGGAGAATACAGAAGCGGCCGCCAAAAATGTCCAACTCCTGCCTCCCAATCCGCCAGCCTTACAAAAGCAGATCGATGATGCGTCGAACCAGTCAATGAAGACGATGAAGCAAGCAATTGAGGCTAGCATTTCCTACGCACGAGCGCCCGTGGCGACGTCCGCATTTCCAGTAAGTCACACAACAATCAACCTCAGCGCCGAGCCTTTGAACTTCAAGATATTGGATAACGTGTTGAACTGATGCAATGTGCTATCTACAGATTGAATAAAGTCCGACGAATGACACCAAGGAAGCTCAGAGGAAATCGGACGTGCGCATTCATTTCCCGTACTTACCCACCACGTTTTTACTGTTAAAGAACCTGATGTTAATTCCTGTTCACCGCGTTCGTTATAATAGAAGAAGTTGAGTGGTCAAAATAGAACGCAGAATAGCTCGCACTGCAATGCTAGCGCTCTGAATATTTTGCCCGTCCGCCTCACTCAATCCGACCGCGCTTGTTTCTGTGCTTTTCTTGTCATCAACGATGTTTGTTCATAAGCGAAAGAGTATTGCGCACGCGAACCAACCAGTTTTTGTGACTTTGATATCTAACCTAGTGATATGTAATAATTAATCGCGATCAGGTAAATATCCTAAGTACAAGTAGCGGATGAAAATACAGTAAAAGTAAGTAATGGTAATAAAAAGGACCAACTATATCTATTTTAGTGCGCTTTGTTAAGAACATAGAAGGCGCAGCTCGCTTTAATATGTACGATCGAGGGGAATGTTGATTGCTTGAGAACCGAAGAGTAATAGTTAGCGGTTGATATTTACTACTATTCTAGATTAAGATTTCCAAAATCGACACCGAAGATTGAAGAGCCTCAAGGTTCATGACTGTTTGTAACGTATAAGTGCCATAAAGTCCAATTTAGGGTCAATGTCCCAAGACCTGTGGTATTGGCTTCTCGACGGCCTCACCCTCGTCATGTCTTAGCGAAAAACAACGCTTTTCGAGAAGGACCATCCAACTATCCAAACCTGGCCCACCATCTCGCTCGTTCTGCGGAAGCACAATCAGATCATGGCGTCTGGCCTTGAGATAATCCATCACACAGCGCGCCCCGGATCTGAGGCACTGCTGGCTGTCTACGTCAAAAATGCTATGTCTAGCGAAAACGACGAATAAGACTGCGATGTGAGTGACTCTCTCCGAGCATTCGAGGTTTTGAGAAGATCGCTTGTCAGACTCTAGTCTATCTAAGAGGTGAACAAAAGCTAGAAACCTATGCTCTACCCTCTATTATCTTCCCTGCCTCAACGTATCCCATAGGCCCCATAGTCAAAATTCACCAGCGACTCCCTCATCTCCGCCCACCCATCACTCGACCACAACCCTCCTCCCTCCCACGCCACAGCCTTGCCCTCCCCATACTCCCCCCTCCCCCCCAACACCGCCCCCTCCTTATCCCTGCACACCTCCCTCAGCCCCGCATGCGGCACCCAAACAACCCTCATCCCCGCCCGTCTCCCCGCCTCCACACCAGCAACACTATCCTCAAACACCAAATACTCTTCCCTCTCCATCTTCTTCTCTCCCGCGCCTAATCCCGCATTCACTCTCTCCAACGCCAGCAGAAAAATATCCGGCGCAGGTTTCTTGCGCGCGTCACTCATGTCAGCATCATCGCCGAAAACACGACAAGAGGGAGGAGGGATGCAGCTGGTCAGCAGGGGAAGATGGGAAGTCTTTCTATGGAAGGAAGTGCTGGAGGCGGAGGAGGCGAGGGCGAGGAATGGTGGGCTGCGCGCGCTGGAAGTGAGGGTCGTGAGGAGCTCGATTACGCCGGGGAGAATGATGCAGGATTCGAAGCGAGAGTGTTGGCCGCGCACGAGATTTGTCCATTCTGAGTGGTTTAGGGGGAGTTGGGCCCAGGAGAGGAGGTGGTCTGTGCCCTGATGCTCGGGCGTGAGCCCCCGTGATGTTGGGGGGTGGGGTGGGGTGGGGGTTTGGGGAACAAGAAAGCCGACATACCTCGCGACCTCTGCTTTGCTGCTTGGCTTTTATGCTCCATGGCAGGTCTGGCTTGCCATAGGAATGGAGGATGGAGTTGTAGATATCGGTGTAGATGTCTTCGGAATTGATGAGGAGGCCGTCGACGTCGAAGATGCAAGCGCGGACGGGTGGGAAAGTGGGAGTGTCTCGGCGGCTTTGGGGGGACATGAGTCTGAACGGTTGAGGGTAGTGATCTTGCTTTGTTCTGTTACTAGGTACTTTTGGTTGTGCCGTCCAACCTAGTGCTAAGTCTACGAATGAGACCTCCCTAGGGGTCGAGGGTTGGTTGGTTTGACGGAATGTGGCCACGCCAAGGCCAGAACCACCAATTACAGGACTTTAATGATCACTCTTACAGTCAGACTTGCTTCGAAGTCCCTGAAACTTCTTATTGTAAGTTGTCCATTTTCAGTCAACCTCTGCCAAAAATTGTCGAAATACTTTCCTCCTAAATATTATGTCATTTCAGGGGTTCTTTTTTTTCCACCCAGAGATTCTACGCTTATTTCTCCTTCTCCTCCTCCTGTTTCTCCTCACGATCCTCTCCCTGATAGCCCATGCCTGCCGTTGCCTGGTCCATATCAGGATCAATACTGCCTTCATGCTTCAGCTCTCGGTTCAAATCCTCAGGGCATAATTTCTTGCACAGGGTCGTCATGTCATCATATACCCCCTGGCGTTGGCTCGACCCAGGAATGTAAATCGTATTGGCAATATTAAACGTCAGAGAGTAAAGCAAGTTGCGCATATCCCAGTCATCTTCAGGTGGTGAAACTGGATACTGAGCTGTGTATTCTCGAATGTAAGCTTTGTTGCTTAAACGATGCCGTGGTGCCCTCCAATTGCCAGTATCGTACTCGTTATGACCATAAAATGAGCAAACGTCGAAAACGAATGCGTTCCCTGTCCGCTGATCCAGGGCGGTATTACCGTCCCAAAAGTCACCATGAAGCAGGCAGGGTTTGAGAATGCGTCCATCTGACTGCAATGGTAGAAGTAGTCGAGGCACGACTTTTTCTATCGTAAGCTTGCATACAACGTCGAATTCGGGCCATTGTAAAATCGGCTTTGCGAGGTTCATGACATGTTCAAGATGTTTACTGTAAAGAGCGCACCACGAGTCTTCCCAGGTGTTCACCGCCTGAGCAATTTTAGCATGGCATGTCGATATATGAAACCCAAATTTCTCCGTAGAAGACATCGATTGCTTGTGGAGCTTTGCCAAGCTAGATGCGAGCTTTGCAGGACTTGCAGGCTATCAAAGACTTAGCCATAGAGAGTCACTCATGGTGGCAAAGACACCTGATTGTGTTTATTCGAGATTGGATAGGTAACGTACCTGCTCACCAACATCTCGAAATTCGACAAGGAGGAAATACGTTTCAGGATCCGGCTGTGTGTATTTTCCCCACGCGTGGGGTTCCGGTACAAAGCCAGGATAAACCTCATATATAGCTTTCAAAGATTCAAATTCCCCCTCGCACATATGTCTACCAGTCACACCCAGAGTGACAACCTTGAGAAAATAGCTCTTTTCTACGCCGGATGGCAGTCCGACGGTTATTTTGGCTGTCTTGCCCCACAGAGATAATCCATAGTTTTGTGCGTGTATGATCTTAGTCCCAGGAATGGAAAGTTTGGCTTTCACACTCTCATCCACATCGTAATGACCGCTCGGCTGGGGGGTAATAGAGGTTCTGTAGGCGCTTCTTCCGACTCCATCCTGGCGGCAATCTTAGGTTGGGGTATCGTCCTCTTGGTGGAGATGCTACGGTCGAAGAGGAGTAAAATGGCAGAATTGAGATAGGAAGACTGGACAATGCCCCTGATCTCTAGAAAAGCTGACCCCCCACCGGTCACACCCAGGCTTTCCAGGATAGACGATTTTATTAGTAATTTGCTTCTCAATCATGGACTAATTGCTCATGAAGTTTTTCACATTGTAGTTCTGAATGGCTTTCATACCGAAAATTTCCAACCAAATCTTGTCAATAAAGCTAATGGGGGAAAGACGTAAGGGTGTTCGGGGTGCTTTCAAGCATTTTCAATGTCTTGGCAGAACAAGCTAAAACAGGGGAAGTCACACGTCTCATCCAATCAGAGAGTCATTCATCGAGACTTCAGTTGATGGTGAGCTAATTGACAAGAGGTGTAAGAGTCTGACAGCCGAGAGTATTACCATTGTTTGATAAAAAATCGATGTCGAGTATTGCAGCACATCTATACCATGGAATTTCACAATTTACTCACTATGGACAATGATATCGAGTGAACATCAATCTACCCACACATCAAGCCCGCACACTGGTATTCCTCGACTTGATTGACTGTTGTGGGGCTGATAGCAATCAACTTCCCACGCAAGGTCGAACGTTAGTCAGCTGACTCCGTAGGCCGTTCAATTGGCCAACCAGATGTTGCTACCTAATAAGAAGACTTGAACGAGGTTTTGACTCCCAGACGGTTCTCTAATACTTGGCAGTTCTGACTTTGCAACAGAGGGTTGGTTCGGTCGATTCCTGAAGTTAACCCGAACGCGCCGTCAATTCTTCCTCAATGCATGCCTATGATGGTGTGATACGGTGCAGATCCATCTCGATTGAGTCTAATGGTCCCTGCGAATTACTGCATTGGGGCACACCCCCCTCGCGTAATACTCACTAGCACTTAGCATGCTTCTGGTGCTGCAGTAGTCTCGGCCTGCAGGTGGAAGCCCAATTCAAGGTCTTGGGCCTCAGTCGCACTAACACCCTTCGATGTGTAGGGAAACGAGATAGAAGGAACACAGCAACGACGACATTTACCCTGACGCACCCGATATGGCTACCGATATGCAAAATGCGGTGCAGTACATACCAAAGTTGACTTCGGTAAGCAAAGGCGAATTGCTCGTTGAGATGACAAGGCTGAAGGGAGGTTTTTGTCTCTTGACTGTCAATGCTCCTCTCCTCAGGGTCCAACTAAGCTTCCTTTGGCTGAAAATCCAGACCGATGGTTGGGAACTCGTGGTCTAGAACGATAGCCCACCAGCATGGGCTCCCAATGCCTGTCCAGCATGGCGTTCCGAGGGGTCCACCAGAAGAAAGACGAGGGATAGATTGGCGTCGCACCCGGCTTCTTCTCCTTTCCTTCCTTCAACTTTCCTCTTCCTCTTTACAAGCGATCAATCGTTCCTCAGAAACATCGAAGAAAGCTTTCAAGGAGTCTATGTCGGAAACCTAAAGGGCCCTTATGGATAACAGTGCGTCTACACTTGCTCATAGATCGTTTTCGCTCTTCCCTCGCATTGGACCATTCCTCACTGCTCATACCATTCAGATGCGGATCCCACTGTTGATACTGACGCGAGCGCTACACAACCTCAGGTCCAAGCAGACCCTTCCACCCAGATTGCTGAAGGACCTCAGCCTTATTTTCCGCCGCAACAACCGTACGCCCCCATTCCAACCCCTAAATGAAAAAAAAGGGAGGGAATCCCAAGGCTGATTGATCCTTTCCTCCCTGCGTAGAATTATATTATCGCCCACTTCTGACGCACCGCCATCCTATCCAGCGACCCCGTCTCCTCTAACGCAACCACAGCCGCAAACAGTCATATTGCAGCAACCGCAACCACAACTTCAACAGCAACCGCAACCACAACTTCAACAACAACCGCAACCACAACCTCAACAACAACCTCAGCAACTACCTCAGCAACAATGCATAGTCACACCCATCGCACAACCTCAGCCAGTCATGGCACAGCAACAACCCTTCAACCCATCCTTCCAACACCCTTACCAGGGCCAAATCCTCATGTCTCCGACCGGCGAGAAGACACAAGTCTACCAACAAGTGACGACCCAACCGACTCCACAATTCCAATACCAAACAAGCACAGCTCCAGCAACGATCGTGCAGTACCCCATGATCCAGCATCAAGTGGTCACCCCCACGATGGGCCTAGTGAACCTCCAACAAGCCGCCGCCCGCGTGACTTGCCCCAAGTGCAACGCTCTCGCCTTCACACGCATCCAGATGGTATCGGGCAACACCACCCATGGGTGGGCAGCGCTGTTCTTCTTCTTGTTCCTCGCGCCTTGTATTCCGTACTTGATGGGCAGTTTGAAGGATGTGGAGCATTATTGTGGGAATTGTGGGCAGCTTTTGGCTGTGTGGCATAAGAGTGGGAGGACGGTCGTGATGACGCAGGGATGATTGGGGTTTTGTTTCGTGGCTTATGGTCAAGTCGGGTTTGGTCAAAGCTGGTCTTGGATGGCGCTTTCTCTCTTTTCACCATGCCTTTTATCCTCCAGTTAGGACTTCATACCAGCAGCATGTATTAAACAGAAGGAAAGAGGGAGGGCGTAAATGGGGTATATCATACTGATGTTCTCACGCCTAATTAGTAATGGTGAATATTTGTGCAGTCTACTTCCCACAAGCCCAACATCCATCATACGCGAGCGAATGCAGAAGAAGTCCTTCGTTTTATTTTCTCGTTTCAAGTCTTCCTCGAGCCCTTGACCACTCCGTCAAACGTTTCGCGAATCAAGATTTATGCATCCTGTACGGGGAAGGTCCGGTCCTGCGGCCCACGTGATAGGGATTTGAAACCCCCAGACGTTTGCATAAGGCTTGGTTCGCTTCTCGAAGGTCTAGTGCATGACTGATGCCTCGCTGTCGAGACCATCAAACGATCAAATGGGCAATATCCATTTGACGATGCTCTGGTGGTCAGAGACTGATGCTTGGTGGTACTTCTGGATAGCCACAAATTAATTGCACATGATCAGAGTCCAGTTGCGAAAGCTAGCCACATAATGCTGATCCTAGACGGTCTAAAGCATCCTAGAAGTTCCGTAATAAGGCGACTTGTGCGTATTTATGTCACAGAGTGCTTCTTCGATCAGCCGAAGTGACCAGTTTGAGCTGATATGCATCGCGAAGATCGCTTTAAACATTATAGAGGTCCTAAAATACCCTTCAGACACTCAACAGGACCTTCATTTGCGGATGATGTACGCATTAAAGCGTTGTATAGGTAGAAACCTACGTACATGAACCGGAAGCTCCGGGTGTGATTTCCTGCAGGCCTAACAAGACAAATTGTGCAGGGGCCCTCGTCCCAGTGACGGGAATAGACGCAAAGACCGAGGCTTACATGCAATATCCACCTTATTGAATATTGGGTAGTTTGTGGTCTAAGTCCCCCAATTTGATGGATTATCTTCAAACCCTTGAGGCCATTCAGACAGACCAAGTAATAGAGCCACTGACGGCTTCCAATGTCTGCCTTCTAACGTACTGATCTCTACCTTTCGAGCATCCTGAATATGGGGATCATTCCACCACGCTGGCTTGGGCTCATCTCTCGCCTTCAGTAGCAATCCTAGACAAGTGAGGTCAGGCCTTGAGATCGTGACATCTCGTGAAGATGCATTATAGGCATTGCTGGGCATATAATTTAGTGACATGATCATCGACACATAGCTGGATTCATAATGGGCACGTAGTTCCGCACTTCTATTGTTGCTCTTAATGTTGCGCAACACTTGATTTGCTGTCATAGATTGGTGCTCCAGACCAGCTTGTAACCAGGCCTTCATTGCAGAATGGGGTATGTCCTTCATGAGCAAAGCGATTTCTGTGGCTGCCGCAACATACGATGGCCCAAGCCCACTATATTGTTGGTCCATCACTTTCCAATAATAGCTGCGAAGTACTTTATTTGGACGAGGGGCCCAAGTCCCAAAATTCTCGAGGCTGCCTGTGACGCCTTTGACAATATTGAAGACCAAGTTACGGGGATTCAGACCTTTGTTTCGCCCAAGAATGCCCATCGCAAGGCATAGACCATCACCTGAGTAGCCATCGACTGTGAACGGACGTGATTGAAGAAGGCCACTCGGCATGCTGGAGGTCGCTCTTGATACCCGTCTCCGAAAACCCTGCTCTTTTCCCCAAAGCAGCGAAACATCCTGCGGATCTGTGTCACCATTATCATAGATGAATTTACTCTGATCATCGGCAGATGCTTCCAATAATTTAGAACGAGAAAAGTCGACATTACGTAGAATATCTGTAGGATCGTAGGAGAGGCCATTAGTGGGCCAGAGCCGCCAACCGTACCAGTCGGAGGGGGTGGGTTTGATCTTGCCGACATGGACCTTCTTGGCTAGAGATTGCCAGTGAGTTTTGCGTCCACAAAATCGTGCTTTTGCCGCATGTATGGTTGTCCGACTGCTGCCTGTCCAGGCAAGCCATCTATTCTCAATGAAGTGTCTAGATCGCCAGGATGGGATCATGTACTGAACGATGGTAAGGAATGTCGCTGTAGATAAAGCCAAAATTGACATTGCCTCATTGCTGTTGCCTGAGAGAAATGACAGAATAATCAGCACCAGAGAAATCAGTAACAACAAAGACACCAATGTCCACCACCAATGCTCAATCTTCGCAAGGCGAAAGCGAAACGTCCAGTAATTTGAAGATTCTGTCATGAACGCAAGAGCAGATACGAGTCCTTGCAATAATGCAGTGATGACAGCGAGGCCGATTGATACCCAAAGAAAGCCACTCTGTGCTTGGTGATTTACTTCGAACAAGGCCTGGTCACGATCCACGGGAGCTGCAAGAACGCAGACGTTTTGCAGCAGAGCAAGAAGGCTAATTTCGTCCATGAGCAAAGATACGAACATTCTGTTGTTGCAAATGCGCGTAGGTAGCTAATGGTTGAATAGATCCATGGCAACCTAAACGCCCTTGGTTTTGCCAAGCCTGCCGCCAAGGCTACCGTGGCGCCTTCGTTACCACATTCGGACGCTGCGGCGAGTTGTCAGCCAATCTAGGACTGACGCTATCAGATCAAGCAATCAGATAGCTGCGCAGGGCACCATCTTTCTTTGACCGGCCCCAAGGCAAGCATCAAGGGGCGAGGCCTGGCCAATCATTGGGATGGCTTGAGAAGGGAAACCCAATCACTAACGATTTAGACGACTGCTCCTACCATAGCTTGGACGCCTTTACCGAAGTATTGCAACTCCTGTGCGCGGCGTGTTGATATCTCGCTTGACAGCACCCATGCAGACAGCGCTGTCCTTTCTAATGTACATATAGCCTCGTATACTAAGATCTCCGGTCGTGTTCGCCCACCGATATTGTGCAAGCTAAGACTCACGAGCATTGCAGCATACTGACCCCGATAGAGCCGTGCTAAATCTGCCGGCGAAGCACCATTTTGCGCTGCCATGTGGTTCAGGTCAATATCTTGTTGTTCCATCGTTCCGTCTAACCAATCCTCTAAAGTCTTAGGAGGTATGTCAGATACCAATAGTGCCAACTCCGTAGCTGCTGCAATGTATTGCTCGCCGAGAAGTGAGAACATTCGAGTGAAAAAATCTCTATACTGGCTACGTCGGGTTTTCGCAGGCCGAGGCCAGAAACGGCTTCCTTCTTCAAAAACGCGAAAGGCCTTGTTTCTCTCGAGATTGCAAATCAACGAAGCTGGCTCGAGTCCTTTGTTTCTCGCGAGGATGGCACATGCCAGATTGATTGGTCTTGTATCAAGACCTTCAGTCGACCTTGGAGAACTGACGAGTAATGATCGTGGTACAGAAATTATGGCTCGACTACACCTGTGCCGAAAGCCCAGATGTAAGCCCCACAAAAAGGAAGCAGAGACATCACCCTCAAGAGGTTCGTAAAGGCCAACCCTGTTCTCACTTCGCGGACTCCACATACGGAGCTCTTCCTTTCGAGGATCATTCCTCTGCTTCAATAGCTCCGTCGGATCTGAGGCAACTCCACCTTCGTAAGGCAATACCACTGCCGCGAACTTTTCAACAGGATGAAGGCTGACCCTTCCGACTAGAATTGACAGTGCTAGCCAATCCTCTCGGCTACCAATGTATTTCAAATATTGAGGAGGAATCCCAGTCCGGCTGGGACCGCTCCATGCCTTCCAACGAAGCTTCCTGTAGTTACGGCTTTCAGCTAGGTGGTAGAGACTGAAAGCGGATGTGCTCACGGCAAATAATGAGACGAGAGGTTGCCAAAACATATCATCGCTGGGCCAAGTGTATTTGGGCTCTTGCAGTATCGATTTGAAGACGGTCAACAGCAAAAGCAGGAGGTAAGGAATCACAACGTTCTCGTAGTATAATGCAATCTTCAAGCGGACAGTCCAAAAGTTTCGCTCCTCAAGAAGCCTGAGGCATCGCCATCCCAGCAGTAGAAGGCCACTTGCAAGGAGGAAAGCAGAAAGAAGCATTGCGTAGCCCGGGCTGGTAGCTTCAGAAATCAAGACGCCGATTCAATCATTGCTGTCCGCTGACATGACGCCGGACGAAAGAGGCATGCACCAGCTCAAGCTCAAAAAATTTATTTCTGACATTCAGATGTGGTGAGGTGCAGCTAAGTCAAGCTGTTGGAAGTGGAAGCTTTCCATAAAGGGTTCGATGTCTTGGCGCTCGGGATGAGCAGCTTAGTGAGACCAACAACCTTAAGTGCAGCCGCCAAATCAGTTCAACATCCCATCGAGTACACAGTCCTTGCACTCATCATGTCGATCACACCACTCATGACATTCAAGGCTGGTGCCTGTGACTTTGACGTAGGAAACAATCTTCCATGAACTGGAAGCTGCGCTGACGGAACCGAAAACAGACCAGCTCTTCACCTCCCAAAGTCCTACCAAAGCCCGCTAGTGGTTATATCTACCTATACGAAGAAGACGATCTGATACAATTCTGTTGGCGGCCTCGTGCGGCACCTATGTCCTCCCCAGAGTTGAAATTATCTATGGTCCCTACAGACGGCCAATTCATACCATACCAAGAAAAGTCCTCAGACTCAAGTACCATCAAATCACCTACCAACGGGCGAATATTTGTCCTCAAATTCCAATCCAGCAGCTCTCGTCACCTGTTCTGGCTGCAAAGCCGAAGCCAACACCCCCAAGGCGACCCATCATGGTTCAGTCCGAGAGATTTGAAGTGGGGCGAAATAGTCAACCGGCTCCTTCAGGGTGAAGAGGTTGACATTGCAGAGGAGGTCGCCGATACTTCAAATGAAAATCAAGGTGGGGGCGGAGACACAGAGATGGAGGACGCACGGCCAGAAGGCGGGGAGATACAGGGCAACATAGGGAGCGGGGACCCTTTCATGGGCAATCCAGAGAATGAGGGGTCAGGATCACGAGATGGTGGTGCCGATGGGGGAAGAGCGTAGGTATCACGCCTTCTGTTGCATCCCTTTCAATTCGACAGATACAATCTTCATTTCAAGACCAGAATCAAATCTAGCCATTCATGTTGGCCCCTACCCATCACCCTGCCCTCAGAAAATGTCCCTGCAGCAATCCTGCCTCTCAATCCACATTCTTCCCTCTTCCACGTAAGCAAGACTGACACCTCAACTCCAGACCCAACATCCCCACCGACGCCGCCGCCGCAGTCCAAAACTTCCTCCAATCCCTCCGCGGCAGCAACGCCCCCTCCCAATCCCAACCCCCCGAAGGCGCACTCTACACCACCCTCCCCGAACTCCTTCCCTCCTCAACCACAATCCCCATAATCGACACCGCCCCCACCTCCCTCCTCAACTCCCTCCTCTCGCACCTGCCCCCCTCCATCCTCACACTCAACCAAGAACCCGCCTCCTCCGACGATTCCTACACCGACCCCACGCCCGCAGCCGCCCAAGCGGCCATCGACGCCCTCAGCGTGGAGCAGAAGCGGGATATTCTCCGGAGAGTGATGCGGTCGCCGCAGTTCTCGCAGAGTTTGGGGAGCTTGACGCAGGCGATTAGGGATGGCGGGTTGCCGACTATTAGTGATGCGCTGGGGGTGCCGGTGAAAAATGGGGGGTATGTGAAGGCTGGGAGTGGGGTGCCGCAGGGAGGGGGGATGCGGTGGAGGCTTTTGTTGAGGGGATAAGGGCGAAAGTGGAGGGGGAGGCAGGGGAAGAGAAGGAAGAGGGGGAGGGGGAGGGGGGGGGAAGATGGATGTGGAGTGAGATGCTGGGTATTCGAACGGTTGTCAATAGATAGGAAATATCAGAATAGAGAAAGAATGGCAGCGTGATGATACATTAGCGTTGAATTAGTTTGACAAGGGGGTATCTTCTATCAGTGGCATCCCATCCTTCCCTACCCAGTCGCGTCCTAAGAGATCTGTCGAAATAAACAATGAAGACCTGTAACGGTCATAGTCGATCCAAACACTTTCCCCACCCGTTCTCCAACCAAGTCTAAGACATTACTGTACAAAAAGCCGCTTGCTTGCGGCATCGTATCCAATCTCCAACCACCCCCCACCACTCGGAGAAAGCACTCTCAGTCGCCCTCCCGCATCTTCGTAATAGTAAGCCGTTTCCCGCCCATATTCTGTATCTTCTCGACCAGCGTCCCCGCTATTTCGGCGGCTTCGATGTCGTCGCCACCACCGACGCTTCGCCCATTTATGAGAATGTTGGGCACGGTCCGCCGGCCTGTGGTCTTCTCGAGTACGTCTTGGATCTTGCCTCCGAGGGGATGTTGGTCCAGCTCCACGATATGCGGGGCGGGGACGATGTGATATTTGTCCGTTAGGATTCTTTTGGCTTTCGCGGAATAGGGGCACCATGTTTTAGAGAATATGATTACTGAGGGGTGTTTTGTTAGCATGTGGCCTTGCAAAAGGGAAAGGAGCGTAGGAACAGGTAGTGACGTACTGGGACCGCGCTTCAGTATCGAGTTCATCTCTGCCTCTACCTGACGCTCCTCTTTCGACTTGTGCGGCCGATCTGATTTGTGCCCCTCCCCCTTCATTTTCTTGCGGCCGGCAACGCTCTTCTCGTCGCCCTCTTCATCCTTGGATTCTGTCTTTGGATACTTTTCTGGTTCGCCGTGTGGCTGCTCGCCATCGTCTGATGATTCGTCAAGTGGTTTCTGGGCTGTGTTGCCGTCACTTATTGGCTCTTGGTTCTTGGCGGGGTCTTTTATCGTCCGCCATTTGCTTGCTGCTTCTGCGTCAGAAGCGTGTTTCTTGTCGAGGGCAGCAACTGTACGTGTATAGAATTCTTGCGTGGTTGTGTCTCTCTGTCATGTGATATATGAGTCCCAGATGAAAAAATCCTCAAGGATGGATGTGTGGCTTACACCGACGAAAAGGATGAAGCAGAATATCACCGCTATTGCCAACGCTATTGTTTTCAATCGCCGCGAAGAAGGCATGACGGGAACGAATGACGCTTGGGACTGTCACGAGGTTGTTTCAAATGTCTCAAATTATCATTGGAAGCGCTTCTGACCGCTTGTCAGAAAGTTGAGGCGCAAAGGGAGTAGAAAGTCAGTGCTGCCGAGGACCCGAACGAGCGCCGCAGCCGATTAAATGTGATGTACGGTGGAACGAGCGATATAGAACATTATGACTCTGGTTCATTCAGTCATAAAAGCAACAAGAACTGGAAGAATGTAGGGCGCACAAAAAGAGATGTAGTCACTCCGGTGACTAGCAGGATTGGTAGCATCAGGGCGGCCCAGCATGTGCGGAGGATTTCCGCATGCTCCTGCCCGAATAGGCAAGGGCCGTTGAATTTGTGTGTAAAAGGGGCAAGAGGGGCTAGGAATAAACTTCTTTTGGCATTTGCTGGACGCGACTTTAAATCCCTTTTCGGACGTGAATCTGTAGGTGAGCTTTTATGGATTAAATATAGCGTCTTTGTTGAATTGAAATCATCAGGTTCTTTTGCTATAGAGGCCGGCACACCTTGATTGATGCGGAACTATGACATTTCACAATACTGCACCACTGATCACCCACACTTACTTGATAGATAATGAGTGTTCTGGAAGCTCAAATGTTTATGTCACGTGTCATGAGACCGACGAGTAGGAAAAGTCCAACACGTTCACTCTTTTGCTGCTAAGCTTGATCCTTTGATGCAAACTTCCGTGGACCGCAAATCAGGCCTCTAGAATACCAGTACGCCAGCTTCAAGGAAACAAATATTCGCCGCGACCTTACTCAATCCCACCACATCAACTAACGAGAGGTTGAAGGTACGTCACGACACGCTCTTCTCGACTTTTCTGTAGGAGCAGGTGTTAGACATCAGTCCTTTCTAGAGTGTCGATCTAGTTGTTGAGATAATACTACTCCGGGAGAGTAGGTTGCTCACTTCTTACAAATGGCACCTAGTCTTCCATTTAAGTGAGAATACACTCCGAACCATCTTCTCGACCTCTTCAGGAGTTGACATCATACCTTCATCTCCTGCAAAGTCTACAATTAGTCATCAAGCCAGCTCTCAAACGCTTGTTAAGGAGTACCGCGCAAAAGTATGGGCTCTTCCAATTGATCCAGTCGAATTTATCACTCGATTAGAAGCGTATAATGCCGCAAGGACTCAGATCGATTGCCTCCATGAGGTCTATAGGTCTAAATCCGTAAATGACATTCAAAAATTGTCTGTCGAGATCTTGGATATGATCGCCGGTGAAATTCTCGATACTGAGCATGATAAGAGAGTACTCCCTTGGCAACAGCTGATCGACTGCTGCGATCGCACATGCTTGGCTGTGTGTAACAAAAGTTCAAGCCACCTTACATATGCTGAATTTGATGCACGAAAGACACTTCAAAGTTTGATTGAAGTTTCAGACTTAGCAGGGCTAGAGGATGCTTTCCTTGATGCATTGGATGATCAGTTGGGAACATTTGAAGACGTTGAAAAAGAAAGGCATTATGGTGGAATGAAAGCAAAGCTCGCTTGTGTAGAAGACTTTCAGCGGTCTCTTGAGGTATGTATCACTACTTCATTGATCCAGGCGTTATTGTATCATGTCCAAGCTGAGAAAAGAATAGGCCTGGAATCTGAAGAAACAGCTTGGAGTATATCCAAAGCTTCAAATTGCTAAAGACTATTTTGAAGACCACCTAGACGATGAAGATATCGAAGATGAGATGGGGTATGCTGAAGATTATGATGAGAGCGGGAACAGCAAAGCCTGTTGGAAAGTCGATCTTAGTGCCTACATAATACTCGATGAGGATCCATCTGAAGCACGTAATGCGCCGGAAATCCAATTATTGGGCATCAGAGGGCAGCAGACGATTGGAAGGGTGACGGATGCCAAACAGGAACAAAAGTTTGCAAGGGCACTGAGAGTGCTTAAGCTTATACCTCTGGGCTCTCCACAACTGATGAGTGTGGTACGCAAAGGGGCGATGGAAGAACAGAAGATCGAACATATGGTCGCAGGGAACAGCCACTACGAAGGAAGCATCATAGATTACCTCGAAGTGCAGACCTTGCGCCAGCGCTCATAATACTATGATTTGAGATATCTGGTCAAGGGGTGGAAATTGACAATCTGCAGGCCGGCGACCCTGCTTCGCATGTGTTTGGAAGTCAGCTTGAACTAGACATATTTCGATTATGTGGTAATTTGGCAACTAGATCAGCTTGATGCGAAGATCTAGCTTTCTTTCTCCCTTGGCTAATATCGTTACGCCTCATTTTGAAAATCTCTCCAATCGAAATTGACTTCACCACCTTTTGGGCTCAGTGTTGCGGACCTGACACATTCGTGTGCAACGTGGCCAAGGCACTTCAACTTGCGAATGTTCATATTTCACTTGCCATTTCGTTCTGACGTCTGCCATCCAACTTCATCAAAGCCATCACAATAAATCATGCCTAAATGGAAGAAAGGCTGGGCTGTCCAGTTCGAAGGCTTCGAATTTGCTGCCCGCTTGAAGGCATATGCTGCTGCGCGAACGCCAATTGACGCTATTCGGGACCTCAATCAATCGAACCAATCGACTAGTCTATTCACGAAATTGCCAAAGGATGTGATCCTCATGATAGTAGAAGAGCTAATCGAGCTTGAGTATGAGATGAATACGCCTCACTGGAATTCGATGGAGAATTGCTCTAGCCGCTCTTGTCTCAACACGGATGAATTAGCCCATTCATCACCACTTCGCAACAGCGCATTTAAGAAATTGGATGAACTGCGGAATCTTGAAGGCGATTCAGAGTTAGACCTTGAATTTGTCAACCAGCTTGATACACAGAGGGACAAAATGCTGGCAATCGATAAAAAGCTACATTACCAGCGATTGATGTTATTCGCCTCCGGGGTGGAAGAACTCAAGGTAGAATGTGATGTAGGTGATCTGCAACTTGTGCATTAAACCCCTTACTGAGACCCACAGAAATGGCTTTGGGATGACACACATGAATCCAGACTCGAACAGCGTCATGTAAAGATCTATCCTCTTATTCGATACGCCAAACATTATCTCCACGCTTCCAACGACCCGCAAGCTAGGGAAGACTATCACTCATTCGGGAATGAACGCAATCATCTGTATTCGCTAGATATCGAAGGGTATCTTTTCGTATCTTCACCTTTGACCAGTCTCAACCATGTCCATATATCCTGGCCATTTCGAGATAATTCCGATTTTGGGAGCTGCTCGCCAATCCAAGACGGGGAGCGACAAACCCTAGCGGAGGCGATGAGACTCCTTAAGTTGCAGCTCAAGATCAATCCATCCGGATCTAATGATGAAGATACTTTGCAAGGGTTGGAAGATGTGGAGACTGTGCAGACAGACGGGCGAAACAACCAGGAGAGATTCAATATTGAGCCGAAATATATGATTTTTGATCAAGAATGGACGTAAAAGCTTCAAAGTCAACATAGCAGAGAACAAGACACTCCGAATTTCATCTCCGCTAGACCTAGCAAGGACAAGAAGTAAGCAAACCTCACTCTCAAATCGCTCAACTGACTAAATCTTCTCTCAGTCAGTGTGGCCAACCGCTTATTCAGTCCAGATTGAAGCCCAAAATGAAGCATGAGTAGTAAAAGTGTGAGTTTAGCAGTCGGTTTGCACCTCGAAATAGTCTAAGCGAATGCATTGAGCTATCTACTAAACAGTCGATGCAGAGGTCGAATTGGACCGTCAGCAATTGCTTTGACCTCTAAAGTGGACCGAATATTTACAAAATTAACTATCTAATTCGCCCGGACTGCTGACAGTCCACAAAAGCGTTGGCCACACTACTCTCACTTCCGTCACATTAGTGACTTATTTCCACAGAAGTCATAATGGAACAAGACATTTCACGATTCACGATGCCTTTTCTACCCAAACGATCAAACGCTTCGTGATGCTAAACCAAATCCTCGCTCACAAGAAAGCGATAATTTACAATCAAGCACTTGTCTCGACTACATGCTCCCTAATTGATCCCCTTGTGAGAATCCACTAGCCCACATTTCCCTTGCTCGACTTCGTCCTGACCCAAAGCGAGCGTTTTACACGATTCCCTTCTTTCCACTAATCACCCATTCAAACCCCCTCCACACTTCTCACACCATGCCTCACTAGCAGCCTACGGCCCCAATCCGCTTCCCTAGTCCTCCAAGATTGCCCAGATCAAACCAAAATCAGCGGGAGAGCACATTTATCCCCAATTGATCCCCTCCAATCTCCCCTCTCCTCATCCTGAAGTTTATCACGTCAACTCTCTCCCACTACTCATGTAAAATAATCCAACAAGACGGTCCGAAAACACTTTCAATAAGCAACCTGGAACGACTATGTTATTTATTAGTGAGGTGTTACTTTTTGTAGGCAGGAATAGCTATTACATCAACTTCATATGTGGACCCTGAGTGATTGTTGCTTATCATTTCATTGAGAGATCATATGGGTGTAGAGAGAGAGAGAGAGATCCGTTGGGCACAGAGTAGGATGTCGGGACGTCAAATGCGTGGTTTCAACTTCACATGGTGTGCAGGAGGCCGTAGTGTCAGGCTCACAGCTGCGTTACTGCTTTTCTTGGACAATTCACTTCTATGATTCATAAGAGGCAGTATTGGTGTCAAGGCTGAATGCAGTCTCACACCATATCCTATGTACCTTCATAAACCAACCTCTGCCTGAATTGGCTCATTTCAGATTCCGTGCATTCTGAACCAATCACAAACTCGTATCGTTGCTCGAAATCTCTCGCCGTACGCTGTGCTGAATAATCCAAATATTGTACCTTTCTCAGACATGAGCTGTTGCCTGAGGTAGTATAGGAGGACATGGGACATGGAAAAGGTGATCAATAGATCATGGACTTTAGCCACAATCTGGAGTAAGGCTAGAGACTGGTTGATGCTGCGACTAGTCCAATAGATATCTCGCCAACTAAGGCTCAAGATGCCAAAGGTGATTTCCACAGGATGAAGAAGAATCAATACAGAAATGAGTGCTTTAGCGCGACTCTGTACCACTGTGTGTTGCCTTGACTGCAAGAGTAGCTCTTTCTTTTCTTTTAGATGTTTGGACACGGGGAGCTTCCATCTTCTCCTCCTCGACGCTGGGCTTTCAGTTGAGCTGACGTACGCTGTTTAGCTTTGAGGTACTTGATAGCCAAAGCCATTCAGGACGCAAGATTGGCGGACCCTCGTAAGTTCCGACTATTAGATACCCTTGCATCACGAGCCTCGGCTTGACCAGCGCTGTCAGCGTGCGAGGCCATGAAGCATTCCTAGAACAAGGGACTGGGCTTTGCCATTCAATCAGGAAGCGGGGCAAAACAGGCTGTTATTGTGACGATCAAGCTGGAGCCTGATAACTCCACTCACTTTTCCGCGTCATGGCGTAACAGGAGACTTGTTTTCAGCCTTGCTGCAGCTGTTGCTGCAACTACTACCAAGCTGGTTCTTCGGTAAGAATTGCCTTTCAACAGATCGCTTTTGTTATGTAAGCTAGCCTGCTGCATGGAGCCCAGGTACTCGCTTGGTCATTATTAGTTTTCGAGCAAAGAGTCCAGATACTATTAGCCAAGCCTACCACTTGTATTGCGAGGGTCGATCTGTGGAATTGATGAGGAGCCTGTCCAGACAAAGTTGAATGCATTCACCCCTCAGTCAGCAGACGTAGATTGCTTCTCCTCGAGAGGCTTCACAACCTGCGACTCGGTCGCATGCGACCTCACTCAAGCTTTACAGTCGTCTAAAGGAGCCAAGACTTTCCAGAGAAGCAGTTGCTGCATCTCATTGATCGTTTCGTTGCCCTTTACTTGCAGGCAGGTCAACACAACATCGGTATAGGTTTTCCCAGCGTAGCCGGGGAGGCTGCGTTTCGCCCTGCTAATAATTTCGTTCCGCGCGTCATTGGAGTCTTTGGGCATGTTGTAAGTATTCAACGACTGCCAGACACCAATCTGAAGCAGAACAACTCCAAGGCTAGGCTGGCGTCAGCATTTACTGTGGGCGGCTAAATTTCGAATGCCCTCTAGCACACTAGGTGCCAATCTTTGTGAAAATGTCATGGAGAGGAGATCATACAGCGTGCTTGATAGTCAGGAGGGCAGACTTACGAGTATACATCACAAGCGGAAGTGTACACAATATCACTGTTGTCGCGTTTCCTTGGGTGGTGGTTGTAATCCAAGGATATATTCCATCGCATGCTAGTTCTCTCTTGCCTTCCATAACTCAATGTCGTAGGATCCTCATCCAGCTCAAGCTCATCCATTCTGGAATGACCGAAGCCGGACAAGTATGGTCTGCTGAGATCTTTGCTTTCACCTCTAGATGGGGTTCCTCCAGAACGCGATTCCTGAGGGAGAAACATAATAGATGAGGCCCGGATACTAGAACAGTTTGAGTCAGATTGACTGGATCTTCGATGGAATAGATTACAAAGCGCCTACTTTTTATGAACCCATCCAGTAGCATGTAGGACGTAGAGGCATTGGGCCACGTTGCGGGCCAATTGATAGCGATCACCGAGGGAAAGCATGGATCGCAGCTGAGTTGGAAAGCCAGAAATCATCTCGCTTTGTAGGGTTGTTGGTTTTCGTAGCCTCGAGAACTCTTTGTCTAAGGTTTTATGACCCTCTAAATTTTCAATATGCCGAGAGGGTTGATACACAAAGCCGAAGCGAGCATTAGCCTCGTCTCTGAAGATACCAAGGAGTTTAAGGACACGAAAAGCTCTCGGTCTATTCTCGACCCCGAAGAAGTCGGAAAGGGCCATGATGTCGTTCTCTGCTCGCTCGTGTACTTCCTTGTGTGTCACAACGCCTTGTTTGGAGTAACGAATCTCCGCATACCGTTTCCATTCCTAGCAGATATGGGTAAGTCATGGCTGGTCTAGACGTGAATGCTAAAGCTTACAATATAACAGGCCTTCTTGGTGCGCTTGTCAATGGCGAGAAGTACACCAAGTTGCTTAGTCTCAGGTCTATGTGTCTCCACGGTGAAGTCTCCTTGGTCGAGGTAGCGTCCAGAGAGTAGGAAGGACCGCCTACGCTCATTAAACAGAGTTTGTCTCTTCCTGGCGAGTTGCACAACGCGGGCTTTGAAAGCTGCAATGTCTCTAATAAGTGCCATACTTTCCGACTCCTGTCCTGCTTCTCGCCTTCTTACGACTTCAGAATCGTACACTCGACTAACGACCTCCAAACTGCCTGGACTTTGGTTATTTGATATATGCCCCGGTAATACTCGATCAATTTGCTGACGAGACCATCAGCATTCAGGCCGCGAGCATTGGCACAAAGAGTTTACAGCTGCTTGTGCGTCGGAGCAAATGTTGCGAAGGACCCCGATGAATTCTCTCAATCTCTCCACAAGCCCATCAAATTGAGAGGCTCCTCTCAATTCAAAACGGCACCGCTTCAAGATGGCCATGTGTTGTCGTCGAGTTTCCACTCTTCTTTTGATTTGTGCTACATTTGAGGGATCTCCAAGAATAGCATCGGCAGTAATGTCCTGCAAATCCTGTGAGTTGTAAGCCACGAAGCACTACGTAATGAATCTCAAGAACAAGGCTGACTGGATCCCTGCGCTTCATGTGAACTCCGTATTTTCGTTGAAGCGAACTGCTATCTGCGAAGAGATTTGAGATCGCGGCAAGGGTACGCAAGACGCTAGAGCCCATTTCCTTGTTCCTCTGGACCCAACGTTGCAATTTGAAATCTACACCTTGCTTCGGCGCAATGGCTGGAATCTCCCAGACCATGCCCCAGCCTTTGAGATCATCTCTCTGGATCTGGATTCTTACCAGCTGTTCCTCAACTCGGCGATCTGCCTTGATAATGTTTTCAATGAGATAGCAGCCATCGCTGCAAAGAGGCAGTAATGCGATGACACCAGTGACGATGCCAACCACTTCAGCCATGGCCGTCAAACCTGTGAAGCCATCTGCAGTATGAGGAACCAGAAATCGCAGACTTAAAAGATGAGTGAAGGATGACTCAATGAATCCTTGCACGAAGCGACTTCAGCCGCAGAGTCTTGAGCTGCAGCCTTACTGAGCGGGCTCATCGATTGGATACTCGAAAGCGCCATGAGCTGTGGCCATCAGACCACGTCCGCATCTTCGAAATGAAGAGTCAAGATTCTTGATCCGTCAGCACACATCAATGGGCCTATGTATTCAATACAGGTACCTTGTTCACGGCATCCCTCTGCCAGAGATGGACTAGACCAGAAAATCGCTACGTCATCGCATCAAACTTCTCTCGAGTCCCCAGAGCATTTCAATCCTCAACAATCAACCGCCATTGAATAGCACCATCACCATGAGCAGCCACAGTAATGCTACCTCAACTATATAGAAGGCTCCAAAAGTAAAAGACATCGCAACAACCCTTCAAGCCTCCACTGTTCCCTGCCCCCCTCCACCACCACAACCATGGCCCCCTCCCTCCAACCCAACAAAGCAAGCCAAATTCTCACCTCCGCCTCCAAACACTCCTACGGCATCCCGGCGATCTGCGTCTACAACCTCGAAGGCATAATCGCAACAGTTCGCGCCGCAACCGCAAAACGTTCCCCGGCAATGCTCCTCCTCTTCCCCTGGGCACAAACCTACTCCTCCACCGTCCTCGCGCACGCGGCAGCCGAAGCAGCGCGAAAAGCCCCCATACCCATAACCGTCCACCTTGACCATGCGCAGACGCCCGAAGCGGTGAAAGAGGCAGCCGATATGGACGGCTGCTACGACAGTATAATGGTGGACATGTCGCACTACGACCACGCAGAGAATCTGCGGTTGACGAAGGAATTGACGGCGTATTGTCACGCGCGGGGAATATTGGTGGAAGCAGAGTGTGGGCGGATAGAAGGCGGAGAGGATGGGGTGAGCGACACGGCGGACTTGGAGGGCCTGATGACGACGCCGGAGCAGGCGCGGGAGTTCGTGGACACGGGGGTGGATTGGCTGGCCCCTGCGTTTGGGAACGTGCATGGGATGTACGGACCGAGGGGGATACAGCTGGAGTTCGAGCGGTTGGAGAAGATAAAGAGGGAGGTTGGGGATGTGAGCTTGGTGTTGCATGGGACGGATGGGTTTGATAGGGGGATTTATGAGGAGTGTGTGAAGGCGGGGATTACGAAGTGTAATATCAATCGGGTGGTCAATCAGAGGTTGACGAAGGTGTGGAAGGAGGGGGAGGGAGGGTTGACGGGGTTGATGGAGGAGGGGACGAAGGGGATGCAGGAAGAGATTGAGGTTTTGATGGATTGTTTGGGGAGTTCGGGCAAGGCTGATTTTTGAGGCGAGAGAGGCTGTTGTTGAAGGGCAACAGCCTGGTGCGGATATGATGTGAGTGGAGGTCACGGCGTCTGCTCGATATGGCCAACGGCATCAGGATCAGTCTAAGGAAAGACTCCCTGGGTCGGCAATGGATCGTCACTACGAATGTCAGGTTGAATAAATTGAAGAACAAAGAGTAGACTGATTGGATTCAGTAGGAGATCATCAGCTCCAAGTACACGCCAGGTCCAGGTCAAAATCTTAGGAGACAAGCCCCCACGTGCTTCGCGTCGGCGAGGCTGCTTACAAAAGAGGGCTTTCGTGGGCTACAACCATGATGGTAGCCTTTACAGCCTCTAATAGCCGCGTTGACGGCGAAGCTGAATCAGCTTCGAAGACGAGAAGATCGGAAAAACTGATTCTCCAAATTGAACGTGGACGACACGATTAAGTGTATGGATGTGCTCGATGTGGACATGGTGCATTGAATCAAGAGTAAACGATGACTTACGTTCATGTACTTCATTAGAATCACAAATATTACCTTATGAATATATTCTACGAATACACATGTCTGGAATATTACCCACTGCGCTGAAAATCTTCCTTTAGTGCCAAATTGGACTGACGGCTATATAGATGGTCATCACAGCCCACAGAAATCGTATTGAAACTTCTTGCAGTATCCTACTACCAGCAGCAGAGCTCTCCTGTCCACCACCTGTCGTAGCTGAAGAATTGCCAACATCCTGACTAGGCGAAGGAATGTCCCCATCGCTCTCTGTAGGAGGATCATCCCCTGAGTGATTGTGGCTACCACTTTTACCGCCTGTAGGCTTGAGCCTGAGCGAACCACTCTTATGAGTTTGCCGCGATCGACTGCCGGTTCCTGATCCACGGCTTGCAAAGCCTGTTGTCGATTGGGCATCATCATCTGCCGAGGTGGGAGTCATGGCTTGCGTTCCTGAGAACACTCTTTGTGTGGTAATGACTGCAAAGTTTTGTACTTGAGATGATTTGTCTTGCGAAGCCAAGGTTGATAGCGGAACATTGGTGTCACGCGTGCCAATAATAGCAGTTATTGGGGAGCCGGGTCTGGTGGAAGGCGCCGAAGGCCCTATCATCACTCTTGAGAAGTCATTCATAGCTGCTGATGGTATTGTTTTTGTTGCTTCTACGTTCAACTGAGTGATTTGGCTTGCGTGCAACGCCTTCGAATCAATGTGGAAGGAAATCTGGCTGCTATTCGTCGTGTTTGTCTGACCTGTGGCTATTATTGAGCTGCCTATGTTGGAAATTTCGGATGGAATGCTTTTTTTGGTAAGGCTGGATCTAGCAAGATCCCTTTTAGAACGTAGGTGCAAGCCAACGCTAGAAGAGCCTACGAATCTGCTGATAACAGACTGTTGCGTGGAGATGAGCGATTGTGTGCGTGTTGAAGGCGTTCGCAAGTGAGGCGTAATGATTGGCGAGTTTGAGGGTGAGGATCTGAAGAATTTGCTCATTGTAGGCCTCAGCGTGTTCGTCCAATTGGACCCTGACTGTGAGGTTTGGATGGACTGATAGAATGAGCTACCGCCGTGCGAAGCTACAGCAACACAATGGGACGCCAAACTCAATGGTAAGTGAGTGGCAAGCTGACGGTGAGAGATTTCTTGGCTTGAAGTAGCTGCCTTGTTGATACATTCAAGAGTTTGTTGCAAAGGCTGGGTAGTCTGAGTGCGAGAGCTTTCCTTCTCCTTTCGTGACATTTCTTCGACTATAGTCTTGGATGGCATAGTAGTTGAAGCATCATCGGGAGGCTTAGTTGACTTGGAGGATGTGTGAGTCTGGAGGTTAGTTAGGAATTCGAAATCTCCGACGGTCGTGTGGTTGTCGGTAATGGTGGGAGCTTGGGATGTTTTGGGAGTATGCTCGTCGTTTTGGGTATCACTGGTCATATCCCGAAGTATAGAGATGTCTCCTGGATTAGTGGGATGTCTAGTGTTGTGAGACAATTTTAAATCTTCAATAGATCCAAGATGACGATCAATTGGGGCTTGGGATTTCCCAGAGGTAATAATTCGCGGAGAGTCATCAAGAATGTCAGAACTCTTCGGAGATGCGATTGGTGAAGCACCAATAGAGGTCTTAGGTGTTTCGGGTGAGTTGAGGACTTGGGATTCCCTGGCAGATTGCGGATGGATAGAAGTTTCAGGCTTTTCCGTCCCTGCGGGCTTCTTCGAGCCACCAGCTAATTCGGATGCCATCGAGGCTACAAAATTTTCAATTTGATTGGATTTGTGAGCGGGCACCGGGCCCGTCTTTGGCTGTTGCGAAAGATCAGAAGCAGTAGCCGCTTGATTTGCAGCCGGCTGTTGAACATGTCCATTATCTTTGGACTTAGTCGAGCTAGCTTGTAATGGCTGGGGATTATCTGGTGTTGTAGAATCTTTGGGGAAGCCTTTTGGCTCGCTGTGGGACTTTTCTTGAGAAGACAGCGGCTCCGATTCACGCGTTGGATTTGGTGCTGGGGTATTCGGTGTAGATGGTTGTCGTGGTGGGTTTGCTGGTGGCGGATTAGCTGGCGGTGGGTTCGCTGGCTGTGGGCTCGCCGGCGGTGGATTTGACTGAAGTTTAGAACTTTCAGGGATGACCTGTTGCTGCTTCTGTGCAGCGACGTTAGAAGGTGCCGGCCCTGCCTTGGGTAAGTTAGGCTGTGCAGGTGTATTATCAGGTTCTTTGGAGACAGCAATGTGCTGGTCAGGAGATCCTTGCATTGGGGGCGTCGGTGCTGCCTTTGGCTGCGGGGGATTTTGTGGAGGGCTAGGAACTTTGGGGGCAGCAGGTGCTGGGACTTGGCTAACACCGTTGAGAGGCGTCGGGCTTGCTTCTGGCTTGTGGTCTGGTTGGGCAGCTTGCTTCTGTCCACCGGAACCGGGTTGTGAATTCGTCATTGGTTTGTCAGCGCCCTGAGGTATATCGGAACAATGTACCTGATCGAAGGAATCTAGGTATGTCGATTCTGGAGCTTGCGTTGCATCAGGCTTGTCAGGCCCTCTTAAGGGGCCAGGCTTAGGCGGTGGTGTCGGGCATTCATTTGTTTGTGCTTTTGTGACACGCCCCGCTTGGCCATTATGCGGGGAAAGAGCGTTAGTTTTGCTGATAACCCTAGGCGGATCAAATGCCCCATAATATAGAGGCTCACAACGTTTCCATAGGGGGTCGACGCTCGTCAGTTCCGCTGGCAAAGAAACTCTTGGGTTGATATAAGGAGAGCAGCCGGCTTTCGTAGTGGTTGATGTAATGATAGGATTGTAATAAAGTGACGTGAAATCAATTGTAGAGAAGCCGCTGCCTGACAGGACAAATCCTTCACAAGTCGAGCCAGGACTTGACATCGTTCCGTATGCCAAAAAGCGGGATGAATAAGCCATTGTTTTTTCATCAAAAACTGGGCCAATCGTTCGCAGCGTTGACGAAGGGCCGCAATGTGCTGTAGCTCTCAGAGATGTATACACGACGTATACGGAGGGCGAGGTGCTATTGATGTCAGATGGACACTGCAAAACGAATTAGGTCATCAGCCCGCCAGACTTACAACGTAAATCCATCGGAGACTGAAATTGATTGATTCGCGGGCACTGATCCATTGTATGCGTTGTCAGGAGCCCAATATATGAGCCGCACGCCTCCTGGAGCTTCTATTCCACAAAAATGATTACAATCATCAAGAAAGCCAGGGGTTCCTGCGTTGAGGGCAACATTAGGAACTAAATCGGGTAATGTCGTCGAACCGGCCGAGTCTTTGGTTCTATCAGTCAATGTATGGTGTCTTACTAGGGGTAAAGTCTTACTAATGGCCGCACAAAGGGCCGTCTGAACTTGCAATATCAAGAATGCTAGGGACACGGAGGAAATAAACATTAAAGGGAGTGGAGCGTAAAGAAACTGACATTTGAAGCGAGTGTGTTGACGGTGTGAGAAAAGAGGAAAAGCAAAAGAGTAGGAGCGAGTGAAATCTACATGAAGAACACGGTCTCCTTCTAGCTGCCATCAAGGCCAAGAAGGCACAAGTTCTTTTCCCCATGTGAGCAGCAACAGAGTTCCCTCGCACCACTCAAAACAACACACTACAGTACCAGACAGGTTCGATCAAACGCCATGATGAGGAATACAAACACAATGCTAAGTGAATGTATGTATGAAGGAGGAGGCTGAGTCAAAATCGATCAACAGCTGAGCAGGGACAGGAGGCTCGAAGGCAGATCAGAAACAAAGGCGTCCGAACTACTCTTGCTTACACATGATATGCGTAAGGGTGACGAGTGCTGCTGGTAGAACCTGCTTTATCGGGAATGCTCATGAGGATTGCTGTGCCTTGTGGGGGCCTTTTCAAAGGAAAGGGGATTTCTAAGCTCCATTGAAGTTTTCAATCTGAGCGAAGAGACAAGAGCCGAGCATCCTCGATATACGTTCACGAGACGATGCGAATCTCTGTCTTCGTACCCGACCAAAGAGAACTGGATACAATATTGTGGAGTGACGGTGCGTATGTACAGGGGGTGAAGATAGAAGGAGGAGATTGGAACGCCACAGACCCTCGGGCTTGGCAGGGCTGTCTTGGCGTGCTGAATCATCCACATAGGGCTGAAAAGTTCTTTGGCCCCAATAATGCCCCTTTGTCCTCGTATCCGCTTCGTCATCATGCAATCTTTGAGTTCTGGTATTCTGCCGTCATTGTTAGGATATTGTTGTGTTGATGTTTTCAGAACCTTCATAGAACTCATTCACGCTCAAGACGACTTCCAGTTCTAAGCGATATCTTCCAGTCCCTGAAAATGGGATACTACCCCCTATCCATTTATTACCAGCTGGCGGCAACTTTTTGTGTAACAAACAGTCATATATGATATCGAGTATCGGACCGATCAAGTCCTTCACAGGAAATGTGTCGCTCGCCAGCGGATCATCACAGCTGATCTTAAGGTGGCATTTGCCGTTGTGGATGGCATATGGGAGTCTTCGACTTGGAGGTGCTGTCAGACCCCATTCCATCTCACCAAAATCCTCATACTCCTCTTCCCATTCGTTCAACAAGTCCTCGCAAACCCACGCCGGGGGTGTCTTCGTGGCTACTGAATCGGGAATGCAATCACTGTCTCCGAGAATAGTGACAGAGTTTGAGGTGCCGTTGTAAAGAGAAGTCGATGTTGTCAATAATGCAACGAACGGTACTGAAAGTGAGTGTCGCAGTATCATCATTCTGACGGCTCATTGGGAAGAGTTGACAGATCAAATACACCAGGGGTGATTGCTTGTTATTGTATTGCCATACTAAGGCATGACCAACTGAGTATGTGTTGAGTCCGATAAGACTTGTATCACCTAGGGAAACGGCCCACAATTAGTCGCATAGCCTTACTTATATCCTGTGCACTAAGGATTACACGTTACTAGAGACGGGAAGAACGAAAGGCCAGGAACAACGCCCTTACAGGCACAACTTTTTTCACGCCTCAAAAATGATCTCTGATCAGCTAGCTGTGTATTCCATTTAGTTTGATTGCCGGTCAAATTGCAAGATACGACGAATATGGTAGGCCTATCTTTTACGCATGGCTGTGGTAATTATGCAAGTCGTCATTCTCGACAGCTGAGCTGTGGATCTACTGTCTCTCAAGTCTTGTGCGGCTCAAGTCGAAAGCTTATTTATAGTCGACAATGTAGCATTCTAAATTTGCTGCTTTGATGGATGTTGACATCGACGCATTTAGCGCAAGATTCCACACGAGCCGATACTTGAATGGAGCTTCTTTCCCTGAGCTCATGATCTCAACTCACTGAATTATGGAAAAGTTTCAGAGATCTCCATACCACTAACCGCTTTCCACGTAGAGGGACTCGTTAGCTTTGCAGAGCATGAAGCTGCAATGCGCCACAACGATTGTGCCTGGTAGCATATCATTACCTGCGTTTAATCTAGCTAGGGAACCCCGATCCAGTCATTGCTCACATGACTCTGTTTCATTGGTGCGTGGTGTCTGAGACAGTACCTCAGAGGTGACAGTGCGCTTAAGCTTCTAGACACAAGTTCCTGCAGTCGGCTCAAGCTTTGATCGCGCGGTTCTATTATTGTCATCGCGGTCAACGCTGTTCCAAGTACTACATAGGGGAGAACAAACCTCTGATACGCCAGAACGGTCAAACGACCTCGCTTGCTTTCCCATCCCGCACAATGCTTTCAGAATGTAAACTTCCTGCAAAGCACACATTTGGCCATACCTTGCCAGATGACGGTTTGAAAACCGCTACTGTGGGAAGCGATAAGACTCAGATTTCGCCCTTATGGAGGAGTCATGACACACGTCAACTTGTCAGGTCAGTGCCAGCCGGGAGTGAACCGGCAGATGCCTGAGATGTGGTACCGCACGATTTCGAGATCCTTTGGGTGCTGATCACTTCATGCGAGACTTGACAGGCTACCTTTTAGAGCGTGTCGGCGCCTTCTGGAAGAAACGTCGTTCTCTTTTGATCACGAAGCGTCCAGAAACATGTCGTCGAACATACTGAGGCGAGCGATCGCTGAGTGAGGCACAGCGAGGCAAGATCCATAGCATTCTTCACGGCCAGGAGCCTGGAGAATAGTACAGCGTACGAAGACGGGGATGCTACCCTTGTATACAACGTACAATAGGTCGTCCATATAAAGCCGTGGGTCCCGTGATCGCGCTATTTTGCTGCCATTCAAATTCTTCAAGAAGTCAAAGTATCATCTCAAAGCAATTTCATGCTCTGAGCGAATCAGGAGGGTTTTGGTTGATTTTGTGCAAATCTGCAAGCCTTTACGTCTTCTTTTCCAAAATGGCTGAATGGCCCAGCTTATTGCAAAACTACAGACTTGCACTGAAAGGTACGAACAATGATCCTTTACAAAGCTCATAATTGAAATTTTTCAAAGCAGCGCGGATGTAATTCGAGCATATCTTCGAGCAAAGGCCAGCCACATAATTGCCTTCTCGTCGGTGTTTGACGCTCATGCGGCATCGAGTCATGAACGAGAACTATGACAAGACCTTCTGCTGAAAAGCTCGCCGCGTACCTATCCTACAAATAGCAGCAATTTCTTACAATGCTTCCGCACTTCTCAACACGGACTCTACACTTAGTGATCTGCAAAAGGCGTGTTCCTACCACATTGACTATCGATCAAGTCTCCAAATCTCGCTCTTATAACAAGCAATCGATCAACCGTATCCGATTTCCTGCAATGCACAACGCTTTCCTTGCACTCTCCATCCCTCCTCCCACTTCCATCTCCAACGAATCAGAGCTTGTAGAGATCGAGTCCATCACTCAGACTCAAACATCGCGGATACTTCAAGTCCACTGCCAAAACTTGCTTTACAATCACCCCGGCCCCGCCCAGCCCAATGCAAACACCACAAACTAAGCCATGACTTTCCGCCTCCCACTCCCCCTTTCCCCTGCCCCATCACCTGCCCACCCCCCAATCCGTCTCAACAGCTTCTCCTCCTCCTTGGTCGGCTTCAATCCCCCCTGCCCCCACCCCATTGCCATTCCCGCTAAGCACAAACCCCGCTCACAACCCCACTCAGCGATTGCGGCAGCCCCTTCCCAGTCTCCAAACAATACCTCAAGGCGCGTTCCATCGATGGTAGCTTGGCTGCGGCCTTCTTCCTTCAGTTCTTGCCACAAAAAGGGGTGGGGTCTAAAAGCCTGGCATAAATCTCAGGCGTGTCTTTGCCTATGATTATGAGGCGACGGACGGGGATCCTTTGCTTGTTTGTTTAGGTACTGGGGGTGGGGGTAATGGAGAAGAGAAAAGCAGGAGATGGGATAGAGGGGAATGGGAAGGGTGGAAATTGACTTAATGTAGTCAACACCAACTGTGTACAGATGATTTCTATGCCAGTCTGACCGATCCGCTCGCAGACTGGTATTTGGGCTTCTTGGTCATTGGAGCAATGTGAAGCAGGCTAAGACTTTCCATCTCGCGGATTTGGGGGAAACATAGCAGTAAGGCAGAGAGGAGTCTCATGAAACGGATCCTGGAGGCAGGAATGGGGTGGTCTGTCTATCTAGGAATTTCAACGTCAAAGTAGCCCTGGAAGTCAACAAAAAAGATGCTTGTCCTGCAGGATTTTGGGATTTTGGGGCGTGGGAGCAATCTACGTTGGACGCAAACAGTACAATCCTTTGTGCTGTCCCCGTTTGTCAAAACTTTCATTCTATGAATGGATCTTTGGAGGATTGGTATTATTGCACAGAGCTTTGTTTTGGTTGATTCTAGGAAGTACGATCTCTTGCTAGAATCAATTGAGGCACGATAGAATGAGACCCACTCCCTTTGCACACTTGGTTACATCACAAGTACCAGCCCCTTGGGCGAACATCACCTCCCCCCAGTCATTCACCTTATGGTAGCACTCTACAATCGAAGAACCGTCGCTAGCGAGCGCCGATATTCACAAAATGGCCTTGGTCACGTTCGAGTGAATCCGGCCTGGTCAGCTGCAGCATTTTGAACTATACCATTCAGGGGCCAAAAACCTCACCACACCGGCACAAAGCTCGGCAAGGGCCAAAGCCGAGAGTTCATAAGACAGATCATGCACGCTTGTACCTGCATAGCGGCCGGCCGGATGGAAGGTCCACGAAAGTGAAGTGCCTCAGCGGCCTGGTGCGGCCGTTTCCTCGCTGCCAAAGCGAGCTAGGCTACTATCTACGAGAGCGAAAGGCCGAGGACTATCAAGCAAGTGACTGAAACGGCAAACGCGTCAGTCGTGCACTGATAGTGAAGGATAGCGTGCTTGAAAGGGGCTAGTGACTTCCATATCGATCACGATCTAGTCACGAGAAATGAGGACATATCTTCACAAATCGAAATGAATGAGTGAACGACGACAAGGTGTCCGTCTCTGACAACAATCTCCTTGTATCCGAGCTCCTATCATATGCTCACTTGGCCTGGTAACTCAAGGATCGTGATGCATAGGGGTAAGTGTCATTTGCTCTGCTGCACTTAGTGCCGGTTTGAAACGCGTAAGTAAATATATAAACAACTTTGGGAGGCAAACAACGTGTCGTGTGCCCGTTTCCTTCCGGTATGGACAAGCGGAGGAAGTGTATAAGTGTCCTGGATTCGCCGTTCAAGATCCTCTCTTTTTCACGCTTCCTCGAATCTTCTGTGAGCATCAGCATCTTTCCTCTTGTGATCATTCTACCCAGTTGAAGCAGCCCCTTAACGCCCCTTGTCTAATCTGAATTGGCAAAGACTCCTGAAGCGCCTTCCCGACCTCCCCTTTACTACCATTTTTCAAAGGTAAAGAACCAGAACTTCTTCATCCACCACTACTTGCCTACCTCAAGCAGCAAATCGTTCTGACTAAAGGGTCTGCAGCGAAGAAAGATCCTCCACTGCCTACCACTAGCACACTCTTCGTCTTTTCCGCCCGGTCACAAAACCTTTGCACGTTTCTTCAAAGAGACACAAAGTAGACCATGTCGTCGGCAAGCACTAGCGGAAACGATGGACGTAGCCAGTCGGGAGACCCTTTCGAGGGAGGAGTCAAAGAGACTACGGGTCTCACAGGTGAGGAAGCTCAGGCGTTGGAGGTACGTTATCCATTTCCTTTCTATAATTAAGGGAGCGGCACTAATTCTTGAATAGGAACGAGACGCGCAGTATCTCGAGGAGCAGAAGGTAAGCCACTACCATGACCACCTACCAGTAACTTCAGCCTTGACCTATCATCACAACAGGCGCGCACCGACGCGGCCGAAGCAGCCCTCCACAACGCTCCGAGTCCCCCGCCAAACCAAGCCGAAGTGAAAGAACTAAGGCCATCAGTACGTTCCTCACCGCCCCTCCCCTAACCTAGTCCTCCAAGCTAACACATTCCTTACAGACGAAGCTCCCCTACCCCTTCCAGAACACCAAGGACTGGCTACCACACGAAGACCAGACCCTCATCAAACTCATCCTGGACGGCAAAACCTTCGACCAGATCCACCATCATTTCGTAAAAGAAAGTGGCCGCTACTGGTCCGCCGACGACCGCCGGGAACGTGTGACGGAGCTCAGATCACAAGGTCACCTGGCCTTCGTCAACGATCGAGACTGGAAACCTTGGGAAGATCAGAAACTTGTCGACCTTACACGACAGGGCATGACCTACTACCAGATCCATCTACATCTCATGAATGTGCACGGACGTTTCTGGTCAGTCGATGACTGTCGCGCACAAGTACAAGTGCTCAGAGCCAGTGGACGTTTGTAGACGAGCTAGGAGGAGGTGGACACGCAGTAGCAGGCTCCTGTTGAAGGATGGCAGAGTACACTGACTAATGATGAGCATGACGAGTATGAGACGTGGTTGACATTGAAGTCTTGTGGTGACGAGGTGTGAAGGACGTGAGGGTGTCTGGGGTCTGTCGTCGTGCTTTTGCTCCGGCGTTTCAATTCAAAACTTGTGTAGTTGATCATGCGTGGTGTATACTAGATATCGCGGAGGTAATGAAGGGTGAACAGCTGGCTGTTCAGTAAGGTGATAGTTGACGGGTATTCGGTCAGGGGAACCTAGCAAGTGGGTTAGATGATGGCTAGATGAATGAAAAGTACACTTGCCTTCCAAGGCAGGTTTGCAATCCTCTCACGTGGAAATTGCCTGCTTTCACTGCTCGCGAAGTTTGCTGTACTCCAATGCTACTTGCCTATCTGCTTCTGCACATAGCGTGTGAGCCCTCGCTGCTAATTCTAGTGCCGCTACCAAACCCATGCTCGTAGGCTCGTTGGGTCTTGATGGACCTCGAGGAGTTGACGATTCGGCATTGTCCATTGAGGTCGTAGTCAATTCAATATTCTCGCTTCCTCTAATGACCACTGGTGCTGGCTTCTGATGTTCGCGCACGATGTCTCGAACTGTTCCTACTACGTCGACCAAGGGCCTAAGTGCGATCAATCCAGAGAATCGACGATCCAGATCCGTCCGCAAATATTGTGTTGCAAATTCGTTGCGAGCGCGTACTGAGCTCTCAATGTCTTTCGCGGAGAAACTCAATATGAAGAAGAGTAGACAGAGCCCGGTCCCCACCATCAACAAGACGAAGTTATTACGACTATCATGAGGCGCAGCGTCTTTGTCTAAATTTCTCGAGAAGACGAACCCTTGATATATGGCGAGACCCAGCATGAATGAAAAGATCGAAACCTTCACTAGATTGAAAGGGGCAGAGACAATGAAGATGGCGGCTAGAGAAGTTCCATCTGTCTCCTCTTGGGGCTCCGCAGAATCCAATATGCCGTGTTCGCGAGGTCGCGTCATCATCAGCCAGTCCCGTACCAGATTTGCCTTGTACAAACGGCCAATGATCCGTCCAACTGCGCAGGCGTAATAAACCGAGAGGCAGCCTGACGTTACGGCGATGAGGAAACAAGCTCGAGCTATCCAATGTGTAGCACTCAGAGACGAAAGGCCTAGAGCCGTGATGGCTACCTGGGCGATAATGGCACCCTTGAGCAGTCAGATATGCTGAAGCATACGGAAGCACAAACACTTACTGCTACAGCGGTCATATTGCACTCCGTTGTGATAGCCTGTCTAAAAGCCATGGCATGTTCTGCCTCGCCGTGGAAGATCGAGCTATCAATCCTCTCGTACTCGCTTGCAAGGCTTGGCCATAGGAGCGCAATGAGCACTGCAACTGGCCGTCCATATGTCCGAGATAAAGCAGATCGCGGTGAATTTGCAAATTGCACGGCTTCCTTGTACCATCGAAGTAGGCCATACACAACAGTAGACAGGCTGACGGCAATTTCTAGTCCACTCATGCTGGATTCGAACACTGGAATTGATATTCAGGCTAGTGGCTTCTTGCTTCAATCAAATCCTTCAATGATGTCTGATTGAGTAAGGAGAGTGAGAAATGAAGTATTCAGGAGCTTGGTAATGGGCAACGCGCTGGCCCTTTCAACTAAATGCATGACCCAAAGGCGTCTGTCTCTTCAGCCTCGTGAGATCTTGCTGCCTATTTCTAAGGACATGATCACAACTTTGCTACTTGACTGTTGAAATTGGGCAGACAGAATTGCAACAATAGTCTTCAGGGATGTATGACTTGTCCCTCGTCGGAGCGGTACACTCATCATCATCACCACGACTACCTTGCAATATTTAGACTGACTGCGTGGAATGATATAGCCCTAGGCCTAGACCAAGCAAGATATTCCTACCCCTGGCACGTGCTGGGCCTTGGCGGCAGGCGTCGATCTAGAACTGAACAATGTCGTCACACCCTATTTATTCCAGGCTTTCTCGGTCGCTCTCGAAGTTCCAACTATATTCATTCTTGTACATATTAATTCTCTTCTATACCTCTATCCTCTAACTATCCCATTTTTCCTCCACCAACCATCGTCACCAATCTTTATATCAAGCGGACATCATGCCTCTCATACCCTCTACCACCTCCGAGAAGCCCTCCAACAGCGAGACAAGTGCCGACAGGCCACCTGCCCATAGAGACTCCATGACTGGCAAAATTGAGGCGGCTATGGCTGGATCAGGTGGCATGAAGGGCAGCTCTGCTGCTGAAGACACCAAGAATAATCTCGCAAAAACGGCGAGTGAGGTCGAGGCCGCGGCCAACAAGTTATATGAAGAAAGGATCAATGACGAGTATGCCAAGAGAGAGGGAGGTGCATGACGATGGATACTATACGACTGTACGATTGAGATGCACCTTGGGTCAAGAGAGTGTACGACTTGATTTCCTGTAAATACAATGATGAGATTTGCTGCAGCAGCACGATCTCCAACCTTCGTTTAAATCTCGAATCACAAATGCTGGTCAAATCACAAATTGCATTCAAGCATGGTCGTCATGATTCCTCGACGCCTTAGCTTATGGTGTTGAGGTGGTGACACAGGTAAGGCGCTTCACTTCGCTCGCGTATGACAAGCAATTTCCTTGTGCAAATAGACTGTCCCTTTGAATCGAGCGAGCCCCCGCTATCTCATCAATCTATCTTTGTACTTCCAAACTTGAGATTTGAAGCTTTGTCTGTTTACACGCCTTGCGGTAAGTATCGACAGCTCACCATCTGTTGTATTGCTCTATTGAATTTCTCGTCGGGCGAACGGAAAGCCCATTACTATTCTCACAATGATGCGCCCGGATCCTGTGTACAATCTATCCTCTCCAGACAAGAAGAAGCGCATCCAGTGGATCAAGACCACCCTTTCGAAAGTTTCAAACATTACGTTCTGGAAGGAGGCTCAGGAATCAAGGATGGATAAAGCACAGTCGGATGAAGCAGCGCCATCTCACGAAGGCCAGCAACAAGATCCTGCTGTGCGAGTCGCAATCTGGTACATCCTTCCCTCCATGATCAGCAGTCTACGGTGCTAAATTGTTGTTACAGTGGAGCAGGGATAGCCGGAGTCGCGCTGGCAGCGTTTTTATCGAAAGCAGAAAACATAGCTGTAGACCTCTACGAAAGCAAAGCTGAGCTTCGAGCGCAAGGCGCCGCCATCAGCTTTTGGAAATCATACCACACCATGCTTGAAAAAGAGCTTGACTTTTCAGGCGCATATGCCATTGCGAGTGGCCAAGGCAATATCATTGGTAGGTTCCTAAGACATTCTAACGTGTACCTCGTTAAACTAAACTACCAGACATCACAATCAATATCTTCAACGCTAGCAACACGACAGATTCAAGCAAGTTGATCCTCAGCACGCCCCACAGCTTCAAAATCTGTACCCGGCCTAACGTTCTCCATGCGCTACTGTCAAAGATCGACCCCAAGAAATGCCAGACCTACACGAGTCACCATCTACAGGACTATGTCGTCAAGGAGTCAGGACGTTTAGAGCTCTGCTTCACCAATGGCAAAACAGCATCTTGCGACATTCTCATCGGAGCAGACGGCGTCCATTCTACAGTACGCCGCTTGATGTACGCAGACCAACCTTTGCACGCACACTCACATTTCAGCGGTACCTATGTCTACCGCGTGATATTTGACGCCGATCAATTTCAGCAGAAGTATCCTGATCACCCAATTTTAGGTGGCTTCAAGATTGTACGTTCTTAGCCTATCTCGATTCTCCCATACTAACACACGTAAAAGTGGGCCGCCAAAAGCACACATCTCATCACGGCTCACATTGCCACGAGGCTGTTCGTTTCTCTCTACGCCCACGACCGCGATAGCGCCGCTCATCAGGACGAGAAGGAGGTTTGTTCAGTCTCACTCCTGACGTTTCACGCCCTCCTCGCTCCGTTCAACTCCGACCTTACCTCTCTTATCAACATGTCCCCTCTGCCTGATGAGGCCGGAAATGTGGTCAGTCGCTGGGCTGTCCGAACCATCCCACCTCTCCCTTCATACGTGTCTTTCCCAGCCGCAGCACCACCTGCAACTCCATCCAAAGCTCCTAGCCCAAAGTTGAGTGCAAACGCCATCTCTGCAGGCGTGGCATCTGTGAGCGATACAACTCCTCTGATCAACCCCCTTCTGGCGAAAATAAGACTTCTGATATTACCACCACTACTGTATCTAAAAACGGTACCGATTACAGCAACCAGAGCATTACCAAGGAGTCTACAGCAAGAGCCAATATCGCCCTGATCGGAGACGCAGCCCACGCCTTCCTCCCCCACCAGGGTCTCGGCGCAGGCCAAGGGATCGAAGACGCGTTCGTACTGTCTAAACTCCTCACGCACCCATTATTCCACTCCTTACCCAGCCCGAAAATCAATACTACGACCACCACCGCCCCCCAAGCCCGCCTACTTCTCAAGCTGAGGCGACAGCACCCCGCAAGGCCCACAAAATCAGCAAACACTTCCCCTCAATCGCCACGATCCTCTCTTCCCTGTCTACAGCCGACTCCACGCCTTCCACCACCATCCCGTCGACCACAACGCCTTCTCCCTCTACCACCACTTCCCCATCAACGACTACTACGGTGGATACCTCCGCTACTTCCACCCGTCCCTCAACCGCCTCCCCCTCTCGCCCCCCTTCCTCTCCCAAACCCCTCCCCCCTTCACACTTCAACAAACACCTGATCCCCTCCGCCCTCCTCTCCTACTCCAAAATCCGACAACCGCTCGCCAACGCAGCAGCGATTTCCAGCGAACGCACGGGCCAAACAATCGAGTTCTCGAACCCGGCGTATGAGGGCATGACGATGGAGGAGCTGGGCGAGGAGTTGGCGAGGGGGAGTGGGCAGTTGGACGATGAGGGCGCGTGTTATGAGGCTGTTGATGCTGCTGAGCGGGAGTTTGAGGGGGTGGTGAAGGGGGAGGGTGGGGAGGGTAGGGAGGGTGGGGATGGTGGGGATGAAGATGGACAGAAGAAGGAAGAGGGTGATGTGGACCGTGTGGATTGGCAGGGTGGAGGGGTGGATATTGGGGTCGCGAGGTGAGGGAGCGCGAGTACAGGAGGTGTGTCGGGGGGGGGGGCTGGAAAGGAGGTTCAGGGCAATCTTTGGTGAGGTGTCTAGAGAGCGAAGTTTTCTGTTCGCTATGATATGTTGTTTGAACTATGTCGCGATTTTGAGATCTAAGGGAACTTGCTTGGGATCATGGACTGGAAATGGTGGTGAAAGGGGAGAGGCTGGGGGACATGATCTGAAAGGGAATCATTTGTTTGCAATGCAAAGTAACGTGCTACGCGGTGTTTGAACAAGAGAAGATATGTGAGAGGCGTGTATGTATGTACATTCGTCTAGCTAAGCAAGCATTATATGCTTATTACGGTTACCTTACATCAGAATCATCATCACAAACCGTTTATTATTCCCATGAGTTGAGTTACAAATATTGCATCGTATTCAAACATGCCATTCCATTGCAAGCCCTCCGCCATCACCACCACACATCCACCTTCCCCACCCCTCCAGGCCCCACGAGTCCTATCCCAGGTACCGGCTCTATAATGTTAGTTGTCTTCACCCCCTCCCCCTTCACCCCCGCCATCGTCCCAGCCCCAGCTCCAACGCCTAGCACATCTGGCTCCTTAGGCAGATCGCTCATATTAAAGTCACTCATGAACGCGTCCCATTCCGCCCAATTGATCTCATTCCCTCCCTCTCCAGCATCACCCAGGGACGCATCCAGATTCATGCCCTCGACAGGGGATGCTAGTAGCATATCATTGAATGGCGTTGTCCCCATAGCAGCACCTCCATCCCCAGAATTTCCAAACCCCATTGTATGTGGTGGTTGAGTTTGGGGGTTCATACTCGGCAAACCTGGCTGCACGATGGGCACATCGCCCAACCCAGACCCTAACCCTTGGCCCGACCCAGGCATCTGAAAACTCAACTGATCAAACTGCGGCAACGGCTGCTGATGCCCCAAATCATTAACAGTACCCTCACTAAGAAAGCTGCTCTCCCTCCGTTTCGTCTGCGCCTTCGTCATCAATTTCTTCATAGGCCGCCAAAGCATCCCGTTAGGGGAATCCGCAATCCGTGCCGCCCAGTCATCAAACACTATGTCCACAATCCGCCACGCCCTCTCTACTAGTGGTCCTTTGGTCTGTACGCAAAGCTCTGCAAGCGTGGTGGCTAAGGCGTGCCACTGCACGTACGTTTTGAAAAACCAGCGCCATTGTGCGGCTTTGGGTTCTGTATCCAGGAGGTGTGCGAATTCCATGCCCGCGACGGCAGTTTCTAACAAGCGCTCACGCGAAACGGCGGGGCGAGTGACGCGGCCGGTGGAAAATTCGATGGGATGGTAGACTACGAGGCGAATGCGACAGATGATGAGGCGGGCGACGACAGAGGTTACCCATGCGATTGGGTTATTGAGGTCGCAATATTGTAGGATGTTCTCGTTGAGGGTCTTCTTGAGGGCGTTGAGGACTTCGAGGCGCTCTTCGTAAGGGACTTTGGAGAGGTTCTCTTCTCCGTGCGCATTGAACGTTGTTATGTCACCCCAGCGCCAGCGGAGAAAAGAGACTTCGTGCGAAACGGCGACTTTGCTCATCTCGGTGAATCCAGGGCGGGGAGCTGGCGGGGAAAGCATTTCCGGGTCTATGTCGGCGTCATTGATGTTCAGGGGTCGTTTCGTGTTGAAGGAGATGGGTGTTATTATGGGCTCCGAGGCGCGGTCTTCGCAACAGCGGATGTCGAGGACGATTAGCTGCCACCAGACCCGGCGACGGAGTTCAACTTGTAGGGGAGGGAGCCCGACGTTATTGGATTCGCGGTGGAGGCCAATGCCGTGGGCTAGGCGGATGGCTGTGGCGACTAGAGTCCATGTGAATTGTGAGTCGTCGTTTGTTCGGACGGATACTAGGAAGATCGTGAGGGCTTGGATGGTGCCGAGTTCTGTTGTATTGAGATATCCAGCGTTTGTGAGAGCGCGCTCAATGCCGGCTCGATACCTGGACAGCAAGGAAGCTCGACCGTCCTGAAAATGTAGAAGACATTGCTCATTGGTCAAGGTTGTGACTGCGGAGTAGTATACTGCAAACAGTAGCGGCTCGACGTAGTTGTCTGTTGGAATCTCGTCTAAGTTTGCGACCACGTTTGCGATAAAGTTCCGCGCTGTTGGGATATGTAGCACTTTGAAAACAGCATCAACGTTGGTGGCAAAGAGGTCAAAGAGTTGATTGATGTGCGCTGTATTAGGATGTAGGTGCCGTAGAATTTGTGGTGTATTGTATGCAGAGCCAAACGTGGTAGATTGTGGTGTATGCCCGTCAGTCTGGGAAGGATCAGACTGCGGTGTAACATCTTCGCCATCTGACGCGTCGTCCATCGCTTGCCGTAAGCCTTCTACCTCGTTGGATATACTCCGCCAGAAGTGTCCACCAATGTATCGATTGAGGTGATCCGGATTGCCCGAGGCATCCTTCTTGTCTAGATTCCAGCTGCCCTTCCTAATGGGTGTTTCTGCACGTGCATTTGGGGATGCTTTGTTCTGCTCCGGTTCTTGATGCTCAGTCTTCCCATCGCCATCTATACTCCCAAGCAAAGTCTCCATTCGACTGAGCCGAGCCAGCAGCTCTTCTGTGGTTGACTTTTGTCCATACTTCTTTTTCTTCGGATGTTTGGCACGCTCCGGGAAGGTGCATTCGAGTCCAGATCGCTGGCATGGTAGACATGGGTATGTTTTGTTGCATTTGACCTTCCTATGACGACAGTGTGTGCAACTCAATGGATGCTGACCCGTTGTCTTTGATTGACTTTGGCTGTCCTTGTAAGGGAGCGTGGTATGTGTTGACGCGGTATGATCTGCCATGTCCTGGAGGATTCAGCATTGATGCAAGTCAGTCTGGCAATAATGAGAGGCCACGAAGGAGGGGGTCAATGGTCAATTCATGATATTTTGGTCATTGCGAGTCATAATTTACATCACAACCAACCGCGGTTTAGCCCGATCCTGATACCGCCGTATTCGCAACCAACTCTGTCAGCAGCGGTGGTTTGTTGCCTAATTGTCCCCGAGAACTCCAACTAGCGAGTAGCGACTGATTCATGTTCGTGGCAATTAACGCGAGCCGCTGGACCCAAATTCAATTCGTTGCTACTCAGGGGTTGAGTTGTTGATGGTGACTGCTCGCCTAAAGAGCGAGAAAGTCATGATGACATCACCAGCTACATGTGCTCACCGCGAGCCTCATGTCCTCTGCGCTTTCTGTACTGAGCAATCATTGTGTATACCGCTTTCCAATATTCAGAACTTGAATCAGAAATACCACAATGTCAGACCAGCAAGATACCCACCCTCAAGGTGGCTCCCTCAGCGACATGGCAGTCGAAGGCACTACCGTTCCCTCTTCCGCCTCCGAACCACGCTATATCCCTTCAAAGCCGCGTCCTGGCCAAGTCACAGACCCCACGGACGACCCCGTTGAATTAAACAAGCGTGACGCTGCCGGGGAAGTGGACAATGCTGGGGATATCTCGCGAGTACGTCCTCCATTATGCTATTTTAACGAAATCGGAGAGAAGTACTGATTCATGGTATCATAGAGCACTCGAGACAACGCACCCACCCCAGATATCGTGACCGGAACTGGGGACGCTCTGCCAGCTGAAGCAGGGAGCAAGAGGCTGCATAATATCCAGCAGGGCGAGTTGAGCAAAGGGCACCCGAGGTACGAGAAGCATGTGAGGCAGAAGGGTAGTGACCAGGAGAAAGGTGCTAGTAAGGGTGGAGAGGAGGAGTATGTGGGTGATGGTGTCGTCGGGGGACGTTGAATATTAAAAACAATTGAAGCTGTGGATGACGAAAAAGAACATGTCAGACGCTAGTGACTTTTCATCATCCGACTGAAAATGTCATTCAGAGGACTAAGGTCTATAACCAAGGTATCCTCACCGATATGCAGTATATATACATCGCTGACCACGTGACGCCCCTCCGCTTTTCCCCCTAGTTAGTTTCCAGAGAAAACATTCAAGCCATCATCTCATAAATATGCCTTATCCTCTTCTTCTGCGCTTCCTCGGTGCTCAATCCTCCGCTACCCTGGGTATCTTGACTCCGTCTACTACCTCTCCGACTTGACATATGGCCCAGATGTCCCACGTGACTTCCAGGCCCATCCAAGTCCTGGCTCCCTCTTGCCCCACTACCAGACCTATATCCATCCCTCCACCCTTTCTCCCCTTTTCCAGGCGCCGTGCTGGTGCTCCCACGCTGGTACAGCTCCCTCGCAGCTTCACTTCCTCCCAACTCTTGTGGCGGTCGTGGTAATGGCTTGCTCAGACTGTACTCCCGACTTAATCCCTCCTTGAGAGGACTGTCGAGCTCTATTCGTCCGTCTACTGGACTGTGGCCGTTAGCGTAAGTCGTTGGGCTACCGATCAATGTCGTTTCAGCAGCACCACCAGGCGAGAGGCCGCTATGTGAGCGCTGAAGCCGAGGGTCGCGGTCGTTATCCCAATGGTGGCCACGATCGCGGTCACGATTTCGATTTGATGTGTTGGAGCGGGAGTTAGAGGACTCGCTACTACCATGACTGCCTTTGATGTCATACTTTTCATCTATCATGTGTCCGGAGCGACCGGTGCTGGAGGAGAAAGTCATTGATAGTTGTTTTGGGGAGCGAGCGTTGTTTCGAGCATGTTCTTGGCGACATTTATTTCGATAGCGGCGGTACCAGAGGAAGAGGAGGACGAATATGCTGATCAAGGCTACCGAGGCGCCAATTGCTATGCCGGCTATGGCGCCATGGCTGATTGTGGACTTATCAGGGGTTGCTGAGGTACCTTGAATGGAAGGTGCGCTAGGATTGTGGTTTATAGTGATAATGTTCGAGTTTGGCGGGGGTGGGGATGTGGCTTGTAGGACGGAGAAATTGCCGGCGTCGTAGTCAGCAATGAGGTAGGCTTCTTGAAAGAACGCCCGACCCAGTGTGTATTGATTTGGTGTGGTAGCCCGTCGGATGGGAAAGTAATTCGTTCCATTGTCATAGAACGGCTTGGAGGCTTGAAGGTCGAAAGCGGCGTAGGGAAGGGAGATGTTGACCGTCTGGCTGGGGAAGAAGCCGAATTGAAAAGTAATTTGAGGGTTTTGGTTCAAAAGCTGCTGATGTACTGTATCATTTACAAGGTACAATTTTGTGTTATCGTCCCATTTCAGGCCGAAGGCTTTCTCGAATGCCTGGCACACTGAAAGAGGAAGCCAGGTGTGGGGCGTTGTAGTGTCAATGACGGCTGTAATATTGTTTGCCATCAGGGTAGTGTTCTTGCTGAGAGTTTGATTGGCACTGATCATTTGTATAGGGATGTTGAGGTTTGCAGATTTGTCAATACCGAAAGTCATGTTGTTAGGAATGAATCGCGAGGCATCATAACCGCCAAATGTGAGGCTTCCAAGTACGGGCTGCTGCTTGTATAGTGCACCTGCGGAATAGCCGTATGAGAGACTGGGAATCTTGTTCTCGCTCCTGAGCTGGGTCATGAAACTAGGGGTATTGCCGTCAGGTCCAGAAGTATTCGAGGGTCTCATTCCTAGCTTCCCCAAGTAAAAAGGCAGAGTTGGTACGCCTGCGACCACTATGCCGTCCAATGTCAACCCTGCTGCCGCATCTGCCCCGATCCCAACGCTGTCGATACCGTACTGTCCAGTGGCAGTGGAGTTCAGGTACGCTTCGACATTGATTTGGTGATTGCCTTTTCCAGCCCATGTTGTCGAGACGTTCGAAACGAATCCTTGGGCTAGCAGAGGATTTGCAGCGCCGCCGTTTGAGGGAGCAGTTGCACTTCCAAAGTTCCAGTCTGCGCCGGGGCATGGGCATCCTATGTATGCCGCAGTACAGATGCCAGCAATGCCGTTGCATCCACCTGAGTTGCATTCCCCTGGTGTATCACCGCAGCATGTTCGTCCAGTGCAGGGTCCTGTTGTACATTTTCCTTCGATGCTGACGCAGCTTCTGCACATTGGCGATTTGTTTGCAGTGCATGTACTTCCAGCATCCAAAGACCCAAGCTTGACACCGTCTGGAGATCCAGAGGCTGGACCGGAAGTCCCGGCGTTGAATGGCATGACTCCTCTTGCATTTCCACACCAACTGACGCCTCGATCGCAACTGTCTGGTATGGGTACCCATGATTCTGCCCCTACCGTTGAGGGAGTGATTCGAAAGTATTGTGGAGGATTGCCAACGCGAATGACGAATGTCGACCAGGCGCCATCGTTACCATCCCAGACCTGGCTCGGAGGAAGAGAGAAGGCTTGTGTGTAATTGGTGATTGGATTTGATCGTGTCTCTAGAACATATGGCGCCAAAGACATGGCGTCGATATCTATGCGTCAGTCATGTAAGTGTTCCTAAGTGTAAGACACAGAAGCCATTTTCATTCAAGGGTACAAAAATAGAGAAAAACGCCTTGAGCTTATGGTTCTGTAAAGATGCGACTTTTGGGCTGATTTGGAAGGAACGCCAGCGCGCAAGACCGCTTCAAAAGGCATGAAAGGCACGGTGCTAGAGTCACACCATCGAAGAACCTCCCGGACGACGAAGGGAGAGATCGAGCATCCGGAAGGCTTGACGGAGTAATCTGGAAAGCATATCAAGCGAGAGATTGCGTTTTAGCAGGCAGGACGATTGGTGCGCGAGCGAAACGTCGCAGTTGGTGTGATGAAACGTGAGCGACTTCTCAAGGTTGAGCACGAGCACGAGCACGTTTGGACCGGGCCACCACTACGGACGACCTGTGGTGGATGAGGGTGGTTAATCTCAAGCTAGGAGAGTTTTAGCCTTGTCCAGACAGGGGAGATGCAAGAGTAGCAGGCAAGCAGAGGCACCAGCATGATACCAGTGGGATTTAGTAGTCAAAATCTCCGTCATCTGAAACCTGTGACGGGAAGCAAGTAAGTGGTAGAAATGCTGGAGTGAGTGAAGGATTGAGGTGGTCATTGGCGCGCCAAAACACCCGCCATCCACGCGCGGGATTCGTCAACCTTCCAGTGTGCCATCGGACTCGAGAGTCACCATCTGTATCGCCCCATATGTACAATATACACCAGATTGGTCCAGGCCTATCCGACTGGACGGTACAGATCCCACATGGACTCGGTGGGATCATTTCAGAAGGAGCAAATCCACGGCACACCACTTCGTGACCTGCCCACCCTCCCGCTGAATGGCCGAGACATGATTAAGCTTGTCTTCTATGATGTGTATGATTCATGATCCTGGCTCGCCTCGTCATCAATGGCCTACCCTCACTCATCACCGTCGTGATCGCCTTTGCCAACATTGTCATCGACCCCTCAAGGGACGGTCAACGAAGGTCGAGGCTCTCTTGGCAGGGGTGAGCTCGATATAGTCGAAACGTGGAGCTGGGTACACCCGCTCGTGATCAGCAGTTGGTCCTGAAATAGTTCGTGACAGTAGCTGGGGTTTCGAAACTCAAGTGAGAAATCGCAAGTGACTTTCTGGCCGCAAAAGGAGAAGAGATAGCCGGAAAGTCCACGGATTGTGCACGGCAAAATTCGCTGCCTGCCATTACTTTACACTCGTCCGACTTGTATTGATGTGAATGGCAACTACTTCTACACTCAGATAATAATTTAGGATGAGAGTCTCAACATAATTGTACCATGTTAAGACTGTCTGGGCACGTTGTCGGCCTCCTGGTGTCATGGCTACATCCAGCCTTGTTCGGAGCTGATACAAGCACCCAGCAACTTATATGATTATGCTATTCTTGTCGAAGTCGGCAGTACGCGTGGGTAGCGATCGGCATGCATGTTCGTGAGAGTCTGCTCGCAATCTCGCTCACCTGATTCTGTCTTACTCTTCATACCCCAGTTCCCCAACGAAGAAGTTCGGAACCCTTGATGTCGTTTCATTGCCTCCATTTCGCAAGACAGCATATCTATCTGGAATATTTTGCAGCCACAGTCTTCCTAATGGTGGGACCTAGATTCATCTTCATATATATAGGTCTCCTACGCTAGTGTCTTTTTTTCACATCCAAAGAATGTGCTACACAGTATTTCGGGTCAAGACTTCTAGGCTGCCTGATACCACTTTGGAATTTTGGACTCAGTCTCGCTCGCAATCTCGAGATTTAGGTCACAATGCACGACCTTTAGAAGATTGTTGCGAAGGCTTGGTCCACGAGCCAGTCAAAGGCCGCCACATCTGCCAAGACAAACCGTCATGCCTCACTCTCAGGTACCACGATGGATGCACTAATTAGGGTCGTCTATGCCCAACGCCGTCGCTCTAGCATGACGATTAACTCGCCTTTGCCGAAGCCAAGTAGGATGCCAAAAAGCCACACACAATCAATGGCGAAGTGAATACTGCGTAGTGCAGACTATCCCAAAGATCCACCAATCACCATGCAAGACCGCCTCGCCTTGTTTTCTTCGAAGCCTAAGTGCGCCAACAGCAACACGTTCACAATATTGTGATACCTGTACGCTCTCAAATATGCAAACGTGCAAGGTACAGCTTTCTTGGGCTACCATCTTCCATCTCCCCTAAAACTATCACCGAAAACCCTCCCAAACAAGGGAAAACATTCTCTCACAAAAGCCGCTCATTCATAAAACTTACTGACTGACAACACCCACCGCTTCTCTCAACAATTAATCTTACCAACTTCACCGCCTTCAGCAACCACTCAGCCTCAACCACCATCTTACGAACACTAAAATGAACACACCCTCCCTCCTCGCGCTCCTCCTGACCCTCTTCGCGCTAACACTACTTCTAACTCTGGCGATGATACGAATGGTACTCTTACGCAGGCGATCGGCGAGCAGGAAGGTCAGCCGGCAGACTTCTATCGGTTCGGCAGAGGAAGCAAAAGGAAGTCCAGGGGGCAGTGTTAGGGGGAGTGGTGGAGGAAGCGGTGGGGAGAGCAGGGGAAGAAGTCCTGGTGCAAACGGTGGAGGTGGTGCAGGAGAAGGGGAGGGGGAGGGAGAAAGGGCATGATGTATGAGGGTCTAACAATTATCTCCCGGTCAGAAAACAGTGAATGTCTGTGAGGCAAGCAGCGGAAAGGGGCGAATGTGCAAATCTATTGATCCGAGCAAGATTTTGATGGAGAAATTGCAGACAGGCGCTGAGTCCTCACCGGCATAATGTCTACTAATGAAACAAACGGCACAAAACATTGTTTCCCAAATTAAGAATCAATTTCATGACGAGTCATCACACACCTCCGAATACCCTCTCCAACAATAACTTTCCCAGCGTCTCCTCCCCAGGTGTGCCTACACAAACACCAACTCTGTTCCCTCTCCTCTCACTCAACCACCCACCTTTATCGCCACTCACCTCCCCCAGTCCTCCCTCCCCTTCCCCCTCCCACTCCACCGCTTTCTCCTCCATCATCTTCCGTCCCCTACGATCAACAACACACATCCCCTTCGTCCACTGACCCGCTGTCTCGACTCTGATATCTCTCCCCTCCTCTACCCGCCACCCTTCACCCGCAGTAATAGCATACCACACAACCACAGGATCATGCAACGCCATTTCCCGCCCCTCATCCATCTCCAACTCCGAATTCTTCGCGAAGGTCGAGTTTGTGAACGCGCACACCCAGTCCGCCAGGGACTTCCCTTATCCAGCGCGTTTTTCGCAGCGGAGTCCATGTCGCGCTGGCGGAGGAGGTGCGGGGTCGTCACATCCAGCGGAAACATAATAACCTTCAAGCGTTTATTCCCTAATTCGGCCGCAGGAGGATATGCGGGGAGGGGAGTAGATCCTTCAGTGTCTGGAGGCGGCATCGTAGTCAAGGGGTTTGGGGAAGTGAGAGCATATACGCGCGCAGCGGCGATGGGGTCGGCGATGGTATTGAATTCGCCCACGGGGGTGATGTTGCCGGGGACGTTGAGGGCGCCGCCCATGACGAGAACGTGCTTCGCGCGGAGGAAGGTGAGCGGGTCTTTGGCTGCTGCGAGGGCGAAGGTTGTGAGGGGGCCGAGGGCGATGAGGGAGATTGTGGAAGGCGGTGAGGTGGAGAGGAGGGTGAGGATTTCGTCGACTGAGTGTCGGGTTGAGGGCGTGAAGAGGTGGGAGGAGCTTGGAGGGTTGGTGTGGGTTGCGGAGATGGCGGTGGTGACGATCGGGTCATTGTCAGGTGGTGTGGGAGGGGGTGGTTGGAAAAGGTGAGACCATGTTTCTTCAGGGAGGGTGTGGTGTGGGTGCTAGACAAGTCATGAGTGTTGGTAAGAAAAGGGGTAATGCTGGAGAGGAAGTACACTTTCGCTGACACCGCCAAGGCCATCGATGCCGTCTTATGTTCATCAGTGTTTTCTTCCCAGACGGTGTTGAGGTACCGTACGATAGTAGTCCGCTTGCATTGTCTGACCACCTAGAGGTCCATCTGCGCCAATTGCAACCAAAGGCTTATGCTTTGCTAACATTCCGAAATGATCATGAGAGCCTTGTTGTCTTCGCCATTCGCGCTCTTTTTCAATGACGTGAAAGGTCGAAACCACATTTTGCAAACAACTAGGATAAGCGTCAAAAGGGAAAAGTGGAATTCAAATCTACGAGAATGAGACCTTTTGACAGGTACGTTACCAAAAGTCACAGAAATTAGTAGAATCTCAACATCTTCAGGGCTCGAAGAGAGTGCAAGCAATAGAGCTAGGACGTCATCACATCCCTACTATTTCAGTCCGAGCTCCTTTTCTTCACGCACACAGACTTACAGGATCAGTGTCTATGATCAATTTATGTCCTGCCATCTCTCTTTACGAGTCTGATATCCAAAGAGACTTTTTCTAGTTTTTTGGAGAGTAGAAAATCATAGCAAGGAGTTGTCAGCACAAATAGAGATAAAATGGTCTTGGCATCCGGATACCGGCAAGAGTAAGGGCAAACATCTGCCTAGAGGCTCTTCGTGCGGCTCTCGAGGTGGTAGGATCGCGTTATGACAAACAAGTCCATAGCCTATCATTTTGGACAACTATCCAATTACCAGTCTCTCCTCTGTCATTGGCGCTTTGACCATGTGCTGAGTTATTGTACACATTGGAGGAAATCAGTTTGATCATTGAGCGTGCAAGGCGTGATCCATGAAATCGACATCCGTGGCAGATATAATTCGGGAGCAGGAAGATGTTGTCAACGGTAAGAGACCAATATCTCTTCAATGCAAAATCGGAAGCCTGCATTGGACACCACATGGACAAACTCATTTCCCCGCACGATTGGATTCGAGTCGCAGTGCATCAAATGGATGCTGGCAATGTAGCTTTCGAAGCCGTTTTAGTAGGCTTACTGTTTATTGCTAGGATTCAGCTGTCGCCTGAGATGTGTAGCAAGCAGCCAAGTCTTGCTTCAGGTCTTTCTCAACACAGCATTCTTTCAGTAGTGATAGTCATGAGATTTATGCCTCGCCCAACGTCAGTACTTTTTCTTTTCCTTGTCCTTGGTATACTCTTTCATCCCAATACCTAGCACAAACAGCGCTCTTAGAACTGCGACATAGCCAGTAATGCCAATGTTGCCCCACTCTTCTGGCCTCCAGTATCTTGGATGCGCTCTGCCTTCGACAGCCAACAACCGCCCAAACCCATTTAGCATCGCCAGGTCCACGAGTAGAGTACCAAACTGTATAGCTCGCCAAAGAGATACATCGTGTGGCCTTGGACGCAGGAGAAAGACTTGTAGAAAGATGCAGCAGGCTAGGAAACCAGCCGTAATGTGAAGGAGCAAAGTAGTCTCAACCGCCGGAGGAAATGTATAATTGGGCGTGTAGGATTTCAAGATCGACGCAGGTACAAAGATGTTACCGACGACACCACTCAGGGAGAGAATTGGGTCAACTAGGGTGAAGGAAATACGGTAGAAGGGGGGAATCGTTGACTTGGCGGACATGCTCGGTATATTGGTTTCAAAGCGTTGTGGAGCGGTAGAAATACAGCATTCGCCGTAGGATCCTAGAGCCAAGTCACGATGATGGCAAAACAAGAACAATTTACACGCCCAGATGTAAAAGAAATAATGAATGAAGGGAGGGAAAAATGAATACCGAAAGGATCGACGTGACGTGACCCGCGTCGGCTGAGGCCGCCCGTCGATGTCATCAAGAAGCTCTAAATATTTTCTGGCTGACAACTGCAACAACATCTTATTGGCATGGATGAGGACTTTGGTGACGATGCAGACTTCGCTGCCGTCGCTGCTTCGGTCGAGCGAAGCGATGTGCCTCGACAAAATGGTGCCTCGAAACCAAAGGTCCAACAGCCAAAACCTCAGGCCCTTCCATCTCGTTCAGCAGCGTCGTCAATCCTCGTCTCGACTCGCCAGAAGGGCAATCCTTCCTTGAATTACATTAAATCTCTACCATGGGAGTACAGTGATATCCCTGCCGACTATGTCCTTGGTGCTACGACCTGCGCGCTTTTCCTCAGTCTCAAATATCATCGCCTCCATCCTGAATACATCTACTCTCGCATTAAGGCACTGGGACACAAGTACAATCTGAGAGTACTCCTCACAATGGTCGATATACAGAATCACGAAGAATCCCTAAAAGAGCTAAGCAAGACCAGCTTGATCAACAATTTGACGCTTATATTGTGCTGGTCCGCGCAAGAGGCCGGGCGTTATCTAGAATTGTACAAAAGTTATGAGCATGCATCGCCTACCTCGATACGCGCGCATCAATCTACAAGCTACTCTGAAAAGCTCGTTGACTTCATTACCGTACCAAGGAGCGTCAATAAGACGGACGCAGTTAGCATCGTGTCTGCATTTGGAAGCATAAGAGCCGCAATCAACGCGAGACCAGAGGAAATTGGGGAAATCACCGGCTGGGGTGAGAAAAAGGTTCAAAGATGGTGCAGTACTGTGAGGGAGAATTTCAGAGTCAAGAAGGCCACAAGACGAGGAATAGGAAGAGAAGGGAGCTCAATTGGCCTTGCAAGGGAAGAGAGCTCCATGGGTGTTGTTGATGAAGAAGCTGAAGTGAGAGGAGCTGAGCCTATACCGATCGGCAGTGTACCGGTGCGGCAGAACGCGGTCGCAAGTCTGAGAAATGATGCTCATGATGCCCATTCTTCAAGGCCAAGGACTGCAAATGGGACTCTGGAAGGGCCGCCAAAAAGATTGGCAAGTCAGGTTCCATTCGGAGAGCCGGACGAGGACGATGAAGAGGCCTTGATCGCTGCGGCTGAAGAGGATGAGAACTTCTTGTCAAAGCTAAAGACAAACAACAAGTCTGAAGCCACTAACAAATCTCAGAAGGCATTACCTAAATCGACAGACGCGCTCAACGAAGGAGTTGCCGCTGCCCTGGCTAAGCTGAGAAAGGAGTGAGGATCTGCCGCCATATACTTCACGGGAGCCCTCATCCTACCACGTTAGCCCTCAAGTTGACAACAACTCTTGCCTGTTGCGGTAGAGTGTGGAGCTCTTTCCCATGGCCATTATTCACCATTAGAGCTTCTGTGACACCCATTGGCTTTGACGTAAAGACAACTGCGCTTGAGCAGCACGCGCCAATGCACAAGCCTATTTCCCCAGATTTCGACAAAGTAAGTTGCGCGTACCTGTTTCGGCTGTCGGAAACGTCTCACAGCTGGTGATGGCTAACGCTTTCTATAGATGAATCTGTCAAAAATAAGTATGAACAAGCTCTTTCCGCGGTGTCAGGGACATACCCGTCACATGCGCTCATGCTTAAGCTTCACTTTATTACTGATGAGAAATGCGAGTGCTCTGATTGGTTCGTCAAGTCTGAGCATCTGGGGAAGCCCCAAATCTGAGCGACTTCTGCAGAAGGTCGCCATGATGGAGCGTTGGGAGTCCGCATCTGTGATTGTCTCTGTGCGTTTGTTTCATTCAGTGCAAGAAAGATAGATCCGACGCATTGTGGCTCCTACAGTTCCCACATACGTGATCTCAACAAGCTATTGATTTCCTTTGCACCTGCATGTAGCCATGTCTGTGTCAGCACAACTTAGAGATTGGCTTGCCAAAGCTCCTCCACCGCCTTCTGGCCAGAGATATAGCACGGGCAGTCAGAGATCTTCAGACCCAGAGAAGCACAGCTCTTCATCATGGAAAGGCAAAGACATAGAATCTCAATCATCATCCTCAGATTCAGGGAAACCCTACCGCCAGTCCAAAGTGTCCGCCTCAGAATTCTCACACGCCTCCGACTCAAGACGAAGTCGGCTAAGTTCTTTACTGTCCCCAGGAACATGGAAGCCTTCAAAGGATCTCATGTACAATGCCATCATCGGCACCTCAGATGGCATGACCGTTCCCTTCGCGGTCACAGCAAGCTTAGCAGGCGTGACAGACACACGACTAGTAATGATGGCTGGTCTCGCAGAGCTGATAGGAGGCGCAATCAGCATGGCAGCCGGCGGAGTGCTAGGAGCCCGCACAGATACGTAAGTCTCTCCAACTCCTCGTCAGCCTAGAGCCTACAGAATCCACCCCCTCACAATTTTATCACGACATCAGTCCCCTCCAACCCCCTCGTACCCATCTCGTACCCACCCTCCACTTCCCAAGCGCCAAAGTACCCAACTAACGCTCTCTCACCCAACAGACAAAAATACGCCATAACAACCACCTCCCTCTCCCACACCCTCACAACAACACCGTCCCTGCTCCCCCAAAAGATCTCCCAAACCTTCACACCCACCCTCGGCCCGGCCCTCTCCTCCCAAATCTCCACGCACATCTCCCACCAGCCCCACGAAGACCAACTCGACTTCCTCCTGCGCTTCACAGACGTCTACCACGAATGCCAGCCCCCCACCACGTCCGGAGTCTGGAAAATCGCCATTGTGCTTGGCTTAGGTTACTTTTCGGGCTTGGTGCCGCTGATCCCGTATATGGTTGTCAAGGATGTGGATCGGGCGTTGTATATTAGTATTGGGGTCACGGGCGTGTTGTTGGCGGGGTTCGGGTTTGGGAAGAATGCGTTGGTTTTGAATGGCGCTGATGTTGAGGGGGATGGGGAGGGGGAGGGAAGAACGAGAAAGGGGGAAGGCAGGAGGAATGAATTGGTGGCTTTGTCTTCAGGGGTCATTGGAGTGTTTGTGTGTTGTGGGTGTGAGTGCGGGATTGAGCGTGCTGATTATTAGGGGAGTGGGGGGGACTTTGTAGGTTGGCGGAGCATGGGCGATGGAGAGAGAGTGGGACGGGGCGGGAGGGAGGTCAGTGGTGATTGTCATGGAACAATGTGACGACGAAGACCAGTCTCAGGAGCACGAATATTTGCAATTGCTTGCATGATAAGGGGGTTTGTAATACCCGAGGTGGCATTAGCTTATAGGGAAGTCGAAAAGCTATGAATCAACTTGGCTCGCGCGATTACCTCTTGATCCATGACCTGTGTACAAATTACCCTACCTGCTGCTCTCCTTTTTCAGCCTTGTACTTTTCCATGGATTCATTAGCCTTCGATGGGGAGGGCGGGGGGGGGGTCTTCGTCCGAATGACTAGATTGACGATTATTGCGTCTCAGAGCGGACGGGGATGCTGGGTTGGAAGTTGGTGGAGAAGCCATATTTGGCCTGTTGGGCTAAGATCAGGAGGCTTTGATATGGTACATGTACGATTCTCGCTTACCACAGCGCGGGTTTATGTTCGCCTGGCAAAGTGAGATCGTCCCTGGTGCTGCTTTGGTACGTCTTACGGTACGACAGTCCAGGCCTCCGACCGAATGTACTTGAGATGGCTTTTTTTCACGACGAATGAAGTTACTCAATCGTCTAATGAGCATCGTCGACATGCCTCCCAAGCCTTCTATGGCTTAGACCATTGCGGGCGAGTATCTGCAAGGGCGTATCCTTATTCATAAATGATATAGCATTCTCATTGGCGCCGTGCTCAACAAGCAGTCCATATGTCTCATCGTAAGCAGGACATTTGGATGTATCTGTCGCCGAAGCAACGATGTGCAGTGGCGTCTTCGATTCCCTAATACTCAAATTAACGAATCTTTCCATTTCGGCTACCGAGAGTATAATTTTCACGCAAGTAACGTCAACGCGACCGCAGGCAACATGTAACACTTCGTTAAATGGATCGTTTATGTTGAACAGTGTAACGAATTTGAAATAGGTTTTAATTTACTAAGGTTTGCTAGAGAAAGAAAATTATTCTAGGAAAGGGAAGCTATTTATGTGCGGGCGCGAGCGCCCAATAGCTCCGCTAACTCCGAGCGCCGGGCATCCAATGGGCATGCCTCGGTCAGATCTCTCACAAACAGCATGGCTCCTCGATCTATAAGCTCTTGCAAGCAGTCTGGACGTTTATATATTACTGCCAGTTCTACTGCACGGTAGTCTGCATCGTTCAGGCTGTCGACATTCGCGCCCGCATCTAGAAGTGCTCGCACGCAATCAGTACGGCCAGAGATAATCGCTTCATGTAGCACTTCATTGCCTTTATTGTCGCGGGTAGAAATTATAGCTCCTGCATTGACGAGTGGCTTTATCGATTCAGGAAAATTATTTCCAACAGCCAACATAAGTGGCGTTCGCCCGTCACCGGTTTCGATGCTTGCATCCGCTCTCCCTATGTAGCAGTAGTTCAATCGCTACTAATCGTTGTGCACGATTCGATTTGGTCGTGATCAAGTACAGGTGTAAGGGCGTATTGCCTTGATTGTTCTGGGCATTGACATCGGCATCTGACTCGATGAAAACTGCTGCATCAGCGCTAGGCTTCCCAAAGTAAGCAACAACATGCAAGGGAGTGTCGCCATTAGAGTTCCTGGGATCTGCGAACGTTCCACCCCTGAGTTTTCCTCCTAGGACAATGGGAGAATCGCGGAGCGCAAGAAGATGTAGATGTGATCTCTTCGGATCTTGGCTCAGGACTGCCTTGTAATTCGCATTGGGGGCTTCGTACTTTTCGGGAATGGGCTTCATGTAGCTAGCCAAATCCTTCATTCCATATTGATCAAGTGCAGCTGTAAGATTCTTCATCTCTTTTGCTCGCGCTGCCTCGGGCGTCTCTTTTTGTTCTGTTTGGTCTTATTGGTCAGCCCAGAACATGGCAAATTTTTCACAAGCCGACAATAAGAGGAACTCCAATATATCAAGTCAGATCAGACTTCGACATGATCTTTTGAAGCTCTCTTTTATCGCATCATCTATAGACAACGGTCAATGAGGGTGTCTGACTCACTCAGAGGGGCCAGGCATGCGTTGTAGAGCTCTTGAATGTTGGCGCAAACCACCTCGTAGTTATCGGCGTCATCCCCCAAAGAAAGATCAAAACAGCAAACGTTGCCGTGATCAGCTTCTAGGCGAACCTGGTTCTCGACTTCTCCCGATAGTCCAAGAACCGCCGATTCTCGCGGAACGATCTACAGACTCTGATGGTTAACTTAAATCCAACTCTTGCAAAAATGAGCAGAACTCACATCACCAATGCCTTCATAGAACGAGACGATTCTGTAAAGATTAAGTTGATGTCTCCAGCCCTCTTGTAGGACATCGGAAAATAATGAGCCCTTCCCCAAAGCCTCCAAAATATCCTTGGACGGATTTCTGAGAACATTTGTTGCAACTCGGGCTGCAATCCTACCGATGAGGACCAAAGCATCTTTGCCGCCTGCGTGAGGCGTACCGAAGAACACTAGTCCGGTGGTTGCCTCCTTTATCAGTCTGTATCTGGAGTTGTTGTGGGCGTTCACGAGGGCCTGCTTAATGAGGATCCCGCCAAGACTATGGCCCATTAAAATGATGGGCCGTTTCGAGCAATCTGTGCGTTTAATATGCACTCTTTCCAGAAAATCATTGGCTTGGTGTACAAAACGCTCCTTGGAAGTTCCAAAGGCAGGGCTTGAGTCATATTGGTAGAGAAAGATCCTCGCGTGGGGAATAGCTTTCGGCAATTCATCTCGAAGCCAGAGGTTGCCAGTGTCGCCTTTCGGCTTTCTCCAGGTATCATATGCGTGATCGGGATTGCCCCATGGGTTCAATCCATGGACGGCGAAGATACTATGTAAACTTCAAACGATGTGGAGAGAGGTTGATAGCCAAAACATACTCTACTTTCGGGTGTTCATTAGCTTTCTCGTCGCCGCCCGCGGCAACGAGTCTCAAGGGCTGGATCGAGTTAACATATATAAAGCTCCAGAAGAATCACTCACCATGTCACTGTCGACTGCTCTGTATCGCCTGCAAGTCCATAAGAAAGCCGGACATAAGATACAAACACGCTGTTGGAAGGTTCAAGAAAGCATAACTGAAGTCTGTTGTCTTAGCATTGCGCAAGGCTACGAAGCCCCTCCGACCGGTGGGGGCCTATCTAAAGCTGCAGCTAAGGGCAGATGGCTTGAAACGCGAATGGTCAATTTGCGTTCTAGACCCAGCTGTCCAGGCACATCACACTCGCAGTGTGCCTTTCGGCTAGGTGAGTCTTATGGGGATGCCTTGGATGCCTCGAGGTTGGTGCAGACGTATCTATCCCCAACCCAGCCATCAGGAGGCCCCTAGCCAGTCGAGGCGAGCGGGCTGCATCAACCATCCCGCTAATTCAGGATAGACATACCCCCTTGTGCATCCTAGACATTGTATGAGGAGTAACTCAGACTTGCCTGAGTCTTGACTGGGCCAGTGTAGGTCGCTGCCAATAGGACATGGGAATGAAAAGTAGGTAGGTCGGGTAAGGTACTCGGGTCCCAGAAAAGTCTTGGCGTTCATGACTCAATAGGGAAGGTTTAAAGTTCGGCTGGTGTCCCGGCGTCAGATCTATGATCTCACTCAATCTGGCACCATCTCTATCAACGTCCATCAAATTGATAGGGTATAGGAGCATGTGAAGCCAGACATCCGAAGTCACCGATAGCCGCTTGAAATGCCGTCCATCGTTACGGCAGCTATCGCTTCTCCCGTGCTCTCCGTGCTCTCCGTGCCCGCATATAACTGCCATGCATGGTGTTGACTGGCTTCACTGCCACTTTCGGAGTTCAAGCTATCACCAAGAGTCCGTGATGGGTGACGTGATGATATACTTAATGCTAATTTAGACTTCGTCCTCCCAATCCTTCGTCTCTCTGTCTCATGCCTCCTTATCTTCACTCTTTGACCCAGCGCGTTCCACTGCTGTTTTCTTTCTATTGAAATATGACAGAACTAATCCGCGATACTGTCTTCGGACATCTCGTACGCCTTGTTACCAGGAATCGGATGCTGCAGTATATGGAGGAAAAAGATCCATCATTATGGAAACAGTATCTCGACCGAGACCAGACCCGGAACATGGCATTGTTTGGCCATCCTCAATTGACAACTGAAGAGCAGGAGCAGCAGAAAGAGAAGGAGTCTCCAGAAACCCCTTCGACTGCAAGCGACAGTACTTTGCCAGAAACACCAACCGAACGCCAGCCACATAGACATCAAATGCACAGCACCCTCACGGCACAGCGAGTAGACACAGAGAAGGGCCGAGACTTGTCGATGGTATCGTGGTGGGGCGACAATGACCCGGAGGTTCGTGCGCCTACACTATCTTAATCTTCATTTAAATTCCAGATGCTAATAGTCCGCAGATGCCAATGAACTGGTCCACCTTCAAGAAAGTCTTGGTAACATCCGAAATCTGCCTCCTCACCACCTCCGTCTACATTGGATCCGCTATCTACACTGCAGGCACAGAGTCTGTCGTCAAAACCTTTGGTGTCTCCGAAGTGGCAGCTACTCTAGGCTTGACCCTTTTCGTGGCAGGTTATGGGCTGGGACCCATGATCTGGGCGCCCATGTCTGAAATCCCTCAATTCGGCAGGAACCCCATCTACATTGGCACTCTTGCCGTTTTTGTCATACTTCAGGTGCCAACGGCCCTCGCGGTCAATTTTGGCATGCTACTGGCCTTTCGTTTCATCACCGGTTTCATTGGCAGCCCTGTGCTTGCAACTGGTGGAGCAAGCATGGGTGATATGTACACGCCCAAGAAAAGAGCGTATGCGATTGGCATCTGGGGTATCTCTGCTGTCTGTGGGCCAGTACTTGGGCCTTTGATTGGTGGCTTTGCCGTTCAAGCTGAAGACTGGACCTGGACTATTTGGGAATTGATGTGGTTATGCGGTTTCACGCTTGTGCTGTTGGTGTTCTTCCTGCCAGAGACTAGTTCTACGAACATTCTATATCGGAGAACGAAAAGATTGAGGAAGTTAACGGGCATTGAGACTCTAAGGTGTCAACCCGAGATTGAGGCCGAAAACATGACTGGGAAGGATGTAAGTCTGATACCCACAGGCATACCGCATTGGAAGATGCTAACGTTCACAAGATCGCCATGATGACTCTAGTCCGGCCTATCTCGCTGAATTTTCAGGAGCCAATCGTCCTGCTCTTAAATCTTTACATCGCTCTAGTCTACGGCCTGCTCTACATCTGGTTCGAAAGCTTCCCCATCGTCTTTGTCGGTATCTACAAATTCAATCTCGGTCAAGAAGGCCTCGCATTTCTAGGGATCCTCATCGGCGCTTTTCTCGTCATGTGAGTCCACATTTGCACTCTGCCATTAAACGAGTCGACTACTGATCACTCACACAGTCCTCCATTCTTCTACTTCCTCTACAAATACACCGAGCCCCAATTCGACGAAAACGAAGAGATCCAACCTGAGAAACGTCTCCCACCCGCCTTCGTTGGCGCCTTCGCAATCCCCATCTGTCTTTTCTGGTTCGGTTGGTCGGCTAAGCCAAGTCTACACTGGTATGTCCCCTTCCCATGCCCTCCCCTCTCCCAACCTATCTCCTTCACCCTCCTCAAAATCACCATCTCATACTCACGGTTTCCAGGATCATGCCAATTATCGGATCAAGCTGGTTCGCAGTCGGTGCCTTCCTCCTCTTCAACAGCGTGCTCAACTACCTCGGCGACGCATATCCTCTCTACGCAGCCTCTGTCTTCGCTGGAAACGATTTCATGCGATCAGCGTTCGGGGCGGGATTCCCACTGTTCGCGAGGGCGATGTATACAAAACTTGGGGTCGATTGGGCGAGCAGTTTGCTTGCGTTCTTGGGAATTGCATTCCTTCCGATACCTTTTCTTTTGCATAGAGTGAGTTTCTTTTCCTTTCCAGAGTAGTGGGGATGGGGGGTGGGGGTGAAGGAATGTTGCTGACGATTCATAGTATGGACGGCAGATACGGATGAGGAGTAAATTCGCACGACACGATATATGAACATGCCCAAACCGCCATGTTGACGCAAATATGACACAAACGTACCTGACTTGATCTGAATAAAAGCACATCCGTTGCTTCTGAGTTTCTCCAAAACATAGATTCGCCGCAGTATCGAAATTTCACGAAACAGCATTCACGGAAGCATAGCGAGCGAGCAAAGCTTCATAGATCAATACTGTACATACATACACCTTATCGTGCATCGTCACATCCCAATGATCCACTTACGCAATTTTCCCTCTGTATCCGCAGCTTTTGAACTTGGCAGTCAATCATATCATATCATCTCACCTCATCGATACATCGATACATCTCATCATCGACCCCCCTCCCCTGCCCCCCTTTTCTCAACCCCATCACCTCCCTAAATCCCGACTCAAATCCCCCGTTCAGCCCAACTCCTTATCATCCCCTCAACGCTCGCCTCATACTCGACCAATTCCACCTCCCCATCCCCCTCCTCTTTCCCCTTCCCCTCATTCAACCTCGTACTCCCCATAACAAAAACCTTCCTAGCAACCTTCCTCCTCAACACGCACGGCCGCACGCCCTCAATCCAATACCCCCTCGGCTCCGGCGCCGTCATCTCCTCATACAGCTTCTTCCCAGCCACCACGTCGGCCGTGGACTTGTATGTGTGTAGTTTGCGCAGATAGGCGTCCACCGCTTTCTTCCCATGAGTCAATATCTTGGCTTTGTCGAGCTTGATCGTGATATCGTCGAACCCCGCCCCCGCCCCACTGGGGTTGGGGTTGGGCGTGGTTTCAAGCACGCAAAACCCATCGCCAGCCCCCAGGAAAGCCTTTAGGATGGAAAAGCGAGCTTGCATGTGCGCTTGGCCCCACTTCCCGGCTTCGGGGGAGAAGAACTCAAGACTCGCTACCCCGGCGCGCGCCATGGATAGGTAGGATGCGTAGAGCACGTCGCCTGCCGGACTATCCATCGCATCATCAGAGCCATCACGGGGCGTCGTGTCCAAGCCGAAGATCTTCGCGATGTCGAAATCGCAGGCGAGACTCATCGCGACACATTCGGCCCTGCATTCTTCGTACGAACTCGACACGGCGCCGAAGACGGAGGACCATGTTTCTCCGGGCTTGTACCAGGTCTCGACTGGCTTGTTGGTGATTGGCGAGATGGGAGGAGAAGCGCGGTCAAAGTTGAAGTTGCCGGGGGACGTTTCTTGGAGGAGTTTGCCTGAGCCGTGGCCTAGGAGTTCGTGTAGGCCTACTTGGATCTCGAAGGCTGTGTCGCGGTTGGCGGTATACAGGGCGAGGTCGGCGGGGGCGATGAAGGGGATGGGTTCGGAGGGGGCTTTGGCGGAGAGGATGTTGGCGAGCGAGACGTTTTTGAAGCCGTGGGTTTGGCGGATGTCGTCGTCTAGGATTAGATATCGGGTATTAGATACAGTACTCAACGTTCAGAGTAGGAGTCGTAGTAGGATTCGTTTGAGCATCCATCGCACACTGGCCATCTTTGGGTAAAAGGGTTGGTAATAGGAGATATGAAGATAAAAGAGATCGACCTACAATTCGGAATATTAATCCCCACCGGAATCCCACTACTCGGAAAACTCAACACCTCCAAACTCGTGAAATCAGGCGGCTGGAACTCATCCTTCTCGAAGTTTTTCCCCCACGGCAGCTTCGGCAGAGCCTCTGGCGCCGCATCCACCAACCTCTTGAACTTCCTCGTTTGCTCCTTATTCACAATGGCAACCAGTCCTTCCCACTCCGCCCGGACGCCCGCTGGGTCGCGGTACGTCTCGATAAATCCTATATTGGTTTCGACAGCCGGTCCTACGTTGTCGACCCATAGTTTCTGGCTCTCTTTGAAAGCGAGAAGGGAGCCTGTACTGTAGGATTTCGCGTATTCGGCTAGCATGGCTTTTTCGGTGTCGTTGGCGGCGTGTTTGGCGGCAAGTTTCATGTGGATGGCGGCTTTGGCGAGTTCCTCTTGATGATCACCGAAGACGAGGGAGACTTTTCTGCCGTTGGGAAGAGTCCAGGAGTGGTCTTTGGTGTCGATCTGTTGAGGTGGCGGATTGGTGATCCCAGAGGCTATCAAGATCTCGAAGTTGCCATCTTTGAGTTTCTTGATTCTTGTGTTTTCTGGCAACAATCCCTTCTCGCCGGTGAAACGGTCGATCTCTTCGATCTCGCTTTGGGAGATGTCTGGAGAGTCAGGGTAGTAGTTTGTCATATGCCCTTCCTCTGGGAAGCCTAGATGCATGAGACCAGGTTTGGCCTCGTAGATGGCGTCGACACATTTTTCGGAGAGAGCTTTGGCCTTCTCGTCACCAGATGCGAGAGCGATGATGGTGTCTTTTGGGCATCGAGGAATGAATTTGGAGTCACCAAAACCCTTGTAATTCCCTAGATTGCCTAGAAACTGAGCAGCATACGCCAGGAAATGGTCGAGATTTTCCTTCGAGACAGAGACATCACTTGCTAACTTGGCCCAATCACCCTTGGAAGATGAGTATACAGATAATATCAAGTCGTAGATAGTCTCTGACTCGGGCGAGACTTGACGTAGGATTACTCGAGAGCCATTGAATGCGGCCCTGAAGGCAGGTCAGCGAACTTCAGCCATGCATAATCACCAATGCTACCATACAAGAACGAACGATTGAATCAACATAGCTAGTGAAATGTTCCTCGTATTTGCGAGAAGATCGCAGGATTATCAAGGACTCTTGAGGTCAACGACAAGAAGAGCAAAGACAATGAGATGTATCAAGTGAAAAGCGAGACAACAGTTCCCCTACGGCAATAGACTGCTAATAGCGAGTTTTGATTATTACTTACAGACTCAAGTGATGGGCGTAAAGCTTCTCCTTCTGCGACAAGGCATCAAAGTGGGGTTTGATAGCAATGGGCACCACAGTAGGCGGCGAATCAGCGAGGAAATGGGTGAGATCAACGCCACCCATATTGCAATACCTCAGTGTAATGGCGTGGACACGTAATAAAGGCTTTGAATTATGGGTAACGGGTGCCTACGAACGGAGCAGTGAAAGAGAGTAATTGCCAGGACCAGATGCTTTATAGGTGTTCTGGGCCGATGTAGGGCTAAATATGTAGCAGACGAAAACAAGGCGTTCAAATAACCTTGCAAGTTTACGAGGAAGTCAGCGCCCATTTTATCTATGCTACATGATTTATCTCGCTACCCAAATGGCGCTGGCCATTCTTTTCACAGACCTCAACGCCGCCGATGCTCCGCTCGCATGTGTCTTGCGCCTTTACATGACTCGCGTGCTGATCCGGACATATCGTACTCTCTACGAACTTCTGACCAATGGGGCACGAGGACCTGTCCTTGTCAATGAACGGCTTCAATAGACCTTCTTCTTCTCGTCGACCGAGATAGAGCCAGCCCCTAAGCAGGTTTAGCACTTCGAGCACATCGGTTGTAGCAAGCTCACCCATGTTGACCAATAATAGTAGCCCACCACTTAATCGTTGATCAGTAAACATTTGCGAGGACAACAAAGATGTTTCACTTACACAATTGACAGGATCTGGAAGAAATCGTACTTTGCAAAATCCTTCTGGGGGTGGTGCTCGTGCAGCTATGTTCGTGTTAGCCTTAATCCATCCGAGAACCCATGGCAGGGTAGCCTCACCGTCCAGAAATTGTTCACCAACAGATTGAATATACTCAGGATGATGACCAGGATCGTCGCGCTCCATTTCGCCTTGAATCCGACCGCAACCATCACACAGGCTACAAAGCCAAAAAGACTGACCAGGATTCTTGTGATACCCCAATCACCTGACCAAATAAAGCCCAGAAACAGTAAGATCAACAAGATCCGCCCAGCTAGCTGTATGTACTTCTTCCGATCCTTCTCATTCGGCAACGGAAGCCCTGCTGGTGCGAACTTCTTCCTGACCCAGCTATCGCTTAAGACCATGAGCAGACCGCCCATCACAGACAGGTTGCGAAGGAAGAAGTTGAGGTCGAAGATGAGACCGTAGCCGAGTGCTTGGGTCACGACAACGCCAATGAGGCCGAAGACAGCGTATTCGGGATATTTGCGGATTATGATGAGGGTGCTGCATATGATCATGGCGATTACATTCGAGAAGAGAAAGAGGTGGGTGAGGCCCCATGGTACTGTTGAGAAGAGGCGCGTTAGTATGCGGAACGAGATGTTGAAAGGGAGAATGTAGATGGGGGGTGGTCGGTGGTATTGTGGAGATTCACTTTTTCTATAATCTTTGAGATATGTCAATTGGTCATTCCATTGTGTGATGATTCTCAATGCGTCTTCAATGAACGTGCAGACGATGAGGAAGCGCCCGACTGCAGGTATGTATCTGTATGTTTCGAAAGACGTTAGCAAAGCAGGCTCAGGTCTTATGAACACGCTTGATGCTCCAATGCCGAATAAATCCCTCTTTTTTTCATCCTTCACTGCTTGGAATTGGCACAAGCTTACGGTTTGATAGGATCCGCCGCTGTGTCCAGCCACTCTTCAATTTTACTCGTCTGCTCCCTGATCTGCTCTAGAGGACTTGGATCATTCGTGGCATCACTTCTGGCTGGGCCACTACCAAAGCGGTCCTGAGATCCCAGGTTGTAGCCCGCCGTTCCACGTATCTGCGCCATTGATCTCGCGGTGCCTTAGTTTTGCGTCATGCAGATGTGGTGGCTATGTAGAGGTGGGGATTCGATTTCAAGAGGCTCGACGCGAGGGCGATATTCGTGAAGATCTTCGTACAGTCGTGGGGGCTATAAGGCCAGCTGTTGGGGGAGCTTTAATTGCGGTGAGGACACGCTTGCAATGCTTTCTGGGCCGATTTTGGGATGGTCCCGCTCCGCAAATTCTCTTGGGCGCGCGCCAAGCCACCATCCCAATTCGGCCATCAGAGGCGAATTGATGGAATTTTGGGGCTGCATGAAGATTACCCAGGGCATCCAGAAGGATTTTCCAAAGGACTGCGTAGAGACACGTCATCTCATTCGGATGGGATAGGAAGGCTACGTTCAGGAGTATCCCAATGGTCGAGGCCAAAGACCGATCTATTTGCTATGCAACTGATCTAAAATACTCGGCCTCGGTCAAGTTGAGGCATAAGATACTGTAGTAAGAGGTTTCTCCTCTATTGCCTAATCATCCAGTCAATATTTGGAAGTGACTTCATTCGCCGTCCCTCCACGACGCGATGCTCATGATGATTTAAATACATGAACGCCCGTCTGCCCAAGGAATTGCGTACAAAGTCCTCCAAATGCAACAATAATAAGCGCTTGGTCATTGGGTGTTAAGCCCACAAAATCGAAAAAAATATGTAACGACCCATGTGCACAATAGCGTGCTGAAGTCGCTGTGAAGTATATGGCGCCAAGCGTAAATGCCTCGTTTAAAAATAAGTCGCGCATGGAAGTCCGAATCATAGTACACAGTCATTGTCCACAAGTCTTACAGAAGGAAACTATCACGTCGCTGTCTCATCAGCCTCTACTCTTGACGCTGTAGCGAACCAACTCACCAATTGCTCTGACGCTTTTACTATCATACAACAGCCCAATCCGAGTCGTCGGGATGGCCGGTCAAAGCGTAGGGAAAGGCAGGATCATAGTCAGGGTGCTCATGGATGTTGGAACGGTTCCATACACCATGATCCAGAGTTTCTCGCGTTGCTTTCCCAGAGTGTACCTGCTCCTTGGGTGCCTTTGTGGTCTTAGCAACACCATTAGCTTGCGCCTTGAGCGCGGTCCCTGGGGCGCCTTTGGGGAAGCTAGACTCTCCATTTGAGGCTCCGGTGGGCTTAGCTTTCGTCTCCTGTGCACTGTTACTGCTCTCATCTTCGCTGGCTGGTACATTGGGTCTCTTCTTTTTCCCACCCTTGGCGACGGTATTCCAGCCGTTGTCGCTGTCCAGCTCCTTGAGCATGCTGATTTGCTCCTCTTCGGATGGAAGACTGCCGTAAGACATGCCGTTTGATGTCGACTTTCCAGCGGCCGGAGCGTTTGCACCAGTTGTTACATCCTCAAATGTATCAAGAAGGTCGGTATGTTGCGGTGGCGCGGCCTTCTTGGTGGTGTTGTTGTTACCACCATTACTTGTGGTGGTGGACCAGGCATTCTTCGCAGGTGGCTGAGAAGAACCGAGACCATTCTTTGCAGGTCGCCCTTCGGCCTCTCTGGCAGTCCGTCGCTGGTTCTCGAGAAGCTTCTGCCTCTGCCTCTCCGCTTCTTCACGCAAGGTCTTTTCCTCTTCCCGCTTGCGTCGATTCTGCCTCTGCTTCTTGGTCTCTTGTTCTTGCACCGGCTTTTGGGCTTTGGGCTGCCTTTGAGGCTGAGGATTCGCAGGTTCTGTCAATCGAAGAATGGATGGACCCTTTGTTGGTGGCTCGAGCATGTCTGATATATCTGCGCCAGAAGGTGTGGTAGTGTTAGTGACGCCGAGGTCGGCCGAGTTTGCGGATGAAAAATCATCATCAGCATCTCCCCTGTTGTAGAGGAGGCTGTCGAGTTCTCCTGAAGAGGCAAAACTCCATTCGTTTGAGGTGGCTTACTGCTTTCAGGCACGATCGCTGCTTCAGCGCGCTTTGCTTGCTTTCTCGCCTTCTTATTCTGTGTACCCTCTGGCTTCTTCAATGACGTCCCCGTCATCTTGTCTGAAAGCTGCTTCGCAAATTCCAGATTGTCTTCCTCATCCTGATCTTTCTCTGCCGTATCCTGTCCTGAGCCGTAGTTCACTTCCGCAGCCGAGGACTGTGCAAGCTTGCTTGGCTGCTTGTTCTTTACCTCCCTCCTCTTTTTGGCTTTGTCGCTAACACCACCCTGTGGGGAGGCCGCAGATGCGTCGGAGGTGTCCTCTGGCAGCTTAGCCCTCTCTGTTTCTTTTGCTCTGTTATCTCTGCTACTGTTTCGTTGCTTCGAGGCATTGCCAGTGCGCGTTTCCTGTGCACTGAAAGGTCTCCAACCACTCCCTCGTTTTTTCTGTCCACCGGTTGTAGCATAATAGTAGCCAATTACTATGGCAGTGCCACCGAAAAGTGCCCAGCTCTTCCAGGCATCCATGGCAATGGAGTGATTGGAATGTCCAGGAGGTGGAGGTAGGTGGCCAACTCGTGTCTGCTAGTGCCAATGGAGGGAAGCAATTGGGCGCTACCGGCACTAATGCCGTTCACGAGGTAAGATCTATGCGCAATCAATGCAGAAGCTTTGAAATCGTCTTTCACAGCTTGAAGGATTTTTTCGTATACGTGAAGGCGGATGGACTGCTCTTGAGATGGGAAGGAAGTGAAGTGGCGTGGACGGATGATGTCCCTGAGGAAGCAAGGAGGCCGCCTCCGCCAAGTGGAACCACTTTGGGAGCTTGGCGACAAGACCTAGAGATCAGTACCAGTCATTGCTCGGAATTGCTAATGGTGGTCTCGATGCAGAAGGAGTGAAGAGTGTTGAATATGCGAGGTGTCGTAGGGAAGGAACTGCTGCAGACAGATGTTCTTAATTGTTGAATCTGATAGGCTGCCTTTAGCCGTGATCGACGTGTAAATGGAGACGAAATGCAGGGAAGACCGAAAGAAAGAGAGAATATATCTACGGCAGAGAATGAATGTGAAGAGAGCGATGATGTCGAACACAAGGTGTGTAAGGACAGGAGCAGGGACAAAGTCGTCTAATGGATTCAGGAGGCGAGCGTCGTAATACGATGGTTGCTCGAGAGATCCCCATTCGTAGCGGCAATCTGCCTCGGAGCTTTTGCGGGGGAAGCGCTCGAGCTAGCAATTTGCCTCCAAAGCCCCTATAAGGTAATTATGCCGCCTCGAGGGTTGACGAATTAATGAACGTGAGAAATGCGGAGCCAAAAGTTTACTATTTACTTTTATCCTCCTAGGTAGATGTAACCTAGTTGAATGCAAAAGGGGACATGCACAATCTTCACACCTTCTCCCTCGTTCGAGCTACAGCTTTGCCTCCAACTTAGTTCAATCTCGTCCTGATCATCCATCCCTCCGCTGGCTCATCATAGCCCCGATCTATTCCATCCTGAATCTTCGACCCATGAGTGAGATGCTCAAGAAAATCTTGTGCATGAAAGGTCGCACGCTTTGCGTAAGGTAAAAGGTTCCCTTCGCTCCGCCAGCATGAATAGTTGTAAAAGCTGCTCCCCAAAGCAGTAGCGACACACAATCGCAACTTGTTGATAAGAATTGAGCGTCTCAGGCTCAAAGAGCATATGGGTTCAATGCCCGGATGGTTAGGCATGGCGGACTCTTGGTGAGGTCTGTCTTCAAGATGACGGGCACACGCGTCATCTCAGTCACATCCTGGATGTTCTCCCCACCTTCTTCTCTGAGCTTGAACAGACTCAGATACTTCTCTTTGTTCGACAACTTAGCCTCTGGAGTGTCATTGGGGTTGGAAGCAAGCTTAGGATCAGAGCGAGCCCGGAGAGGGTTCTGCCCGTTTCCATCCGCGTCAGGTGCTGGTGACGGCGGGAGGCTTTGGGTGGGACGATCTGACGGAGCCAACCCAAGAGAAACACCGGCAGTTGACTCAGTAATTTCAGAGATATTGTCGTCATCATCGAACAGCGCATCTGCATCGTCGGTGGGCACCGAGCCAGTCTCCAATTGTTTCCTCCTGGCCTCAGCGTTTGCCTTTTCATTGGCCACCTTGGCTGCATGGTCATCAGTGCGGTGATGGCGACGCGTGCTTGCTTTTGTTTGGGGGCGCTCATCCTCAGGCACGTAGGCTGACGACGGCACTCCCTTCTCCCAGTATAGCTCGAGAACGCGTTCTTCCTTACGGAACTCGGCTTTCTTCAGTGGAAGCTGATCGCAATGGACGCGCTTCTCGAAGCCATACTCCGGGATGAGGATATCGAAAGCGGACTCGTAGACGCAGAGCACAATTCCCTCGCTGATGAAGTCACCACCAAGCTCCACCCTCTTCTTGTCTAAGATGCGGCAGGAATCAATGTGCACGCTTTGCTCTTGGGCAGACTGGGCAGAGTCTTTCTTGTTGTTGCAAGATTCTGTAGTCTTCTTCAGAGTATCCACGTCTTCCTGGAACTCTGTAGAGCCATTTGACAAAGCAACTTCGAGCTGACGATGCACGACGATATCAGCATATCGTCTCGTGGGGTTGGTAAAATGTGTGTAGATCGGAAGATTCAACGCGTAGTGCTTGTATTGCTCTGAGTTGACTGCACCAGCGACGATGTATTTGGCACGGCGCATAGCTTTGATCAGCAATGTTTCCATACCCTGTATTTGGTTAGTAATCTACTCACAATGAATGGGAACTGATATGACATACCTTTCGCAAGTCTGCATCCTTCACGTTGAACAAACTGTTCAAAAGAGTACCACTGGTCGTCGTATCAATCTCGTAGCCAAGTCTAGTCATCCTCTGTGCAAAGGTCTGCAGGCGCCGTGCGTTTGGTGGTGACTGACTTCGAAGCAATGCCTTCTCTGGTAATGCGACGTGAATCTTCTTGGCAACAATGATATTAGCTTGGTGTCCTATTTCTTCCAGGATCTCATGCGCAGGGGTCGAATCGAAAATGTTCATCTCCACGGGCACGTTCTCATCATCCAGCTGTTGAATAAGGCGGAGCGGAGGCACAGCTTGCGAGCGATTACCATACCGGACTTCTCGGAGCTTTTGTGCAATCGTCTATTCAAAGTCAGTTGGAACGATTTACAGTTCTTCGGAAAGCCTTGCCTTGAGCCTATGAATGTCTTTCGCAGTTGCGCCTTGAAGCTTGACATCCTCTTGACCCTGTATCACAGCATCGACGTCGTCATAAGATAGCTTGCCAACACTCTTTATGATCGCCTTGCCAATCCATGTATCATCCTCTTGAATCTCGCCATTCTTCGAATCAACTGTGAAGATGACAGACATGGTGAATCTTTCCTCGCCGGGACTTAAGGAGCAGACTTCATCAGCAAGCTTAGGCGGAAGCATGCTCACAGTACGGTTCACGAGGTAGACACCACTTCCGCGTTTCTTTGCTTCTCGATCGACAAGCGAGTTATGTTTGATGAAGTGGGCTGCGTCTGCAACATGAACTCCAATCTCCACCAGTCCATTAGGGAGTTCCTTGACATGCAAAGCGTCATCGAGCTCCAGTGAGCCTAGTGGGTCGATGGTGAAGGTTGTTTCTTCACGGAGATCCTTGCGAAGCGACAAAGCTTCTTCGGATTCTGTAGAAACAGACCAGTCATCGAATCCGATGTTTTTCAAAACAGGCTCCGAAAACTCTTCGGAGCCAAAGTTGTTGTCCCTCAATAGAGCATCCGTTTCGACTGTGAGGTCGCCCATACGACCAAGATGGTCCACAAGGGTGCCAAAGGGATGAAGAGACGTGATAGGCCATCTCTTGATGCTTGCAACGAAAATGCGATTTGCAAAACCTTGGTGCTTCTCAACAAAGTCCTTTGGTGCTTGTTCGGTTGGAATGGCGATCAGAGGCACGCGCTTGTCGGTAGGTTTGAACCAAACAATCTTTGGTTTGTCCTGTTGTCGATCTTGTTGGTGACGACCGGGACCACCCTCGCGAGTCTGCCGTTCAGCTTCTTGCTTTTCTTTGGTGGCTTGAGAGCTTGGGCGAAGCAAACCGAGGGTCCCAGAGAACATTTGGCCAGAAACACGCTCGATGACTGCCACAACGTGGCCGGCGTAGAGAGGCTTTTGTTCATCGTTGACTTCCTCTTCCTCCATGAGAAGTAGACTTTGTCCTTCAACTTCGACGTCGTCGTTCTTCTTTTGAGTAGGTCGCTGTCTCAAACTTCCACGTCTGCGAAGCCCACCTTCGTTGCCTCCTTCTTGACCTGCGTCATTCGCCGCAGAATTACTTCGAGCGCGTCCTTCAGGGCCACCTTGTCCACTACCACTGCGTGCATCTGATATATCTTTACGCTTTTTCTTCTCTTCCTTCTCGCGCTTTTGTGACCAAACTTCATCCACGTCAAGAAGTTCAATAGCTACTAGGTCACCTTCCAAAGCTCTGTTTCGATCTTTGCTACCACAAATGAAAATGTCCGCATCTAAATCATCCGTTGTAACATACGCGTCGCTGCGATTTTTCTTATTGACCCTCAAGATGCCTTGGACTAATTGAGCGTTATTGAGCAAGGCGGGTAAGTTCGCGTGAGGGAGATAGGGTGTGAACAGGGTTTTCCGTTGCTGCTGCTGCGCCGACATTTGTTGCTGGTTGATCTGGGCTCCTTGCATATTAAGATGTTGAGCGCCCAGTGGTACGCCTTGCAACGCCTGGATCTGTTGCATTTGCATGGGGTTGAGCTGCTGGCCACCCATCATTTGCGGCTGCTGGAGCATGACCTGGCCTTGGGGCAGCTGAACGAACTGAGATTGGTTGGGAAACTGGAATTGTCCCATGGACCCAATCGATTGATTCATGGATCCTCTAGGTCTATGACCTGGTTGGAAAACAGCGGCATTCGGATTCTGGGCTTGAAAGCTGCCCATTGGAGGCTGTTGCTCCTGCATCTGTGCCTGGTTTCCCTGCTGCCTCCAGTTGCCGTCGAAATTCCTCGACGAGTTTCGAGCATGCCCGTTCTGGCTTGTTTTTCTAGAAAAATCATTGCTCGCACTGGAATCGTTTGATGGAAACTGGAAGCCTCCAGCTCTGTTCGGCGCATTTCCTCTGCCGTTACCGACGGCCATGCTCTGACTCCTACCATGCGTTGGGCCTCCTCTATTTCCAGCTCTTGCCATACCGCCTGGTTCCGTAGGCGGCTGGAGTGTTCCACTGGATGAATTTTCAGCACTAGTAGGGCTCAAGGATCTCTCGGCAGTTGTAGGCGAAGCACCTGATGCTCCTGGAACGGGAAATTGGAATCCTGAGGAATTTCTCTTCTGTTGCGCTATTTCGGCGGCTTTCTTGGCTTCTGGCAATGCCAAAGAATGGCGACGTGCATGACCGGGGCCCGCAGGCGGACCTCCTCCTCTTCCGCCGCGCTGAGAGGACATGTCACGGCCCATACCTTGCTGCCCAAAATCGCCAAATGCTGTACCTGCCGAGGGTGCTGGAGGAGGACCCATATTCATATTTGGGACTGCAGATTGATTTCGACGATGGGTCTGCATCTGAGGGTTCATGGGAACGTTTAATTGTTGGCCTTGCATTTGTTGTGGGAATTGAAAAGCATTTCCCTGTGGTTGCAATCCAGCCATCTGTCCTTGCATGCCCGCCTGCTGTGGAAAGTTGACGTTTGGGACTTGTGGCTGTTGTTGAGGGGGGAGCATCCCCATATTCACATATTGCTGGTGTATTCCGGCGATATGCTGCTGTTGCTGCTGTAGCTGTTCGATCTGCTGCTGTAAGGCAAGTTGCTCCACTAGAAAAAATGCATTAGCTCTGTTCACGGGAATGGCGTAGAAGAAAGCTTAAGGAGGTAACTCACTAATCATAGGGGTCATCTCTGATGGACTCCTCCTGTGCGCAACATGGAATCTTCTGCCGGTCGGGCCGGGGACTCCTGTAGGTGGTTGTTGGTCCATGGCTGGTGTGATGATATTGATGTAAGAGTTCAGTCAAGGAGGATTGAAATGATCGACTAGAAATGAAGATTCAAGGATGGACAGATTCCTTTCACTCAGGGCCAGACCGCAAGATATCTCAGAAACGCAGCACGGACAAAGGCCAGGCTAGTAAGCTCGTTTGATCGGTTCGCTGCCACCAGTTCAGCACCCTGGTTTGGATCGCAGTATCGCTGTGAGAGAGTGATATACAAGAAGCAGTAAGGGATTGAACGTGGTATGACTGCTGTAGAGCATGTGGATTAATGTTGAGGTGTGCCGTTGGTCGTGCCCGAGTCCTTGGAGATGGAGATCAGATGCACTGTTAAATGGTTGTGTGAGAGAGACTGCTGGATAGATGGAAAGACAAGAGACGGACGGGGGGAAAAGGAGAGTCGGTGATGGTTGTCGTAGGGAGTGACGATGGGGAAGGAGTGATGAAGAAGTCGTCGTCGGCCTCAGACAGGCTGAAAAGCACTCCGAGGCAAATTGAAAACGCCTACTGGCTTGGCAGACTTTACAGGCAGTAATTTACTGCTTTACTGCTTTGGGGAGTGACTGCCGGCAGGGCAAGAGCCCCTGATATGCCCGAAGCCTGAGTGATCTGCGCCCCAACCGCAGCCAGTATGCTGTAAGATAAGATATCCTCGAGTTTCTTACAGATGTATGTATTCGCCTCTAGATTTCACGACTGAATTCACTGAGCAGCAGCTACATTTAAGTATCTAGTCTGTCTGTCAGGGAGCTCGATACTGGTACCTATCGTACGGCTTCTGATTGCAGAGCTCATTGGCACTATCTCGCTGCAGTAGTCTGTCCTCAGATTTACCCCTGAATGTATCAGCGAGCCAACTCGCAGAGACAATGCCCTTCTGGCTGGAGTCTCGCTTGACAACCGGCGTACTCTGCATGAAAGCCTTCAGGCAATTCTGAAGGGACCTTTGCTTTCGTCAGTCCAATTCGTTCATGCAAACCTGCTACATCAGTATCACTTTCTCCCGCAGGATGGTCCCACTGAATATCGCCGTACCAAATCCTACTCAGCACATTATATACTTAAGTCTCGAAACTGCATTTTTAAGGGTAGGATATTTAGGTTTCATACATGAGTTCTTATAAGCTTCGACCATAAGGATCTAATCAATTACCTCATTCTTTAGTCATCACTCCATCTTCAAGTGAATCGTGATCCTGATATCTTCAAGGAGTTTGAGAGGCATTTTATGGGATCGACTCAGATTTTACCCTACCTTTGAAGCGCGTTGAGCTCTCGAGGTTCACTCATTTCTAGCACGTGAGGCCTTGTTCCTGTCACGGTCTACTGGTTCATGGACAGGCCATCTTGCCATGGCGATGTCGAAAGTAGGTTGTAGACCCAAATCACTCAGATGTCAAAAATCTTTGTTTGGGCGACGGATATATCGGCGTTATGACTCTTTCAGGCGGTAATGCTGTGGCTTTGGGGCACTTATCGGGGTCCACCCCTGGAACGTGCCCTAAAAGCAAGTCTTCTACTCTTGGCATAGCCCCTATCTCGACTCACTGCCATCCATCTGGCGCGTCAGCCTTATGCAACGTCAATTACTAAGCAAGCCTGGGCCAACTTGAGAATCTTGGTTGTATCACCAGCCTTCGACTTTCCTGACCTTACACGGACTATTGAGCTCGCCGAGTCTACATTACACACACTTTTTTCTCTTTAATTACCCCGCGTGGGCTGAGCTTTGATGAAACCAGCAATGAAAATGGGAACAAAGAAGACTAGGAATGCAATTGCATTACCCAAAATCTCGAAGTCCATCGGCTAGCAGGCTTTCTTTTCTTCTGCCATCAGTCTCAGCTTGAAGCATGTCTGTTCCTTAAAGGATTAAAATCCAATCACAGCTCCACAGTAAGATGGAAGTGATGCCCACATCCAATGAAAACAGTCCGTACAAAAATGCGCCAGACTCCCCATCCCGGCAATTGCTTTGGGAGCTCAGCCAAATGACTATCTCTTCTCAACAAAGATTCCATGCGCATTTGGATCGTGAATCCGAAGCACGAGCGGACGAACACAGGCAGGCACTGGCAGTCGCGGCCGCAAAGCATGACCGTGTCCTCCAGAGCGTAGAGCTAGAGAGGCAGAGATTAGAGGCTCAGATACAAGCTGAGAGGGAGCGCCGGGACAATGAAACAAGGAAGGAGCTTGAGCGACAACGACGGGAGAAAGCTGAACGGGAAATTGAAGAGAAGAAAAGAGAATTAGAGCGTGCCAAGGTCATCGAAGGGGAGCAGAAGAAGCTTGCTGAACTTGAAAGGACCAAAAGGGAGGCTGTAGAGGCGACACGAAAGCAAAGAGAGCAAGAACAAGAACGAGCGGACGCCGCGAGAAGAGAGCAGGAACGACGAGCTGCTGAACAGAAACAACGAGAGGATGCCCAAAAGCAGCAGCCACCTCCTGCGAAAGCTTCGAGCACAGCTCAACCAAACAAGATTGCAGTACTAACACCCCCAGAACCTGCGCCTGCTCCTTCCATACCTACTCCGGCCCCTCCACAGCCCTCTTCATCCACAGCATCAGATAACGATTCTCTTTGGGAGGCAGAACACAACCAGTATCTGGAAATCCACCAAAAGCTCAAGGAACTCCGCAAATTCATGAACGAACAAGGCAAGACCAACAAGCAGCTCAAAACAGCTATGGGGGAAATGCGCCGCGGCATGCGCAAATGCGTCGGCCAACTGACCGAGGGCAAAGGCGCGAACACAGAAATTGTAAGCCGTAGCCCTTCCTTCAGCCCCCTCTCAACTAACCATCCACCTTCCTCTCAGCTCAAACAAATCCTCGCCCTCCTCCGCTCAGCCGTAAAATTCCAACCCCAACCCGTCGTCCCCATCGCACCCTTCCTCGCCACCTCTCCTACCACCTCCACCCCTGGTCCCGGCCTCCTAATCTACCTCCTCTCCATCTTCTCCAAGCTCGTAATCGGGCAATTCATCGACGAAGCGTCCGTGTCCCCCAAACGCGCCGACCCCGTGGGGATAGTCGCCTCGCACATCTTCGCCCTCCCAGATTTCCAATGGCAAAATACCTCTACCATCTCCATCCTCATCGCCAAATTCCACGCCGTCTGCCCCGTCCTCTTCGGCATCTACGGCCCGGAAAACACCGTGAAGGGAAAAGAGCGCCTGGGCTGGTGGCGCGAAGAATCCCGCACCGCCGGCCCCTTCGTCAGTACCCAACGGCATTACGAGCGCATGACTGGCATAGGGGCCGGCTTCGCGTCCCTGGCCCTCCGCAACTATGAGAAATCGAAACTGCGGAATCCATACCCCGACGGCAAGTATTGGGAGGCGTTGGCGAAGATTTCAGCCACCCCCTCCGAGGGGTTGACACAAACCCATTTTGTGGTGCTCAAAGCGATAGTGCAGGGGTATGAGGATCGGTTTGTGAAATTCTATGGCAACGCGGCCGTTGCGGCGCTGAGGTTGTGTCTTGTGAGCTTGCCGGAACGGGCGCCCGAGGGGATCAAGGGGACGGCGGCTGTGAAGGGTTGTAGTGGGTTGGTGGATGTGATTAGGAAGGAGAGGAAGCTTGTATTGTGAGCTGGAGACATTCGGGGGTAGGAGTGTAGGAGACGAGGTACTTGAGATGGATTTGGGCGGGACGAGGCTTGGGGAGGGATCCAATACTACTACTACTGATTTTATTACGCCACTCTCCGGGTCAGAGGTCGTGGACCAACTGATGAAGAGAGAGAGAGAGAGAGAGAGAGAGAGAGAGAGAGAGAGAGAGAGAGAGAGAGAGAGAGAGAGAGAGAGAGAGAGAGAGAGAGAGAGAGAGAGAGAGAGAGAGAGAGAGAGAGAGAGAGAGAGAGAGAGAGAGAGAGGCGTTCGTCCATGGGTTTTGATATGTCAGATCTGATTGATTTATCCTATCCAACAACTGAGTTGCAATCCTGACCACCCAATCCGCCCCCACCCCCCTCCCCCCTTCTTGCTTTCCACACTCACTTTCATCACTTCTGGGTATCACAATTCATCCAATCCCCTCAAAAGTCCCACTACCAACCTCTCTTCTTTCAACTCATTGGTATCCCATTCCTACTAACGTCCCTCATGGGTCACGTTGAAAGCAGCTAGCCTCAACGCAACCACACCACCTCAGTGGCTCGCCTTCGTAGTCTAGACAGCGCCATCAGTCTGTAACTCAGACCGAGTCGATAGTGACGCTTGCCCAGACCTCTGTTCTCAGTGGCGCAATCCAGATTGGTGGGTGGGAGTCGGTCGCTGTGCTCTCGTACTGTGCAATGGCTTACCGTCGCCTCATCCACCTGATGATGATGTAGAAGGGGATCCTGGTCAGATCGTCCTTCGATTTTGGAAGCCTTAAAATAGAGACTCGAGAGGATTGTTTGAGAAGCGGTTCCAGGAGTTTTCCCTGTTTGATGGTGGATCCAACGAGGCGATGTCCGAGGTCTCAAAGAATGCGTGACAGGTCATGAAGGCCATACACAATCTGTTCTCATGATTACCTGATCGAGCGCCGATATGGCTACTTTCCAACAGCTTTTCCTTCGTGATATCAATGCTGCTTTCACACCTCAGGCCTTGGAGCTTTGAACCAGGGTGCGTGCAAGACATCCTTGCCATGTTTCTCCCACAAATGCACGCCGAACTCATCATCATCATTGTCTTGTTCTGCTTCTGCCTGACGCCTTTCCGGTCTGCGGAAAGTAGCGTTGCAGGGATTGGCGAGATTGCCATTTACCTGTATATACGGCCTTCTCTTGATGTTATCTCTCGTCATACTCGTCGTCCTCCGCCATGCCTGGTCGTGCGGTCGTGAAAGAAGATGAGGACTCTGAACGCGGGCGTCATTGCTTGGTACTCGAAGTGTGGCGCCTGAATAGTTCGATGTATCGCTTGGCTTCTTGGATATTTCTAGCCCTGGGGGATGACTCGGTAGATTCTCTCGAGAGTGACGCAATCTTGTATCATCGAAGAAGGAGTGTATCTCATCCATGGGATCTTGGTGGAAATTCAAGGGTTCTTGGGCGGTTGCGTCTACGGCCATTTCCGGCAATGCTCGTATTGATGATGTTTGTGACCCGGGCGCGGCTGATGTGGGTTTCTGAAGCTCGAATTCTTCCTCTTTGACTTTCTGGTTTGGCACTTTCCCTTCTTCAAGAATTGGTGACTGAAACGGATCTGATGTCTGTTTTGATAGGCTTTGAGGTCCAGCCCATTTTTTGCATTGTGCCGAGAAGTCGGTTCTGTCATCCTTGTGGATATATCTCTTTTCCTCCCAAGATTTCTTCAGGACGCCATGGGCAGCTACAGCCATCAATTGGTTGAGAACAAGGAATTCCAACTTTATTTTCAAAGCGTAGCTGAAATTTTGTATCGGATGACTAACACCTCCTTGATTTACGTAGACAAATGTAACGGTCATTACATCGAAGCAAAGAGCAAGAACGTTGACGTAGATCAAGTCAGTCATCACGCGCTTCTGGCGAATTGCTGCTTTTTCGCGGAGTAGACGAAGCAATGACCAAATGTACGTCCCACTTACGATACATTCACAAATAGTGAAGCCAATCTGCGTATAGCGCTCGATGATCAATTCCCTGGGAGACCATGTTGAAGAGATTGCATGGTCTGGATTGAATGAGTGGAATGCTCCTATCCAGGTTGGCAGAACGAAGGTGACTAGTGTCGAAAGAATCATCCAAAAGATCGCCTTTTGTATCCAAGGAATTTCATTGACAAGGTGTAGTCGAGAGTAAAGTATCATTAGTTGAGCTGGTGCATACAACGACCAGCCTCCAACAAGGAATAGAGTGTACAGTGGCCATAATTTGGAACCATCAATGCCGGGAGTCAGAAACCTGAGAATGATTCCCAGGGCGTCTATCACGCATCCAGTGATGCCGATAAAGATACTCCAGAAATAGATGCCCTTTTTCTTCCTGAAGACGCGCAAAACACAGACGCTCGTGTCAACACACAGCCAGAGACTGATTCCAGTGAATGCAGCAGCTGCAATTTCTTCTTGGGGTTTCCATTGTACCCGTGCGGCTTGATTGACAACATACGGGGAGTACTTGTGATCTGACATCACACTGATATCTGAGGAGTGCAGGCGCGCATAGGTCCTGGTAGCCCAGTGAAGAGATATATTCCAAATCCCTCAGATCAATTAGGATTACGTGCCAGATTGGATGTGATGTATGGTGTTGAGTGTGCACCCTCTACAGCCTGAGGAAAGACATGAGGATAATGTTGGAAACGGGTGGGGAGCTCGAGGCATATAGTCTCCCACCCCCCTGCCCACGTATCTCTCTTCTCGGGGAGGTATATGGGAGCGTCGAGCTAGGTGAGCCACGTTTCGTGCAGGATGACGAACAGCTCGATTGAAGGTGCACCCTAACTTCTGGATCGGGTCTACTCATTGGAGCGCCTGCTTGAAGACGGCACGGGCAAGACGGGCAATCCCTCCCTTGTTTTCTGCGGGGCCGCAATAATGCTGGTGGTAGCTCAGGCGACGATTATCCCGCATATTTCGATCGATTGCGGGATGGGGCTGAGAAGCAAAAGCAGATGCCCAAATAACGGTATCGGTTACAAACTTTCTCATTTATTATTCTTCATATGCTGCAATCTCGCAGTGCGTGACGTGATCCTCGTAGACGCTACTCGTAGAGGCCAACCCCATTACCCCACGGGCAATCTGGAAGAGGAAATAGTGTTCTGACGCACCAGGACGCCACCAGACGCACGAGATAAGTAATGAGGCATCCCACTAGCTTCATAACACCATGTACCACGTACCAGAATTCTCAAGTCAATATGAACTGTAGCTTGAGCAGACACCGTTGCATTATTATTCTTGTCAAAGGGTAAAGTCGCCGCCAACGGGGTTCCGTCACGCTCGGTAGGCGCCGCCGTTTAGTTGCCCCCCACTCCCCGACCTCTCGTTGTCCCCAATCGTGCCTGAAAATTCTATCTACGTCACGCGAGCAGTGTGAGAAACATCCCACCACGACGAACACTTCGTCCCAATTCAACATTGTAAAGTTCTCCCCATGACCGACAATGTCTAGCTCTGCTCATAAAGCCAGCAATGGCACACACGACCATGACATCCCCTACATACCCCTCCAGTATGGGAAAGAAGACTCCGAATCCTCCGCTACAAAGCTCATCCTCGCACTCTTTCCGCATTGGCGGCAAGGGGAAGGCAAGATCGAATTCACCACCTTCAAAGATGGTATTACGAATACTGTTGGTGGATACTCCTCGTGAAAAGTGACGTCAGCTGAATCTTGTAGTAGCTCATGAAGGCGGTGAAGAAGAGACCAGGAATGTCGGAAGAGGAGATGGACAAAGATGCAGTCCTGTTGAGGGCTTATGGAAGCGGCACTGAAGTTCTCATTGACCGAGAAAGTTCGTCGCCTGCCTCCTGACCAAGACCCTCGGAAAACACGGCGCTAAGAAGTAGCCAGGGGAGGCAACATCCCATTCCATTCTCGCCCAGCACGGTCTAGCCCCCGCTTTACTGGCTCGCTTTCAGAATGGCCTACTCTACAGATTCATTCGAGGGCGTGTCTGTACTCCACCAGACTTGACAAAAGAGCACATATGGCGAGGTGTTGCACAACGCATAGCCCAGTGGCATGCTTCTCTTCCCGTCGTTACAGAAGGCCGCAAAGCAGCGATCAAAGATGATATCGTCGTTCCATTGGGTCAAACTATCCCCAAGATTCCTGGTGCAACGGAGAAAATGTACGCCATCACACCCAATACACCTGTACCGAACATTTGGACAGTAATGCAGAAGTGGGTCCTTGCCCTCACGACAGGCACATCAGACGAACGCGAGAAGAGGGATATGTTACAAGTCGAGATAGAGCGGTCGGCAAAGGAGCTCAGTGATACACCAGGTCTAGGAGGCAACGGGGTCGGTCCATGCCAAAACGCTCTTTCTGACTCTCTACCTGACTCATGTACAGTTGATCTTCGGTCATTGCGATCTCCTAAGTGCCAATGTCATTATCCCACCACAAGAGAAAAGCAACGGCGAAGCTAAGTGCGCTTCCGTCGCCTTCATCGACTACGAATACGCCACCCCATCTCCCGCCGCTTTCGACCTCGCCAATCACTTCTCCGAATGGGGTGGCTTCGAATGCGACTACAACGCTCTACCCACACGCAGCATCCGTCGTGCTTTCATCGACGAATACATCTCAAGCTACATATCCCACACAACCGTTGACACCAAGACGGACCTCACATCCCGCTTATTCGACGAGATAGACCGCTTCCGTGGCATACCAGGGCTGTACTGGGGCATATGGGCGCTCATTCAGGCGAAAATCTCCCAAATCGATTTTGATTATGCTTCTTACGCTGACGTGAGGCTGAAGGAGTATTGGGACTGGAGAGCCGAGACGGATGGAAGTCGAGCTGCCAAGGGCGTAGAGAAGCCGCTGCGGGAGAGAAGGTGGGCTGAGGAGTAAATAGTATGATGGGTTCAACACCAGCAGCGTTAAATGGGAAGGCATTGTGATAAACATGAGCAGCGTTATGGGAAGGCTGAGTGTCTTCAACGACAGAGAAAAAGTTTCGCTTGTGATACCATTCTTAAATGCATCTTCACACCACGACTTATCCACGGAAGCAATTGGGGTTTCAATTGACTGTTGCTTTTCTATGCTAGAAGGGCAGTCCTGTATTTCTCTTCTATCACGCGGGTTCTCCCATTGTGAACTCCACCTTGCGCCATTCGCTCACCATTCAAGATTACTGCTTACTTTCCTGCCAAAACTCATTTACGAAACAATCCTGCTGATACCGGGTATCACAACTCTCCCTTACTAAAAATCACACAACCAAGTTCGCTCAACCAACAGCACTCACAGTGTAATACCCAGGTTCACTTCAACCGCCAAACAAAGCCTACCCACCCCCTCAAACCTTCCAACTCCACTCATGCCCCTCCTCATCTCCATACTGTATCCCCTCAATCCACCCCTTCATCCTCATCGCCACCTCCCCAGCCTCCTGGCCCTCTTTCAACCCACAATCCACCATCGTGCCCCTCCAACTGATCGCTCTGACGGGACTCACAACAGCGGCCGTGCCGGCGCCAAAACACTCCAACAACCTCCCCTCCTCGCTCGCGCGCGCCAAGTCCCCCATCGTGAATCTCTCCTCTCTAACCTCCCACCCACCTTGCGGCACCAGTCGATCCCTCGCCAATTTCAGCACGCTATCGCGCGTGACGCCCTCTAAGATCGTGCCATCCAGGGGCGCCGTCCACAACACTTTCTTCCCCGACCCGCCTCTCCCCTCCGACATGACCGCGAAGAAATTCATCGTTCCCACTTCCGTCACGAACTCCTCCCCGCCCTCCCGTTCCTGGAACACCCACAGGTTCTGCTGCAACCCGCGCTTCGCGGCCTCTAGTTGCGGCACGATCCCCGGTGCGTAGTTGGCGCCTAGTTTCTTATCGCCTACGCCCCCGGCCACGCCCGTACTGCGTACGGTGTTGCGTCTAATGATACGGCTTTGAAACCGGTGGGGTAGTAGGGACCGACTGGGGAGGCGATGATGTAGAGGAGGGCGGAGCCGGGGGGCCGACGCCCAGGGTGCGTTGGGTTCCGATGAGGGTGGGGCGGAGGTAGAGGGAGTAGCCGCGCTCGCTGGTCGGTGTCAGTGGGTAGGAAATGAAAGTGGGGTGGGACGGGGCTGGGGGGAGCGTACGCAGGAATAAACCGTTCCTCCATCCGCACAAAGCGTTTTATCAATTCAATGAGGGCTTTGCCGTCGAAAGTGGGGAGCGCAATTCTCGCCCCGCTCTTGTTGAACCGCGCCATGTTCTTGTCGGGGCGGAAGAGGCGCAGGTCGCCGTTCGGGCAGCGGTACGCTTTCATGCCCTCGAAGCAGGTGAAGGCGTAGTGGAGGACGCAGGTCGCGGGGTCGAGAGAGAGGTTCTGATACGGTGTTATACGCGGCGCGAGCCAGCCGGTGGTGGATGTCCATTCAATGGAGAGCATGTGGTCGGTGAAAGTGTGGCCGAAGATGAGATCTTTGGGCTCGAGGCAGTCTTTGGGGGTCGTGCAGTCGGTTGTTGTGAGGAGGGATGGGTTGATGTTGGGGAGGCGCGAGAGGGCGGCTTCTTGGGCAGCAATGGAGGTGGAGCTGCTGTATCGGGCTTTGGGTTGTTGGTGGTGGTGGTGGTGGTGGTGGTGTTGTGGGTGGTTTTGTAGCTGTTGTAAGTGGCATTGTGGGGAGGGAAGTCGGGCTGATGGTGATTGAAGCTGAGAGAGCAAAGAGCGAGGTAGGCGGAGGATGCTGGAGCGTGCCATGATGTGTGTTAGGAGGAAAGGAGTCGAGTGGCTCGAGGGCAAGGTCCTGCATATTTATTTTGAAAGCGACGAGCGATCTCGGCCAGATGCGGCCGCGCGCTGATTGGCTGCCGGTGACAGCTGTCGTAGCCTCGTAGGGCTGATAACAGTCCGATATCAGCAAGTCCTTTCTTGGCCATTGCCAATCTTCAAGAAGTGGCTTGTGCATGGGGAAGTATCTTGTCAGTGGCAGTTGAGCAAATCCGGAAAGGGATGCATAACTTTCCGAGCTGCATGACCAGCGGAGCTTACGTCTCTCGTCCCCGCTGACACCACCACAACCAATTATTGAGCTACGTGCAGATTCGTCCAATTCTCTACACATCAGCATGTTCTCCTCAGCTCTGAAAACCTTTCAGTCCAACATTTCCGCGAATTATACCCTATCATCGAGTCCTACAGCGATCTCAGGCGCGTGGAAGATATTTGATGGAAAGAAGAAGGGTACAGGCAAGGCAGTATCTGTCTTTGTCTTTGACAGGAAGTCTTTGGAGCCTCATTCTGGGGGCCTCAGCAGAGGGAGTGGCGGCTCGTCACTACGAAGATTGCAAGATGAAGTGGTTGCAAGGATCAAGAAAGAAGCTAGTATGCTTGCAAGATTACGGCATCCGAGCATTCTAGAGCTTGCAGAGCCGGTCGAAGATACAAGAAGCGGAGGCTTGATGTTTGCTACAGAGCCTGTCACTGCCACTTTATCAGGCTTACTGCAAGACCAGGATGATCAGGAAAGATATGGAGGCTCGTCGAGTCGACCGAGCCGCGTTGTGGTTGAAGATGCCGAAGGTCAAAGAAGAAGGAAAGAACTTGAGCTCGACGAGCTGGAGATCCAGAAAGGACTACTTCAGGTTGCTCAGGGTTTAGAATTCTTGCATGAGTCTGCTGGTCTAGTCCATGGCAACTTGACCCCTGAGGCAATCTTCGTCAATGCTAAATCGGATTGGAAGATTGGTAGTTTTGGATTTGCTGGGCCGCCTGATCAGTCGAACACACAGTCGAACTTGACTCCGATATCGTTATCAGAAGTCATGTATCATGACCCGCGACTGCCTAGATCCATCCAATTAGATCTCGACTTCACCTCTCCTGACTTTGCTATGGATAGTAGTGTCACGACATCTGCGGATATGTTCTCGTTAGGCATTCTCCTGATTGTACTTTACAATTCGCCGCATACATCCCCCATCAAAAGTAATTCGAATCTCTCAACATACAAGAAACTATTCAGCTCCTCATCTACAACACCTTCAATGTCCAACAACTTCCTATCTACCAAGCCCTTGCCAAATGAATTAAAATCAGCAACACTGCCGAGACTGATTACTCGAAGGCCAGCGTCTCGCATGAATGCAAGGGAATTCCAACAGTCAGCATTTTTTGACAATATCCTGGTATCATCCATCCGATTTCTGGATACGCTCCCAGCCAAAACGCCAAATGAGAAATCTCAGTTTTTGAGAGGCCTTACAAATATTCTAGGCCAATTTCCCAAATCTGTACTTGATAAGAAGGTTCTACCAGCGCTACTTGATGAAACCAAGGACAAAGACTTACTGAATTTGATATTGCAAAATGTCTTCAAGATCGTCAAGATTTTGCCATCATCCCAACGTGCCATGAGTGACAAAATACTACCCCATCTTCGCGAGATATTTGCAGCAGGTAACTCGAAACCTGTTGGGGAAAAGGATACTGCAAAAGAAGCTGGGCTTGCCATTGTCTTGCAGAATGTAACTCTCATAGGAGATAATTGCGGCGGTAAAGAGTTCAAAGATTACATGCTGCCCATCATATTATCTGCTATGGACTCTTCAACCCACGCTATCGTGGACAAAGCCTTGAGCTGCCTGCCAAAAGTTCTTTCAATCCTGGATTTCTCAAGTATTAAGAATGAGGTATTTCCAGTCGTTGCTGCTGTATTCAGCAAAACAAGCAGCCTTGGCATCAAGGTGCGTGGCCTCGAAGCTTTTGTTATCTTGTGCGGTGGCTCCAACGACAGCTCTGACATTGGCGATGATCTGAACGGCGCGAAAGCCGGCAAAGCCTCCAACAGCGCTGTACTGGACAAATATACTGTCCAGGAGAAGATTGTACCGCTGCTGAAAGTCATCAAGACCAAGGAACCTGCAGTCATGATGGCGGCGTTGAACGTTTTCAAACAAGTTGGTAGCATTGCTGATGCAGATTTCTTGGCCATGGATGTACTGCCCATCCTTTGGAGTTTCAGCCTTGGTCCCCTGCTCAATCTTGACCAATTCAATGCATTCATGAACCTTGTCAAGACCCTCTCTTCACGTATAGAGCAGGAGCAGGTGAGAAAGCTGAAGGAAATTTCCTCAACATCAAGTCGGTCTATGGATCAAACAATATCCAATGACCTCATGAATGTAGGGTCAGCCAATGGTATTGCGAATGGACAAGACGATGTGGGCGAGAACGATTTCGAGCGTCTAGTATTAGGCAAAAAACCCGGTCAACCCCCCAATACAGACATGCTAGGAGACGCTTTGCAGCCTCAAAATCAACCTGCAATACCATCGCAGCAGCCGACTCTCCAATGGCAACGGTCAGCCTCGAACATAAGTCAACGCCAACATGGTAACAACTCAATGAGTGCTCTGAAGCCTCAGTCTCGAGCGATCACTCCTGACCAAACATTGAGCGCGTTCGCCCCCTGAGCCCAGCTACGAATACTTACAACACCACCCCTCCAATGACAAACGGCTTGAACTCATTCCCTACTGTTCAGAGACAAGTTCCTTCCGCCTGGCCCACACTGTCTGCGCAACAGCCACAGCAGCTGACCCCCTTCCAAACGGTCTCATCGCCTCCCTCACTACCACAGCAAGGGAGTGCTTTCAATGGCTTCAGTATTGCACCGCCTCCAGCCATCAATGCTGGTAACAATGGTATGACGGGTCTCGCCAACAAGCCTATGGGACCAACGCAGAACAGCTTCGCGGGAGGTATGACAAACGGATCAATGCAACCACAGCTCACACATCCACTTCAACCACAGCCCTACCAAATGCCTCAGCAGCAGCAGAAAAAGAGTGGACTAGACGCTTTTGAGAGCTTACTATGAAATGACAATGATAATGATAATGATCAAGTTACTAATTCAAGAATACAATTCATCCAGCCTTACTTTTGCAGCATCAGGGAGCGACGTAGACTTATTTTGCATGGTTCATGCAACTGTTTAGTAGCTTTTGCTTCACCTATCCTGACATACCTATCCTGACATATTGATGGGCATATTCTTTGTCTCTTTCTTGTCTCGTATAATAGCCTCATCGACAATGTTCATCACATTGAGCGCTGTCACATACCACGATGAGGCACATGCTCTGAAGTCCCTAGGCCACTTTTCAGCCCTTTGTAACAATACTACTGTACCGCCCATCAGCGCTACCTATGCAGCTACTACTTTCGGCGCGTTCCGATGACTCTCAGCCGCCTGCCTGATGTCGGAGAGGTTGCTTCCACGAAACTTTCTCATCTTGTTGACACCAACGCTCGGAACGTCAACCTCGTCTAGTGCGCAAATGGCTGACTCAGACATTCAATTTGAAGATATCTGGAATCATGTATTTAGCCTGTATGAGGAGAAAACGAACAGAGACCTGAAAACCGATCCTTTGCTTGGAGAACTGCGCACTACCGACGATCTCCTCCTTCAGATCAATGCCCGACAGCGAAACTTTGAGGCATTTCGCCAAAAGAAGGCGAAACTATGGTCCATTCTGCGTGGCTCAATGATTGGCGTTGAACTCGTAGGGGGTCTCACGCAGGATGCTTTGACCTTGACTCCATTTTCCATGGCCTCGCCTGTACTGGGAGCAGTCCTGTTCTTAGTTAGCTCCGCTGGAGATGTCAGTAAGGCTTATGACACAATAGTAGACCTGCTTTCTCAGCTTGAGGACTTCACTGGACGCTTGCAGGAATACACTAATGCTACTGTTGAACCGAAGCTTCGCAAAAAGCTGATTGATGTATTAGCATGCCTACTTGAGATCTTCGCAAGATCGGAGAAGCTCATACGAAAGGGCAGAGTCAAGCAGTATTTCTCTGTGACCTTCCTCCGTAGTAATGAAAAGGTGGCTGCTGCCTTAGAGCGACTCAAGTCGCTCATGGACACAGAGGCAAAACTCGTGGGGTCACTCACATATTCGACCCTTCTCAGAACAGATGAATCAGTATCTCAAGGATTGAAAGTTATGGAGAGGACTGAAACTTTGTCAGAATGGCACCAGGAAAGCCTGGAGGGTATGGCAACAATGATGAATGGTGAGCCAATCCGATGGAGCTTGTAAAACTGATACTTGCCGCCTCGTCCACTCTATCTCATTCAAATAGTGCTCACGTGCCACAATAGATTCCAAGAAAGATGCGAATGAAAAAGCTGAACGGGAGAGAATCGACAAGGAGCTTGATCGAACCACCTTACGAAAAGTCCAGGACTACCAGAACGACATATCCGAGCGAAGATTGACTGGAACTTGTGACTGGATAAGGAAAGAGCCCCTATTTCAACAGTGGATTGCTCAAGAGAGCCCCATACTGTGGATCCTTGGGGGCCCAGGAGCTGGGAAATCATTTCTTTCGTCCAAAATTATCGCCCATCTCCAAGAGAAATTTCCTCAAGATCCTCATGTGCCGTCCCGCGAGTCTGTCGGCTACTTCTACGTCAGAGAGGATGATCAGCAGCTTCGCTCATTGAATGCCATATTGAAAAGTCTTGCATTGCAAATTGCAACCAACAATCCGATATATAGGAAACACGCTGCTAACGTATGCAACTCGCCAGATAAGATAGGTACTGCAAAACATACCTGGCAAAACTTGTTTCTCGACTTCTTTAGTTCAGACCAGAATAGAGATAGTGTGGTCTTCATTGTGATTGATGGATTAGATGAAGCGCCAAAGAAGGAACAGACAGCATTTCTAAAGATTCTGAGAAGGCTTCTCAGGCAGTCCAGTGGAGTTGATCAGGCACCAATGCGGCTTCATTTTGCCATGGTAGGGCGTCCTGAGCTTCGAGAGAGTATACTGTCGGTGTGGGCATCGCAGATCATATACATTGAAGTTTCAGCGGCAAAAAATACGCCAGATATTGATGACTACATCAAACGCGGTATCCATAAAGTCAAAGCACTGAAAAATAGACACATATCTAGTACCGACAGAGAGTTGCTGAAGGCCACGATCGTTCAAAAGCTACAAGAGGGTGCTTTAGGTATGTTTCTTTGGGTCAACTTGATGCTCGATCAAATTTGTAATGTATCACGACCAAGTAGCATTGAGGGGATCTTAAAGGAAGCGCCACATGACTTGGCAAAAATGATCCGACATGTCTTTCAAAGGCTTGCTGCCGATCCTGGTGTACAAAAAGAAGACATAAACGAGATGCTGACATGGGTCACATTCGCTCAAAGACCATTGCTGCTAGGTGAGATGGACGTCATCCTGAAATTGAGACCGCCCGTTGGAGAAGGCATGCCGGACCTAGAGGACAGACTGCGGGGCCAATTCGCTTCATTCTTCATTCTGAATCGGGAAGACTCTAAGACAACAGAAGATCTAGCTAGTGAACTCGCCGAGAAATTCAAACACAAGATGATACTTGAGACTCCTATTGATGGCCCACACGATCTCGCAGATGAAGAGCAAGGCTTTGACATTCTTGAGCTTCCAAGCTATGAGTCTGATTTCAAAGCTACTGAGTTGGCTTTCAGCCATGCGAGCATACGGGATTATCTCTTACAGGAAGGTAGAGCAGAAACACGAAGGTGGCCTAGCGATTTGGGTATTGGCATTGAGGTCAATAAGGCGAAGCATCATGTTACTGTCTTTTGCCTCACAGTTTTACGCGATAAAGAACACGAAAAAACTTTCCCTGGAACCAACCTTCTGACTTACGCAGCTGACAACGTTCTGACACATCTAAAAGGTGTGGATAGATTGAGTTTGACGACTCACGAAAGACAGGCGGTCATTGATCCGCTGTTCAACCTGTTGGATGATGATGCTACCATTGAAAGATGGTTCAGTAATATCTCTAGCGACAAAGATATCTTTATTCGAGATTGGCTGACCGACAAGGACCTGGAAAAGTGTATCGGAGACTGGCTCGCCGATGAGGAAAATCAGCGCCATGGCTTCTCAGCATCATCCTCCTATGTGCAGCTTCTTCAATCGGTAGCCACGTTCTGCAAAATTCGATGGCTGACACGCGAGAAGGGTTATCAACCAGCCCTATACTATGTGTGGTTTCTACACATATGGGCCTCTCTTGTGAGTGTCGTAAATGCTCTGCATCATGCAAGGCTCAGATAACGAGCGAGGCTAATTCATTGCTTTAGGAAGGCAATGTATACCAAGACCTCAACGACTATAGTCTCAGTATACAGACACTGCTGATCGAAAAAATTCCTACTGCCAGGCTACGCCTCATTGCTGACGACCCTCAATACGAAAAGACTGCGTACTGGCATCATCGGCTTGGAGCTATACTCAGAGAGGCGTCATACTTTGAAGCTGCGATTGAAGAGTTCGATATTTCCTTTCAAATGTATGACGGTGATTGGATACTTCATTGGAACATGTCTCGGGCCTATGAGTCGCTCGAGGATTATTCGTCCGCCCTTTCCTGGGCCGAGAAAGCTCTCACCATAGTGCCTACGAAGGAGAAGAGCATCATATTGCAAGACATTTCAAGATGGAGGCTAAATTTAGATGATGTGGAAGAGGCAATTGAGGCAGCGCACGCTGCATGGTCTTTAGCACCAGAAAACCCCCGTATGGGAGGAAGCTACCTCTATGCATTAAATGCAGGATTCAAATATAAGGAGATAATGGACGTTGCAACTTATCTTTCGGTGACTACCTCGCAAGAGAGCCAGGAGAATCAGCTTTCGCTGCTGTTGCTCAATACGTTCAGCTTTCATGAATTTATTGGCAATGCAGCTCGGGAGATGGGCGATTTAAACTTTGCTGAGAAAGCAATAGAAAATGCTATCACTGCTGCAGAACGCAGGAAAGACTTAGAGGAGCTCGCAACCCAAAGATGCGAACTTGCCATATTCTTGGATCGCCATGCTTTTCGGACATCTAAAGCCATCGTGACGTTTGAACTGGTCTTGGAAAGTATTGCCTCGCGTAAGAGTGTCAACAGCTTTGAGGACCAGAGACACACCGCAGTGAAGTATCTCGCTCAATTGTATTATAACGAAGCCGTTGCGACCCGAAGCCAAGATAAGCCTTCTGAACATTGGATATCGAAACTGCAAGGACTAGCCAAGTCGGGCGTTGCACCCGATGGCGAGGATGTCTATTCGACAAGAATAGCTTCGACAATGCTTGGTCTGTGGTACCGCAACCACGGCAAAGAAAGCGAGGCAAAGGCATGTCTGCGTCCTCGATTCCTCGAGGGTATCGACATGCTCACAGATGATGACCCCGCAAATGACCAGTTTGGGTACGATGTGCTTTCTGAAATACTTTTGAAGGCGGGAGATCGTGAGAACGCTGGCGCTGCCCTTGCCGTTACTACTGCGCCTCTAGACAAACTAAAGTCAATTCGATCCACCAAGGAGAAGGCTGCAGGTCAAAGCCTGAATAGCAACGCAGGCGAAGAAGACTCGACTCCCGCACTGCCAGCTGAGGAGTCAAAACCAAACACGACTCCAGCAGACACCTCCTCACCATCACCTCCTACCACTAAACGCTCTCTTCCATCTGCTCAAAAGCCACTCTTCATCTACGAATGCGACGGCAACTGCAAACGTAAGGTCGAAGACTGGACCGCTTTCTACGTCTGCGAGATCTGCATCGACACAGCGTTCTGCGACCAATGCATCGAGCTCGTGAAGACCGCAAGACTGCCTTTCAAAAAATGTCACGCAAATCACATTTTTTACCAAGCGTACCCCTTAGAGGAGAAGGCGGACGAGATCGCTTCGGTCGTGGTGGATGGGAAGGTTCTGCCGAGGAAGGAATGGTTGGAGGGGTTGAGGAGGGAGTGGGTGGCTTGATGAGTAGTAAGGAGGTAGTATGAGGGTGAGGGTGAAGAATGAGAAGAGGTTGCTAGAGGGATGTGCTGATGATGCTTCGTTGCTGGGGCGAACAGGGAAGAGATGGAAATTTGCGTGAATACGACACTCCACTTAATAATGTTAGCGGATGAGGAGATCATAGCTTCGAGCACGTAGACGATCGCAATTGAACAGTTGATAACACAGAGCGTCGAGCGTCGAGCGTCGAGCATCAAACAAATGGGCGGATGAATCCACAATTAGCATATCTCAATTGAGGCATAATGGCCAATAATCCATACCAGCTATGAACTGGACAACGACCTCGAAATGGCTAGGAAGATCTAGAATCACTCCACTTTGCTGAAGGCGACGAAGACGACTTCATGGCATGTACACGGTAACAGAGGGTATATCTCGTGCTTCAAGATATTATCCATGATAAGGTGGGGTGCATCTATGCCTGCTGTGAATAGCTAGTCATATAGCAATTAAACATACAATTTCAGACATACCAAAAATCACAGTGCAACCAAAGTACGTACATCTATCTGTATGAATAACATCCCAGGCGATGACATTAGCTTCAAGCTATTGGATGGCTTAGTGGACAATTATCTGCGCCCTCACTCTTTGCAAATAGACGGAGTAGGATTTCAATTCAATGGTCTAGCTACTCGGTAGAGATCCTCGTGTCTGAAGTCTTCGTCGTGCTCGTTATTTACGTACTGGAATATCGCATTTCTCGTACGCTAAAAACTGATCAATGATGCTTCAACCCATCCAGCCACGTTACCAGCCGCTTTTTGATAATAACCTGCCCATTGTTACGATTAGCACATGTTCCCCACCGCAAGCCTAAATCAAAAATGAATGGAAGAAGGGGCACTCACACCAACCAACTTCCCCGTCCCCTCCTCAACGACGCACAGATGCCTCAGCCCCAGCTTCCCAAACATCTCCACGCAATACTCCATCGGCGCCTTCGCACAGACAGTCAAGGGTGTCCGATCCACGAAGCTAGATAGATCGAATCCGTCCGCGTCATCCAGCGGCAGCCCTGCACCATCAATCTCATCGTCTACCTCTCCTATCCGCCGTCCATCACCCACGCCACTCTCACCCACTCCGCTCCCCAACACTCTCACTTCAACATCGCTGCCCCAAAACTCCCCCAACTTCTCCAGCCCGAACTCCAGCTCCGTTTCCGCAAGATAGCCCTGCAACATGCCCTCCTGCACCAACACGAGCCCCGCATCCATCAACCCCCTCTCCTTCAATTTCCGCAACTTATCCTCCAAGATCCCCCTGCGCACTTTATTATTCCTTGGCACATGCACAGTGATATCCCTCATAGTCCCCTCTGGCGGGATGAGCTCCTCGACCAAAACCCCCGCTTGCTTCACCAAACCCATCGCATGATCGAGATCCAAAAACGGATGCCCAAGCACCGTCTGCGCGAGGTCATACACGCCCTCGGGCTCCAGCGCGTCAGCGACCCATTTCGCGACCAGGATGGCGATCATGTGCGGGACGATATATTCGAGTTCGCCCGTGAGTTCGAACATGATGACGCAGAGGGAGATAGTCATGCGGGAGACGCCGGCGAGAAACGCGGCCGCGCCGACCATGGCGAAGATGCCGGGGGAGATGCCGGAGCCGAGGAAGAATTGGCCGATGAGGCGGCCGAAGAAAGCGCCGGCGTCCAAAGCTGGGATTATGATGCCAGAGGGGACTTTGCAGCCGAAGGTGATAGTGGTGAGGAAGAGTTTGGCGAGGGTCCCGTAGATGAGGAAGGCGATGTATTTGGTGTAGTCTGGGTTAGTGTGGGGGAGGGATTCGTGGGTGCAGAGCCAGGATTCTGAGGTGGAGGGGGAGGAGTGGCAGTCTTGGAGGAGGTTTTTGATGATTTTGTCGCCGGGCTCGCGGGTCATGGGATTGGGGAATTGGAGTAGTCCCGTGGCGAGGGTGACGAGGAAGACTTCGAAGACGGGGTGGGATTTTATGAGGGGAAGTTGTCGGAAGGTGCGGGACCAGAGGAAGTTGCATTTGCAGAATATGCCGCCCCAGAGCCCGCCGGCTATGCCGAGCAGGACGAAGATAAGGTAGTGCCCTGGCGAGTATGAAGTCCCGTAGTTTGTCTCGAAGAGCACGAGTTTGCCTGTCCCGGTGGGGTTGAGAACGCGGAGGATCATGGCTGCACAGAGGGAGCAGAGGAATGCTCGCCAGAGGACTGGGCGGGGAAAGTAGGTACTGATTTCCTCGTAGCTGAACAGGACACCGCCAATGGGGGCGCCGAAGGCGACTGAGAGCCCGGATGCGCAGCCAGCGCTGAGGAGTTCGCGCATCTTCCGGCTGTTCTCGCGGTATTTGGGGATGCGTTTACCGACTAGGTAGGCGACGCAGGTTGAGATGTGCACGAAGGGGCCTTCTTTGCCGAGACACATGCCTGTGGCTACTGCGAAGACGGCGCCTACGGCTTTGATGATCAGGACTTTCAGGTCGAGGATGTGCGGTATCACGAAGCCGGAAAGAATAGTCTTGATCTCCGGGATTCCACTGCCGGCGGCCAAGTAGATGCTTTTTCCTCCACCTCCTTCATGGCCGCTCTTCTCTCCGCTGTCCCCGTGGCCTGGAGCCGTGATGGCCATAGTTGATTTCGTCAACATCGTAACACCGGAGCTGATGACACCGAACAAGAGCGCCCAGCCGACATATATACCAAATCGACGGTACCAGTCGTTCGTCCAAAAGACCCACTCCTCGCAGCCCGCGCCTAGGTTAGCTATTCCACGCGTCTTGAGTTCACTTTGAGGGCTGTGTCTACTGTAGACCAACCCAGGTAAAGGTGAATTATCCGTACAGCAGGTCTCTCTGTTCGCAAACACATTCGTAGAGCAGTATCCCACCTTCCAATCACTGACCGTTGCCTCTGCTATATCAACCAAGAATGCCACACAAGCCGTCAAGCAGCCGATCAGCGCAGCGGCAAACCAACCAGAGGAGTGCTCGAACGCAGAATAGATCCGGTATCGAAGACCTGGCCGGTTGTGAACTGCTCGGTGACGATAGGATGATTTGACCTACGAATTGCAAGAGTAGTTAGCGAATTGGATCCACACAGCAGATCAAATGACAGAGCAAATGTATCAACTCCGTCAATCCCTCTTCCATAAGAGGTCCTTTCCCTACAGCCAAATTCATCTGTCCTCATGCCCCTACCCTTCCTGCTCTCGCTTCTCTATTTTCACTCCTAACCACCCTCATACCCACTATTTCACTTTCCCAATCTTGCCACTAGCATCTTCTTACACATCATCTTCGTCTCACACGTCTCTTCCCATAATCAATTGCCATTCCTCTCCACTTCCCTTCCTGCCCACACACCTCCCTTGTGTCCCATTCATCCCCTCTCCACTTCCCCTCCTCCATTGCCCGACATCACGTATCCCCCTCCCCCTCCCCCTCATTCCTCAAAGAGAAAAAAAAAACACAAAAACCCACCAAATCATGCAACCAATCAATAGTCCCATAATCATTATACGGCAACCTCTCCCCCACCGTCGCGTTCCCCAGCGCCTGCTCATCTTTGCTCACATAACTATCCATCATCGAGCTTGTATCATCTTCCTGCTGCAACTGCTGCACAGTGGATAGTTTGCGATTGTGATAGGGTGGGTTTGGGCTGGAGGCATGCTGGTTGTGATTATGCTGGTGGGGGTGGGGAGGAAGCAATCTGCTCCTCTCACTCGGATTCGGATTGGGGTTGAGGGCAGCGTGTTGGTCTGAGTCGAAGGGCGCCATAGTCAATTGATGGAGGGGAGGCAGGCATTGAAGCCCCAGACTCGCGGGATGGCAAGTGGAGGGTCAATGGCTGTGGATAGAGGACGAGGGAGCTTGAGGAGTGGTTATGAGGGGTGGCGTTCGAGGAATGGAGGAGTCTGGCCTGGAGGTGTTTATCGAATTGTCTCAGCGGATTTAGAAAATCCATGCTGAGCTTAATCGAGCCAGGCTAGACGTCTAGATCGATTGTATAGGTTGGTCGGATAATTGATAGAGCTAAGGCATATTAGATAGTGGGGAGATAAGAATGCAGCGGAGATACTTTTCACGTGGGTGCGGGGGCGGTTGATAACGGGAGTCTAGCTTCTTCGGGCTAGCGACATATCTGCCTTGATGATTGAATATCTAGGGTGGAGCTGTATGGACGTGGGAACATGGAGGGTGATGATATTGTATAGAATATGTTCCTAGTACGAATAGTCTAAGTAGTCATTACACTCTATAACTGAGAGCATCGGCTTCAGTAACTAAGGGACAACGCCTTTGCTGAACGCCTTTCAATCCCCTTTCATAATCCGGACACCGACGCTGGAACGCTCAAGAGAATCCGAAAAATAAGAAAATGCAGTCTTTCTGATGTGTTATGTTTCCATGCTCCATCTCTGTTTCAACGGCAGGGCTATGTTCGGGATGGGTAGACTCCATCTATCTGATGGATCGAGTTCAGGCTGCCAGTTCTCGACTTGCAGAATGTCCTCCTGATCGTGCTTCTCACGTGGGCTGAGTGGCAGGCCAATGGATCTAGCAATTTCTAGAGATGGTCCTATGCCATGGCTCCCTTGGCTATTGACGAGCGGTGAGTTCGGCATGAGGGCCTGGAGCGTGCGTAGGGAGGAGTCGCTCGCAGTGGATAGAAGGGCAGGTCGAGGTCGGGGTATAAGGCTTGTGCCGTCCCTGGAGGCCGATGGTATGCTTGGTAGTTGCGGACGAGCGGCTGCGTTAGGAGCGAGAAAATGATCTGGTGGGTATGCTGGAAAGTAAGAAGCATTACCATTCAGCTGTGACATTTCAAGGGAGTCTATCGATGCTTTGTCCCGTGATAAGTCTCTATCGTGGTTTTGTCCAGCCTTGGATGTAGATGCTGATGTGAAGGAGAGGGTGCTGCGGCTCGTGTTGATTCTGCTCATCGAATTGGAAGCCATTGTGGGATGTAAATGACCGTCCTTCGCCATTTTCTCTTCCATAATCTTCTCTCCAATCCTACGACCAAGATTTTCACCACCCCGTCGCGAACTGGCTCTGCTCCCAACGCTGCTCCCATGACTCGTACCGCTTCCACTTCTGCTTCTGTTCTCTCTTTCTTTGCCCGCCATTACTTTGGCTTTCGGAGGCGGTTGCAACATCCATTGGATTTCTGCTTTCGACGTAGGTTGTGTACTCACCACTGGAGGATGAAGTTCATTGACCTCAGGGTTACGTGCGCAGTAATATGTCCCACTGCCTCTGGCAGAGCTTGAAACACGTGAGAAGCTGTTGGAGGATGCCAAATCCTCATCCATTCTGCCCCACAATAACTCGTCTTCTCGCTGATATCGCCTGCGATTCCATCCTTCTTCGCTGGAACGGCTGATGTCTTGAGAAGTTGCTGCCTCATCGCCTGGTCCCACACTCGTGACACCAGTAGCGGTACTACTATCTCCTGCAGACTCTATATCTCTGGCTCCAGGCGGTTTCAGCTTCAACAAACGTCGCTTTTTCTTTTCGGCTTTTGTCATCCGGTTTGGTGGGGGCCCGGGCCCCACACGAATCTCCTCATTCCAACCGGGGTTCCGCTCTGAAGGCAGAGGATGTTGGAATATCCCTAGCTTTTCATTCTCTTTCCTCTCCTCTCTAGCTCCTTTAGCCTCTGTTTTCTTTTTGCGTCGTTCAGCGTATTTGGTGTACGGCGCGCACGAGACGTAGTAAAACAAGGCCGATTGGGTGCCCCTCCAGAACCAAGCCTCAGTGAGAAACGTCATTGGTCTTGGTGGAGTGCAGGCTGGAGGTGAGGAATGATGTACTTTGCTGTAGAACCAAAAGGCACGCCGATTTGTCAATTTTCATGGGTCAGCTGAATTGTCGTTTAGGATATTGAAGTCTTTGGTATGGGAACAGGCTATCACTGCTGATCTTGGTCTTTTTAAATGATCATTGTACAGCAACGGCTTCCGAAGCCTCAACATGGTACAGACCAAAGGCTCAATGGCTGGCAGGGCGTCCAAAAAGCGGATATTTTGGATTCTAGAGGCGGTTGGGGCTGGCAGATCTCGCCCGCCGCTCGCCGCTCGTGTCAATATTTAGGACTGGTACAGAGTCGGTTGTCAAGTCTGTACGTCGAATATGATGATGAACTGACTGGCACTGCCAGGTGATGGTCGGAATCGCGGTTGTTGGGTGCAGGAATGCGCCAATAATGTCAATGGCAAGGTTGCATCGGAGCGATCGAGATGACGCTGCCAGCTTCATTAGGGTCCGCCCCTAGCTTTAAAAGTCAATGCACGGTCCTGCAATTCCCTTTCGAGAAGCTCGAGAAGATAGTCTACAGTTCACAAGCTTGCTACATGTACCTATGGTACATTTCCATGTAAGAACATGAGAACGCCGAGCCCGGAAGCCAAGCTCGGCGTATGACACGAAGTTGGCTTACAGGCAATTCGCGACTTGAAACAAGGAAGGAGCTTGCTTCGTAGGCGCTCGATTAATGTGAGATGCGGTTGGGACCGCTCCTCTTTCACACAATTATGGCATTCTGGTGTTGGAATTCGATGGGTTTCACTCTCAAACACTGGTAGCAGTAGTGTTGGGACTCGAAAATGCAACAATGTTGTTCCACTGCATACATATAAATTATTTGTCTCGACCAGAAGACTGGCAGAGCTTCTCTAATTACACTGCACCGTATGCAAACCATGTCCATTACTATGCCATGTAAACTTTTCCCCTTCAATGTTGTGGACTCCCGATGAAGAAGTATCCTCTTCAATATCCCTGCCAAATGACGCCATTCAATCGCATGAAAATGCTATTGACATAGAATTGTAGATCCCCATATTCACAAGAAAGCGGCGAACAACAGACCAGCGAATCCAAGGCCGGCAGCAGGTTGAACGACACCGGCAGCACCAGATGATGAGCTGGAGGAGCTGGAGCTAGAAGAGCTGCCAGAGCTGCTCTCGGATGAGGTTGGGGTGCCTTCATCGGACGTTGATGATGTGTCAGTGGATGCAGATGAGGCGGAAGGCTTGAGAGAGCTTGCGGAGAAGGTGCCGTTGGAGCCAGAGCTGGGAGAGCCGGTGCCAATAGCTCCTCCAGTGCCAACCGCGGTTCCAACAACAGCTGTAGCAAAGGTGCTTGGCGTCCCAGCTGGAGAAGTCGCGGCAGCTGGTTGAGAGGTGACGACAGTAGGTTGCGTCGTAACGACAGCCAGATTAGGGGCTGGTTGAGAGGTCACCACATTGAGATCGGGTGCAGCTATGCGACCATGTGAGTAAAAGTTCATTTCCAAAGATGTCTTGAGGTTTTGTCATACGCTGGCCAGTAACCACACCCAGAGAGTTTGTCAAGGAGGTAAAGTCACTGGCGTCCTGCAACAGTCGCTGTTAGCAATGAACCTCAAGCAGAACTGAACGTAAACAAGTTGTAGAGAAGCCCCACAGAGCGGGCAACAATTAACGTAGCCCTCGTCGTAAGAGACTACAGAAAGCTTGACGAGAGACGGTGCTTACACTCTGAGCTGAAGCGACGGCGGCGAAAGCGGCGGTCGCGAAGACGATTGAGTAACGCATGCTGGTAAAGGCGTGTTGATGTGGAGCTTGAGAGAAAATTAGGAGTCGATAGGTTGGATTATTAAAGTGATATTTGTGAATGGGTGAAAGCACAAGCGAGTGTGATGAAGGTCAAGAAGTGAACGTTTGTAGAGAGTAGTAGTGAATGAGGTAGGACAGAAAGTGGAACAGGAGGCAGAAAAGAAGTTCCCAAAATTGAACGCGAATACCGCTAGTCCCGAAATGGATCAATACGAGCTACCCCGGTATTGGCGCGTGATGATTCGACGAGAGGGCGTCCCTCCCGAAATGAAACGCTTGGGATTGTCGCCCGCTGCATCCTTTGGGCCTGGGAGCTGCATCAACCAGACACATTCGGACCTCTTCGCTGTTCCCGATCATCTCGAGACGTAGATGAAACTTGGCCTTACGAGTGCGGACAGATGTCATCTATTATTCAGAAGTTGTGATAGCTCCAGAAGGTGTCTATATGGGGAAACCTGACGATGAGGCCGCAGTCAACGTCCTGGGTACACAGCATGGGCTGATCATAGCCTGACCCAATTCTAGCTCACGAAAATCTGCTGCATCAATGCGCTGCGGATCTTCGGAGCTATTCGTTGATCCAGATCTCAGCTCATGCTGCAAGGCTGCCCCTAATAATAATGCGACGTTTTCAGTAATGCAGCTCGTTCTTCCCAATAATGCCAACCAAGTCTCCTCAGGAGCCTGATGACCTGGTATACGGCAAGGGCACTGAACAGACCGAGCACAAGTGCGGCGGAAAAGAGTGTGAGTCTGATGGACTGGCCATCAGGAATGACGTGTTTTATTCCTTCTTTTGCCCATCTTAGATGCTTCTGCCGTACTAGTAAGAGTCAGGAATATCTTGAAGGACCTCATTTTCGCCGGATTACCTTGAGTCTCAGTATTCGGAATTAATTGACAGACCACAGGATGGCACTCAGACTCGCGAGTCTGAAGTCTATGGCTACTATCTCGTGCTTTGACTGCCGAAGGTGCTTCAAACTATGCAAAAGTGCTCAAACAAATGCTATCTGTAGCCCCGTTCTCCTATGTGAGACCATACCGAGATGCCCGACAGAAGCTTTGACATCGGTAGTGGCACGGCACGTGGACTACGCTTCGGTCAATATTTCAAGCACTACGGTGTTATTAAGGATGACTGCCATAAGATCCAATACTCATCCTGCGCATTGTTTCAATATTCGGATGCTTCATAGCTTTTCAATGATGGAAATGAGACTGTCTGTACTTCTCTACCTTCCGTCCGCACCCGAATCCTTATGGAGAGCAAGCTTTGTGGCTACCGTACCTGCCCTTTTTGAATCACAACGACCCTGAGCTTTCCGCAACCCGCCACAAGCGAATGTATTTAAAGCTGGATTTTCGTTGCAAGAATCCTCCTCCTTACCAAATACAACATACTTTCATAGAAGAGAAGCCACGCTCGACTGCAGAATCATTGCAATCTCACCTTCTTTTCATCTCTGAAGACTTAAAACAGGCGTCATGGCCGCTGCAAAGGATATCACCGGTCAGATGATGAAGGTCCGCACTCTTCGTTCAATCGTCCCTTTTAACGCAGTGAGGCTCGCTCGACCCAAATGCCATACCATGAATCTAAATGCTACCTTTCGAACATCCGCAAAGACATCAGCGCGGTACAAATACTTACGCTGTAGACGTTTTCAGATATATGCTAATAGACCAAATAGGAAGAACTGGTTCGACGAGATAATGCATGGCAAACCCCAGCCTGAAAAAGAAAGCCCTTATTTTGGTCTCTCCTCTGCTATCCAAATTGCTCTACAACCGTTGCCTAATATTTTCCTAGGGATCATTGACGCCCTTATATTTGGAGTCGCAGGGGGCCTTTTCACCATCTTCATTCGTCATTTCACTCCTGTTAGTCGGCTTTTCACGGCCTTCGAACAAAACCATCCCATCGACTATGGTTGCAAGACTGAGACTGGTAATAATAAGACCCTCAGCACTCCAGCTGGCGCTACCACAAAGCATGACATTGACCCAGAAACCTATTGCGAAGAGATGACCCTGGAGGAAGAGATCAAACACTGCAAAATCAGAATGAAAGGATACGATGCACGCACAGACGAGGAGCAGAAGTGGCTCAACGATTATTACGCAAAATCTGTCAGGATCTCGTGCAGAGAGGATATCAAAAGACTGCGGGCCAAGTACGGACGAGAGAAAGCTCGCTGAAGTACGTACATAGACATTATTTTTACTTCACTGTATAGATAGAAATACTGAGTTGACCATCACCACGATGAAAATTGCCCGCTTTTCAACAATACATCTCACCCACGCGCCCTCGTCAAGCAGCATCGCCATCCAATCCGAGAGGGTCACGTGGTGTTGTAGACTTGTAACCTTGCCTGCTTGCCTCGCCCCTGCACAGTCTTCTCCTCCTCTCACCATACGTCTTTAGATCAGCAGCCGCCCAAATTATATTCATAACTACCTCTCGGCGCCGCGATCAAGAGCTCGCTCCCTATTGAAATCTTGTGTATACCACTTTGCCTCTGTGTTTGACCGCAAGATCATACATCTACTACTATTAAACGCGATGCACTGTCATTTCAAGTTTGACGCTCATATGATGGTTTTCGAATGTCAAAAATGGATAAACATAGCTTAGCTTTTCAGGTGAATTTGTGCAGATGAAAATGGGCTTCGCTTTGTCCTAAAGACGAAGAGCATCACCGGCCTTTGCCAAGCCTTCCCTATGTCACACGGACCCCAAGTTTGATGGAACGCTGCAGCCTTGCACGAGCTTGCTCTTCAACGCTGTCGCATGTTATCGCAGACCTCTCATTGGTCAATTACATCTAGGAGTAATCTAACCCACAACTCTGTATCCCGCCCTCTGGCAATCGTTTCGACGCTGTATATAGCTCAAAGTTCTCGCCATGTCGACGTCCTTCGTTCGAATCAGTCGAGGGCCAGCGTCTCGTTGTTGTGCCGATGCCATCTGCTCCTCTCCCCGTGTTAAGCGTTGCGTTCTACCTGTACACATGCCTCGCGACTTCAGCAGGTGAAGACTTGTTCGGGTTTGGGCAGTCGAGCGCGAAGGTCCTGTTACGGCGCGCAAGAGGAGGAGGTGGAGGGTTTGGCTCTTATTACAAGTCATGCCAGGAAAGCTACGGCTCCGGCTTCGCTGAGTGCTATGGGACGTGCTTCAACGCGGGCGCAGGAGAGAAATGCTGTGCAGGCAATTGTACGCATTTTAGCTACAGGGCCAGGTGAAGAACCCTCTGGCTGACGTACCATCAGATAGCTGCCCCAATGGTCAATACTGTGGCTTTGGCTCATACTCTTATTGTTGTTACGACGTGAGCTCTCCCTATTCCTACCACACAAGCCAACCTTCCCCCCTTACGCAATAGACTACAAGCGCTCATCTCTTTCGGAAAAATCTAGTACAAAACGCCGGCTGAGTGCGCAGGCCAATACGCCATAGCTCAACCTCCACCAAACTGGAAACCCGGCGACGGTAACGCGCCCGCCAGCGTGACCAATCCTCCAGCTGCTGCCGACACCCCAACCGCCACTCCCACGGATGACAACAGCGCAAACCAGCCAACGGCGGCTGGCCCCAACGCGAACGCTCCGTCCTCAAGTGCAGGCAACATAAACACCCTTACTACTACAAGCTCCCCTACTTCGACTTCGGCAACGGACTTCTCCTTCACGCGTCAAACGCTTTCCACGAGTGATGGCAGTAGCGGAGAACCTACAACGGGATTTGGAGGCGTGAGCAATGCAACGGAGCTGGGAGGTGATAATACAGCATCTACGGCTGCCACCGCGAGCCAGACGGACGGTCAGTTGACTACTCCGTCTTCGGGGTCTGGGGACGCCCCCACTGGTGGGGCTGATAGGGTGGGTCAAAGAGGAGTTGTTGGGGGAGCCGTCCTTGCCGTCTTGATAGCGGTGGTAGGCGGCTTGGGTATGGCTGCTGGCAAACTATGATGACCCACGGTGTAGAGAGAGATGCTACGGGTCTGTAAATGGCTCTACACATATGTATTGTATCGATGGGTACTTTAGAACTTAACGTTCGGTATGAAGCTTCCCAGACACAGGAGCGTATATTATGCGTTTGTTTGCTAGATGGGCAGTTCTCATATTCGGTCACCAAGAACTATTTGAAGGCAATGAGCGAACTACCTTTGAGGCTGGATGACTCTTGGCATCAATACGGCAGGCGATAAATCAGATGTAGCTTTAACTCTTTTGACGCGCTCCTCGCTCCGCGACGTCGAAGTCAAAGAGCCTAGGATTGCGCCGACTCCAGTAGCTACCCTAGACTTGATCGTTATCATTCACTGAGCCCTGTTGAGTGCTTTAAGGCCATCTTCTACCTATGTTGCGAGTTTGGAATCATCAAGTGCCGTGGTTGAGACTCTAGCCAGCTGGCAGCTTTTAAAAGCCATCAATTTCGCTCCCCCAAATACCATGCACGATTAGGGCAAGACGATCGCCGCGACTATGACGCCCAACCAACCGCAAGCTTTCATTTCTAGCTACGCACCTCGTCTGAGGCAGTATGGTAACTCTCTTCTCACGCCCGTCATCCCACAGACCATCCCCACAGTACCTAGCGCACGGACAACGAAGAGAGGCACGATAGCAAAGAATTATGCGGAAGATGAATATGACGATGACGATATATTTGAGGACGGAGAGACCTCAAGGCGGCATACCGGACTGCGAAGTAGAAGAGAGGACCCAGGCCATGGAAAAGAAGCAATTGCAGATAAAATTGGGAAGGAGATACATGAGCCAGTCGAAGTGCAAGGCATATGGAGAGATTGGATGGGGAAGTTGAGAATCGTCAGGTATGGCCTTCACTCTTCTCTACATACTATGGGCATGGAATGCTGATGGGAATGCTCTGCAGAACCGACAAACAACATCACGCACAGACCAACCTCCCTCTCACTTTGATACCTATCAGGCTCGACATTGACATCCCTTCCTACATACCTCAGCCTGCTCTTCCACTCCCTCCCAACGCTCACGAACTCGGTATCAACGCTGCCTTACCACAATACAGAGTCCCTGAAGCAACTCCAGCCTACCGACTAAAAGACATCTTCCTTTGGAATCTGCACGAGACCCTCATAACACCCGACCAATTCGCCAACATCCTCATCCACGACCTAGACCTTCCAGCCAGCCCGAAAATAGTAACAGACATAAGCTCTCAAATACGCTCCCAACTAGAAGAATACGCCGGCGTGGCTCTCCACCCCCTCTTCCACACCACTAAATCCACCACGACCACCAACGGCAACATTCCCAAAGCCTCCCAGCCATCCTCCACACTCCCCCAACCTTCCACCCCATCCCCAGCTCCACAGCACACCAACGGTATAAACGGCCACTCAACACCCAAGCCCGACATTACCGCCCACGCGCGCGCCCCTCCCCCTCAACCCCAACCGCGGCCGCAGTCACAACCCCCCATAAACAACGAACTCGACCCCGACGACATGTACCGCTGCATCGTCACCCTAAACATAAACCTCCAAAACAAACTCTACACCGACAAATTCGAATGGTCGCTCCTCCACCCTGTCGGTCTCGCCGAGCGCTTCGCGCGACACACCTGCGCCGATCTCGGGTTGGCAGGGGAATGGGTGCCCGCCATGGCGCACGCGATCTACGAAGCCGTTCTGCGGTTGAAAAAAGAAGCTTGTGAGACGGGCGGCATGCTATACGGTGGTGGAATCGGCGGGGTGGAGTTAGAGAACATGGCCGTCGACTTGAGGGGCGAAGGCGCGGGGGCCGGGTGGCGGTACGATCCAGAGAATCTGTGTGAGGAGTGGGAACCGAGCTTGGAGACGTTGAGTAAGGAGGAGATTGAGAAGAGGGAGGGGGATAGGGAAAGGCAGTTGAGACGGCTGAGGAGGGAGACCGCGAGGTTTAGTAGTACGAGTCAGATGGTGGGGAGTGAGACTGCGGGAGGATATGGGAATGGTGGAGGCGGTGGCGGTGCTGGTGGAGGAGCGGGAGCGGGAGCAGAGGAAGAAACGCAGCTAGGTCGTGGGGAGAGGAGTAAGAAGAAACGACGCTTTAGGAGCTTGAGCCCTGTGGGCAGGGCGACGCCTGAGGTGGTGGGCAATGCTGGGTATGGAGGCGGAGGGGTGGGGTTGCTGAATGAGTGGTTCGTTTTCTATCCTCCCATCGTCTGTTGGCTTCACTATGAGAGGGTGAATGGGTACTGATTTCTACTGCGTGTGTGCAGGGAACGACATTCATGGCGCTGCTCGCACTGTCTAGTCTTCGGCTCTGCAGTCTGGGGCGTTAGAGATGGCCCTGTTGGTCCTAGAGTGAGTCTCATCCCCTTTCCCCCTTTCCTCCCCCTTCCTTATCCCCCGTTTCCCCCCCTTTCGTCGTCACGTGGAATTCCTAACTCTCGGTAGACACTATGCAGCAACTGCGGCCTCGTCTACGAACGCGACAAACGCCTCCCCGCCGCGGCGAGGAATCTCCATATTAACGATGTTGCGATTGCGCGGTGATATAACCCCCCAAACCCAGATAAAGGAAGGTTTTTTTGAGTGAGAATTGTAGGGTAGGATATTGGCATTGATAGTTAAATCCTTCTAGCTACTTAATGCAAGAATTTTTGACCTGATTTCCTCTCCGTGTGTCGATATGATAAAATTCATGCGTGGGGTGTCTCTTTATTTTTCAGTCGCTTTATTTCAAATTGCGGTGGATTGGGAGTAAGGGCAGTCAGTCAGTCGTGGGACTGGCTTGTCGAGAGGATCTTGACGAGGCCCTGATGACACGCGCCGCGCATCGAAACATCGAGCCTCAAGGGTTGGAGGACTGCTGTATGCTTCACATTTTCATTCCATCCCGACGATTAAAAATGACTGCTATACTACTTAATGTGCTAAGCGCAGCGAATATAAAACTCCTGTCCCCAATGCTCGGATATCACAACAATCGCATAGTAACGTCTTATCCACGAGTCCGCGACCTCCCCTCCCCTCCCCTCCCCTCCCCTCTCCTCCCCTCGGGGGACTCAGAAAATCTTCCCTCGGCCGCATCATTCCCTCCATTACCATGTTGTCAATAAACGCGTTGTATGCCCTCCTCCCTCTCCCTCCCCCTCTCCCTCCCCTTCACCCTCTTCTCTCCTCCTCCTCCTCCTCCTCCTCCTCCTCCTCCTCCTCTCCCCTTCCGTTTTCACCTCCACATCACACTTCTCATTAGACTGGCGTTCGCGTTTCGGCAATTTCCTTCCTTTCTCCCCCTCCCCCTCCCGATCTGAAAGACCATCAGACTTCCGCTTCCGCTCAAAAATCACCATGGCAGCTCTCCACACCGCCTCCTCGAACGCGCGGTTGAGATCGTCACGAAGACTTGTGTTCGGATTCGTCGGGTTCTGACTTGGGGAGGGAGTGGTGGAGGGCAGGGTGGATATTTTCTTCAAGATCGCGTAAGCTTCGCCTGCGCCATTGTCGCTGGGACCGACTGTAGCGCCGGTGTTCAAGAAAGGCGCAGGGTTGGGGAAGGGGGAGTGGGAGGGGGTGGACCAACCCTCTTTTTGCTCCCCCTTCTCTTCACTACTTGCATGTGCTGGAGAATGTTGGTGTTGATGCAGTTGCTCGGGTTTCTCTGCCTCGGATGGTCCGCTTGTTGGCGAGGGGAATCTTCGGTTGCTGAACGCGATCGTGTTTCGGGACCCGGCGATGGAGATGCCGGCGTTGATGCTGAGGTTGAGATTCGGTTGCTTATTCGCACCCGCTTTGCCCTTGCCTGCGCCTGCTCCCGTCCCACTCTGACTACTATCCCCTGCGTTCGTAGCGCTTGGGTTGGCCGCGTCACCACCGGGAGTCTGGTCGGCGACAGGACCGTAGATCGGTTCGACGGCTTTGAGGACTTTCTCGATGTCTTCGGTGCGGGCGGAGGGGGATGGGAGGGTGATGTTATTCAGGTGCCCCATTAATTTCGTGGAGGCGTCGATGTGGAGGGTTTTCGTCGTGGGCTGGCCTGGGGGGCTGGGGGAGGAGTGGATTGTTGTGTGGCCAGAACGGTGCTGGGGCTGTGCGTGGGACTGAGGGTGGACGTTGGGGTTCGGGGGCATGTTGGTATGATTGGTGTTGTTTGAAGAGGCGAGGAGATTGTGGAGGAGAGCTTGGGCTTGGGTGGCAGATAGCTTTGGTGGTATTGTGTTTGAAGGAGGGGTCATGGTCTGGGGAGTCGATTTTGAGATTGGTGACTCGCTTTGCGTTGGTTGTTCGGGAGAGTGAAGTATGTGAGAGAGAAGGGGTGTGCTGTGGAGTGATAGTCGTGGCGGCGATAATCAACCCAGAGCATGCGCTTTGCTTGACTTTGAGGGAGGGGGGAAAGGGAGAGGGAAGCGCGTAGAGACGGAGGTATAAGTGAAGGTGAATAACACAGAAGAGAAGTAGCGAAGGCAGGGTAGATATATAATTCAGAGAATAGGAGACATGCGACAGTCAGGGAGCCGCAGATATTGTCACCAGGAATAGGGTACGAACAGCAAAAGGCTAACTTACTCGTGCGAGAGAACTAGAGGAGACTTGCTGCAGATCCTCCCCACAATATGAGAGCTTGATATTGTGTGCGCGGTGGGTGCCCTATGATTAAATCATTACTCCGGTTAGCTCGAACAGGCAAAGCGCGACGACCCCATTGCAAGTCGCGTATTGCATCAACAAGTACCAAACGTAACTCATAAAGTCAAATGTTAGCTCACTCATCTTCGTGCGCTCGGCCTTTGCAATTGTCCATGACTGCTTATTGTGTATCTCATTAGACATCCTGATCACGCCAAGAGCAAGAGTTGGCCTTTTCTCCTATTGTTCGACGTTTTCGCTTTAGCGTCATCAGGGTCTGGGACCCCAACATCCCCCCGATCCCCTCGCTCTCTTTCGCTCTTAAGTCCACAGTCGACTCGTGCCATCGGCTCCTGCGCTCGCGCACCAGGGCTCTTTCGGGTGCCAATCAAGGTCCATAATGCCGAGGTCCTGCTTGACTGTGTGGCCCCTGAGCACCTTCAGGGGAACAATACTCGCATTCTCCATTGCGTCGTGTACAACTTTGCCGTGGAATATCTGAAGGCTACCGTCGTCACTTGCGTCAGCGAAGAGCGGGAGACCGCCTTGGTGAAACCTAACTGCCCGAATGGCTTTCTGGTGGTATCGCAATGTTTTGTACGGTCGCACAGACAGCTCGAGGTCATGCCAGAGTAATCGCTTGTCGTAGCTTCCAACAATCAGGTTATCACCACCGGGATGTACATCGAATGAAGAGATCCAGCGTGCACCCGGTTGGATGATTTTGACGAGCTCTTGTTTGGATAGATCGAAATGCCGTATCATTCTTTGTGTCGCGACAAAGAAGGCGGGCTTTGAGGGATGGAAATGAGCGGCCTGTGCGAGTCCTTTCAAATTGCGAAATGGAAATTGCGTTTGATGTTTTGACAATGTATGGATCGCAACAGCGTTACTTTGACCTTCAGGCGAAACTGTCGCAAAATATTGGCCTCGGCGGTGCCATGTGATGACTTTCACAGTTTTTCTAAGAGCAAACTTCACGAGTACTCCAGACTCTTCCAGCTGAGAACCAGGTCGAGCCCACTGCGGAATGTCTTTCTTGGGCTTGCTATCTCCGTTTGCTGCATAGCCCCAGCCAGCGTTAAGGAGCTCGCGACTTTGTTGGTTGACTTCTGGATTACTGATGGCTGGAACATTGCTCGGAGGCACAATCAGGTACACATCTTCACCGGCAGCTGCCGCAATAATCATAGCGTCTGTGCCTGGCCGCCATCGGACCACATTGACAGCTTCATCCTTGCTCAGCTTCACAGACCAGACCTCGTAGCCCGTCCTCAGCTCATATATCCTGACTGCACCATCGTCGCCTCCACTAGCAAGCCAGTATCCTGAAGGGCTGATAGAGAGACTTCGCACCCGGCCTTCATGACCTCCGAAGATGGTTGCGCACATCGTAGGAAATGGCCGGAGCTCTTCGGGGCTTGGCAATTTCGGTAGTAAAGATTCGGGGTCTATGTTCAGTTTGCTTCGCCTGATTCTAGGGGCGAGGTACAGATCCAGACATCGTTCAAACTTCTCCTTCAAGAAGCTATCGTAACCAGGCACTTTACGTAATGAGTCGTGGTTTGTAGGGAGAAAGTCCTTCTCTTTGTCCTCTTCATCCTGCTCATCCCACGCTTTCTTTTCCTCGTCATCAGGTAGATATTCGGGAGGGGGATGGTAGCTTTCTTCGTAACCCGGCGGCGGTAACTTTGGAGCCGGAACATTCATGGGGTGATCAGGCCTTGGCGCCTCGTTTGCCCATATATCATACCTTTTTACGTCTGTATCCTCTTCCTCATCCTGCGCAGGAGGCTTGTATGGCATGATCCTCCCTTCCCGTATCGCACGCACAATCTTCATCACGCGCTTGGCTTCGTGCTTTGAGGGGACGAATCTTCGCTTGGGCTCTGGCGCAGAGCTGAGAGGCATCTGCTCCGTCTTACTCGTGAAGTACTCGATCGTGGCTGGATAGGGGTCGTAGCCATCCTCTGGCACCTCGTTTGTTTGAATCCTCTTCAAAATGTCCAACTCTTCCTTGCTGAGCTCCAAAGGCTTCCCTGTTGCTGGATCTGTAAGACCAGTCCATCCTTTGGGTACCTCAATGCTGTCCAGCAACGCATCCAATGCCTCGCCCTTAGCTGGTCGACTTAGCCTCTTGCCATTGATATCGTAACCGATGTGGGGATATGCATCATAGAACGAGAGCGGAATGTTCCCAATCGTGTTGGTGGTCGCCGGTGCCTCTGAATCGTCTGAGTCGTAGACAGGGTCAATTTCAGGGTAAATGTAGCGAAGATTTCCGTTTGCATCCGTCTCAAGCTTGAAGTCTGCTCCGTGAGACCCGTTAGTGGTAGCCTCTTCGTCAGGACTCAATTCTCTGATCGTTTTATCGTCTGCCGCGTTTTGGTCCTCATCGGACGGTATTTCGTCACTCTCAAGGTCTCCATCTGATTCTTCTGATTCCCACTCATCTTTTTCGTCCTCTTCTCCAGCACTGCTCGACGTGGGATCCTCATCTTCTAGTCTCGTTCCATTATTGTGCGATTCAAGTTCGCTCGAGAACGTGGCCTCAAATTCGTCTGCGCTTCCGTCACTCAGCACGATCTCGTCAGCTTTGGGCGAATCCCGAGTAAATGCCTTTCTCTTCTTCCCCGATGCCTGAGGAGACATTGAGCTGTCAATTCTGTAGATGTCCGCGGCTTGAATTTCATCAGAAAACTTGTGAAAATAACACGGCAGACGAATGTGTCAATCCCGCAAAATTTAGTCTTGTCCGATAGTCTTGCGATATTTCCTTCAAGAAATGCACTTGAAAATTTCAGTTGATTGGGCCTATTTGGATTAAATTTACCATTCTGAAAGATAATCTTGCAGCGGTGAGCGTAATGTAGCTGGTGGAAATTTCTCGGTCATGTAAGGTAAAATCGCCCAAAACACCAATCAAAGCAGTGTGCTGCTATCCCAATACTAGATCTATCAATTCTATGGGCTGGTTATGCCAAGCTGACGAAAGGACCCAGCCAAGCGCTTTCCTATGTGCGACGCCACCACTCCAACCAATCCACATTACGTGGTAGAATTCTAGAGCGCCCGAGTTCGTTTCCCAACGAGACTTGCTCTCTCGAGCAATGCCAGGGACACCTTCCCTTGATCTGGCGTCGTCCAGTAAACCATTCATGTCTTCTCCAGTAGCAATCCAAACAAGTTCGACCTGCTGAGAATGGATGAAGTGCCTTGTGTCGTTCAATACTAGAATCCCAGCCCACTCGCTATGCTCAACATCGAGCATTCTCGTTCTTATACATGTAGCTTCGTTGGCATGTGTGACATATTCGTCTCCTGGGATTCTGAAAAAACTCCTCATAGTTCGACCGCAGAGTAAACCCCCTAAATTCAGCATCTGAGGAGATCCTCTCACCTCCAAAAATGGAATCGGGTATTTGTAACGTATGTCTGGGCAGCTTTGATGCACAAAATAATAATTAACGCCCTTACTAGGAGCTCCATCATAATTGACTCGGCGCCATCCAATGGGTAGAGGTGCGTCCCTATCAATCATACAGTTTCGATATTTGTGAGACGATTGTTCAATAGAAGTGTCTGCTTCTAGGCAGCCATAGGACCATTTGACACTAGAAGTGACATTGAAACCGAATCTACCCTCAGACAAGTGGTCAAACTGCAAGAGCCATTCTCTTGAATCAAGTGAACCACGCCAGCCGACCCATGACCAAGACGGCAGAGCAATGGCATCAGAGCTACTGAAACTGTCCTTTGATCTCCTGATCAGTGGATCACGAGGCTGCCAAAGTAAAGCGTGATTGAAAAACATCTGAGGGAGGCCCCAAATGAAGCCACCATGAAAGGAACGGCTCCATTTTGAAATAAGTCCCGAAATGGCTTGAAGTCCGTCTTCGTCGAAAGTCAGATTTCTTTCATTGTATTCGCATACTAGGTCGATATATTGCCGGATGTCTGGCCAATCCTGAAACTCAATGTTCCGGCCCCACCGTCCCATGGTAAATCGATTCGTTTCCGTTTTCATCGCGGTGTGATAAAGGGTAGGCATCTCTTCTAAGCCTGTTGCCTCATGCCACGTTGCACAGTTGCATTCCCAAAGGACGACCTTGTATTGAAACATTAATTTCCTACGTGCAAATACCAATTCTTGAAATGTCCAACCTCGAGAATACCAGACCGAAGAATAGGGCTGCATCGACTCGTAGAAGTCCTGACTCTGACTCCTATAAGTAAGGTTTCGAGAGACCTGCGTCACCTCACGGACACCTCTCAGACCGTGTTCAGCATCCCAACCATTAGCAGCAATTACAGTAACTGATGCCTGTGCGTAGATATTACCCATATTCTGGATCTGACTATGCTTGGAATCTTCATCGTCCTGCACGATGCACAAGCAGTCCACCCAGAGGTATTTGATCCCCAGACAAGACACAAATCCTATCGCATCCCGAATAGTCCGTGGTATCCAATCCGCATGGGCAAGAATGGCACCCTCTTCCAACAGATACATCAGATTCTCCTGGCTTAATTTCAGCATCTCAAGATTGCCCCAGACATAGCTCAAAGCTGCGTATTCGGCCCCATGATCCGCAGGGACGATGCAATTCTTTTGAACATCGATCAGCCAGCGAGGCCCGCTGGATTCACCAGATGTTGCACTACTGGCACACCGATCTCCATGTTCAGTATCGCAAACCCATTTCCAATTTCTGATCGTCTCCAAATCAATCCAATCTGGATCAATGCCTGGCGTTTTAGAATTCTGAGCATTTGAGTCACGGCTTGCCGAAGCTCGAAATTCATCAAGCTTTCCTTTCAGCTTCTGCATCGTCGGCGAAACCAATCCGATAGACTCGGCACTCACATACTCCCCAAGACGTTTGAATTATTCAAGTCAGGATATGCACTCAGCTCGCATTCTCTGTGTTCCAGGCTCCAGCGGATTCGAAGCGGGGCAGCAAATGCAGCTAGATGCTAGCTAGAGCCAGCCTTGTGTAGTCTCTTTCCATACGCTTGATTTGTTCGTCGTTCAATGTAATCTAAGGTGATATTTACATGAAAGCAATACATTGAGTCAAAGTCAGGCATCAAATACGCATCATTCAAACCTCAAGATTCTCTCCCTTCTACTGTTAGTCTCGTAGCACACCGTTTCGTATCTTGTGGGATGTCAGTATCGAACCCAATCTTTCAGGATAATCAAGTCCTTTTAAAAGAATAAGAGAATCCTATCGATATAACGCATAACCGGGTATCCAGGCGAAGCACTTCTTGGAAATAACGTAAATATCTCTACTGGATTGAGAACCTTTATTCAAGAGGTTAAACGCATGCAAGGCGTCTACGTGCTTAAGGCGGTATCTTGGCATGAATAGGCAAGTAAGGATGTGCTGGTTCAGTATTAATGGAAGATTCTTGGTAAAGGAATGAGGTGTGAAGAATATTGCTCATAGGGATCGTAGGCAAATCTGCCATTTCTACAATTGAATTTCCAAGTAACGAATATCAACACCTACGTATTCAACCTTTCAACTAAAAAGAAAATACACGGGAGGCAAAGAAAGTGATTGCTCTTGACCGGAATGACATAAAAATGGCAGATATCTGCACCCAGGCAAAACGGTTGTGATATGGCTATGATCAGAGGGTGCCTACATCAGAGCTTTGGCATTATTACGTAGGAATGTTGAGGCGAACTAGTCACTTTAGATTGCTAAATCCGCCGCAATTAATGAAGCCTTACAAAGTCTGTGGGCAATTCTGGAAGCAAAGTCCCAGAAAGTGTCGAGATTGTATCTGGCGTCCAGAGATTGTGTCTGGCGTCCAAGATCTATATGGAAGAGAATGGTTTTAGCAGGCTGTGGGTGCAACAAGGAAGCCTCTTGGCTAAGGAGTATGCTCTTGTCATGTGTGAATTTTATAAAATCTTGTTTGCAGATCTTGGTGAAGTAGCTCTGTGTTCCTTCAACAAGCCATATTTGGACTCAAAGATTCAAAAGGATCGCCCGCCATAGGTCTAGTCGATGGGCAATTAGGGCTACACGAATCTGCCTGGTATTATCAGCGTCACTCGTGCATGTCGATGCTGTAATCCTGGTTCACGCATTCTTTACACTTGTTATCTCAGGCACTGCTCACAACCAATCGACATCGTTATGACCCTCATCATCATCATTGCGTTCGGATCTTTCCCGCTGCTAGTCCACGCAACTCGATTAAGTGAGAAGTGTCAATATACTTGGGCATTCTTTCTGGTAGTTGCTCTGTGTCTGGTCTGGGTCCTTGTGACCTCACCATGGACACCGCTCAGCATCTACACCGGTATGAATCTCTACCTTTCCATCTATGAATAACGCTAACATCGTGCGGCACCGACAAATTTCACACCAGATGTGCAAAACTTCCAATTACCTCCTGTCACGACAGATAGGTACATATACTTGAAAAGCTGTGACGGATGCGAGGCATCACAATTATGCCCAGTCACTACAATGATATGATGGATAAGGCGTCAGGAGAGAGGAAAGGGGGAAAGGCCGAGGGGTAGGTTGGATGGAGAGAGGAAGCGAGGGAGGTGTATTCAATAAAAGGAGCATCCGTGTTCCGAACGACATGTTAAATATGGCAGCGTCATCAGGACTTCAAAGTATTGACTGACCCCTGCAGGGCTCCTCCTCTAGATTTAGGGACCTTCTACACTCCTATGAAAGACTTCTAGGTACAATAAGTTACTGTACGGCAGTATTCGTCGCTTTCAACCCCTGACCGACAGATGCATCGGTACAATAATCATATCTTGGCACAGCCTAAAGCGCATGTGATCGTGTCGACGTGTCGACATGTCACCATGCATGGTCCGGGGACTTCACCCAAGAGGTGACAAAATTCCTTGTGACTTGATCTGCATTTTTGGAGGGCATCTCCCTGCAAAACCCACTTTTTTCAAGGGGGAAAAACAAACCGTATGCTATCTAAAACATGTAACGCTTTTGTTCCCCGTTCTGGTCTTGGGAACGTAGCACATGTACACTTAATGAATCCTGAGCGAGTCCAAATAGCCAGCATTGGTAACCGTTTCAGCATTTCCTGTCTCTGACATCGTCAGCAAATATTGCTCCATGGGTGCTCTGACAATGAGAGAAGCCACTCTTGCAAACAAGAAAAAGCCGCCGGGTATCGAACGGTTTGGTGAGAGTTTATGTCTTTCCCACATTCCTACCAATTCCCGTTTCTTGGATCTTATTGCACGAAAAGCGTCAAGGAAGAGTAATCGCTTTGACCTGTGAGGATTCGTACTACTCGTTTCACGAGGCATAAGCTCTCTCACATTTCTCGCAAGCACTACTCTTCTTAAAATCAGACCTACTTCTATCAGATCATCGAAGCACTCAATGCTGTGCGGCGCTCCTACTGTCTCTGGCGATCCTGCCACAACAAAATCAAGACCGAGGGTCAAAAATGATGGAAACATAGATTGAGAGATAATACGGTATGTCCCCCTTCCTTCCCACGACCCTCCCCTCTATCTTCGCCCTTGTGACTTGCTCCATTCCTCTTTAGGCGAAGATACTAACCCTGCTGTCCAGCCCACGCCACCCCCGACACCCCCACAAAGCGCACAGCCCAGTCCCGCCCCTGCCCGCCCTCCGAGGGTGAGGAAGACTATTTATACCACCACTGAGTATGAGGAGGATATCCCTGCCGAGACGGGCAGCTCTCAGGGAGAAGTTGATGGGAGGCGTCAGCGCTATTCCTTTGGGGGACTTTACTCGCCGACACCCTCGCCCGGGGTAGAACAGTTTAGGGGTCTGTCTCCACCACAGAATGTGTATTCAGGCGCAATGGGAAATGGGTCGAAATGGCAGGAAAGGGCAGGGGAGCGAGGGCAGGCTGGGGGTGATGATAATAAGGATGGTCGGAGGATCAAGGAGCTGGAGGACCAAGTCGCGGAGATGAATCGGAAGCTGGATTTGCTGTTGATTGGGGGTGAGAAGAAGGGCGAAGAGAAGGTAGTAAAGAGGGAGAGGGGTAGTGGATGTGATAGATTTGTGAAAGAGGAGGACTGTTCGGATGAGGCAGGGGATAATAAGGGGGGAGACGAGGAGGAAGAGGACGAGCAGTGGGAAGAATTTGAGAAGCGTGAGTCGAGACTTTTCTAGAGAGCGAAGGAGAATTGGCTGTTGAGCGAAACAGATTGGGACTTGCTTGCCGGAAGAGAAGGTGTGTGAGGTGTGAAGATGTCGCATCCATGTAGATGTTTCGCACATGTGTTGCTTGAGGCATCGGATGCCTCGGTGACACAGTCTTCAACTCAAGCTTTTACAGACCGACCAACTTGGCCAGCATTGAGGATAGATGTGTATAGTACGCGTGGTAGCTCTCAGATTGCCGATTCCACAGACAGTCCGGGGACCAGATCTCTCTCGAGTCTCACCGCCTTTTCTTCCTCGTCCAGGCCCAGACTCAGGGACCCAAGATTTTGCTCCGTACTAGTTGCATGAAGTCAAACAGTTCGTGCCGTCGCTAGGAGTCGTTCGCCGGTTCATGCGGCCGAAAAAGGCTAAGGGGCTCATCGATGCGTTGTCAAGAAAGGCAAAGGGTGGGAGTCTAAGGCAGGAACGGAGAGATGGATGATGAGGTGGACTCGCTGCCCAACACTTTAGGGTGCATACCCGTAGTAGGTAATTCTGACGTATACCATCGCCTGCGCATGCAGTATACTGCCTCACCTGGAGCTAGACATCTCTGGACTGTGATTGGCTACATTCTTAGGCTGGAATAGCTCATTCCCAAGCTCTTCCCCGCTATTGACCAGCGGCTACAAATCCTGCTTCCAAACTTTCGCCAGGTCATCGTTTCCATCTGGCGCTCACCTTAAATCCATGAAGCCATCGATGTCTCAAACTTATGTCGGGCAGCTTTTTGACTTGTCCTGTTGTGCGGTGTCCCATGGGCGGCCTAGGCAAGGCTGGCTCTGGGCCTGCGCTGGCAGATCAAGGGACCAGGATGTGCCGGGACGAAATGAACGCTCCGCTTGACACGTAGGCAAGCGTCTCTGCTCATGCAGCTCCACTATCCGCCCTACCCTACCTACCAGCTCATACGTTGGGTGCCAGAATGCTATCGAAGGCCATCATGATGTCTGCTATCCAGTCGTCGCATCATTTCTGCCCTCTGTGAGCTGTCACTGCTCGTCGCAATGGCAATAAAACCCTGCAACTGGACCTCCTACTTCCTCTCCACCACCAACGCCAATTCCTGAAAAGGCGGTGACGAACTCTATACAGCCTAAAACGGCGGCTCAAACAGGGCGGAAGAGCTTTCCGACAAGCAAAGAGGGCGAGACGCACACAATTCTCTGGGGGTCTCAAAAAAAAACCTGAAAGCTCCGAAATACCTCGACTCGAGCAAATACCTCACTTTCGAGCCATTGAGGCTTCTACAGCCCAGCAAACATCTGCACGTGTACATACAACATCATAATTTGGGTTTCAAAAGCTTGTCGGTATTGTTCTGGTTTGTATCATAGGTAATTGGAGGTATTTGTGCTTGTTTGCATCTACGTACTGCCAGTCGCTTGCCCTTGGGACGACGACCAATTGCTGACAGCATTGCAGGTACAAAGCCTCCCTTTCCATCGCGAAGGACAAAACTTAATAAAATAATCGCACACATACATGAGCACGGATTGAATTTATTGCTGTTTCGGGATTGAAACTTTCACGATCAGAAGCCTGGTCAGTGGATAGCTCCACTACATCCCCGGCACCACGAAGGCTGCACATTCCCTACACCAAGCAAACAATATCTTTCAGTGGTCGCATCCGGCGTAACACCCTCCGCGACGGTTGTTGTGACCAAGAGGAGGAAATTCTCAGGCGAGCGCCTCCTATCTGACTGAGATTGCGACGATGAAGGAGGCGGTACGGGGTAAAATACATACAACCACGACCTCGACAATCCATCGCAGCAGACCCTATCAGAATTATCCGCCAACCAGAAATAGCTGTGCATCTGTGGTGAAAAAGGCGCGCGGTAAACGGTAAGCTGTGATTTCTTCATCGTACCTCCCCGTTTCAGATAACCGATAACGCTTTCACTACTTTTTACACTCCACCACCATAAACAGCCAAACTACACCAATGGCAAATATTCTTCATCATAAACATTTTTGCGTCCATTCATCCACCCGCCACAAACCCCCACCGCCTTTTGCTGACAATGGTCTTCTTCCAGGAGCTCGCCCGCTTCGGCTTCCGCTCGTTGATGGCCTCATCAGAGGTCGATCAAAAGTACCTGGGCCGCTACGCGAGGATCATTGAGCGAAGAGACCCCTATGACGCTCAACCTCTATACCAGGTGCTTGGCATCTCGGTACTCCTCTCCAAAAAGCTCATTCGAGCGCGTCGACTCCGACGATTGGACACAACACGCGATACGAAATCCCTCCAACTCTATCATCACATCATCTTTTTGGCTCGTGAAGGCCTCATCTTGCTCGAGCAATACATTATACCAGTTGTCGATGGGAAAAAGAATTCTTGGGAAATACGCGTGTTGATACACAAGCTCCGCGCGTCCTTCTACCACATCTTCGTCCTCTTTCACAATCAACCATCAATCCACGTAGCAGCTATTCCAGCATTTGCAGGGGAAGGGAGAGGTACAGGAAGCAGCAAGCAATCTGATCGATCCTCATTGCGTCGCTCGCCACCCCCAAATGGGCGCGGATCCAGTCGCCCGATGCCTCCAGGTCTCACACCTGTCTCAATACCTAAGCCATCAGCTACCTTCCTACTCCCAGCTCGAAATTACATCCCCGATGCCTCCTCCTATTTCTCGTATGCTTCAGAGATCGCAGACGCGCACCTCTTCGGCTCACATCCCATTCGCCTGTCAGTGAAGACGGAGTACTCAGCGTATCTGTACGACTGCCTACATGACGGTGAAGCCAGCAGAAAGGTAGCTCAAGCAGCAATTAGGGACGTGTACAATGCAAATGAAACAATTGATGACGAGATGTTTGAAGACTCGGCGGAAATGGTCGTGATCTTGGGCAAGATGATGAAGAGGGGCCTCAACACGAGAGGGGCTGGAAGTTCAAGCACAGGTAGTAAAAGTACAGTGACTACGGGTGCGAGTACACCGAGGCCTGCAAGTACAACGAGACCTACAAGTACCTCAAGACCTCCGAGTGCAAATACACCAAGGCCTACTGCTAAGAGGGAGAAGAGTCCACCCAAGCGCGAGGAAGTGAAGAGAAGTCCTGGGAAGAAAGACAATACTAGGAGGAGCTCGCCAAGGAGAAGCCCACCAAAGAGCAGCTCGCCAAGGAGGAGCTCGCCAAGGAGAAGGAGTCCGCCAAGGAGAAGTCCACCAAAGGATAGCTCGCCAAGGAGGACTTCACCGAGGAGGAAGAGTCCGCCAAAGGCTACAGAGCCTGAGAAGAGCCCCCAGGCGAGGCGGAGTCCCAAAACAAGCCCACCCAAGAGGGAAGAACCGAAGCGAAGTCCACCTTCGGGTGGCTTGGGTGGGTGGTTCAGAAGGAGGAGTTCATCCAAAAGCGACGAGTCTAAGAAGAGCCCACCACAAGCTGAACGGAGGAGGCATAGCGCGCGTTCGAGTGATGAGACTAAGAGAAGCCCCCCTACCGAGACATCAGTTGGCAGGAGTCCACGCAAGAGTGATGAGAGCAAGAAGAGCTCATCGAAAGGTGAACGCAGTCGGAGGAGCCCCAAGGAAAGCGAGGAGGCTCAGAGGAGCCCACGGAGGAGCGAAGATGCCAAACACAGCTCCCCACCAAGCGAAGAGACGACGACACGCGAAACGAGGAGGAGAAGACGACATCGAGGCTGAGAAAGGGGATTGAAATTACGATCACAGAAGCCTGCACAATAATGCCTGCACTATAATGTCACATCAATCGCGTTTTCTTGCACGCGGGATCATGTGACAGGCTATCTATGGAGCCTTCATTCACACGTCGAGATTGACCACAACTCGACAGGCGTCATGAATGGTGGTAAGGGAACACAGAACCTGGACCACAACGGCATTCAATGGTTACCTTTCGCTCGCAGTGAAGGCGGCTACATCTAACGAAAATGGTCGGAGCGATGGAAAAGAAACGAACGGTCTGTATGATAAATGTTTGCTTTGCTTGTCTATATTTGCTTACTCTAGATACCCTTTCTCCAAGAGGAGATTGTTTTGTCAATACTTTAATCAAAAGAAAATCGTATTTTCTAAAAACAGTTGCCTTGAAATTTGGCGTCGCTTTCGTGATACCACCATTCTTTGACTTACTTTTTCTTGCGATGAAACGCGTCTCTTCACTGTTGCTTTAGGATGGATCTCATGTTGACTCCACTGGGAGCAGATGTGGGCACCCTTCATTGCCGCTTTCTAATTCACGTGTGAAGCAGGACTTCTGAAATCTGACAATTTGCCAACATTTAAATGAAGGATTGCCACAGTCGCAACTCTGTACCCCACTATGCTCGCCAACACAACACAGCAACAGCAAATGACAAATAGGACGCGCCTTCCCCGCCCTCATCACGTCCATGACACTAAAGATTTATTACTTTTCGTCCCACACGTCTCTCCTTACAACGCTCTCACCGACCACCACATGAAAAACCCTCACCATCCCTCCTCCCACAGCTAATCACCACTAACTCAGTTCAACAAACCACACGTCGCTATGCTCACTACCCGTCGCCTCCTCCCCTCCATCCCCCCAATTCTCATCCTCGCACTCTCCGCACTCACACTGACGCCCACGCCATCTCTCGCCTCTCCCCTCCCTTCAGCACCCTCGACATGGGTGACGCTCAAAGATGGCCGACAAGTCCACTTCGAACCCCTGGAAGAAATGAATCCGGTGGCAGATACAGTGCCGGCAGATCGAGCAGCCGAGCCAATGTCATTGACGCAGCTGCGAACGCACGTTCCATGCCTAAAGGGTTGTATCGAGTTATTTGGTGTGAGGTGTGGTGATGATATGCTTGACTGTACGCCTGCCCCATCTCATCGGCGCTTATCACCGTCATACCCACACACCTCTTCATTGTTGAAGCTGACACGATCTATTTCTGATAGGTACATGCGCACATCTAAAATCCCCTGCACTTGAGAAGCTGGTGCGCTGTTCTGCTGCTGCTTGCCTCACTCCCCCAACATCGGCATCAACCACACCCCTACGCCATGAGAATGATCAAGGTACCGCGTGGGGTGTCGATGACGAGTTGATAACAACGACACAATCCTCCACCTCCCCCACTCGCTGGCACGCCCACCTCGGCCTCTCGCGCCTCCTCGCGCAATGGGGAGGTCAGTGCACTAAGGCGGGGTATTTCGGTTTGCCGGCCAATTTGGATGATGTCTTGAAACTCGGTGCATTAGGAAGCTACGGCGAGAAAGGCGGTGAAAGCAAGGGAAATATGGAGAGTGTGGGTAAGGAGGGTAAGGAAGGGTTGAAGAAGCGCGGGGTGGAGCTGAGGGATGGGCAACCTATTCATCAAAGAGACTGGCTTGTAAACAAAGATGTGACTGGGGAAGAGGTGGGCGAGGAGGAGGAGGAGGAGGAGGAGAGGGAGAAAGATATCGCCCGCGTCGAAGCCGTCAATCTCAAACCCCGAACCCCCACCGCGGTAGCGGACGGAGAGGACGAGAGAGGCAGCACGGCGGAGGGCCAGAGTTTGGGGGCGGGGAACGGTTATGTCGTGGATAGTGAAGCGAATACGACGACCACGACCACCTCCTCTTCCAATAACAAGAGTACAACCCAAACCGATCAAAGCGAAGACACGCCAGCAGAGAACGCAGGCGGGGGCACTATCCTGGATATACCCGCAACCTCCAACGGCGCAGCCAGGTCGATGGACATTCCTCTGGGGTCGTGGGTCGTCCTTGCGGGGCTGGTGGTGTGGATGGAGAGGTCGTTCGTGAGATGGGGCATCATTACGCATGCGAATGCCGTGTTGATTGTTTTTGGGGTTTTGGGATGGGTTTTGGCTGTGCATGACAGGGCGTTGTGGGTGGGGGTAGGGATGGGGACGGGGACGGGGGGTTGAGGATGTTGGTGGATGGAGGGTGTGAGCGGGAAGGGGAGAGAGGAGGAAAGGGGGAGGGAGGAAGGCGTGGGGAAGGGAGGACGGGAAGGGGAGGGGAGGGAAAAAGGGGATGGTAATGCTTGCGATGCGTGTGGATGAGTAGATGAGATAAAAGTTTTAGATATCAACCCAAATGTTGGCTGCTGTGGTGTCTTAATTGAAGTCGTGAAAGGTTCTTGTATTCTTCTTGCTGGTTTCGAGTTAGTAGTTGGTGCTTGGTGACATGAGTGAGGAGGGTTTGGCTTGTGAGCATGGAAGAGCAATCCATCCACTGGAAAAAACGTTGTTTTGAGTCTTGATGTTTTTGGTGTTGTGCACATTAATTTTTCACGCACGCTTTCTCGCTAAAAATGCCTATCCTTCCCCTCAACTTTTGGGTTTGCCCAGCTCGACCTGGGGGTTCAAAGGAGCTGGCACGCTTTGTTCATCAATCAATCATGGCGCGTCATATTCGATACTGCAAGGTCAGAGATATCCCAGTGTCTCCCTCAAAAACTCAGGACTCAGCCTCTTCCCCGTCTGATCGAAGAATCGGCTCGATATCTCCAGCCATTTCCGGCGCTCGGCGCGCGTGTGCATTTTGTAGAGTTGAGCTAGCTGTTGTGCGAGATATGAGGTGTTAGATCCTCCTTCGATCGCGGGTCAAGGGGTAGAGGGCGTAGAGGGGGTAGGGGGTCAGAATGGAACGTACCTGTTCAGTATTCAACTCCCCGCCCTCGTCTACGAAGATTACTGGCCTGTCGCCCGTGCTCGCGGGCCCCTCGCCAACTTCCCCGTCTTTGGGTTTGTTCGGGTCTTTCATGGCGCTCTTCTCTGGCTGTTTGCCTTTTCCTTTTCCCCCTTCATCTTCATCCTTGGGAGTAGCACCGCCGCCCGCGCTACCGTGTTTCTGCGCCATGAGATCTTTGTATCGTTGTCGTACTTCGTTTCGATCGGTCTTGCCCACAGCCCCTTCGATCTCTCTCCATGTCTTGCCAGCTGCTTTCATCCTCATGATGGTCTCGTCTTGGGCGGTGGTCCAGCCTGGTGCCGTTTCTGTGGCTGATTCTGTGGGTGGAGCTTCTGGGGTGGGAGGTGTTGCAGGGGGTGGTTCCGCGGGGGGTGGATCGGAGGTTGCGGCTGGAGTCGGCGCTGGGGTGGATGAGGAAGCTACAGGCGGGGGCGTGATGGGCTTGTTTGTGACCTGTGATTGTAATTAGTCGTTGATCAGGTGCAATAGGGATGAGCCTGGGGGGCGGTGAAGCTACCTTTGCGCGAACGAACGCTTTTCCGCCACTCTTGGTCTTCCCTACTTTCTCGCCACCGAAGTTTAGAAATAGTAGTGTCATAGCGTCTGGCATTTGATTATGGACAAGGAAAATGAGGGTGTTGTCAGGGGGTTTAAATGAAAGTAAGGCATGCAATGCAGCAAGACTGAGCGAGTGAGACTGATAGAGCTAGGAAGCAAGTGAAATGAGACTTCGATAGCTGGATCGGGCAAATGGACCATGTTGTACAGAGAGGCATTGTTGTCGTGGCATCCCGCCGTCACCGAGACTCGATGATGACCTGTAGCATATAGCATCAACATCTTCATACACTGACATGATATCCTAGTGGCTGAGTACTTTTATGATGCAGCCTATACAAGCTGAATGCCATGGACTTCTCATCTTGATCTGAGGCCTCAATGCGCTCAGGTGGAGTGAATGTGAAGGTTGAATGAGTGTTGGTGTAAAGGTAGTCCTTGATTGAAGGTTACTTAGTGACGCGACTCTCCTGAAATGTTTGTCCACTTTCGTTGGACACGCATTTCATTACCCTACAACAATCACCACCCTGCCATTGCTTTCTCCAGAACTGCAGCCGTCTGGTCACCATGCTACCTTCGTTACGGACAACAGCCCTCATCGCTGCCATCTTCCTCCCTTTGTCCTCCCTCGCGCATAACATCAACCTCGCCTCTCACACAAAAGAATGCTTCCACGAAACCCTCCACAAAGATGACAAGATGACAGTCACATTTCAAGTGGGCGATAGAGAGTTTGGAGGATCAGGAAATCTAGAGATAGACTTCTGGGTACGTCTTCCCAAACGCAGGGCCCTTCAGCAAAAGCGACTGCTTGCGTCTATCACAGAGCACTCGACACCCTTCCCCCAGGCATCATATTCCTCATACGGCTCTTCCATCATGGATAAAGCTAATGAGGCATTCTGCAGATTCAAGACCCATCCCACTACAATTTCGTCCACCAGCACGGCGTCTCCTCCGGCGACCACAGCTTCGACGCCAAAACAGATGGTAAACACGTCTACTGCTTTAGTAATGAAGCTTGGTCGAGTACTACGAAAGAGGTCAGCTTTAATGTACATGGGATCGTCTACGTGCCAGAGAGTGAGGCGCCGAGTGATCCATTGGAAAAAGAGGGTTCGTTTCCCCAAAGTCTACCTCTTATGCTCAAAAAGCTATGCACATGGGTCCGCATTCAACTTGAGAGGGAGGGTCTCCTTCACTCGCAAATTGGCGAAAATCATCACGAGCTCATTCATGGAAACTTAATTCGAGCATATGCTGACTCTACCTGTCCATCTAGTGAAAGATCTAAACAACCTCCTCAACCAGGTCAGGGATGAGCAGAGCTACATTGTGGTTAGAGAACGTACGCATAGGAACACGGCTGAAAGTACGAACGCGAGGGTAAAGTGGTGGAGTGTGTTTCAATTGCTGGTACTTATTGGGGAGGGCATCTTTCAAGTCTGGTGGCTGAAGAGATTCTTTGAGGTATGTGCTTCCTTGCAAACGCTTGAATTTGATCAAAATACTGTGCAATATTGTGGCGAAGGGCCAACTAAAATGCATGGTCGCTAACATAGGAACAGGTCAAGCGAGTCGTTTAAGCGATTGATCGGCGTACGGTTGACAATACGTTTTTAGATGGAGATCCAACACAGTGCTGCATTATCGTACTAGCACTATGAGTGCTGGATAGTAATTTGCTATGTCCCGCACTGTCATCGAAATAATGAGCCCCATGATGGCAAAATCGACAACAGAGTCGCATCGCTCGGCCGAGGTACCCAAGTCGTCCTGACTGACGCTGTTGTTCGTGCTGATCCACACCCTGCCTCATGCGCTCACACTTGTCAAGAACTACTCAGGCTGGGTCAACATTGAGTCATGATTTAGGCAACACGAGCCTCTGACTGTGAGGCTACGGGCTTAAGAGTGAGTTTTTTAATTGTCTAGAACGCTAATGGATTCGTATGCGCCTGTGACAGCCATCACCTAAATAATCATACCGCAGACGTCCTTGACAATTCGAGTCATGTGAGGTCTAGGAGGAACACGGTGTTCTCGTGAAATCCGAATCAGGCAAAAAGCTGGCTTCTCATTTCGAGCTCCATTTATACGCGAGCCCTACCGATGGAGCCAGTCAAATGGATGCGGAACTTCAAACAAAAGATTCCAAATAGCTAAACAAGGCTTGCGCCGTGCGGCTACAGTGAGATGTACCTGGCTAAGGCAGGTCTATGAACACATCATCCTGTATGTCTCAGGAGCTTTGCAAATATCTCAACAGGCTTCTCCTCGGGACCTTGCAACAATTGACGAAAGGATACACATATCGCGTGGTCATAAGCGTCAGCCGCAGACGGTCTCCGCTTTGACAGGACGATCAGCTCTAGACAACCAATAGAAGGAATGATGTTCGAGAGGAACCTGGTCAAAGAACCTGCATCTTCAACGATGTTGCAGCACGGTTATGCACGTCGTGGGGAGAGAACGGGAGTGGCAGCAGGATTACCCGCGGCAGCTGGTGGCATTGTCCAATGACATCAACTAACGACGTTCGGATCACCGCATCCGAGCAAATCCGGACGATCAACGTTGGACTCATACCCAAAGGAGACTCTTCACAACACTGCTAGCGGAGACTATCCGCGCACGGCGCATCCGCTACCAATTCTAGTTCTGGTCTGCCAGACCCTGGATGGGAGCTCTGTTAAGTCCTTTTTCCGCGCACTTCTCCTTCACTTCTTCCCTGAGTTGACACTTCAACCTGATCGCATTTAGGCAATGCCTTTCCTTCCATCCATTTCACGCTGTTGACTGTCGTTTGCTCAATTTGCATTACTCGGTGGCGTCGCTTGCTTATCAGATCCAGATCTTGATTGTTCCTAGATCTCCCGACCTCTCCCAGATCTGAGACCTCACCCAGATCTAGATCTGTCGCAACTGACAAGGAGCTTATCGCAACCCTGATCCTTTTCATCTGTACTGACGCCATTTGAATATATCTCACAAGAAGCGACGAATAATTACAATTGCTTGCCATTGACGACTCCGACACCATGGCTACAGCTGCATCGCCTCTGCCTATCCCCGCTCCATCACGCAATTTCGTTTTCATCAATGACACCAATCCCGACGATTCCAAGTCGAAGAGCAAGCGAAAGCTCGTCCGCGCACAAGCAGCTCGAGGACCGCATGCCAACGCCCCCGACGGCGCAAAGGGAGAAAAGACCGCAAACACCACCACCAAACATCAGCAGTTGAAGTGCAACAAAAAGGAGCGAAATGCCGTCACAACCTTTCCATTGAGTCTCATCGGTCTCGAAGACCTGACGACACCAACACCCACAACCACCACCAGCACCAAAATCGAGAGAGTGACGATCCAAGTGAAAGAAATGCGTCGCGAAGAGTCGAGCGATAGTTTGACGACAGAGAATAAAGACCCACTTGAGACTGCGGGTGTCAGTGCGCCAGCTGCAGCCATCCCTGCGCTCAAGCAATCCGACTCTGCAGAAGAAAGCAGTTCGCCAAGCACCGATGCAGGTAGCACGCTCGTACCGAGAATGCCCGGCACAGGCTGGGTTGCGCCATTCATCTCGCATCCTGACCCTGAGAAGCCGTATATTCCTATGCTGGTGGATCACTGTATGTTGCCTCCCCAACCCCTTTCCCCCTTTTCATCCTCCCCCTCCACTCTCCTCCCTTTCCCCCTTTTCCCTCTCCGGTCCCTTGACTAACAACCCCCTAGACCTTTCCAACATCGCCGTCAACATCCCTGAACTCGACGCCGGCACGCCTTACATCCTCCGCCTGAAATGGTTCCCCATGGTCATCACTTCGCCCTCAACCCTCTACATCGTCCTCCTAACCTCCGCCTCCCATTTCGCCGCCTTCAACAACCTCCTCCCCCGCTCCGAAATCCAGATGATTCTCCTCAACTTAAAACAAGCAACTTTCAACGCCATCAACAAAGAAATCCGCGACGCCAACGCCCGCGCCGAGTCCGCCGGCGTGAGGGGCGGTGGCTACATGGCCGACACCATCATCGGCGCCGTCGCAAAAATGGCCAGCTATGAAGCCATGTTCGGGAAAAAGGAACTCTTTCATACCCATATGCGCGGCTTGTGGAGTATGGTGCAAGGACGCGGCGGACTCGGCTCGTTGGGCCTCGATGGTTTGTTGGAACGAATGGTTCTGTGGATTGATATCAATTCGGCGTTTTTGCTGGATTCGAAGCCGTATTTTGAGCCCAGGCGGCCGTTGGCGGGCCAGACGGGCTGGGTGGAGGAGCCGAATATGGTGGGGTTTTTAGGTGCGTCGTGAGCAAACCCATCTTACCCCTTTTTGATAGGATAGTGGAGGGGAGGGGGAAGGGGGAGTTTTTGTGGATTGTTTTGTTGACTGTGTTTTTTGCGAAATTAAGGTGCCACGGTGTTTTTTGACACGGATTCTTTTGATCGCGCGAGGAGTATGGCTAAGGGGTTCTATCCGTGACGAAAACGTACGATATCATCAACATACGCGCGGTTTTACGGAGGTAATCGACATCATTTAATCGGCTTCTTGACTTGGCTGCGGTCGAGACGAACAGTATCTATCGATCGAGTATTGGCGCTGCTTTTTTGACGCACTGGCTTTTGATACGAGGGGCTGGTGATCGGTATCATATACACGACAGGATGAGTGAGGGAGGTGTGTGGTTAATGGCGCGGGGGGTTTTATGGGGAGTTAGGTGTCTGGTGCTCGTACGGTAATGGCGTTGGTAATGGTAATGTTGGTGCTAAAGGGGGGAGGAGTGTACAACTGGATAGCGTATGTGCGATAACAAGTGATAGGGAGTTTTACTTAGCGGAGTGCATTGTTACCTTATGGCACAGGGCGGCAAGGGGGGATAGGAGAGACAAGAGAAGGAAAAGGGTGCGCTGTAAGCATAGATATTTTTCAACCTGACTAGGTTAGTCAAAAGAAAGAGGCCGTGCTTCGACTGAGCGCTGCGAATAGTTAGATCCCTTCACCGTAATTTTCCTAGTATTTCTGTCCTGGTATCTCGCAAGATGTGTCCCCCCATCACAAATCGCTTTTAGGCATTCATAGAGTTTAGCCACTATATCGATCTCAAAGCGCGTAGGGGGGCTCTGGGGGGCGGGGGTGCAGTCTTATACAACAATAGTTGCGCAACTGATATACAATTGTGAACTCGTGGATGATGCTTCGAGAGGAAAACCTGATCAATGATGGGGAAAATATTGTATATAACCGTAATAATGATCACTCTTGATCTTGAGGACCTGTGGCCCAATGGCAAGGCGCTTGACTACGAATCAAGAGATTCACGGTTCGATCCCGTGCAGGTTCAATGTACTTTATGACATAGTTGAATTTTTGGTTTTTGAAGATTCCGGGAGGGGAGGAAGAAGGCGAGAGGAGGTTGGGAGAGTATGAGCAGGGAGGGGGGGGGGCGCTGTGCAACTTTCCAGAGGTTACATGTTAATGCTGACAAGCCAGCCAGCCAGCCAGCCAGCCAGCTAGCGCGCATCGGTGGTGAAATCATAAGGGATGTCTAAATTGGGGAGATGGTGGGTGGGGCGGGTGTAAGTGTGGGAATAGGTATTTAGGTTCTTTCTTCTTGGACTTATTGGTATCTATTGGTAATAGAAGAGGTATATGCATTTCACGTGATCAAGGTCATTTATGCCAGCTATGCTATTTATATTCATCCTCCCCCGCGACCCAATCCAACCTAAGTCAACCCTATCCCAGCTCAACCCGACCCTGGCGGATGTCCAAAATGAATATATAAACCATAAAAAGCCCCTTTCGTCTTCCAACGAACGGGGTTGAGGGGCCTATTTGCCAGCCCGATACATATCCCACATCTGGAACATCCTCGTCTCCTGCCCGGCCGTGAACTGGTTATAGCACCTATCATCGCTGTAGTCCATGTAGTTGTGGATGCTGTCTAGCCCGGCCTGATTCGGGCAGGTGTCAGAAGATGCCGGACAACCTGAAGTTGGCGATTTCTGGAGAGGTGTGTCCGCTACACTGTCCCCAGCCCCGGAACACGCACTGCCCTGGAACACGTGGAACAGCCCATGCCAATGCCCAACTTCGTGTGCTGCCGTGCCACCGAGGTTGAAGTTCGTGGCGGATCCGCCGGGGATGGAGTCGGCGAGGACATCGCAGCCGTCTTGGTTGAATGCGGATGAGCCGACGGGGGCGTTGGTCGGGAAGTTGCAGATTCCGAGGAGGCCGCCGCCAAGGTCGGAGAGGAAGTAGACGTTTAGGCTGCTGTAGGTGCCTTTGCGCAGGGCGGGCTTCATTTGCGAGTCGTAGTTCCCGGTCGCCCATTGGTTGTTTGTTGTGAAGTCGGAGGAGATGAGCTTGTAGGTTATGCCGTGCGAGCCGTAGGCGTTGTTCATGTAGGTGAGCTGGGTTGGGTTGTTAGTTGAGTTTGTGAAGACAGGGGGAAGAGGGAAAGAGCGAGGAGTAGTAGGGAGGCGAGGGAATGGGAGATGTACGTTGGGTTACAGCTCCTCTTCTTCTGTGCGTGGGGAAGTGGAGGTGGGAGACTGTACCTGATTGTTCAACTGCGTTTGCGTGTAGCGGCCTACTTTCGTGGTGCTCGTCACGACGTGGAAGTAAGTGTTGATCACGATAGGTGCGTGAGCTGCTGCGGCCTGTAGGCTTTGTGCGTTTGCGTGGAATGATTCAGCCTGCGCTACGAGCTCTGCTGGGGGATCGGTGGAACCGCATTTGCGGCCTGCTGGGGCACGTGGCTCGAGAGGGCTTAGGAGGTCGCGAGGCTCGACAGGCTCGGCAACAGCGGCCAGCGCTGAGGCTGCCTGAAGAGCGGTGAGAGCTGCTGTGATGAGACGCATGATGTTGTTGGACCTTTAGGCTGGGCTGGGTCTGCGCTTGGAATTTTGGACTGTGAATCGAGCGGATGAGGAACATGTCTCTGATGGAGATCATGCACTGTTTTATATGCATTCTGCAATCTCATGGTTCGCAGGTTCCTCATGCCAGGCGATGGTCCGACTTTCCTTATTGAGCATCAGGGCACCAATGAGTGGGATGGTTGCAGTCAAGAGAAGTTGACGGCCGTCGTGACGTCCCGGGCCTGAGCGCCATGGTGAAGAGATAGATTGAACAATGTACAGCTCGACTGCTGTATCCAGGTTTCTCTCCGTACCATTGGTCTGGCAGCTTAATTGGTGTCTGCCCAATAGGAGTGATAGAAGGCTAGTATTGGTCGCTTGTTTCTGATGGCCTAGTCTCGAGGCGTTGGTGCCGGCGTGGTCCCTGAAGCTAGGGGGTTACTGCCTACTCATTTCGAAGAGCCAAGACGCTCGTCGTTGTTCAGCGTTCGCGTGTTGGTTATAACCTGCTTAAAGCGTTTAGAGGTACGGTTGGATCCACGATGTACGTGAGAATGCTTATCATAGACAAGGTACTGGTGGCTTCCCACCCGCATATGCAAAGAAGAATGAAGCAGAAAGTAAAAGGGGGATGTTGGGGGGAGATGTGGATAGCCGGTGCGTGCCGAGGCGGGGGGCGAGTCCTGATATCAGCTTGGGGCGGGAGGGACATGCCAAGCCGGAGTCGCAGGTCTTGGCAGCCGATGATTGGCCGGGAGGCCTTGCAGCGTTGAAATTGATCGCCCTCATTGCTGTTAGTCTCCTTCCCTAGCTGCTGCATTTAGCCAGCCAAGACCGACAAGGCAGACCAACGCTGTAAGTATATCAAGATAAGGATTCCCCAAGCAGAGTTGGGTCATATTGCTGACATGGCCAGCTTGATCGGTATCCTGAAGCTGAGCCCTTCAGTTTCTGACTTTGGACTTGTTGGCGCAGCTTGGAAGCACCTGCAGAATCAGGCATATTTGGTCCCTCCAACAGCTCACTAGCACTGACCGACCTACCTCGACTCTTGAATCTCTCCTGCCTCTAGGTCACGCGGGCCTTCAAGCAAGGTAATGAAGTCTGCTATGAACCACGATTGCGAGCTCGAGCCTTGTGTCTACTACAGGCCGACGCGAGAAGCTAGATTCGGCGGCCATGAAGTACCTTGGACGTGATGGTATACGAGCTGGTGGACTCTAGCCACAAGTTCATCGCCTGAGATTTCGACGGCGTCCCTTGACCAGAACCTCTGTTGGACCATGAGGTGAAACGATTTCTCAACGGCCTTATCGCCATCTCATCACATCGTTGAATGTCGCTCACCGACTTCAGAAAACCCTTTTTCGTCACTGGTGCACCATCTTGTGAGTCTCCAAAGAGTCTAGAACTTCTTCTTCGCTGGAGAACGTGCGAAAAGATCCTCTTTCGGAGTGTCTCTCAGCACGAAACGATTTGCAAAATCTTTCTGTCATCAGTATCGTTGACGATCTGGGTTTCGATCTTCTTGTCTGTCTCGTGACGGCACGATGACTATGACTGTGACTCTGGATGTTGCTCGCTATTGACTGAATGACCGCCTTCCTGGCAACGGGCGCGCTTTCCTCGAAAGCACACTTAGTGTTCAACTTGGCTAGGTCTCATCAATCTCCGGCATCAAGACCTGTCCGTGTTCTGTGGCAGAAATGCTATTTGTCGTGCCGGTGGTGCTGACCCAGTCATGCCCTTGGCTGCTGGCTCCACTAGGCGCAGGAGGAACAACCTGCCAATCCAACGTGTAATCAATCACAACCAGAAACAATGCACGCTTGTGCGCTCCCCAGTCTTCCTCTCAAAACGCATCATAGCGACGAAGCATATTCTCTTCAGAGAGGGGCTGTTGGTGTCTTAGACTTTTGCGATTCGGCTGCCTTCGTCCATGTCACTGTCAGTTGTAACCCTTGAAGTCTGAATAAAGATAAGAAGGTTTGACCATTTCGCGATAATTTTAGCTGGTCTGTAAACAAATTGTGAGCCTGAAAAGCTGATTTTCACAGGAGACGGTGTCCATGGAATATCATTCCCTTCGTACAGTGAGACATGTTGTGTGACCAAGATCCATCTCTTCAAGGAAAACGAGCATTGCACGCCTTGGAATGTTGGATGTTCTGGAGAGAGCGTACGACAATGCAATTGCTACGAGTCACTCCATGCGAATGTTTGAGACCTCGAGGCATTTCGGCTCACTATAAACATGCGCTCCACTTTTGCGACCGCCAGATCTCCAATGTTTGTGAGACATCTCCCCGCGATCTCTTAGGATCCACTTCCCCACGAGCTGGAAACTGCGATGTTATGCGCGGTATTCAAAAACATCGCCGCAGTTTGAACACCTTCCACGTCGCAGCAGACCTGACTTTTAGGTTGGAGTCTCATCAACACTTCCGGATGGACCACGAAGGTCCTAAAAAGTAGAAGTATCAAGACTGCACCTAGATCTCACCCTACCAGACCATCACTAAAGATGCGACTACCTACCCTCCAATCCCTCACCTTCATCGCCGTTGCCCTTCCCCCCCTCATCTCCGCAGCGCCCCTAACCAACACCACCTCATCCCCCTTAACCATCGACCCAGATGTCCACTGCGTCGCCCGCAACTCATGGATAACACAATACTTCGACGCGCGCGACTGCGACGCCGCCCTACGCGTCTTCTGGGACGAAACCTGGGTCCACCTGAGCGAATCCTTCGAGTTCCTCGCCCCCGGCGAACACTCCGTCACCACCCTCTCCGTCGCCCCCACCCCGCAGCGCTGGGGCGTCGGGACCTGCACCGTCGCTGTCATTGAGCTGGCGGCCTTTAATCCCGAGGAGCTGCCTGGCTTGGCGGATGTGGCACGCACTGTGTTCTCAAAGACGGATATTGCGACGTATGAGAAACTGTTGGATACGGGGAGGGCGGCGAGGTTGCAGTGTTTGGAGAAGTTTGATGTTGAGGGTAAGGGGGAGGGGGAGGCCAACTTCATGATTCCGACCACGTGGGCGCAGGTTGGGGATCGGAAGGCCGTGGGGATATTTATTTGGGATACGTTTTCTTTCATGAATACGGTGAGGTTTCCGAATAATGGGGATGGGTACCGGTATTATAAGAATAGCACGAGTGCAGAGGATGCGATTGGGCCGAATGTTACGTTTCCGCTTGTAACAGGGGCGGCGGGTTCGACTGCGACTTCGTGAAATATAGAGTAGATGATCGCATTTTAGGGTAGATGGAGAATGTAGTGGAGTTGGCAAGTTAAGATTGATGGATGAAATTGTGCCCCATGTATCCATCACTCTTGCAGTAAGGATTAACAATGGAATGGTGGATCATATTTGATTGCGTTAATTGAGGTGGTACGGTATTCATCGACAGGACACAGGATCAAGAACACTATTTTAGGTATATATATTTATCTTTTCAAGTTTCCTGTCAGCAAGAAACGGCGTTAGTGGTTTAGTGGTAAAATTCGTCGTTGCCATCGACGAGCCGGGGGTTCGATTCCCTCCTAACGCAATGCTGAACATTCATCCGCTTTGATTTTTGCCATTGTGCTGAATCGCATACTCTACGTGGAGTGTCTATTAGATAAAGCATATCCCATCCATCAATTACACGAAAACAATCATACATTCGTGAAAGTTTTGGTCATGACTTTCAATTCCCAGTAACAGACTGCCGCTCCAAAAGTGGCCAAGCGTATTAAAGATGCCTGATTAATTATACGCCACTGCTGGACACGCAATGATGTCTTTGGTATTTCTTGTTGGAGTTTGACGCTATTACTAGAAATTGGAGGCTGTTTGAAAGGTATGATTCATGAGGTGGTTGGGTAAGGCTTTTGTTTCTGGAAGCGAACGATATCTAGAATTCAGTCTTTCATGTACCTGTCCGACGCTAGCGGCCCATGCGTGAGACTATTGTCCAAGGTGTGTGAAAGCTATACTATGCAAATCGTCCTGTTCATATTGGCCTCTTTACTGAGGATGCATGATACTTTAATATCCGATTGATTCAATTGGTCTGCAGGGTAGTGTAAAATCTCCAACAAATATGAGATGATCTATTTGACGTGGTGTGACTGCATATATACTCAACCGAGGGAAATAATTGGGATTGCTGAAACTACGCAAATAGCTTTCTCATGCTCTATCGATACTCTCTACCAAATAGGCTGTCTATGCCATGTAAGTTACTCATCGAAGCCCTTGGGTATCAGGCAGCAAAATCCAACCAATCATACATATCTCTTGGCGCGCCATGACTAAGGCATGATCTGGCCCACTCCTGGCCAATCACCAGGACTTGCCGGCATCTTGACGCTCAACTCCGTTCAGACGACACGATCCCTTGCCAGCGAACCGCTCGCCAAGTCAAAGTGAAACGGATACAGCAAAGACATTGACTTAGGCAGCACACTTTGCAAATGGCTCAACTCACATTATTGCTTTGTGTTTCGTGAAGCGGGACGATACCCTTCAGCTGCGATCCTGTTAGTAACCTGGTACTGGGGCTTGGACGCCGCAAGGCCTCCAGCTCCACAGGAGCCGTCCTTCGACCAATCCTCCACTCGTATCGGCGCCTCCTCCTCTTCCAGACCTGAAATGACCGTTACTCGGCGGACTATATGACAACGCGTTGCTATGCGCTCAAGATTGTGCCTCTGCTGGTGTTGACGACTCTTCTCTACAGCATTTGAAGCCTCTGCTACGCTCGAAATATGGCCATTCTAAGCCGGCTTTCCGCCGTTATACTCACGTCTATAGCAACAGTCGCATGTTTACCAGAGGTTGAAGGATCACGATATGCTCTGGATACCCTTCATGGAGTAGACGATGGCAAATTGGTGTCACCTCATCGAGCCATCGTCAAGCTTGATTGCGCAGAGTGTCCGACAATTAACACGGGCATCGAAGGGCAATCACAAGCATTGGTATGTAGTACCTAGCCCATATTCTCAATCATTCTGACACTGTCGCTATCCTAGATCCTCGATTTTACCACCTTCCCATCATCTGAGTCCGAGGGTCATCGGCCTGACACTTTAGAACCCTCCGTCTTTGTCAACAATTATCTTCTTGTTTCTTGGGAAGGACGGAGAGAAAGCTGGGCCCCATTCGCCCGATCTGTTTCCGCAAATACAACGATTGATGAATACATGTCCAACCCAAGCAACTATTCTGATGCGTACCTGCTCCCAAATATGACCAGTCGTTGGATCGCTACAGCGCAAGACTGGAAAATGTTCTCTATCCTGCTCGAGGTAGAGGGCTATAAAGGTTATGAAGACCAAGAACGGACTACAGTATCCCCTAGCTCCACGCACTTAGATGCAATCAGTGGAGTGAAGCTCTACGTGCGCCTCCAGAATGCCTCTGACGTTGAAGCTAAGCTTGCACCAGAACTATGTAACGAGATCCTACACCACGAGCACCTTCATGACAAGGAAATATGGACGCTGGAATGGATAGAGATCCTTGACAAACGTTGGTTGAATTGGTTGAGCTCTATGAACGCTGGTTCGCACTACGACCCAGGGAGATTGCCTTTGGGGCTCGAATCTAAGATGTCCAAAGAATGGGACTACTACAGGATCACCATGCCTACAAACCAAAAGAAGTGTCTCGCACCGACCAAGCAGGAGGATATCACAAGCGAGCCTTCAAGGCCCAAGGGCATTGCACGACTGAGGATCGGACCGATGAATCCGTTCCAGATCTTCGCAATGATACTGCTGGCAACCTCTGTCATCATTGGACCCGTGTGGGCTATTGCAAGCCTCATGAGGCGAATGATCAATAGGGTGACTGGTGGGTGGCTGAATGAAGCGATAGGATATAGGCCTTCGGGGGAAGAAATGATATACAAAGAATGGGAGGAGAAAAAAGGAAGAATCCTGCTATAGTTACTCGGTGGTTTGCAGCGCTCTCTACACGATAATGAACCGGATATGTAGCAAGTCGGATGGTCATGCGGTTGAGATCTAGCAGAGGCAGATGATATAGAGATACGATACCCAAGAAGTGGACCGGTGGTTCGAAGGTGTGGAAGGACCGGACTCGGCTTGCGATGTTTGGAAACAGGAAGCACGTGGGTGAAATGATGGTAGTGTATTGGCTAGATAAACGAGGGCGTATATCAAGATTCAGGCATCGTCATCTGGTGGGATCTCACATGGTCGCGTGCTTGACGGGGACTCTGATGAGATGCTCTTGTATCTTCATCGCTTTGTCCCGAACCCACAACAGTTCCTACCTAGATTGCGCTGGCGAAAGTCTCTTCCTTTGTCCAGTCGACGCCTTCACCGACGAAGTCCGCACTCTAGGCTGCGGACTAAGCTCCCCCTAAGCGACTTTTAGGGGCTGACCCGCCGGAGCATGAAAACCATCAGCTGGAAAGAGCATCTGACTCCTTCTCATCCATCAGGCTACAGGCCGACGCCGTGATGACTTGAGTCGTCGCGTGCAGAAGCCTGGTCTGCCCTAATATTCTTGTCTATACTCTTGACATATTCCTCCAGCGACTCCCTAGCCCAGCATGCTGCTCTCCCTGTTTGCACTGCTGCCTTTCTTAGGCATCTGCTCGACCACTCCTTTCGAGCAGCAGCAGCCTCTGCTGGCGGAGGACGTACGACAAGACATAATATCTGAGAAGAAGGATGGAGCAAGAACATTACATGGGCGATTTTTGCACATCACAGGCATGAGCAACTCCGTGAAGCTGGCAGACAAAATCTAATTGACTTTCAGACTTCCACCCCGACCCCTTCTACACGCCATTCTCCTCCTCTGACGCAGATGGCGCGGCTTGCCATCGAGGTACCGGTACTGCCGGTATCTACGGTGCTGAGACTACAACATGCGATTCTCCGATTACATTGGTCAACGCGACTTTTCAATGGCTTGCAGACCACGTAAAAGATGATATCGATTTCATCATATGGACTGGGGACTCGGCCAGACATGACAATGACGAGAGAAAGCCTCGGACGGAAACCCAGATCCTAGACCTCAACAGACTTCTTGTATCCAAATTCGCCGAAGTCTTTGGCAAGGAAGATAAGATTAATGACACAGATCCTACGAACGACTTTAGAATCCCAATCATTCCGAATTTTGGTAACAATGACGTATTACCTCACAACATCATGACTCCCGGCCCCAATCACTGGACAAAAGACTACAGCAAAATATGGCGCCCGTTTATCCCTGAGGCGCAACGTCACAGCTTCGATAGAGGAGGCTGGTTCTTCGTTGAGGTCATCCCTCACAAACTTGTCGTCTTCAGCCTGAACACTCTATACTTTTTCTCCTCCAACGCTGCTGTCGATGGGTGTGCCAAACGCGGCGAGCCAGGCTACGAGCAGATGGATTGGCTGCGCATCCAACTCCAATTTTTGCGCGAAAGAGGTGTGAAGGCCATCATGATGGGGCACGTGCCTCCCGCGAAGACTGACAGCAAAGAGAGCTGGGACAAGACTTGTTGGCAGAAATACACGCTTTGGATGGAGAGCTACCGAGATGTGGTTGTTGGAGGACTTTATGGGCATATGAATATTGAGCACTTCATGCTGCAAGATTTTCACCATGTCAAGAAGAAGACTCGGAAGGGGAAGCTGAAATCTGTGGAAAAGTCGGACACATATGTTGAAGAGGATGGAGATGACTTCAGCGTGGAGAGCAAGACGGAATATTTGACCGATTTACGGGAAGAGTGGAGGAAGATTCCCGACGAGCCAAAAGTTTCGGAAGAAAGTGAGGACGACGTTGGAACCTTTCCGAGCTTCATGCAACGTGTCTTACGGAAGAAGCACGACTCAAAGACCGACAAATATCTCAAGAAGATTGGCGGGAGATGGGCAGAGCGATATAGCGTAAGCTTGGTATCTGCGAGTGTGGTGCCGAACTACTTCCCAACGATGCGGATCATCGAGTACAACACCACCGGCCTTGAACTTCATCCATCAACAGAATATGCCGCCAGCATTAATGAGCCGGCAGAGGCAGAGCTAGATGATGATTCAGACGCGAGTGATGGGGAGGATGACCAGCCATCTTTGACCAAACACAAGAAGAAGCACAAAAAGCGCCCCAAGAAAAAGAAGCCCACTTTCGTCCTCCCCTCTCCACCACCATCCTCCTCTACCCCCGGCCCCGCTTACTCCCCCCAACCCCTCACCTGGCTCTCCTACAAACAATACTTCGCCAATCTCACTCGCATAAATCCTCCGCCGCCGTCCACTCAACAGCACCTTGGACCAGCTACCAAGAAGGAATATAAACCAGTACCCTTCGAGTTCGAGCTTGAGTACGACACCGCCACCGATCCTGTCTACAAAATGCCAGATCTGACTGTCCGCAGCTGGGTCGGACTGGCGCGGCAGATCGGGAAGTATAAGCCTCGGCCTACGTATTTCACTGATACTGGGGAGATCGTTAGGCAAGAGTGTTCTTCGGAGGATGATGGCTTTGATGGGGCTGTGGAGCATGGGGTGACGACGGCGGAGAGCAAGAAGAAGGAGAAGCACAGACGCAGAAAAGAGATCGAAAAGTTGTGGTTCACCTTCATCAGCAGAGCGTATGTGGGCACCAAGGCTAGGGAGGAGATTGAGGATGAATACGCATAGCTGTTTGTGGACTTCATTGTGATGCGAGGTTGGATGGGGATTAGGGATTGGAATTGACGTGGAGCATTGCGAGGCCGTTCATGGGCTGGTTAAGGGTTTCCGGGTAAGGGCTCGGGTTGGGCTGGGTAAGGATACCCCATGATACATCTGTCGCATACATCATTTAATGGCACACCTGTTCTTTCTTCTTTCTGTTGACAATAATGAGCAGATTGTCTCTTCACCCCTCTTCCCTCCCCCTTCTCTCTTCTATGGGGAGGAGATGTTGAGATTAGAGCTCCCGTGGCTTATGATGGCTGCTGATAGTATATCATGGGATGCGTGGGGGTACGGTTGTGGTGGTTCTGGATCTGGTTATGGATGCGATTATGCTTGTTGTGGATGTGGTTGTGGATGTGCCACCACCTTTCCCTCCCACAGCCATTTTTTTCAACCAAAACTTTCAACCACCTCACGCTGTCAACCTACTATCAGTGGCCCCCCAACTCCCCCGTTGGTCAGTTGCAACGTCCCGATTCGGGGTGGGGGTTCGGAGTTGGGGGGGGAAGGATGGGAAGGGTTGGCCCATCAGCCACCCCACTCAACGCAACGCACAAAGGAAACGCAAAAAGAATTGAGAAAGGAAGGAACGAACAATTCTCTTGTTTCCCCCACTTGTGATTTTGACTTGACTGGTTGTGGGCGGAAGAACAATGCACTCATCCACCACAAACAAGAGGTGAGGTGAACAAATGAATTGGTGCGGAGGACAATGAACAATGTCCGCCTTATTTTTTTTTTGAACGTATATGATATATTCTATTCTTTTCTTTGCGGGGTTTGCTTGCTTGTCGGTATACATACCACCGTTCTCAAGACTGGCACATAATATCGAATTTGGTGACTGTCATACCCCGTCAACTGTCACAACCCGTTAATTTGTCGAAGTCATCTGGATACCACAAAAATCACCAGCAAAGGAAATCGATCAATCGAACGAACGATGTTGTCATTCCGAGCACCTCCGCCGATAACGCGTTCGATATATACCACCACCACCACCGGGGCAGGGGTAGGGGTAGGTCCATGCTATATGTGCTGTCTCTACCCCCTAGGAACGACATGTGGGTATTGTGGCCGCCCACGCTCTCATTCCGATAATTCTTTACTCCCGACCTATCAATCCCGCCCTACCGCCACCACCACCTATCAAACCCAGACATATACCAGGAAGATCAGTAGGTTTTTCCCTCCCCGCCCCGTCCCCCCCATCCCCAACCCCAACCCCAGCGCCAGCCCTACCTCTACCCTCTGTTGCCAGCATCATACCCCTAAACCCACAACAACTACACCGGTAGTGCCGGGGTCGTGGCCCACGACTCCCTCCCCCCGCTCACTGCTGCCACCATCACGCTTTCCCCTTCTTCCCACGCACCCACCGCGACCTTCGTCAATCCCCGCGAATCCTGCCACGATGAAGAGAGTTGTGCTGACTCTGCTTCGTGCTATTCTCAAGACACGAACGGGAATGAGAATCTCGGGTACCACCTCCCGCCACCAGCTGGGAATGGGGGCCGGGTTGGGGCTGGGGCGGGGGCAAGGGAAATCAACGAGGGTAGAGGCAAGGATTGGCATTTGCCCAAGGATCTCATGTGGGACGCTGCTAGGATTGGGCCTGTCGTACCGCCGAAGCCGATGTTCGCCTCCGTGAGGATGCAGTGGACTTCGAATGTCGGATTGGGTATTGGCATGGGGGGACGGGCGAGGGCGGGCACGTCGGCGTTGAGGGGTGATGCGCTGAGTTTTACGCCGAGAGCAACGGCGGGTGGGATGGGTGCGCCGCCTCTGCCGCCCAGACAGGTGAATGTGCAGGCTGTTCCGACGAGGAAGCCGGAGGTCGGCGACTTGGAGGGCCCGGGCGTCAGGGCTTGGAAAGAGCATTGTGCGAAACTATCGCAGAATCTGTGGGATTCGGCTGGAGAGGTGGATGCGTCCGCGAGGGACCATCAGTCCCCCGCTGGTGGGGATACTTGGTTGCATAATTTGGGGTCTCTGAGTGGTCTTGTGGAGCCGAAACCGGTGAGGAGTAAGAATGAGTGGGCGGACACGATTGAGTTGATTGAGATGAGGGCTGCGAGTGAGGGGACGAGGGAGCTGGATGAGGAGGATTGTTGTGCCAGTCCTGTCGATAGTGGAGAGGTGGAGTTACCTGTTCTGGAGATGCCGATGACAGATCCGGAGGTTACGTGTGGGGTGCAAAGATGGCAGCTTGGGTGTCGAGGCTGAGCTCATTATTGGATTATGGAAGCCTTGGACAAGTCGATGGCTTTTTGGGCTGCAGCGTCAAAGTCGTCGAAGGCGTGTAATGGGAGGCCACTTTCTGCTATCTGGTATAGGTCAGTAGAATCGCGAGTAATGTGTTAATTATTATTTGCCCACTAGTTTTTGTCCAATCGCTTCGTTTGTACCTCGTAATCTCACAACGACAGGCTTTTTGATGCTTAGGTCTTTGTATGCCATAATGATGCCCTCGGCAATCATGTTGCATTGTGTCAAGCCTCCGAAGATATTTACGAAGATGGTAGATACTCTATCGTCTTCGAGGATAATTTGGAATGATTGTTTGACAGTTTCGCTGGTCGCCTTGCCACCTGTGTCTAGGAAGTTTGCGCAGCGCCCACCAAGGTCGGTTATGGCATCTACAGTGTTCATGGCGAGGCCGGCACCATTCACTGGAGAGTATTCAGTATGGGCCTTGACGACTTTGGATGAGGTACTGACCAAGTATCCCAATATTTCCATCACCTTCGAGTCTGCAATACGCATTAGAATCGGTAGCGTTCACGGTACGTTGACTCACTTGACATAAACAATTCCGTCCGCCTTCGCCTTCGTCTCCCGTGAGCAGTCTGCTTCTCCTTTCTTCGCATTGTCTTCCTCTATCGCCTGAACAACATTCTCGAACAGGATACCTCTTTCGGACTCTTTGGCGGCGCGAGAAGCTGCGTCGTCGACCTCCAAGTTCACATCAGATAATCCAATCAAAGGCTCCTTGTTCTCTGTGTAAGATATCGTCGCCGAGAGTGAGCGTAGCTTGAGATCGAAGTAGGCTTCCTTCAAGCCTTGAAGGATTTCAACGAAGCGGGAGGATTGGCCTTGGCTAATTTTGGCAAGAGCTGCTATTGCTTGACAGGACTCGAAGTAACTATTGCCTGAATCCTTCAATGTAGCAGGACCTAGATAGTTCCAATTATCGAGGTTTCTTGGTTTCTGAGACGCACGAATGGTTGGTGTAAATGTGCGCAAATCATGCGTGAGGGTGATAGCAATGCTACAAATCTCAGAATTTGATGCGATGTCGTAGGTAGGGAGATTTGGATATCTTGACTGGAGCAGATAAAGCTGTCTGGAGTTGACAGGTTCTGAGCTGCCAGAACTCTGCTTTGGGCTTGACTTCTCAGTACTACGGGACGCCGTTTGATGGGTCTGGCGTATCTGGGCATTTCTAGGAGCCTTTGCCAGTGTCAGCAATGCAAGAGCAACTCGTGTGTGATTTGCCCACTGAAGTAGATCGAATGCCTTGGGCCTGCAAAAGCTTGGCCATCTGGCTACCGAATTTGGAAGGGTGGTTGACAATCAGTGCACCGGCGTCCTCCAAGTGCTTCGCTTTTGCCCTAGCCGTGTTTTCAGCTGGGCTAAAGAGCGCACCTGCGTGACCCATGATCCTTCCCTGCGGGGCTTGCATTCCTCCGACTAAAGCGAGTATAGGCCTGTTCTTTCAGCCACGTCACTCATAGTTGACGACTTGCTTACTTAGGATCCTTCGTCCGCCTACGATAATCCTTGATCCATTCCGCAGCTTCTTCCTCGGCATACCCTCCGATCTCCCCAGCTAGAATAATGCCCTTGGTGTCATCATCTTCCTCGAGAATTTGCAGGACATCAACAAAATTTGTGCCTGGGAGAGGATCTCCCCCGATGCCTACGACGAGGCTTTGACCAACGCCTGCTCGGGTAGTGGAAGCAATCGTCTCGTACGATAATGTTCCGGATTTAGCAACGATGCCAACAGAGCCCGGCTGGACGAAGGGTATTGGGTGGAATCCGAGCCGACATTTGGACACAGGCGAAATCATCCCTGGGGAATTGGCTCCCACGAGACGTGAACGAGATTGGGATCGCAGCATCTCGTGAATCTACACGACTTGTAAGGGTTTTCATTGCACAATTTTCAGGTTGCCTACTCTCAGCATATCATGGATGGGGATATGCTCTGCCACGGCCACAATGAGCGGTATTTTTGCCTCGATTGCTTGTTCGATCGCGTTGGCAGCTTTAGCAGCCGCGACATAGACGATGGAAGCGTCTGGTTTCAGTTGTTTTTTCGCCTTTTTCGTTCGTCTTAGCACCCCATCTGAATATAATAGAGATCCAGGTTCCTACTGTCTGAATATCGGGTACCACGGGAAGACCCAAATGTTCGCCATTCTTTCCAGGCGTGACCCCACCCACGATGTTTGTGCCATACTCCAATGATTGCTTGGCGTCCAAAGTTGCCTGTTCGGGTCAATTGGAAAGATCTGAAAGCTGGTATTGTCCATTGGTCACCTGACGTCCTGTAAAGCCTTGAAAGATGACTCTCGTATGCGACCCTATCTTCAAGTTCGGAACAGTCTTGGAGTACAAGGCACGGGAGCGTAAAGCATTGCTAATGCTTTCGTGCACATAAGCCATTGCGGTGGACAATTGCAACCAGATAAGACATTCAATCACACACAGTAAATCACGACAAGCAGGTATTCGTCTCTAGTCAACACGTGGCTGGAATTGAGAGCAATTGGAGTTGTTCACAACAATGCTATAGATAGCGGAATCACATGAACTCCGCTGTCGGCGACCTGGGTTCTGCAATGACGTCGGGGCCCCCGGACAAGCGGAGACGTGCCGCTCGAAACCCACTCCGACGAGATGAAGCCTCTGGACTTCGGAGAGTATGATGCATGAAGACTCCCCGCATCGGATTGAGATCCCCGCACATGCCTGCGACGACGGACAGCTCGAGGTTGGGTCAGCATGCCGGATCTGATCAACAATCAGATGAATGCAAGGCGCCACGTGACACGGGCCGTGGTTGATCCTGATCTTATCGATTAGCGGCACCGACTGGTAGCGAGATCTAGACCAATCGGGGGACCGACTCGTATTTCGCGGAGTTAATAATAATGGCAGAAGGCTAAGATGCCGGGCGTTTAACCAACGCTTTAATTTCCAATTCGAATCCTTCCAATTTTGCATTTCCAGCTTCCAGAATCCTTCCCAGCCTTGGAGGCATCTTACAATAATTCTTCCCTGAGAGTACCGTCGATAAATACGGATGAATACAACGTGCGACTTTGATCAAAGACCAAGCCTTCTCGGCTATTGTCTCCCAACATACATCCTGCACGTCTATCTCTATCTCGTTTTCTCACTGCCACGATGCATAGGGCAGAAGCTGTGACAAGCGCGAATGGAGGCTGTGCGATGTTTCACGTTCGACTCTGCTAAACTGTTTCCGCCTCGTTCGCCGCTGGCTAGCATAAGCTCTGCATAAGTGTCGACTTAGTCTACAGAGTCTATACTTCTACAGGCAAAGGGCTGGCGTCTACCTGCATGCCCCTGGTCATTTCGTGATCCTCCAGAATCCTTCGCGTCCTTCCCAACGGTCTAGTTCCTGGTCCAGCGCACTGGTAACATGGGACTCTTGCATGGATGCTGGAGGCTGGCCCGCTAGCTTCGCGCAGGATTGTTCGCGGTATTATTGTGACCTCGACTATGAGGATGTGGGTGAGTAAATTGCTGATGCCTCCACCTCGTTCTTCATCTTGTCCTTCCCATCCCGTGCCTCTGCGCAGTCCCATAACAGCGTGAGGCCGGCCATGTACGATATGCATATATGTTGGTTGGTCGCGTTGTCGCTTGCATTTGGGCGCGCTCAAGCTGCAATTACCAGCAGCTCGTCAAGTTCCTCTTCTTCTTCGTCGTCCTTTAATTCTAGCTCTTCCACATCATCGAGGTCTAGTTCTTCCTCCATATCGTCATCCAGCAGCTCATCTTCGAGGTCAACCTCCAGCTCAACATTAACCTCAAGGTCATCAAGCTCAACATCAAGCTCCTTATCGTCATCGCTCATCAGCTCATCTGCTACCCTGGCCTCAAAGACGAATGGCTCGTCCTCTGCAAATTCAACAATCACTTCTCCGCCTGTATACATTTACAGTAACTGTCCTAAGACGGGACAGAGCACGGTAATAGATGGGACAACAGAAAATATTGCTGACGATTATTATGCCACATGCGGTCCGTACCAGCCAGTACCCATAGACGAACAGAAAGTGTGTCCACTCTTCGATTCATCGTGCCACGGAAATAAGGATGATGCATTGAACTACCTGTTTAATCAATCCTGGGAGGGTTTGTGGAAAGATCCGTGCTTCGTCTCCAATCAAGCTTATGGTAACTCGGTTCCGGGTGATGCAAAACGAGTCTGCCCGGAAACCGTCCATGTCGCCCAGTCGACCATTACTTCGAAGCTTTTGAGCTTCTTTAGGTCGCCAGAGTGCGAACAGGACAGATATCAGTATTTAAAAAACGACGGCGATCCAGACACCGACGCCGTAAAACCTAATGCAACTGATAATTGTTGTGGATCATGTGCAATTGGATCTCCAAACGTTGACATCTATTACTGGCCCAGCCCGGATGCCGATACATCGTGTTTAAGTATCATCGGGGACCAACTGCTACCGCCTCTCGACCAAGCGAGTACCTCGTGTGAGAAAGAAGGGGCAATCACTGGTCATTACACAGATTGCTACACGTATTGGGCTTATAATTCTGGGGGCCAGTCATACACCCAGGCTGGCCTGGCGACGTATGGAAATGAGCAACCAATCACGCTGAAAGAGTGGTTCTTCAACCCGTGGAATGAGAGCATGCCTTCGGAATATAAGAAAATTCAAGGCCAGGCAACGAACTTAGGTACTGTGCAGTGGGACAAACGAGACCGCCCCGCGAGGGCTACGATGGGAGGCAATTTGATCCCGCTGAGAGCTCGCGCACCGTCAAATGGGACGAATACGCAGGCCCCAGCGGATCCGAACCATCCAGCAATAACTGTCATCAAAGGCGTGACAGTGTAAGTAATTTTAAGAAAACCTCTGAAAACCGCGTCTAATGTTGTGGCAGCACTTCTCCTTCGGTTTACATTGATTTCAAAGAAGTCAGTGCGACTGATCAATGTGGCTACATATCGGTGTCTGGTAAGGACTATGTTGGGGAGACTCTGATTGGCTTCGACCCTAAAGACTTGTCCTCTATTGGGGCTCCTCTTCAAGCAATCGTCGATACCGAATTCAGAGGCGATAGTCCTCTACCTACCTCGCCTTACAACTTCGGCGATCTTCCTTGCCCGCCAAAGAGTGTTATGGTGAGTCTCTGAATACTTCCGTCATAGCAATACTGACTCCTGCAGAGTGACCAATGGTACACTCCTGAGGCAGGAGTACCCTATCGACCCTTCCTGGCCTTTCCGCAAAAGCTCAAGCAGATTTTCCCCATGTGGACGAATTGCGGAGCGGACTTCTTCTACGGCATTGATCCGCCTAGGACATTGGAACCTGTTCACGCCAACGCTGCAAACCCTACCCCTGCGGCTGACGCTGGACCAGCCCCAAATCTTGCAATGCCTGCTGTCGGCCCAGCCCAACCAGCTTTTGAGACGAAACAGGCTCAGCCAAACATGGGTCCGGCACCAACGCCTGATCCTCAGCCTCAGAACAAGCCTGCAGATCCAAAAGCCCAAGACCCGGCAAATAATAACAATGGCGCCGCCCAGGACCCAGCAAAGAACAACGCAGACCCGCAGGCCCAAGGCAACGCCAACCAGGACCCGAACGCGAACAAGAACAATCAACCTGCACAGACAAATCAAGATCCCAATGCTAACAAGAACAACGCAGCAGCGCAACCGAATCAAGACCCGAATGCCAACAAGAACAATCAACCAACACAACCGAATCAAGACCCTAATGCCAACAAGAATAATCAACCAGCACAACCGAATCAAGACCCTAATGCCAACAAGAATGCCGACCCTGGCGCTGGAGCAAATAACCAGAACAAGCCAGCAGACCCCGCGAACAAGAATAACGGGGGATCTCAATCGCCTCCGCCTACCCAAGCAAACCAAAACCAAAATCAACAAGGCGGTGATCCTAAAAGCGCCGACACTGCCGCCGACCCAAACACCAACGGTGGAAACCAACAGCCAGCACCCCAAGCCCAAGGCGGTAACAATGCCAATCCACAAAATGCCGGAACGAACGCACCGCAAGGTGGCAACAGCGCCAACCCACAGAACGCGCCGCAAGGGCAAGGACAGGGCGGGAATCAACAGCCCACTTCCCAAGGTCAGGGTCAGGGCCAGGGCGGTAATAATGCTAATCCTCAAGGCAACAACTACAATCCCTCGAACGTGAATAATGACCAGCTATCTGCTATTAACCAGGCTCTGGGGAATAATCAGCAGCCTGCGCAGAATGGTGGTGGCAACAACGCTGCTCCTGCTGGTGGGAATGGACAGCAAGGCAATACGCAGCCGCAAGCTGGCGTTGGTAGTAATGCTGGCGCAGGGGCGAAGCCTGGAGGCGATACAGTGGGTGGAGCTATCAATTCCGCCTTTGGATTCTCGCCTTCGCAGCAACAGCAGCAACAGAGCGGCGGCGGCAATGGTGCTGGTGCTGGGACTGGTACTCCACAGCAGCAAGGCAATAGTAACGCAGGTGGAGGTGGCACCCAGCAGCAAGGAAATGGTAATTCTAATGGAGGAGGTAGTGGAGGAGGGAGCGGAGGAGGTAGTGGGCAGCAACAGGGTAATACGAATACCGGTGGTGCGGCGCCTGGTGGTGGACAGCAAGGAGGTGGGCAACAGGGGAATAATCCACAAGCAGGTGTTGGTGGATCGGGCGGTCAATCTGGTGCTGGTGCGGGCAACAACAATGGCGGCGGTGGTGGTGGTGGTGGTGGTGGTGGTGGATCTGGCTCCGGCACTGGATCTGGAAGTGGTTCTGGATCTGGTAGCGGGTCAGGATCAGGCACTGGCGCAGGCACGGGCTCTGGAAGTGGCAGCGGCAGCGGCAGCGGTTCAGGATCAGGTGCTGGATCAGGCGCCGGCGCAGGTTCTCCTTCTGGAAACAACGGCGCTGGATCGGGATCAGGTTCAAGTACTGGCAGCGGCAGCGGATCTGGATCTGGGTCTGGGTCTGGCTCAGGCTCAGGCTCAGGCTCAGGCTCAGGCTCAGGCTCAGGCTCTGGTTCTGGTTCTGGTTCTGGTTCAGGCAACAGCAACAGCAACGGCGCTGGCACAAGCACAGGCACAGGCACAGGTACTGGGTCCGGGTCTGGATCTGGGTCTGGGTCTGGCACAGGGTCTGGCACAGGGTCTGCCTCAGGCTCAGGTACTGGTTCAAACGGCGGCTCTGGCAGCTCTGGTTCAGGCAACAGCAACGGCGCTGCCACAGGCTCTGACACAGGTACAGGGTCTGGCTCTGGCTCTGGCAGCGGCTCTGGCTCCTCCTCCTCCCCATCATCAAACAACGCCGAAACCAAAAACAACAACAACGGAGGGTCGCCCCAATACGACTGCTCCTACCAAGAAGGCGCGGCACCCTGTCGCGTCGTGCCTGGCACTGGCTCCTCTCCCAACCCTAGCGACAACGACAAAAACCGTTTCCAATCAGGCGGATCAGGAGCTGGAGCTGGAGCTGGGGCTGGGGCTGGGGGATCGACGACGGCAACGGGCACGTTCGCCAGCGGCGTCGCTTCCCCCGTCACTGGGTCTGGGGTCGTGACTGCCGGCGCTAGCGGCTCTGCTGGTGGAAGTGCTGGGGGTGGGAGTGGTGGGGTGGGGAGTGCGAGCAGTACTGGGAATGGAGGCAACGGGGGAAGTGATAATCTGGCGAATAGCGGAGGGAATATTCCTGGGCAGGTTAATGGTGGGTCAACTAGTGGGAGTGGAGGGACGGGGGCGGGGGCGACGCAGACACAGGCGGCGGGTAGTGGAACGAGTTCGTTGAGGAGAGGGGGTTGGTGGTGGTGGTTTGGTGTGTCCCTCCTCGCAGCCGAGGGTTTAATATAATAATGTTCTTCCGGTGACGACCGAAGAGAAAAAAAAGTAATTGTATATAATGCCATAACTATCAAACCAAAGAATTCTAGACCTCTATACACTGAACTCCCCTGTTTTCAGTTGCTTCAACATCATCATCACTCCACAGAATCTTTCTTCCCTCCCCCACCAAATGGTACATCCCTCCCTTGTCCCCACTTCCTCACCTGCCCGTCCATATCCCTCCTCACCCACGGAAACACCACGCTCACCACCCCCGCTAATATCGTATCAACCACGCCCCTCCCCGCCCGCTTACTGCCCCCCAACATCCCCGCCCTCAACACCCTCCCCGGGAAAACCCCCGTCACAATACTCTCCTCGCCCCTCTCCAACCCCGCCACGCTCGCCAAAGCGACTTGCGCAGGCGTCTGCACCGGGTCCGACGCCTCCAGCTTCTTAGTGATTTCTGGTTTTGTGAGTTCCTCGGCGTCGTGGCCGGGGGAGGTTATGGTGGCTGGGTAGATGGTGTGGGTTTTTATGGGCGCTTGGTGGGGATGGGAGGGACGGGGGGGATGGGAGTAGAGGAGGAGCTCCTGCGATAATGATTCTTGGAGGGAGCGCAGCGCCGCTTTGGCCGGTGTGTAGGGTGTGTAGCCTACCATGGGCAGGAATGCTAGGACGGAGGATGTGAATATTAAGTGTCTTTTCTCTTGTTCTCGTGATTCTGGGGATGGGGAGGGTGAGGGGGAGGGGGAGGATGGTGGGTTGGAGAGCCAGGCCCGGCAGGCGGCGTGCGCGAGGTATGCGGCCGAGAAGAAATTCATGTTCATTTGCGAGGCGAGTAGGGTCGGCGGCAGATCGAGGAAGTAACCTGGGTGTGCGGACCCGGCGCACATGAAGATTATGGGGGGTGGGGTGTTGTTGTTCCAGGATGTTGCGGCTGCGAGGAGGGAGGGGGAGGATTCGGGGAGGGAGAGGTCGAAGGAGAGGGAGTGGAAGCGTTGCGTTGAGGGGGATTTGGCGGAGGACTGCGATAGGCGATTAGTGAGGAATTGAGGTGCGTTATGTGGGAGAGTAGAAGAAGGGGAGACGATATAGGAGGCTTACTTTGATCTCTTCGAGAGCAGCTTCGAGTTTTTTGGTGTCTCGCGCGACGATGATTATGTTGGCGCCTTTGCTTGCTAGGAGCTGGGCTACGGCTTTCCCCATGCCTTGAGAGCCTCCTGTTATGAGTACTGTCTGGGAGATATTAATTTGAGGAGGCAATGAGTGGGAAAGATTGTACTTACTCGCCCGTTGACGGGGAAATGGTTTTTTCGTTTGAATGGGCCCATTATGCGGAGCGTGAGGTATGTGAGGAGGGAGCCGGCTATTGTGGCAAGCCAGAAGCTGTCGAGTGCCATACAGGCTGTGAGAAGATGTGATTGAGGTGCAATGGATGTTGCATGAAGATTGGGAGGAATTATTTCACATATTCAGGGCCAAAGCGGGAAGTTTTTATCTCCGCTTAATTCCGTCAACAGATTCTTAATTTTTTCCGGACTGATCGTGCGAGCAAGCTGTGTATTCCTCCTTCGCAACTATGGGTCGAAAAAGGAAGGCAAGCGGACAGCCTTTTGGCCAAAAAGAGCAACATTGGTCAAAGGAAAATGAAGGAAGCAAGCTGGCAGTCAACTCATATGAGGATGTTGCGGACTCAGAAGATGAATTCCATATAGGTCGAGACAAGGTGTTTTTGGATGAAAATCCTACTCGCAAGAGAATCAGACGAGCCGAGGAACAGGGTACCTTTGTTTTCGAATTAGTCATCACGTAATCGGCTGATCTGTCTCACAGAAGCTTTACTTGAACCCTCCGATGAAGAAGTTTTGCCATCGAGTGATCTTGAGCCAGAATCCGACGTTGAGAATCACGTGGAAGAAGAGGATGAGGATCAAACAACACAATCACCCCTCCGCAATGGCAAGCCCTCAAAAGGGCTGTCAAAGCCCCTACAAGAGTCAAGTTCGGAAGCAAGTGGCGATGAACCAAAAGATGACGATTTTGCCGATTGGGGGTCTTCGAAGAAAGAATACTACAATGCTGATACGATCGAGACAGAAGCGGATGCTCTTGAAGAGGAGGCTGAAGCTTTGCGTCTGCAGCAGAAGCAACGTCAGCGCATGACAGAAGCTGACTTTGGGTTGGACGAGATTGATTGGGAAGAAGACGACACACAACGTGATGGCAAACGAGGAAGAGTTGTACGAGAAGAGTTGCCGGAACTTGAGGTCACAAGCAATATGAGTGAGGAACAGAGAATGGCCATCCTAAGGACTCGATACCCAGAGTTTGAGCCACTGGCGAAAGAATTTGTCGATCTGCAGGAGCCGTACAAACAGCTTCAAGAAAAAGCTTCAGCTGCAGAAAAGATAGCAGGGATATCAAAGACGTCCGAAACTGAAGACACAGAACAAGCTATGTCTGTAGCTGCGATAAAATTCCGATCCTTGGGGGCCTATCTATCAGCGATCGCCGTGTATTTCGCCCTGCTCTCTTCAACTGCCAAAGACGAGAGTAAAAAAGCCACTGCCATACCACCAGATCAGCTTCAAAACCATAGCCTTATGCATACCCTTGTACAATGTCGGGACTTGTGGGAAAAGACAAAAGAGCTTCCTGAACCGGAACCACCGACGGATCTTACGAATGGTGACCCACCAGGCGAACACGACAACATTATGAACCAGCGTGACTCGATTGTGGAGCCAAAAGATACACAGAAGAAACGGAGGCGGCGAAAATCAAGAGCCCAACGTACGGCGGAGGCTCAACAAGCTGAAGCTGAAGCTCGCCGCCAGGCCCGAATTGAAGAGACCCAGACATCGCTCGCCGACCTCTCTGCTCTACTCGCTCCTACCAAAGCAAATTCGAATGCCAAGAAGCCTAGTTCGGCACCTATCAAGAATGGCTACAATTCAGATTCCGACATCGGTGAACCTACGTCCCTTACCCCTGCTGAAGCTGCTGAGAAGGCAAAGAGAAAGAAGACCCTCCGTTTCTACACATCTCAGATTGCTCAAAAATCGCAAAAGCGCGATCATGCCTCGAATGATGCAGGTGGCGATGCGGATCTACCCTACCGAGAGCGCTTCCGAGATCGAAAAGAGCGACTCAATGCAGAGGCTGAGAACCGAGGGAGGAAGAGTAAGGACAAGATCTCGGTAGACGATTTCAGCGGAGAAGAAAATCCGAATGAAGACGGTATTTCTCCCGCAGGCAATAACGGCGCCAGGAAAGGAGACGATGACGACTACTATGACTTCATCACCGCCAACTCGAAGAAAAAGAAGGCAGAGAAAGCAGCTCGTGCCGAAGCAGTGAAAGCCATCGCTAATGGGGCAGCTCTGGATCGTGTGGTTGAGGACGCAAATCTTGGCCCTGACGGCAAACGTGCTGTGTCTTATGCCATTGAGAAGAATAAAGGATTGACACCTAAAAGAAAGAAGGATGTCCGTAATCCGCGCGTCAAGAAGAAGAATCAATTCGAGAAGAAAATGAAGAAGTTATCAAGCGTGCGGCCAGTGTACAAGGGCCAGCCTCAGGGTGGCTATGGGGGAGAGCTGACAGGCATTAAGATAGGAGTGTCAAAAGGAGTGAGATTGTAGCGTAGCAATGAAGACGAGGTGCCGAAGTAGCTATAGCCCTGCACTACTTACGACTGAAGACGGGGTTTGAGACCCATGAAGCGATGTGCTACGCACCTCTGAGGTTAGAGCGTAACGTGTAGCCACGGAACCTAAATGAAACTGCAAATTGACAACGACTCACCCATATACATTCGCTAACGAGCCTCCCATTTCTCTATGACAAAGCTGACCCTCGACTCTAGATCATTGACGGTGGATGGTAAGACGGCATATCTTATATCAACCTCATTCAGAACGTCACAAAAAAGTCTGTGCATCTCCAGCCAAGCAGCATGGTTGTCAGGCATCAACCTCACTCCATCATTAATCAACCATTCGCCTCCTGCTTCACATACGATGACTAAACCTGCTTTCATCCGATCTCGCAGAAACTGCCACGCAGGCTCTTGCTGAAGCGCTAACATCTCACCCAAACCAACATAACGTCGCGCATACACTAATGGATCAAGACCAGAACGATCGGAGATGTACCATCCGTCTGATACGGCTCCTTCAGCTTCTGCTTGTGCCTGGAGGATGCGTCGCTGTAGTTCCAAGGCTTTTGATTTCGATGCCACGATGTCTACAGCGTTGAAATGATGTCGCTTGAGAACGCCTCGAGCGACTTCGGTGATTACAGTAGGCTCTGGGATTGCGGGTTTTGATGTCTGCGCCTGGCGATTGAAATGATCGGCTAACGCAGTGACGAGTGTTGTCTTTCCAGTACTCTGGGCACCCACTATGTATATATTTGAGGGTTCAGCCATCACAGCTCCTTGATGTTTTGGTTCTATGCAGGTTGGGAAAGCAGTGATTATCTGCTACAGAGATTTTCAAGCTGCAAGGTGAAGACTCTGCCTTACGCGGCAGCCCGCAGGTGAGGGCAGGCTCCGATTGGTGTCGCTCTCAGGCCAATCGTGACCACTGGGTGGTGTGTGAGCGCCCCACTTCAACATCATAAGTCATCTTCAGGGCTCTAAGATTATCCTCCAACCATGTGACAAGGACTACAGCGAGGCTAAGATGTCATCAAAAGGTCTGAGCAACTTTAGCTGCGTACTTCAAGATGTCATCCAACCTTCTGACCGAGACTGGACATTTGCGGTCTCAAACTTACCCCAAGTGCTTATCGCCAATCGATCAGGGCTCATCAAGTCAATATCAGTCGCCTCAGATACAGATCCCTCCAAAACGAGAATCTCTCTCCACTTTGTCAAGAGCCCAGAAAATCGAGCCATCTCCAGCGAGTACCTTGACAGGTACATAGCCATATCCTTCGCCAACTTTCGCTTGCAGTACCCTCCGACTGAATCCCAGAACGATGGTAAAACGACGCGATCACAGCCGGCCTCCCCCAAAGAAAGCAAAGACTATATCTTTCGGCTCCTGTCATCAGGTATCGTTCTAAATGAGACTCGTTACAACTTCTTCGGCCATAGCAACAGCCAACTGAAATCTAAATCATGCTTTCTCTACGCAGGCAGTAAAGACGAGATTGCTCGAAGAATTGATGGGCTCGGTGACTTTTCCAAGATCAAGTCTGTTGCCAAGCTTGCCAAACGCATTGGATTGCTGTTTTCCTCAGCTAAAGTAGTGACAAACCTCGATCCGAAACGCTGTCAGGACATCAAGGATGTTGAAAGAGATGACTACATCTTCACAGATGGATGTGGTCTCATCTCAAAACATCTTGCAAGCATACTGGTGCAGAAGCTTGATCTACGCTTTCGAAATACAAGATACCATCCATCAGTATTTCAGATTCGGTACGCAGGCTACAAAGGAGTCCTCACGCTTGAACCCAAGCTTGGTGGTCAAATATTGGTACAATTTCGGGACTCTATGAAGAAGATCAAGAATGTTCCGAATGACTCCTTTGCTGTGGTTGATCACTCAAAACCTTATAGTTTTGGCTACCTGAACGATGAGGTTGTTCTACTTCTACATACCTTGGGAATCACCGAAGCGATGTTTCTCAAGAAGCAGCAGGACTATTTACGCTTTCTATCTGCCGCTAAAAATGACCCCCAAACAGCTTTTCGTCTCTTGTCGTACATCAATGAGCCTGAGAAGGCTGAAAAATTGCTGATGGATGGGCTTGAATCCGTTCGATCAACAATCAAAAGTCATGTCACCAGCGAGCACAACAGGATGTTGAATAAACGCGATACATATCGTTGTAGGATCATGGTGCCCGACTCGCGATTGCTTTTTGGAATATGCGACCCTAGGGATGTGCTGAAGCAGGGGGAGTGCGCCGTCCGCGTGACATTGGATTATGGTGGTATAGCGAGAACGATCATCGGCTGTGACGTGCTCGTGACTCGGAACCCATGTTTGCACCCTGGAGACCTACAGAAGTTTAAAGCCGTGCAGTATCCTGAGCTGGCACACTTGACGGACTGTATCATCTTTCCAACACAAGGACGTCGTCCAAGTGCAGATCTGATGTCTGGTGGCGATTTAGACGGGGATAAATGTAAGAACTGCTTGTTACATCTCATGCACTGACTGACCCTGAAGCCTAGTCTTTGTTTGTTGGGACCCAGACCTCGTTCCGTCCAAGGTTGCTGAAGCGGCTGACTACCAGGGGCCACCAGAGCCTGTAACATTCAAGAAGATTACACACGAAGATCGCTTGACTTACTTTGCAGGGTATACGAACGCTTCACTCGGGCGAGTCAAGAATTTATACCTGGATTGGGCACGCTTAAAAGGTGCTATGAGCCCTGAGTGTCAAGAAGTTAACCACTTGTTCTCCAGATGTGTTGACGGAAATCGTATCAAAGTTCCGCCTCACCTGGAAAATATACCTAAAGATGAGTCACCATCAAACAAATTCATTCTTGACACCCTTCACGAGGACGCGGAAGCGTATCTCTCCAGCGATGAAACAGAGATTGACGTGACGTGGCCGCTGGCCGATAGCCTTGAACTTCTTCTTAGCAGGGAGAAGCTCATGTTCTCGGAGTTTGAGCTCTTCAGAATGACCGCTGCTTGGTGTCGCGTTAATCATTCGCAAATTGCAGACTACATGGCTTGCTTCGATTTTAGCCAAGTATCGGATGAGCAAAGGACTTGGGTGCTGGCACAATTGCCGGCAGAGGAACATCATGCGAAGCTGGTCATGAATGGTCTATTACAGTCCAGCCTACTCTCTGAATCAGACCTTCGAGCCTGCAAATTGGATCTACCAAGAGTGAGATGGAAACGTACGTTCGACTCTAGCGTCGATCGCCTTGGAAGATTTATGGAAGCTTCTGACAGAGCTTTGGAAATGTTCTGCCGCAAATTAATCGTGATACAATTGAGTTCTAGATTGACGGTGGGGATCTACATTCCAAAAAAGGCAGTGAAGTACAAAGAGTTGGTTGTCAACGATTCTGTCCGCCTCATATCTTTCCCACACTCTCAGGAGGCAAAGTCAACATATAGGCAGATCGTCCCCACAAAGTCAGACTACAGACTATACTTTGATAATACAACTTTTCAACTTTACGAGAAGCATCGCAGGAATACATGGATATTTCTCACCAAGCCAGGACAAGACGACGCTCCGTACAGAGGCATAGAGGACCAAGGCGATAAGAGAAGGGTTCGACACGCTACTGTGGAGTCCGGGCTAAATCAAGATTCCGTGGCCAGTATGGCGCTCAATAAATTCAGCGGTGGTCTTGCAAGACATATTGGCAGAATCAATCGAGACCCCATCGTCGGCGCTGAGGTGTATGTCATCAGTAATCGAGACACCCGCTCGATGCATTATCTTGACCAATGGCTTCATCACGTAGATACCGGGGAAGTTTTGCCGCGTTTTGAGAAAGTCGAACGCCAATATGAGATCCCCAGTCTCAAGGATGTAGATTGGTCAACTGAGCCAGATGTTTTTTGTCAGATTGCACGCGACAGGCACTTCTCGGCCTTCGATGCCCTTGGTTCCAATATTGCTTATACCGAGATATTCCAATGGCTTCTGGACCACGGCCAAAAAGCTGTTCTACGAGAAGCATTCACATATCTTCTGTCTCCATCCAATCAAGCCGAGCGAAAAGTCCCAAGCTATGTTGTAATCAAGGGATTGATCGAATTCCTTCCCGTGGCTCCGTTTTTGGCCCTGACCTTCGCACAACTGAGCGACTACAGCAACCTTGCAATCGAGACCCAAAAGGTCCTGAATGACGAAGCTGATTGTATTCTCAAAGCACTTGCCACAGCTGCAAATGAGAAGCAAGTCCTCATCGTTGAGCCTTTCAAACGAGTGCTTGCACATGTCTCACACATGCACCTATCGTCCTTCATTGCTTTGGTCGAACATATTTCCTTGGTAGTCAGATCCCCTGAGATTGCTCTGGATCTCTTAATGGAGTGTCTAGATCGCGAAAGCCCTCGATTCTTCAGCGAGAGACCTGCAATAGCGCAATATCTCGTCAAAAATTGTATAGGCATGGCGATGGAGCACATTGACGAAGCAGTTGAGTCCCGCGCGACGAGAAAAGAATCATTGCAACTCCAACGACAAGACGATCCACAGCTTCTGAAGGCCCGACTACGCATTGATTCCCATTCCTCCGTACGCTTTGCGACAAACGATCATGTCCAGCTGACAGCAGCGGATCTACCAAGCAATAGTTTTACGACCACTGCTTACTCTATGGATGTCTTGGTTGAACGATCAGAGCAAGGAAGTGTCACTTTCGAATGTCTTCATCCGGTTCCTGTCTTTGTCGAAGATTGCTCTTGGACAGCCAGGCATTGTGGTTCGTTTGTCACAAGCAAAACGATGTTTGACGCCATGAAAGAGTTCGTGACTAGTCCAGAACAGAGCTGTCCAATATACGAAAGGATCTTACGTCTAGATGAGAGAGACGATGGAGAAGTCACTAGCGCTGAGTGCAGTTTTACTCATCGGACAGAACTCAATGAGAGTCAGAACAAGGCCGTGGTCGCCGCCCTCGGTACGAATTTGACATGTATTTGGGGTCCTCCTGGAACAGGGAAGACCCATACAATAGCCGTACTTCTAGAGGTCCTTATTGCGGATCCAAGCAGAAGAATTCTGGTGACCGCACCAACGCACAACGCTGTCGATAATGTGATGCGAAAGTACTTACAGAACATGAAAGCCAACAGTCAGTCTGTACCTATCGCGCTTCGAGTCTCCACTGACGTAAGTTCTCCTTAATACGAAGCTCTCACGAAGTCAACGCTAAATCCTTTCAGGTCCGCAAAGTGGGCGAAGACTTACGGCATTACACCTGTGACGCGATGCTAGGCAAGGATCTGAACGAAAACCCTGCAGGCCGACGAAAGGCACAGAAGCAGATCAAAGGATGCCGTCTCATCTTTACAACGTGCATTGGAGCAGGACTCGGGCTCCTTCGTTCGGAATACTTCGACACTGTCATCATAGACGAAGCTTCGCAGCAAGTAGAGCCGCAATCTCTAGTCCCACTGGTCAAGGGCTGCCAGAAGGCAGTCCTAGTCGGCGACCACGTCCAGCTCCGCGCTACTGTGCATCCCCACAGCCAAGCACTGGATTTCGACATATCACTCTTCGAACGCTTATACCGCTCAGAAGACAACGAGCGAAGGATTCGAAAAGTTATGCTGGACACTCAATACCGCATGCACGAAAGTATCTGCGCTTTCAGCTCTGAAGAATTCTATGAGGGCCGGTTGAGAACTGCAGTCAAAGACTCCGAGCGTCCGCTCCTCCCATCATCTTTCCCATGGCCACCCTCCTCAGGGTCCAGCAAAAGCGTGCCTCGAATGTTCTTCGTCCAATGCTCAACAACTGAGGATCTGGGCCGAAAATCCAAAAGCAACGCTGGCCAAGCAGCAGTGGTACGTGATATTTGCAAGCGATTACTGCAACCAGAAGACAATCAGCAAGATAGCAATGCGTTGCCCTCTGTGGCTGTACTAGTGCCATATGCTCGCCAAGCGGAATTGCTCAAAGACCTTGCCACGACTAAAGTGGCTGTCAACAGCATTGATGGCTTTCAAGGACGCGAAGCAGATGTCGTGGTATACGGGACGACGAGATGTAATGTTAATGGGGACATCGGGTTTCTGAAGGACTTGAGGAGGCTCAATGTTGTGCTGACACGTGCGAGGTCTGCGTGTATTATTGTGGGAGACAGGGCTACGCTGACGGGAGGAGATCCCGCTGAGGAGGCTACGGGGGTTTGGAAGCGGCTGCTTGGGACTTTGACTCCGCTTTCTCTAGCATGAAAATATGGGGGATGGATGTGAGGCTGGTAATAGTGTATCCCACGACACAAGGGAACAGAGGTTGTTTGGTGTAATGGGAGCACGCGCTCTTGTGACTTGTCCTGTAGAACTTGACACATTTCTTCTAATCATGAGCGAGGCGGCCGACACATCTCAGACTCTGCTGAAGTGTCTTAGATATGCCTCCAAACACGGGTGTATTGGGCAAAAACCAGCTCACTGTTAGTCTATCTCGTCGCGCTACCTCCTCGGTGAATCATAGATCAATTCGACAAAATAATGTCTCAATGTTAGGTGTCAAGTAACAAAGTCAATCATGACACAGCGTCCGAGTCCACACTAGACCAAGAGATGATCTGTACACAGTACGATGGTCGTGTATAAAAGGCTGTCTCCGACCCAGGTACATCTCCCCTCCTGTATGCAACTTACTCCTCTTTGTACAAGTCTAAATATATATATACCCTACCCGAGCTGAGAGCGAGCGCCGAGGCAATAATCGAGAAGTCTGAACGCTGGACCTTTACATTGCTAGTCAGGGCACCTGTCCCTGAAATATCTCAACCATACCATACTCAAGCGGGAGCTCTCCCGTCAAGACTATTCAGAGGAAGTCAGCCGACAACGAGAGGCTCTGCAACATCGGCTAAACAGTGGGGCTAGTGGGCAGGCAATCCGACGCATCATCGACGTCTTGCGCTCTGCCCATTACAATGCTTGACGATGTTCGTCAATTTATTCCTACTCACCACATAGCCTGAGCGTCAATCTGAGCAAGGGTACAGGTGTATTAGATCGGATGCTAGTAACAAGGACATGACTGCATATTCCCACAAGGTGATGCGATCATTGCTCGAACCATCAATGAAGAGCGCGTTTCGGGAACTTAACGAGAACAGCTGTTGGAATAAAAGGAGACTGATTGGCTAGACTGGTCAACAAAATATGGCGGCAAAAGTAATGGAGCCCTCTATGGATATGCCATGGCTCAGGAGTCAAAATGATGATTTCTTGCCTTGGACTCTTCTGCGACTGAAAGTTCATGGCGCCATGAATTGGTGGAGCTAAGAGTTCTGGGTTTCATGATAATGAAGTGCTTGCCTAGCCAACGAAATCGCCTAAGCGAAATGGCCTACCACAACTTCGATATTCACCATCAACGAGTCTATGGCTTCTACCACGGCCCAGCGACCTGAATCATCGGATACTTACAACGGAGCAATTGACTGGGACAATGAACCGCTGCAGCGCGATGGCACAAGGGTCACATGTTCGGCAGCAATGGAGCAGTTGGAAGTGGGATTTCGAGATCGAAAAGACTATTGCACCGAAACAGGCGGAGGCATGCGACTTGACTGCCCCTGGGGTTAACGATTTGGTACGAAGACTTACGAGCTATCAATCAACTAATCGATGGTTCGTGGGTGGACATTCCACGCAGTCGTCCATAAATCTCTCGCTCGACGACTCGCGGGGCATCGGTACGGGCTTATTAGATTTGTTGACATTGAATTCCCATTGTTCTGACGGGTTTCCTTCGTTCATGAAGGAAGGACACCATCAGCTGAGAAGTTGGTCACTATAAAAAGATCGCGGTATTCATGGCTGTATGAGTCGCGAATCTTGCTCGCTCTTCTAAGGTTTGCTCCTCGTTGTTGCACGTATCTATCGAGGCAGCTTTTCGCTTTTCCTGCAGAAACGAATCCGTCGATGACTACAGCAAATGGTCAATAATAGATGGACAATGGACTAGTACTAGCAGCAGCTACTGCCGAAAAGAATAAGCAGGAAAGTCCTTTTTGACGAGAACGAGGGTTTCGATAGTAATTAAGTCGTACGACGATGACATGCAGAGCCAGGAAAAAAACTCAGGGATGAAACTAAGGATATGTGAAGACTTCAACGCTGTTTGGTGCATACGAAAAGCTTCAGGCTTTTCCTGGAGCGGGGCTGTGTGGACTTCAGCCTGTGTGGATATGAGATATTGGGCAACGTACAGCACGGATCAGAATTGAAAGGAATTGACTTTGAGGATCGAAGAGACGGAGATTTGTGCGGAATGAGATTCTTCCTGGAGAATACGAGCGTGAAATATCAGTCAAGAGTATGTAAGCATGGAAACAAGTCTTTTCGAAATCTATCTCTGATGAGGGTAGGGGTTGTCAGTCAACATCCACTACATCTTTCTTGAGGCTGGGACTTATCAACGGCTAGAGCCATTTTTTTAAACTGTAGGCAGGGAATCTGTGGGACTTTGATTGTTCAAGAGCGGCACTCTGGCTCAAATGCATCACTTCCAATAGTATCCTTGTCACCAATGAGATCCAAAATACCGGTTCTCAATAACCTAAATCCATAAAAGTCAAAGAGAAAATATTCACTCAAATCAGCCCCTCTCTATCCCACCCCATTCAAAGCCGTCTTTGCAAAACAAAACTCCGAGAAGTACAAGGAGCATAACGCAAGAAAACATCCCCCATCGAGTTTCGCTCCCCTTGCACCTTTCCTACCCCTCCCTTCATATCCCCCAGACTAAACAACACAATACCTCTCGCCTTCCACACTCACCTCATAAGCGCGGTTCCTCCGCCTCAATCACGTTCCCACCCATCATCCCCATTTCTCATACAAATCCCCCGGCAGCATCTTCGCTCCCGCAGATTTCCTCACAACCAACTCCCCTCCCCCCCATCCCCCCCCTCCCTTCCCCAACCTCATACCTCAGAACAGCCCTCCCACCAAGAGTCTTCACCACGCTCACGATCTTCCTCAATAGCGCAGCCAACTTTACCAAGTCGGTCTGGTGCCGCTCTTCCCAATCCTTGATCCCTCCCGTCACATCTTCCACTTCGGTCTTTTCGAATAGGCTCCAGCGGTAAAAAAGGGGGAAGCGGGGGGGGGAGGCTAGCACCAGTTTTGGAGTCTGTGAAAGCTACAGTTGGGGCGCGATGGCCTGGACGTCGAGGTGTTTGTGGGAGACGTGCGTTTTGAGCTCGAGGGTCGATGACAGGGGGGGAAGGGGTGGTGTTGGCCTTCACGTTTGAGCGTTAATTTGGATCCAGGGGGTTTTGGTGATGAGAGGTGCGGTGTCTGGATTTTCGGTGGCCGAGATGCTAGAGGGATTTTCGCGAGCTACTTCTTTGCTCGTGGGAGACGGAGGTACTTGTGAGCTATCGTTTATATAGCCGTCCGTCTCGTGGCGGACAAGACAGTTCAGATCCCCAAAGCGATATGATATGATCCCGTGGTCGCCGGTGCTAGCGGGGATGGGATCTGTGAGGTAGTGTACGCCTTCTCGAATTCGTGGTCGTAGCCCCTGAATTCATCTGGCCCGATGATGTCCTGCGTCACAGGATCCACACGACATAGTATCGCTGTGTCTCTCACTACCTCGACGTTGATGGTGAATGCTTCGAGTCCCTTTCTGCAGGAAGTAGGGTTTATGAATGAGAGGAGTTTGCGGACGTTATTTCGGTCCGTTATGATATCGGTTGAGCGAGGGTCGAAGGATGGGTTGGCAACGTCTAGTGCGCGGAAAAGGGTTTCAAGTGGATAGGGGGGATGGCGAGCGGCGTTTTGGTCCATGTAGACGAGACCGAAGTCTTTCTTTAGCTGCTGAGGGGTGCTTGGGGGCGACCAGAGAGAGGGACTGCCAGGGACGGAGATGGTGGGTGTGGATGCTGATGCTTCGATCCAGTTGTAGGAGGATAGCTGCTTGATGTTTGTGATTGAAGCTGTGGGAGGAGTGGAGAGAGCTTGCAGATCTTGACGAAAGATTTCCGTGTGGTAAGTTGATGCCGCCATTATGATGTTGATGAAGATGGATTTCAAGTTGAAGTTGGTCAAGAGAATGTACTTGGCATACCGAGCACTACTTATACTCAGTTTTGTTTGCGTGTTTGCCTTCACGTGAATACGAGCACAGTGTTAATATGTTGCCTTAGACTAACCGGTGTGAAGACTTTGCCACTTCAGACACATAACAAAGAAGAGCCCCAGAAATAAACCAAAGAATGTTCGAAGGAAAATTCTGAGATGTTGGCGATCTTCACTCAACTGTTATTTGATTATGAACGCGAGACATGATGACGAAGTGCTCGTCGTCCATTATGGTGCATATCTCTTTTGCGCTCTGTACACACATCCCTTAGCACCTCTTGGTCTGGTCAATAAGCCTCAATCTCGTTCGTCTGGCTCATCTTCCTGCCATACTTCCTCCCAATCTTCGCTGTTTCCCTTGTCTTCATCGTTATCGTCCTCGCACTCCAATTCTCCCATCAGCCCTAGACTCACTTCTCTCTTCATATATGCATGAAGTGCCCCCCTTCTTCTTCCTCTTTCTTTGGCTGATTTCCCTCCCTATCCTGCTGACCTCCCTCCACTAGTCTAGCTACCACTAGCTTAAACTCCCGCACTTCATCCTCTAGCGCCTTAATCCTATCCTCCGTCTTAGCATCGTCAGCAGGCGCCCTCGCTGCACTCTCTTCCTTGGGCAGGTTCTCGGCTGGCTCCAGCTGCACGTATGGGATGGGTGGGCAGCGAGGCCAATAGTCGAGAGCATTTGGCTCGGAAAAAGGTGAGACCATGCATGATCCTCCGTGAGGATGGCGCGGAGACGCTTTCTCAACCTCCGAGAAGTCTAGACTCGAGTTTGGTGAGAGGAAACTGATAGCTAAAGTGCGTAAGACTTAGGGGAAGTCCAGGTCTATCCCAAAATTCATGCTGGTGTGCCTCGTCAAAGTCTGGGAAAAGGCTGCCATGGCCACCATCGGGCCAGTAAGGATCATTCTCTTCAGTTTCAGTGGTATACGGCGGGCTTTGAGATCTTGGAGGGAGGAAAGGGCCGAACTTGGCGGAAGGGCGGTGTAATCTTTCAACTGGCCCGGGCTATGAGACGAGAATTAGCGATGACTGAGAAATGTTGAAGGGTCAAGGGTAAGTATATACCTCGTTATATACTGGCCTGTGAATAGGACATTTCTCCCAGCTTCCCGTATTTGGCTTGTGGTAGTACTCGCCGAACTCGAGCCTATGTGTTGGTTCGTTGCATCTTGGCTGAGATTTCCATGAACGCGGGTAGAGAATGTCCGAGTAGATAGTGGAGGAGTGGGCAGAACCATCCATGTGGTGAAGGTCCATTTGGGGAAAGGTGAGCGTCGAAAATTTTGATGATGGAACGTGAAGAGGGTGTGATTGCTGAAGGTAAGAAAGAAGAATCAAAGACACAGGAAAAAGAAGTAATGAGATGTGGATCCCAAAAAAGCTGGTGGGCTGCGGGTTGGCTTTTGTTTTTCGCGTGGCTGAACCTTGCGTCCAGAAAGATTTTCTCGTGATATGTCTCCAGACTTGTCAGGGAGCTAGCTAGAAGGAGCGAATGACAGTCTTCTGAATCAAAAACATGCAAGTCTCAATCAATCCCGACGAAGTATTTCCAGAGTCTCTTCAATCATTTGAACCCGCTGCTTTGAATCCTCAAGTGCCACCATCAATCCAATCTCTGCACCCCGCAGTACCGGATCTTCCTCCTTACTAGACTTGTCCTGGCCTTCAATATGCTGTATCAGCGAATTAGTCATACGGTTCAATGGCTTAGCTGCTGAGCTATCATTCTTTGGTCGATCCTGACCCGCTGAGCCTTCGACTGTTGATTTATTCTTTCCTTTTCCTCGTTTTTGAGCTCCACCCGCAGCAGCGGTATTGTTGTTGACTATTTCTGCGGTCGGAGAGTGGGACGAGGGAAAATATTTCGCAATTGAATGGGGGTCGGAGCTTGATATGCTGGTCTGATGGTGCTTTTTGTGGGAGCTGCTGGCCTGAGGACCCATTGAATGGCTCTCCTGCTCGTCTGATAAATCTATTGGATTTGATTTAGAGCCTCTAGCGGGTTGATCTTCGAAAGAACGTTCGTTTGGTATGTGGCCTTCATGGTCTAAAGCTGATGTAGGGATCGATCTTGCTGACTTTTTGGCCGAAAAGTTTTTGGACGTCATTGTGTCAGTGTTTCTCTGCATATGTTGAGGTCTTTCTGGAGGTACAATGGCTGACTTTAAATATGAAGGCTGAAAGGGACCCATGCTCCTACAGCAATATATGCTGGCAAACGAGGCTTTCAAATTGGGCGAGACTATTTTGGGGGCATTTGGTGTTGGCAATCGAGAAAATTTGCTACGAAGTTGCCTACTGCCGATAACCTAAGGTCGCCGCATGTAGGTATGTTCAGACAATCTGGCATCTTCCGACTGTTCCATTCTTGACCTTTCTCAATCTTTATACCTCGAATTCTCAGCTAGTCCGATCCACTACCAGCAATCAACAAGGGTCAGATATATTCTCCCGTTACAATGCAGGCTCCGAGCATTCAGCCCAGAGAAGGCAGCGTGCAAGCTTACGGAGGGAGACCCTTTTGGTAAGGTAATCGGGGCGAGCAAAATTCACTAAGTTTACAGGCAATGTGGCGGCAAGTGAATCTTGATAAGGCAGAGCTGTGAGGCATAGTGATTAAGCCACGAAATAGCTGGCGATGATGTAGCTGCTTTGATGAGTTCTTTGTTTAGTAGTTTCTATAGGCCTGTTTACTGGCGTACATGTGGCGGATTCTGGTGGCCTGGTTCATGGCCAATGCGCCTTCTCATGAAGTTCTTGCCTCTTTATATGCCTCTAGGATCCAATAGATAAAGGTCGGACAGATTGGTTCGACCGCTGTGTCCAAAGAGATCCTAAGTACTTTGTTAGTCCCGTTCTGAATCGAATAGCATCAGAAACCCGATCAACATAACAAATTGCTCAAGGTCCCAAAGCTTCCTAACGCATCTGTTGCAAATATCCCTTCAAGCGAACGGTCATTCACGGAGGAGCTCAAAGAAAAACACCATGACAAACTCAGCAAACAAGCAAAAAAACGCAAAGGAGTTCCAGGAAACCCTTCTTCGCGAGCTAGGATTTATTTCCCGTCAGATTCAACTCGTTCTGCAAAAGGTAGATACAAGGGACTCTGCGACAGAATGTTCACCGCAAGCCGAGTCCCGGCTTCCATCCCATCAAGAATTGAAACACGAAGACCGACAGAATGGCGAAGTACAGAGCGATCCAAAACCAGCAGTGTCTACGACTGGACAAACGGCAGACGAAAGCAAGTGTGACGGGCAAGTGGCAGCAAGAGAGGTAGATTCAAGGAGAGATGAGGAGCCTGATTGGTTCGATGTTAACATTAATGATGGGGAACCAGTCTCTTTTACTGAGGAGGCCGGCATAGTCCACATTGAAAGGGATTCGAAGTAGACCATCTAGTCCTACAACGCAAAGCTGGTAGGTGACGATTTTGTATTCAAGATTCGGTAGAACATCTTATAGAAATTCGAGTTTTTGTCCGATCACTCCCTCGATGTCATTGACCATACTTCTACTTAGTTCAGGCTAGAAACATTGAATGAGACCAGTGAATGGGCGTCCCTACGTTGAGGTTCAGGATAAAAGAAGTCCTGCGTTAATCACCGGGCTAGGATATTGATTGTTCAAAAGACCCTGTCGCCGCCCTTTTGCAGGCGGTTTCGAGTTCTTATGCCTTCCCTGAAAGGCACCGTCAAGCTGGAGACTCCATGGAACCAGGCTTAAGAAGCCACGAAAATTCTTTTCGCCTTTTCGCCTTGTTGTCAGCCTTCAAATATCGGTATATTTATGACACTGCAGATTGTTCATTCATTCCTCAAGAACACACCAAGAAGTAGATTACAGCATATTTCAAAATGGCACCCGAAGATCATCAAAACGTCTCCAAAGACTCCGTCCCAAGTAAAGCTAGTACCGATAGACGTCCAGCAGCAAAGCAGGACGACTATGCGAACGAGCTCTCTGGCAGATCGGGCTCCTCGCTAAATCCGGATGCTAGTCTTGCTGCAGCAGAAAATCGGGCCCAAGCCTTTGAAAACCCAGCATTGACATCCAAAGAAGATCCAAGTCAGCCCTCGGGAGCAGAGCTGTATCAGACACACGAGAAATCTGACGTACAGAGCCATCCCATGCCTATGGCAAGCTTGACAGGGTTGACATCACGTATTGAGAAATGCGAGCAGCAGGTGGAAAAGCAAGCGAAGATTCTAAATGAAATTCAGGAGCGTCTTAATGAATTTGATATCGGTCTGAATGATCAGCCTTCGAAGCAGAGGAACAAAATGACCGGTTACTACAGCTGGAAAGCGTGATATTCTTCGGCTACATACGTCCTGTGTCATATAAAGGTGGCAAGGCGTGGTGGGTAGGCAAGTGGCGGGACGCGGCGAGAGAGCGGATGATAATACTGTAATTTCGGAGCGAGTGAGTAGACATCACAGGCTAGACGTTCTTTTAGGACATGAGGGAGGTGAAGATCGTGACCATTTAGAGCGCGTGGCGTGCGAGACGATTATCGCCGAACACAGCCCGTCCCATGGCCGTAATACCATTATTCGTGCACATGATTGTCAGCTGACAAACTTGGCCAAAACTTGATGCCAAACTCTTGCCTACGATCGCCCCACGCGCCTTGATGCCTGCTTCTCTGCCTCCTCCAGGGCATATATAGGTAGTTCCATGTCTAAAGGTAGGGCAACATCTTGACCAACATTTCTTGTAGCTAGTCGATCCACAACCGCCAATTTGCCATCGAGTCGGCAGTACCCACCCAACATGCCCAACCAAGACTCAACGAGCAACGAAGCGGGTAGTGCGTCGGAAACGAAGTCATCGTCAACGCAGCAAGATGCCACCACCTCCACAGCCATTGATGCGAAAAACATCAAAGATGCTAAGCCAAGCGAGAAGAGCGAGGAAGACGTGGCGGGTGCTGCCTCAGAAGACAAAGACTCGTCAAGCCAGCAAGACGCCGCCACCGCCACCCCTACAGCTGATGGTAGGAAAGACAACGAAAAGTCTGAGCTAAGCGAGACGGGCGAAGAGGGCGAGGAATTCTCGGGGTTAGGACCTTGCGACACGATCATGCGGTCAGCGCCTTTCCGCCGAAGTGGAAGGGATTTGATTTTCGGGAGGTTTTGTTGTAATTGATATGGAGATGGGGGATGATGGGGTTGAGTAGCGGATCTTGATTGATGGGATACTGGATTGAATGGAGAGTTTAGCTGGTAAGGGCATGGGTTTTTACTCCATGATTGGGTTCCTGGCAAGTGATGCTTTTTGCGAGATTCGAAGTGACATGCTGGAAGGCATGGGACGAGGGAGAAGGGGGGGGAGGGTTGATAAAGGCGTCGCAGCGGAAACAGTTGTGAGGAGATTTATGTGGCAGGAAATTTCGATTGATTAAAGAAAGAATAGTGGAAGTTTTTATACTTCAAAATACACTCTGACAAGGTCCAGAACTAAAGATTTGGGCTGGTACATCCCAGCCCGTGGCGTCCTCGTCTTGGCAATCGTGTTGGGTAGATGATCCATGTATTGACATGAGGATTTCTTTGGCATCCAGCAGCGTCGTTTCATCCTCAATGTGCCTCGGAAGGGTCATGCAGAGGCCGCTCCAAGTTTCAACTCTGGACTTTGGGTCACGCAGGAATCGTTCAAATTCACTCCGGCCGGCCCCCGTTTTTGGGTTGAACCTTTTCTCATAAGTGGCTTTTCCCGTGTCATAGCTAATTGAGATAGTTTTGTCCACATCCTCATCCTCCGCAGCGTCTAGGATTTCAAGCATGTCGATGTACCAGAGTCGGCCGAATAAATTGGTCAAATTCAAGCATTTCAGTCTTGGCATACAGGCGAAACATCTAGTAAGGGCATCTTGCCATAGAGGCAACGGACAAGCAGTCTCGTCTGTTTCAAACGTTCTAAGATTCACCAATTGATGGTCGCCAACGAAATCGACAAAGGCGTGCAGACAAGCTGACCCGAGACGAAGATGGCGCAACGTAGCCCAGTTCCAGAAAATGTACCGGCTCTGGTGGCGATAATGGAAATTTTTGATCTCCAATCTCTCAATGGGTGGGAAACAGTCTAGTTGCAAAGAATCTGCGCCGGTATCTTCGAAGCTCCAAACCCCTAGAAAAAGTGGGACGAATTGCAGGACTCGTAGATTTCTGCAGCTAGCAACAACCTTTTGAAGTTCTGCGCCGCCAATGAGGCATAGGTCAGCCTCACCCATTTTCAGGGAGTAGAGATTCTGGTTGCTCATAAGGGTCCTCATATCCAAAGGCGATCCAGTCTTTGGGAGGGCTAATTCTCGAAAATTTCCAATGTGTAGTCTAGCGGCCGGATATCGGACTTGAATGTAGGTCAAAATACTCGGATCAATGGCATCTGCCCGTGGTTCATATTCTAACATCGGACATGTAGAGTAGGAAAACGTTATAGACATCAGGTTTTCCATCATATAAAGGAGTCTCAACATTGCCCATGCCTGGACTTCGCCACGAATTGTGATATGTCGTGTGTATTCCTTCACTGATGCGAGATCCAATGTCGACCGCCGCAAAAGCTTTACGAGAGGATCACATTTCGCATCACTGAGGCGAGAATCTCCGACGATATGTTTAGGGCAAACCAGGCGATTTTTATTCGAAAGCTTTTCTAGACGTCTCGAACGATCTTTGGAGTGCGGCGCTTGTATCGTATACGGAATACCAAGCGTAATACATTGGTAGAGAAAAGGAATAGCCACATTGTAGTGGACACGCGCCGATCGGGCAAAGCTCTTGACATCCTGCTTCGTCAACTGTGTACCATTAGCGTTGTCCGCATTTAGCTAGAACAGTTCATAGACCTCCTGGAATATTATTCGCCATATATCTGAGTGGAGCGGTTTGTAAGATGCTTGGTCCATGACGCAAAGTAAAAGAAATGTTCAGGCTGAAGCTGACATATTCAGAGATTAATGCACATTTGAGGTGGTTAAGAGACAGGGAGCCGAGGCGGATGTAGAGGTAAATATTGATTGATTTTGGAAGGTGCGTTGAGGGGCGAAGCCACCAGACGCCATTACCAAGAAGCATCTCCACAGCGGATCTCAACCAGGAAGGCGTTCTCTCTCCCCTTCGTTTTCAGTAATGTGGTCTTTTCTCCTCCATTTATAGTTTCGAGCTCTTGTAGACGTCTCTTTCAAGGACTGTATCGCGCTCTGATGCAGACCAGCAATACAATAGCCCCATCCCTTCCATCTTCCTCTGCTCCACTTCCATGATCTTGTAGCACCCCATACCAACCCAATAACCAGAAAAGTCCCGGCGATGGAAACGATGACACTCAGGAATGTCACTGTGGAGACATCACAGCCCAGCTCGTTACCTCTAAGCTCCCATCTTTCATCTCTTGTGGGGCAGATGTCGGGTTTGTAAATTGGTGTCAACAAAGGCCATGTGGCAGGGTTTGGTATACACGCCGATGTCTGCAGCAGAGACGTGGTCAGCGCTTGTACAATTTTGAGAGAAGGCTCTTTGCAATTGAGGAGGGGCTGACCACAGGACACCAACTGCAGTGGAACTTGCTGCTCAAGCAGCCGTGGCAATCCTGTTGCCGCCAGCAATACGGCAGTAGCAGATCAGGATCACGGCTAGGATCATGGTTCCGACTGAGAGCTTTCTCGCGTGAGGGCGCAAGGAAGCTGGTAATCATAATGAAAGCGGAGATTGGCAGTAAATTGCAATCACAAGCAAAGGCGCACATTTCTCAGAACGCTCCGATATATCTCATACCAGTTTTTGGCGCTAGTAAAACCTTATCTCAATAGTCGATTTCACTAACAACAAAGCCAAGCTCAAGCGTTGACTCATTTGAGACGAAGACCTCGTGCAAGAGCAGCATGATTATCTTTATGACTCCTCTGTCTAGCTTGCTCCTGTCAAGCCCGCATAAATCAAGAAGAAAGCGCAAGACCAGCCACAAACCTTCCTACCGTGAGCAATAACAAACAGCGACGAGCGCGCCGTCGACCATACAGCCCACCGTCAGAAGCCTCGCACCATATAGTTGGAAACATGTCGTCCTCGACGCCCTATCGCGAAATACGTGCCTCCTACGACGAGTATGCCATCACAGTCTACCAGGCGTACTCGCCCACCATAGCTGAAGCCGCCGTCAAGCATCAGAACCTCGCTGCATCCCCAGCCTTCTCCATGACACGAATGACATGGATCAAGCCATCTTGGTGCTGGATGATGTACAGATCTGGCTACTCATACAAAGATGAGCGGCAGACACGGATTTTGGCGCTGAAAATACCACATGAGAAGTTCAAGAAGTTGTTGATGGAGAGTAGCCTCAGCGAGCCTGAGCGGCGGTCTGACGACAAAGTCAATGGGGGGAAGAAAGAGCCGGGCGGACGGGGCGGCGACCAGAACAATAATACAGGCAAAGAGGAAGAAGGGAAGGGCAAAGTCCGTGTTCAATGGGATCCTGAACGAGGCCCTAGGCTTGGAATAAAGCCATATCGCAGCATACAGATAGGAGTTGGGAGGAATATAGAAAGATTCTTTGTCGAAGAGTGCGCGAAAGAGATTGAAGATGTGACTGAGCGAGCAAGAGCGATGAAGAAGCTGTTGGATGAAGATCCGAGTATTGGCCTAGAGCAGCTCGTAGAGAGAGGCCTGATGCCCCAGGAGAGGGTCTATGATGTTGACGAGGAGCTGAGAAGAATTTTAAGCATGGATATGAGGTGAGTTCGATAGAATTCTTTCGTCGTTCACTCCGTTCCGTGAATTGTTGATCAAGTCTTCATTGATCCAAATGTGCACATCCCAACTTCCTCCAAGCATGCCTCCCCTACTGTTATAAATACATATAGCGTCTTCGAACCTTGCTATTAAGCCAAAGGAGCCACCAATCTCACTTTTGGTCCATCGTTCTGCCACCGGCGATTCTCTATTGACGCCTAACATAGTGGCTTTTGCTTTTGAGAGCGCCTCAACCTATTTCATCAGCCTATATTAAGAGTAATATACACTTTTGCAAACCTCGCACTTGGCTGAAGTCTGTTTGACAAATCGGCACAATTTCTTTGACCTATAAAGCTCATCATCTTCAGCGCTGCTAGATCTATTTCTTTTGCCTCAAACAACGAAACCTGTCTTTGCAATAAGCCCGTAACGATTTCCTCGACTCTTCAGTCAAGATGCAACAAATACTTCTGTTCCTCCTTTGCCTCCCCACACTCCTTCTTGCCTCCTCGACCAAGTCTTTCTTGACAAAGAGCACGTTGCTCTGCAATACTCACCTCGACTCCTCATCAGCAGACAGTGAAATACCAACAACGACCGTTGCAACGTCGACCTTCACGCATGTCCCCTCGTTTGTGACTGTGGAGGGACCCCCGGCTCGCACAACGGTCACTCCGGCCGCCTCAGTTACGCGCACAGTCACAGCCACTCTGACGACGAGCTCGATAACACCGGGCGGAACCACTACGCACGTCTTCACAGCCACAGTCACCCACAAAGTGTCCACAATGACAAAAGAGATAGCTTGGGTTAATGTGACGAGCCAGACAATGATAATCTCGGACGTGACAGAGACGTACACGATCCCGTTCCCGGAGGGATTTATAGAGGTCGAGCCGGAAACCCACTTCGAGGACAACACCGATGGGAGGGCATGTGGGGGGAAACAACCAATGTGCGCCTATGCCCGAGGAAGCGCGACATATTCGGTCGAAAGTTCAAGTCGCGGATGCCGAAGATGGAAGTGAACGAGTTGGCTCTCAACCAAGAGATGAACGCTCTAGCATACACGCATCCGGCCGAAGTAAAATGTACGCACCCTCCCAGCGTCCACAACCTCACTAACAAATCAACAGGCACCTCCCTAATCACCATCGTCCCCCTCTCAACCATAACCGCCACCCCGTCCCTCACCTCCACAATAACAGCCACACCCTCACCAACCACAATAACGACAACCGTACCCGGCGAAGTCAAAGTCGTCTGCCCCACCCCCATCACGGCCTCCTCCACAAAAACCACAACCAAAACCTCCACCACCACTATAAACTCCACCTGGACCTCCTTCTCGACCTCAACAACCACAACCTGGGCAGCCTGCAACACCGGCAACGTGCTGGGCCCACACATCCACGGCGGCGTAGCATTCGTCAAATTCGTCGGCTACACAGCGCACAACGTGTACCTCGACCCCAACGCAGGCTTCATCTCCCCCGCCAACATCACCAGCGCCTACGACTGCTGCGTCGCCTGCCAAACGCAAGTCTTAGAAAACTGCCAATATTCGGCGTTCCTACCGAGTCAGAACATGTGCCAGTTGGTGGGCGGCAAGAGGGCGGCGTGTGAGAGTCCGTTCGGGAATACGGGGCTGCAGGGCAGTCCACAGTGGCAGGGCCTCAGGACTTGGGCGGGCAGGTTTTTTAGGACGTATGAGAGGAATGCGTATGAGGCTGTTTATTCGAATGGGCCGTGTGGGTGGTTGGCGGATGGGGGGTTGGCGGATTTGGGGGACCCGGCGTTGGTGAAGGGGGAGGATGAGGGGGATGGGGGGGATTGAAGGGGGGTTGTTGAGGTATTGGTGGGTTTTAGATGAGGGGATGATAGTAATGATGTTGATGGTGGCAAGGATACTTGATGAGTCGTATTTCACTTCCACGATTGTAGCCTGGAATTGGAAGTGTAGGGCATTCATTCTGCACTTCGTAGTAAATCTATGAGACTTCATCGACTTGATATTGATCATGGCTGGAAAAGACCGTGCAGTGCCAAACATGGTAGGTAATTCAATCTTGCTCAAGTCCTCGTAATATTCGTAGATGGAACTATGTAGCAAATGATTGCGAACCCTGCCTGCCTGCACTCGCTGCCGAGGATGCACACAAATCTCACCACACTGATGTAACACCCAAGAAACGTTTCTTTCGGTCCCCCTCGCATAAATGCTATATCAAAGAATGTAGAAGACAAAAATGAAGAAACTTCGACACCGACAGGATTCGAACCTGTGCCTCCGAAGAGAGTAGATCACAAAGGTTTGCGATTCTAGTCTACCGCCTTAACCACTCGGCCACAGTGTCCATGGAGATTGGAAGGGTCGATATTTTTAAATATATACGTTTAATTTATCGCTTCCGTCAATCGCCGCCCTCTTTGACTCCGTCTTCTATGAAGTTCCAATATGAGCGACGTCAGGCACAAAAGCCCCGTCGGAACTGCAACAATATTAAAGCACCCTACTACCAACTACATCATCACGTCATCTTTGCCTCTTAGCTTTCGTCATTCATGGTCTGCTGGCGCCCTTTTCCGAAATCAGATCCCACCCTCCTTCCCGCCTTCAAAACGGCCGTCCGAATGCGCCTCTTGTTCACTCAAGCAGCCAAGGTTTCTCGATCAAGACCACCTACTCATTCCTACTATCCATTACACTGGATGGATCGCCCAGTCATCTACTCATGAGTGCCTTACGGTATCCGCGGGCAGCGTTCTACGCGACCAAGCCGTCCCGGCTGATACACTGGTCACGTTTCAAAACAAAAGCTACTATATCTGTTCTGAATAGTTTACTCAAATCTAGGGGTTGAATGTCTGACTCTGGAACAATACTTTCAGCACTAAATAGAGATTTAAACCAGATCTTCGCCTCGACCCGGCCGTCAGCCGAATGTTGGAGACGGAAGAGCCTGCTTGGTATATAGCGCGCCAATAATGGTACACATGAGCCGTAACCAGGAGCCTTCTCTCAGATCCGTTCTCTACATGCAGCAAATTGCAGGATTTTGCTGTCCCTGCCGAGTCGATACCACATGTCTTGCCCTTGCTCACCTAATTCGAGGGACATTTGACCTAAGGTAACAGATTGGATATGTTGAATTTGCAGAAAAGGCCGACTAGGACCACCAGCGCGTTTCAATCTTAATAATGACGAGGGGTGAATCTAACTCTATAATTGCAGCTCATCTCATCAACTTCCATTCATTCAAAACTTCAATTCATTCACTTTCCATTCGTTCTTCAACACGTTCTTTTGACAAGAACACCAAAAGCATTTCTTCCACCATGCATTTTAGCAACATTGCCTCCCTTTCATTCCTTGCCCTTCTTGCATCCGTCAATGCCTACCCCAGGACCGTCAAAACACGTTCGGGCCAGCTGATGAAGCGCAACTTCTGGTGTGACAATGGTATGATTCCTCTCAAAACACATACCTCAGTTCCTACTCACAAATCCACGCAGTCGACTCCGAAAACATCTGTCAACCAGGACAGCGAATGACACCAATGAACGACCACGCCTGCGACCTGCTCAAAGCCGCTGGAAAACTCGACCAAGTGTCACCCCCCGAGGGTTCAGAATCATCGGTTACATGTCCTGGCCAGAGCAGCAGTGGAGCTGCTACTACTGGCACTGGCACTAGCACTGGCACAGGCAATGGCACCACCACAGACACAGCAAGCGCCAGCTCAAGCAGTGGCGCCGGTGACGCTGGTACTGTAGGTGGGGACAAACTCGCACAGTCTACGACGCCCTTGAACGGAACAGCATCAATGGCACAAGAGAAATTGAGCGTGCAACCTCCCAAGAAGACGCTGAAGATCGAATGCACGCTGCCGGATGGGGATCTGACGGCTTCGGAGTCTGTGCAGTGCACGATTGATTCGGGGGCTTCATCGGTGCTTTCGTCGAGGGGGAATGTGGCGGTGCCGGCGCGGCAGTGAGAGAGAATGTTGCTCTTGAGATGCATGCCCTGGAGGTAGAACAACTTACTTTTATTGGGGAGGCATGATGGTCCTGAGGGCCGGAGATGAGTTCTTGTTCGCTGTGCGATCTGTATATCAAGACAAGACGGTTGTATTCACATCAAAATGAATTATGAGTGGTCCATACAAAAGCAATTTCTTCTCCGTAAGGATTGACCCACCAATCAGCTCGTCGAGATTTGAGATGACACATGCGTCCTGTTGTTAATATTATCACTGCTCATCCGTCCTGTACGAAAGATACTTGCCCCCATCTTCGCTTTTTTCTGCACATGAAAGTTGCAACTCTAAAGCCGCCATTCACCCGACTTGAAGACGTACCTTCCCCTCCTTACCCATTGTGGCAGAACCTCATACTCGAATGCGGTATGGGCAGAAGGAGTGTGGAGGGGCTTTCCCCGCCCTTTGCGACATGGCGAAGACCTCCGTGCATGCTGCCCACTTGCTCCTTGAGCATAAAGGTGGCTATCGCTCTTGTTAAAAACATTTCACCAACCTGCAGCAAAGCGGAAGAGACGAATAATGGCTGAAGATCTATCTAAAAGGAAGTACAAGCATTGGCAAGATGAAGGTGTCGAGAAGATCCCGCCGGATGAAGAGGAAGACATAAATGCTGTGGCAGAGCAGGTCAATGGCATGCAGAGAGCGCAATTCAACAGCCATCGCCACTGCTACACGGGAACACATGCCCGGACTCATGGCATAGTGAAGGGCAGATTGACTGTCAAAGACGACCTGCCTCCACATCTCAAGCAAAGCATGTTCGCTCACGCTGCGGAGTACCCGGCCGTGTGCAGGTACAGTAGCGAGCCTGGTGATCCAGGCTTGGATGTAAGTTTACATACAACACGATGTTGTGAGTCCAGCTGACATTTTCAGGACCGCATACCTCAACCTCGCGGTTTCGCCATCAAGATCTTTCACATTCCTGGCGAAATGTTTGACTCGACCAAGACAGCTCAAGATATCGAATTCAACTCCACGCCTGCAATTGACCTCGCAGACGCAAAAACTACAAGAGAGATACTTGACCTTCGCATCAAGTACGGCAATAACAAGCCTGAGCTCTACAAGCACCTAGAAGCTCGCAAGGACACGGATCTGCAGAAAGGGCGCGATCAGGTCCGCAATACACACCTGGAGTCTACACGACAGTACTCGCAAACGGCATACCGCTTCGGCGATTATGTCGCCAAATACTGCCTCGTCCCTTCCACCGAAACACAGCGCAAGATGTACGAAGAGACAGTGAAGCCAGACGAGCATGAGTCGGACATCCTATCCCAATGGCTCATCAACTTCCACAACAACCACGATGCGGAATATCTCTGGCAATTCCAGCTCCTCGAGAACCTCGATGACCAGCCAGTCGAATATGCAGGCAAAGTCTGGGACCCTGAGAAGTATCCATGGCAGACGGCCGCGACGCTCTTCGTGCCGAAGCAAGACCCATTTAATTACGAGCTGAAGAGCTTCTGGGAGGATCACATGCGTATCGATCCATGGATGGGTCTCAAGACATTGCAGCCGCTGGGGGGCTCGAATAGATTGAGGAAGAAGGTCTACTACGCGAGTAGCAAGCTGAGGAGGGAGATGAATGGTAGGCGGGAAATTGCGGTCCATTCTATTGACCAGATTCCGTGAGTTCTGCCATTTTTGAAGTGATCGTTTTTGGCTGATGTGATGGCACAGGGGCCCTCCAATGCCACCGACGTCTGTCGCAAATGGCATTGAACCGTTGCAGGTCAATTGACTGGGACTCATGTCAGATATTGTTTTCATTTCTCAGGCGCAACACTCAGATTGTCGGATCGCTGTGACGTCTCTATTCTCAATTTTATTTCAGATGAATGCTCTACCTCTCCCATCATTTTTTCTTCTATTGCTTTTCTGCTTGATAGGAAGTGAGTAGTAGTCCCAATTCCACGGTGATCCTTCCAATCCACCTCCGGAGGTAGTGGGGCTACTGATTGTAAACGCCGACGCTTATTTCTGACATCCTTCACTTCGAACAACTCTTCCTTCCTCTTTTTCTCGCTCTGCGCTTGGTCATTCATCACAATCGCCGAAAAGGTGTCAGAAACTAGTGCTTTCTATATCCAGAAATGGCTGATCTAGAGACAAAACTTAAGTACAAACGAAATGACCTCGAAGACTGGACAAAGATCGAAGACAAAATCCTTCGCAAAAAGATCCAAGACAGACTAGCCAAGCGTAAAGCTCGTGAGCGCCTCTCCCCATCCATATCCCTGACCTCTCAGCTTTTCATACTCACCCGATCCAGGCTCAACCGACCACAAACCCAAACGGCAGAAACAGGGACCCCTCCCCGTCCCCCTACCATTAGCCCAAGCACCAACCAAAGACCTCCTCCTCACCTTCCCCACCCGCGATGAAACCCTCCACAATCTCCGCGCCCTCCTCTCCACCCTCTCCGCCAAAGCCACCAACACCTCCGGCCCCTTCACAAACTCCATCCTCTGCTTCGCACTCTCCCATTACCTCTCCCCCCTCAACGACCCCCACCACCTCCCCCTCCCCCAATACTCCCTCTACCGCGCCTTCATCGCCAACACAAATATCCTCGCCCTCCGCCTCCAGGACCTCGAAAATGATGACTGTCTTTCCCCATGGACGACGGATAGGCCGTATCCGGTTATTGTGGAGCATGATTTGGTGCCCAGTAGCCTGCAGTTGGAGGTCAGGCATCATCCGTATATCGACTTAATTGCGCCTAGAGGGGTTAGGGAGGGGATTTTGAGGGCGTTGAAGGCGGGGTGGGGGGAAGGTGGGAAGGGAGGGAACGGAGGGGAGGAAGGGGATGGGGTGGAAGGAGGGGATGGGGGAGAGGACGCGTTATGTGAAGCTTTGCATACAGGTGCGTTTTTGGTCTGGGGGGAGTGGGGGTGGGATGCTAGTGGTGAGTTTCCTTTTTTTTTTGGTCTTTTTTAAGTTTGGAAACTGGGTAGGGATGAAGTGGGGATGGGGTGAGGATGGGGTGAGGATGGGGCGGGACTCTGCTGATCTGATTGTAGGTTGGGAGGTCTCCCAGACGTTCTTGGATCAGTGGGGTTGGTTGGTCGATGATGAGACGATTAGGGTGTCGAATTCTTGGAGGGAGGGGAGGGGGAGAAGCCGTTGGATTTGAAGGGGAGGGATAGGGGGAGGGTTGAGGAGTTGGAGTGAGTGTTGGATTTGCTATTCCAAGACCGGAGGCTTTGGATTCGGCTGGAGTTTTTCCTAGTACTCGGCCAGCTGCCATACGAAAGCCGGAAACGTGGGTTCATACTGTCTTGGATTCTTGACCTTGGGCACATCAGCAAAGTGTCACTACATTTACCGGCTTACCTTGCGACAATGATGTCAAAACAGCTGTGCGTGATTTCGCATCCTACCTTAGAGGTCTTGGTAGCTTGGCCAAACACTTGGCACGACGGATCTGCACTCGAGCAAGAGGCTGTCATTCAAGGCTTCTGGGTTGGGATGCTTGGCAGTCAGATGTAATAACCTTGGCCGCCAAGCACCGCATCTTCTAAGCGGACGCAGTGAGGCAAATGAGAAAGCCTGCAGAGGGACGACGAAGTCATGCTCCGAAGAGTCGAGAATCTGTGCAATGGTATTCGAACACCGGCCGATGCCAAGGTCTTGGAGATGGCGAGGCTGAATATGCTCTTTGGGTATATTACCCATGGTAGCCATCATCGTGAACCTACGATTCCGATCAATTCTACAGATCATTCGGCTCTTACTGTCACTCTGTTTTACCAACGACGATCAACGCACTCCATGCTCAATTGAGACCATGAGAGCCTCGTGGAAGCAAAGATATCAACGGAGGATAATTGTCCCCAGTACGCTGTGGGGCGTCTTCAGCACTTGTGGCAAGTGTTCTACCTCACCAAATTGCTCTCTCGAAGCTGGTCCTACCTGCGTCTGTATGGCTATAGACGACGCTCAAAAATCGACGCATTATTCTTTACACGAGTTGGAGAATGTCCCTCCAAGATATAGAAATGCGGACGAACAGCCGGACGAAGAAGCTCCACAAAACGTGGACGAAAAAGCCCATCCTGCAACCAAAATGGGCGGACTCATCTCAAGCCTCTCCTTCTTGATGTGGGCGACTTTCACCACCACAGTCAATATAGCCATCCCAACCATCGCGATAGGATGGCAAGACTCACCACATCACCCTGGATCGCTAAGAGACGCGGACTTCTGGTTTCTCATCCAGAATTGTAGTATGACGATCCTCAGCCTGGTGACATTGGCTGTGCCTATGTGGAAACGCCAACGTCATGCTCGGTCTGCGCAAACACTGATGTGGCTCTTCTTGATTGTTGGCACTGTCTGCGCAGTCGTTGGACCGGTCTTGTACTTGCATGCACCGACTGAATGGAGTTCGTTCTTCAATATGCTTGCTGGTGCTATTCAGGCGTTTGCGACGTTGCAGATCGTGAGCACCTTCACAGGTCAGATCAGGTGACATTTGGGCTTCAGACTCTCTGATGTCAAACGCAAAACGGCCGTCCAAGCTAAGACCAGGCTGCTTTTGATCTTCAATTCGACGTGGGCCCAATTCATCTAGTTGTTGTACCTTCTTCCTAAGCAAGTCCATTCGATAATTGACGACGATGAGTTGAAGTTGACGTTGGATCTGTCTTTAATTTTGACGTGTTACTATACCCGCGAACTATCTCAACCCAATATGTTGGAATGTGTTGAGTCCGGAACCACAAGCGAGACATGCGTGCGCATAGTGCACACAATTTGTTGGACTCCCACGCGCACCACGATACAAAGTCTGATAAGATACAAGTGGGATCTGCTCTTCGTAATGAATTTTCAAGGAAACCAGAGCGAGCTTGCTCTTCCATCCAGCTTCAATGGTTTCCCTACGCGAGGTACTGTTCTCCTTGGTAATATTTATAGCGGTCAATCGGAGCCTACAAAATCCATTCCTCCTCCCCAGACACGAGTCCTCAAACTCATCGAACGAGAACATCCTTTCTCTAGACACTACTCGTAATACCAACTCCTCAAATGATGGTCGGGACCTTGAGTATCACTGCTTCACGTCGGACGATGTCGAATTTGGAAGACGGCTCTACCCCGGAGATTGTCGCCTTTCAGCCGAACATTTTGAGCGTGCATTTGACCCTGATCGGCAATGGCGACTTGTCAGACCGCCGGCAACATTGGACCGCAGAATTGAGACCCCATATATCTATTCAGTCGGGTTTTGCGCATTCAAACTCGAGTTCTTGCGCCAAAGTGACAGATTCGGGCCTTTGGTTAGCCCTACGCAGGTAGCTCGAGATGCAATTTCTCTTGCCAGCAAATGCGTCGGAACCGTCCTTCCAGAACAAGAGCTCGGTTTTTGGGGAGGAAATGTTACAATTAATACTAATCAGCCGCATGGGTGGAAAGTGGTGATGAGTATTATGGACGTCAATCTCTCACGCCAGGCTTCCAAAAATAGCAGTAATGCAATACTGGCCCTTCAATCGTCGCAGCCTACGTCTGTCCCCTCTTTGATCAGCAGGCCTACTATCACGGAAAGAGACGGAGACTTCACGAGTCTCACCATTACAAACGATTCCACTTCCTCAAATCATCTGGATGACTACCACTGCTTTGATGGCAACGATCCTGAAAGAATGAGGGAATTATTTCCCAATGATTGTCGTCTTGCAGCCGCCAATTTCCAACACCAATTTCACCTCGGGCGTATATGGACCCTTACCCATAGGAAGAAGCTACTATCGCAAATGATCAAAGCGCCATACATCTACTCAGCTGGGGACTGCGCCTTCAAACTTGACTTTCGTTCGCCATATATAGATGGGCCTAATGTTAATCCTGAGACTATATCGAGTGACGCTGCGAGACTTGCCAGAAGATGCGTCGGATCCACCAGTTTTGTGAAGAAGACTAGTGGATGGGGAGGAAACGCTACAACGAGACACTTGATTGGTGGCACGTTGATATTCTCTATCCTTGACGCGAGCCTTGTAAGCCAAGATGATGATGGTTTCAATAATGCTCTTTCCCCGCCGTCAACGAACTTAACATCCCTCCCTTTAACTAGCAGATCCACAAACAATTCCCACGATACCAACACCACAGAACCCACCACAGACAATTCCACCTCCAACGCGCTCGACAACTACCACTGCTTCCAACCAGGCGACCCTCAAGCAGGCCGCAATCTCATCCGCGACGACTGCCTCTCTGCCGCCACACACTTCCGGCAAGAATTCCAGGGCGGAATGTGGCAACTCGTGCACGAGCGGGCAGCAAACAGCCGCACGATTTCCACGCCCTACACCTATTCGCGCGGCTACTGCGCATTCAAGCTCGATTTCCACGAGCGCCGACATAGCGGAAGCGGGCCTCACGTCCGCCCCATGGAGATTTCCCGAGATGCACTGTCGCTCGCGAAAAGATGCGTTGGGACCAGCGGGGAAAGTCAAAATCTGGCGGGCGGCAGTGGCACGGTCACCACATCTTATGGTATTCAGATGGTACTGACGATCTTGGACGCGGGGCTGGCGGTCGATGATGTGGGGAGTGCTGCTTCGGTTGCAAGTCCGATCCCTGTCGTTGTGGGCAGGAGAGCGCTCTCCACAACACAGGACGGCAGCGATACTACTGAATTAGATCAAGCAAACGACACCATCCCCTTCCCTCTCCCCTCCACCAACCTATCCCTCCCCCGCTACGCCTGCACAGACCCACCCCCCCGCGCCCTCTCCCACATTCTTTCCCCCACCGCCTGCCGCGCCGCCGCCTCCTCCTTCTCCCACACCTTCGAGCCGTCCAAACAATGGCGGTTGAACCAAAACACGAATTCGCAGTGGAGGAGGCTGATCAAGTCGCCGTATGTGTACACGAGCGGGGACTGTGCGTTAAGGGTGGAGTATGAACCCAGGTATTTGACGCCGTTGGTCTGGCCTGAGGAGATTGCGCAGTTGGGGATGAGGGTTGCGAGGATGTGTGTGGGGAAGGTGGATGCAGGGGGAGCGGGGGGAGGGGCGTTTTTTCGGTGGGGCGGTGAGGGAAGTGTGGTCGTGGAGCAGGGTGCGAGGGTTTTTGTAAAGATTGTGGAGGCGGGGGATGGAGAGGTGGAGGGTGGGAATGGGAGTGGGGATGGGACGGTGGGGTCCGGGGTGGGGGATGAGGGGGGTTTTGTTGGGGGGGAGGGGAGGAGAGAGTTTGGGTACCTTCCAGACGAGCTGAACGGCATAGCGGATACAGATATAAACAGATGAATGGATATAGATCTGGAATATCAGGTTCGCTATTGCACAAAACGATTCTTACACATTCCCCATGTGAGAATCTGACAATTACACTCACACAGCTCCCACCGTCCCCTCCATGTCAACCCATCCTCCTCCCCCACGGACACACCCTCGCCCTATCCCTCTCATCTCCCATCAGCCTCGCATACTCCACCAACACCCTCCCCATCCCCAACTCCAAATCCACATCCCGCAACGCCCTCCCATGCCATTGCCTTCCCTGCCTCGCAATCCGTCTCCCCAACTCCACCCCCCTCTCATCCCTGCCAAAAAACCGCACCAGCTCAGGCAACTCCTCCATCCCCAAACTGACAGGCACATAATGCACCCACGGCACCAACCGGTCATCATGCCACTCCCTATACATCGTCTGCTTAAACACCAAACTCCGTGAGCCGAGCAGCCGGTAGAACCGCTCCGTCCGCCCCATCCCGTCCACGTCGAACAGGAAGCGGTACTTGTACATTTCTGCGGGCGAATCGCGCGGCGCGCTAGGTAAGGCGGCCATTTCTTCCTCGCAGATCTTGCTGGCGCAGAGGTTGAAGCTTGTGAAATGCACGTTTATGAGGGAGGTGAGGTTGGCGATTGTGGAGCGGTACGGCTGCCAGCTGTGCGGGGACAGAGGGGACGGTTTGCTGTCGTGCAGCAGCGTGATGGGTTGAGAGGCGTTGGTTACCGCGGCGACGAAGCGCTGGCGTTGGAATTTCTGCCATTCTAGGGGTGAGGCGGCGTAGCCGCCTGTGTCGCTGCCGGCCCAGTAGAGCTGCGTCACTTTCGAGTCCCAGGTCGGGTCCATGGATTCGTAGTATTTGGCCCCCGCGCCGGGGATGCTGGTGGAGTAGTCGGGGGATGGGTACAGGATGTCTTGCGCCGAGGAGGGTTTGCCGTGCGAGAAGACGGGGACGAGCGTGTTGGTGAATTTGAGACTGTACGGCGCGATGAACATGGAGTGGGAGTAGGAGGCGGAGGGCTCGTTGCACCAGTCTTTGGAGGCGGTGTGGTTCGAGATGAAGGGGAGGGTGAGGGTGTGGTTGGTCGGGAGGAAGGTCGTGGAGCGGCTGGTGGAGTCTTGCGGGCAGGAGCGCACACCCATTTGCCAGTTTTCTTGTCGGGCGAGGTCTTGCCATTCGAGTTTTAGGCGCGCTTGAGAGGGGGAAGAGGAGAGGGTTTGTTCGCCTTCTGATGGACATGTCTGCACGAGGTGCTCGAGGCGGTCGTTAGGGACGATCACTCTGGGCTCGGCAAGGCCGTTGATTACCAGGTCCATGTCGGGTAGGATGTCCTTGAATCTTTCAATCCATCCGGTTATTGTGGTGTCGAAACCACCGAGGACCAATGTATTTTCAGGCATTGTGACGCTGTGGTTCTTGATGGAGAAAAAGCCCTGGCGGTTTATTCCGCGCATGTCTTGAACTCTAGCCCTCATCTCTTTGGCGGTGATACCCCAAAATGGTTCTAGAGATTGCATAATGGTATCGAAATTGTCAACAATTGGCGAATTGGACTCTACAGCCATGTGAAACCACTGCTCGAAGCCTGGTGGTGGAGGCATATGGTACCTTCGTTCGTATTCTGCAATCGCTTGGGGTATAGTCTTGGACTGACTCGCGATCATAGCTGTGAAGTTGCGGTTTGCTTCCTCGATCATGAGCTCAATTGGATGAATGTCGGATTGGAACAATCTTGTGAGCCACAGTCTCTGTGGATTGTAATGCCGGAGCTGCATTTGACGAAACAGGAAAACGGCACCCATAATGCCGCCTGTGATATAGGCAGCGCGAAGTTTGTAGGGCATCTTTGGCGTCAATTGATACGTCTGTACAAGGCCGGTAAAAGCAAAGCTTGCCGCAAGCCAGGAGAAAGCGCTGACGTGGTCTGAATCAAACGCCCGTTGTAAAGCGACCAAAAGGGTGCCGATGGTCGCGATGGACACACCATTTTGCTGGCTTGTCTGTTCACTATTAGTTCGATGGACAAAAGAGGGCGGAGAGAACACACAAGTATTACAATTACGATCCATTGGACCATCTTTGCAAGCGCTATGCTACAGACTGCTGGCCATTCAATAATGGGGCTTGAGACAGTGGGATCGCCGCTGAGCAGCAATGTCATTGCTAGGATTGCTGCAACACGCCAGGCTGTTCTCTCTGCTGATGGCAGTAAAGGTATGTGCGCGACTTGCGAGCCCGTTGCTTGTGGTTTTTCTTGAAGGCATTGATAGATGTAGATCGAGGCAGAGACGTAAATAAGACCGGCAGCCAATGCTTTTGTTGCTGGGAAAGTTGGCAGGAAGGTAGTGGCAATCACTAGACTTGAAAGCGACAAAAGCACAAATGATCTATTCCTTGCTGTTGTCGAAATAGAAACTGGCTTTTCTGTGCTATTGATCGGTAGTTCCAGCCCTGTGTCACTCTGCAAGAGTTGGTATAGTAGCGGTGTCAGTAGAGGCTTTCCTTTCATTAGCCTGACGGTGGTTATCAATCGACAGAGTATTCACCAGAGCCCATTGCACATATGCTATCGCTGGAAGTATGGACACAATGGCAATTGCCACTGCAAGAGACTCCGCGTTCGACTCTCCATCTTGAGGTTCAGCTGCTGTTGACGCATTTGGTCTTCGCCAGACCTTGGAGATCACAAAGATGACAACCCAACAAAGCAAATTCGCCTGCAAGTAAGATGTGGGATGGTTCACGTCAGCTGGGTCTGTGAAGAGAGAAGTCAAGATAAGGAGAGAGCTTGCGCAGTAGAAGGTTGCGTGCGAGGACAACATGGAATGCTCATGACGAGGGAATGCTTTTTAGAGGAGAAAAGAGATAAATCCAAGAGAAAGACAGGCTTTTTACGTAGACAACCATAGAGACGCCGCGTCAGATTGGTCTACTATTTGATATTAGGCCTGTCATGTTGTGATTGATTGCTACGCCATACTCGTCGCTGTGCGCCAAGCAATAGCAGCTCGCAAGTACCTAGGGATGGGTCACGCATGTGTTTGGGTCCGTAAGAACAGCATCACAGGCTGGGTAATCTGTTCAAACTCGGCCCATATTCCAGATCCGGTATTTACTTCTGTGCGAGTCCCGAAGGACTGCCTCGCACACCTGCAAAGTCGCTTCATACAGTATTCGAAGAAAAGGAAATACCTTATGTATGGGCACACGACCACAAACAGTCAGACTTTAGAGGCTCAACCAACATCAAACACTAGTGTAGCAGGGTTTGAGATTGACTGTGCCACAAGGGAGGACCCCATCATCCATGGTGGTCAGCGCTCGGCCACGTAAGCTCCACATCTACCGGGCAGAAAGAGCCTTCCTTCCTGAAAGTAGTTATGGTTGTAGGGCGTTCCTTAGGTGTATGCATTCAGCGATCTCGTCTCCAATGCTGTCTCTTCACTTCGTAGGCTTTGTTTACATCAGGGCAGGTGTACGAGTCTTCGCTGCAGTGAGACCGCTAAAGAAAAGCCTGAATCAAATCAGACATGGAGAGGTCGTTGCACAAATGTCATCGTTGGGCGGCGCAATGTTGATGAGTGATGATGATGTAGACATGGAATGTACTCCCTCGTCCGCATCTTGCGAGCGACTCTGTTGTTCTGAGAACAATGGGGGGATATTAGAGCACGCGGGCCGACTTTGTTCCAGTAGCGTCAGTGTGGGATCTTTCATAAATCTCCTCGTGGTCCAAGGATTGGTCAACATCAACGCGCTTCCATTGAGCAAAGAACAATGGCGTCGACATTGGCAGTCATGCTTTCATGCTTTCATGCGTGGGGTTCCTGCGTCTGGCAAGCACATGCTGCGTCCCACCTCTATCAGAGGTCACTCCTGCATCTAGACCGTTGAGTGAGCCGTTCCGGCGGCAGCTCACTCATCTATCTTCTGCATTCTCTGGTTGTGGATCTGAAAGAAGCTTAAATGCTCATGCACAACATCCTCCGGCTTCGGCGGGACATGTGCCTGCTTCATTGGCCAATGGACATGTCACGAACGCTGTGTTCTGCCTTTGAGTACAACGGTGAAAGGTTACACTCTCCCCTACCTACGGCGGGGCAAGCCCATATCGGTCTCGACGATGTGGGGCATCTTCAAAAGCTCTGCTCTGTCCAAATTCATCTGCTTCCCTGCGTGACCTACCACTCGTCCTAAGATCCCACATTGCGGCAATATGCTTAACATTTGGAGTGCCATTGCGGTGCCTGCCTCATTTCCTGTCTGGGCTATACGAGTGCTTGCCGTGTTACTGATTGTGTTCACACTCGGCAGCATTAGATTTATTCCGGCCAACCTCCCACGAAAGACTAGGACCCTTCGCTCTCAATCTGGAAAACTTGGAAAGTTTTTCTATGCCAGCTTCCTCAAGCCTCACAGCAGCGATGTCGTCACCACTACTCAACAAAACGCACTCGAAAGTTTCTACAAGAGCCAGGCAGATGCATATGATGCTACACGGAGAATCCTCCTCCGAGGAAGAGAGGACATGCTCGGCTTAGTGGCAGCGCAATTGAAATACAAGGAAGAGCGAGGGCAATTCTCGGCGCTGAGACCAATATGGGTAGACATGGGGGGTGGTACAGGCTACAACATCGAAGCGATGCAGCAATACCTCGATGTCCCGACATTCTTCGCCAAGGTGATCCTTGTCGATCTGTCCCCCTCGCTGCTTGAGGTCGCACGAAGGAGGTTCGCCCGTTTGGGCTGGGACGTTGAGATTGTCTGTGAAGACGCTCGGTCGTTCCAAATGCTGGATCACATGCACAGCGTCGACACAAAGTATGATCATATCGGAGCGGACCTTGTTACCATGTCCTACAGTCTCAGCATGATCCCTGATTACTACAACGTTCTAGATTCGACGGTGACATTACTCTCGCCTGAAGGCATCATTGGCGTGGTTGACTTCTATGTGCAAAGCGTGGTGGAAGTGAGAGGAAGGAATTACCTTGGGGGTTCATTCAACAGGCATGTCACTTGGCTTGGTCGACTCTTCTGGCGTGCATGGTTTGACCTCGATCGTGTGGGTCTCGAGCCAGCGCGAAGGGACTACCTCGAGTACAAATTTGGCACGCTCAAAACCGCTGATGAGAGAAACTATCTGCTTGGCGGCATACCTTACTACAGTAAGTCTTGAGCCTGCTATAGCTGTGCGCGCAAGCTGACCTCGCATAGTCTTCCTTGGCGTCCAGCGCGACCTGTACTCTCCAACCGAACCTACCTCTAGCTACGCGTACAAGATCATCGAGACCGTAGACGCCTCGTGTTCACAGTCGCCTCCCTCTTCTCCAGAACTCACAGGACGATCCATAGTACCTTGTCAGAAAAAGCTCACGGCAATCGATGCAAAAAGTAAAGCCGGCCGAGATGCTATCATCAACTTAGGCTCGAATCTCCCACTACCATCACTCTTCTATCAAAATAGCCACCGCAGGCTTTGTTACGACGACCACCTTGACAAGCATACACGATTCAAAAATGAGTATATATACACCTTCACATGGGAGGATCCTCGGGTAGATCATCGATTGCTGAAGATGAAGAGTACAGATGCCGTCTTATGCATTGCGTCGGCGGGCGATAACGTGCTGGACTACATCCTAGAAGCGAATCCAGCTCGTATTCACGCTGTTGATATGAATCCCAACCAGAATCATCTGCTTGAGCTAAAGATTGCAGCGGCACAAACTTTACCCTACGCACAATACTGGAAGATGTTTGGAGAGGGCAAATTATCTGGCTTTCGCGATATATTGATTGAGAAGTTGAGTCCACAAATGAGCTCTCAGGCCTGCCAATATTGGCTCAACCACTCCAACACTTTCGACCGCTCGCACGGACTCTATGAGACTGGCGGCTCCAGGTGAGTTACAGTAGACAACCAAGAGATTGTATTTCTGATTTCGATTACAGGCATGCTATTATACTAATACGACGGCTATTCAAACTCCTGCGACTCACCAAAGACGTCCGAAATATGTGCAACGTCAAGACCCTCAACGAGCAACGAGAACTCTGGCCCAAGATTCGCCGAGTCCTGCTCAGCAAACCTCTGCACTGGGCGGTCATCGGAACCGAATGGTTTGCATGGAAGGCCGCCGGTGTGCCACAAGCCCAGCATCGAATGATCCTCCAAGACCACCAAGATCTTGGCGAGGCATCACCCGGCGGTGAGGCCATTTGGGAATATATCGTCAACACCCTGGACCCCGTCGTGCAGAATACGCTACTCAGCAGTGACAATTACTTCTATCTTTTATGCTTACAGGGACGATACACTCAACGGTGCCACCCTAATTACCTTTCCGTCAGGGCACACGCCAAGCTTTCCCGGCCTGGGGCATTCGACGGGCTCCGCATTCACACTGATGAGCTACGAGAGGTGATCTCGCGCATCGAACCTGGTACCCTTAGTCATGCCGTGGTAAGCAGCTTGCCATTCCCACTTCCCGATCCTCCACCTTCCTATTGACTTGCTGCAGATCATGGACAGCATGGACTGGTTCGATCCCAAAGACGAAGAAGCAGCGACGCAAGTCCAAGCTCTGAACCGTGCTTTGAGAACTGGTGGCAAGATACTCCTGCGCTCAGCTGGTCTGAAACCATGGTATATCACCACGTTTGAGAGATATGGCTTCTCGGCGAAGAGGGTGGGGGTCAGACAGCCTGGTAGCTGCCTTGATCGGTGAGTCGTACGGTAGCTCTGAATTATGCATTCACTGATTATGGGCTGTAGGGTCAACATGTACGCATCGACTTGGTTGTGTACGAATCTCGGCTCGCGCGCAGGGGCGTCTTGAATTGAGGGCCGCTGTAGGTCATTTGATCGTGCCGTGGCGTTCTTGTGGTAGCTCCTGTTGTAATCGCTATCTCTAAGGTAATGAAGACATTGCTGCACACGAAGTCTTCGCGTGATCTGGCGAAGTGCCACTATATCCATCGCGCCCATGTACTGCCACTGTTTTCATGCCCTTCTCGAGGCCACATTGTGCTTCTTCGACTATCGACATGGGTCTGCAGATCGTCGTACACTTGAGCTGCAGTTTCGAGTATTCTTAACAGATGATTGGGCTGTCTGGCCATTCCAAAGTGCCATTTTCCACTATGCACATTTGTGCGCAGCATGGAAGCCTACTATTGGCCACTCCTCTAGTACACATCCCAGGGTGAGGCTCAAGTGCACAGCCAATCGTAGGTAAGGACTTCGTGCCAAGAATGCGAATATCTGCGGACGCGCAGATGTGCGCTTCCTCTATAAATTTGCCAAATTGACAAGAAAAACATTTGACCTTTGTCAAGCACAACTTCAACAGAAACATACAGTCTTAGGCAAAGTTCATCGGTGAAAGTGCAAGACGGCGCTGCCACGCGAAAGGACGTATTATATCCACGCCCTCGAAGCCATCTGAAGTCACCTGCCACAGCATGGACCGTTGTGATCAAGCTGATGAATGTGGCTCACATGATTCGCTTCCCGTGACCGACTTGACAGGTCTGCGTAATGAGAGGGTCCCGGTAGTGACACAAGACTCTGGAGCCGATGGCAACACTAGAGGCAGGTCAGTATCTACACTATCAATCATGCAAGCCCCTTCTGTTTCTCTTCAGGAAAGGCTAATGCCTTTAAGGAGAGCTGGTGATGATATAAAGGATCCGGACTATGATCGCCCTGTTGCTTCAACACTGGAAGTCCCATCAGCGTCGATGACACAAGGAGGCGAGCTTCCAAACCACAGGAGTTGGTGGCCTCTGACAGCGAGTCACTATGTGACACCAGCGCAGAACCAATTAGACGAAACCTGGGATTTTGCAGAGTTAGGCTCACAATTCTCCAATTTAGCCTACTCGGAAATGTAAGTCATTCTGCCATTCAATTTATGGAAAGCAAAAATTGGAAGGGCTGAAGTGGGCGACTAGCTACCCTCAGTCTCTGTCAGGTTTCGTTGGTGACCAGGATTATGACCAAGTCAAATCGAGCTCAGAAGCCCTTACGTCGCTTGTCAATGCGGCGTCTACAAAATTAGAGGAGACACCTTTGCCAAACAGCAGCAACAATATCTTGACCTATACTCATGGATATGATCCTACTCAGCAGAGCCAGATACATTTGGGGCCCTGGCAGCGGGAAATGCCAGCCCTTGATCCACATCCAAATGCACAGAATCCAAAAGCATTGCAATCTCATGAAGTGCGAAGGCCAGCCAAACCAAGAAAGGCGCGTAAGCTTGCACCTTTGACAACGAAAGAGCGGGATAAGAGGGCACATGCACGTAAGGTTGGTGCTTGCATGGATTGCAGGCAGAAGAAAGTGAGGGTGCATCTCCCTCATTCGTACTTCAGCTTCAGTCATTAACCACGACTCTCAGTGCGCACATTTCGAATACGTAGAATTGGAGCACTCCCCGGCCAGAAGTATGTTGATTGAAAAGTCGCCACTTGAAGATGTCAAGGATGCTGCTGGCGGCGCCGGTGCTCGAAGCGTTTGGCAATATGAAACGGAGGCCTTAGGACCAAACGCTTCGCCGACACCACAGGAGTTGTTTTTTGCTAATCCTTTCACAGCACCTTACGAGCTAGACAAAGACAAAGAAATTGGCATCGGTAAACACTCTAATACTCGGATTCTTCAGGATAAAGTTGAAACTTTCGATCCCAGTCCCCGTATGACCAGAGTTTCAAGTACTCACAGTAGTCTACGTACCTTTGTTGAGGACAATACCCATTTCTGTACGATCTATGCTAAGCACTTAGTCATGGTGAGAGCAATGAGTATTGTCTATGCAGCAGTGGAGCTCAAGCTCGAAAGCATGTTCAAGACGTGTCCCAATGGGTCATCGGCGAAGGCTCAGTCAGGTGCAGTATTTCTTGAGCGTGAGTGCAAACAAAGGAGCCTTGCACCAAAGCGCTCTCTTTCCCGAGACAAATCCCCTTCGGAAGACGGCGGCCAAAAGAAAAGAAAACAAGGCGATCAACGGTCATCAGCTCCTGAACAAGCCACCAAAAGACTTGATTGCCCGTTTCACAAATACAATCCCTTCTTTTATCGCATCAACAACATCACGGGAAACAAGTATAGAACTTGTGCAGGTATAGGATTTGAGAACATTCCTAGGCTGAAGTGAGTATTCCACAATGTCAGCTCTGGCAAAGACTGATATGCCAGACAACACTTCAGGGATGGACCTCACCGAGCGACACTGCAATGTCGCAGATGCGGTCAGACCTTCAGGACTGAAAAAAGTCTGGACGCACATGCACAGCGACAGACGCCATGCCAACCGCGAACATTTCCAAAAGCTAGCGACATTACTAAAGACAAATTGGACTTGATAATGGGCATCCATGGCATAAAATGGGAGCAGATTTATACCATTCTCTTCCCTTTCGTCAGTCATGAACGGATCCCTTCTCCATGTTAGTCACTCTGTGTCCGAAGAGAAGAGGTTTGCTCACGCAGTTACAGATGTTGAGCCAACTATAGACTCATCGGATGTCGCGCAGGTCAGCCTTGAGCAATATATTCGTGCAGGACTCCCTCGATTAGTCGAAGCTTCGCTCCGGCCTTTGCTGGACCAGTTCACGCAGGAACAATACCAACTAGATATTGAGCAGAAAATAGCCGAGTGCATCGACATGATGGTTCAAGAATACCACAGCACCTTTAATTCTGATCCTTTGGGCGCACCTGAGCTTGACAATCCGACTCAAGAACCTCACAACACCTTCAACCCTGACCCATTGGGCGCACCTGAGTTTAACAATCTGACTCAAGCAGTCGAACCTTACCATAATGTGCCCTTCAATCCCGACGAAGGAGCACCCAGTATGCCGCAATTTCTCGAGAATCACAGCGCACGCGACGCTGGGACTGACATCACGTCACCAACCAATGTCATCAATACCCCGTACGATCTCCCACCCATGGACGAACAGAAACCTTGTTTGTGCTTGTGCCACAACGTATTAAAACAAGTTGCATGCTGGTTGTGCTGTGAGCCGGTCGCAAATAGCGCCCCTTTCGAGTTTGGAGATTAAAACAGGAACCGCTCAATAACAATGTGCGAACTCTTTCTGGTTGAATTGAGGAGTCGCAAGCAACATGGCGCCGTCAAATTTCTTTGCCTAAAACTCTAGGGACAATCATAGGGATGTAAGCCCCCGAATGCGTCTTATGAGCCAGTCTGTTACCCTGAGTACTGCCCCTACTTCCTGCCATGTGAGGTCGGCAGTGCCATTTCAGACTCGTAACATAGATAGAGCGGTTAATAATTTATCCGCTCCGAGTCTATCAACGACGTCACTCATTGAAGTCTTGGCAGTTCCGCGGGATTCTTTGTTGACACGCTTGCACCTTCTACCTTCTACCTCGACACCTCGTATCAACATGCACGGTGGAGAGCCTCATCTCCGTCATGCGGCAGCTGATGCAGTCGAGGGTTCTCGTGCATGCGGGGAAGATGCAAGTGTTGATGCAGTGAGCGACGTGAATGGACCGGTAAGCAACGGGTCCAAGCGGTGCCCCATCAAATGGAAGCCGAGAACATGGGACTGCGCGGCAGTAAACGGTCATGTTATTCTATTTACACAGTGAATAGCCTGTCACAGGGCCATAATTCGTGTTCCTCGTCGGCGTGGCAATGGCAATATCTCGGATGGGGGGGATATAAAATGGCTGAAGAGTCCTTGGAAGTTCAACAACAGAAGTAGTACAAGACCGGACTCCTACTGCAATCACCATGAAAGGACTTGGTATCGAACAGGTCGGCCTCCTATGCTTGAGTGGTCTGGCTCTGGCCGCCACCATTGAGGACTGCCCTGGCTACACAGCATCCAATGTTCAAAAGACATACACAGGTCTTACAGCCACCCTGAATCTTGCCAGCAAAGCATGCAATTATTTGGGGTATGATGTCAGCCCTTTGAAGCTACAGGTCGACTATCAGACAGGTAAGTAGTCTACCCAACTCGAATGACGTCGCGACTAATGCCTTTCAGATAAGCGACTACATGTCAAGATCTCCGATGCCGAAGCCAAAGGATACGAAGTACCAGAGACAGTCGTCTCGAGACCATCACTTGGCCTTGCAAGCCCAGACAGTGGAGATCTTGAGTTTACCTACACGGAAAAGCCTTTTAGCTTCGCAGTTCAGCGACGAAGCACGTCTGAGGCTCTCTTCAACACCAGTGGCGCTAACTTAGTTTATGAATCTCAGTACATTCGCTTACGGACATCACTGCCCAAGGCGACGAATCTTTACGGCCTCGGCGAACATACAGATCCATTCCGTCTGGGTACAGAGAGCTATACTCGTACTCTCTGGTCGCGTGACGCATATGAGATTCCTCCTGGTACCAATTTGTACGGCAATCATCCGGTCTACTTCGAAGGTCGTGGCGACAACAATACTCACGGAGTGTTCTTGCTCAACTCAAACGGCATGGACATTAAAATTACCAGCGATTTTGGTAACTCTTACTTAGAGTACAATACCCTTGGCGGCGTGCTTGACTTCTACTTTCTCGCTGGGCCAGGACCGATCGATGTCGCACGCCAGTATGCTGAAGTCGTTGGGCTTCCGGCTATGATGCCCTATTGGGGCCTTGGTATGGTATCCGTTACCTTTGGCATGCGTCTGACTAACTCGTTAAGGATTCCATCAATGTCGCTACGGCTATCAAGATGTCTATGAGGTTGCAGGTGTCATTTCAAACTACAGCGCCGCCAACATCCCGCTCGAAACTATGTGGACTGATATTGACTACATGGATCATCGCAAGGTATTCACTCTCGATGCTGAACGATTTCCCCTCGAAAAAGTCCGCGAGCTTGTTGAATACCTCCACGACGATGATCAGCATTACATCGTGATGGTTGACCCTGCTGTTGCGTATCAGGACTACGCAGGATTCAACGATGGTAAATCAGCAGGGATCTTCATGAAAAATGGCGATGGGTCAATCTACCAAGGTGTGGTCTGGCCTGGTGTCGCCGCTTTCCCAGATTGGTTCAATCCGGCAACGAAAGATTACTGGAACAGCCAATTCGCCGAATTTTTCAGCGCCGACACAGGTGTCGACATCGACGGACTCTGGATTGATATGAACGAAGCTTCGAACTTCTGCCCAGATCCATGTACAGATGCTGCTGGTTATGCTGCTGCGAATGGCTTTCCGCCTTCTCCACCACCTGTACGCGACGGGTCTCCAATCCCACTTCCTGGCTTCCCACTGGATTTCCAGCCGCCATCAAAGTTCAGACGACAGAATGCGGAACCAATAGGCCTACCAAATCGCGACTTCTTGACCCCTCCGTATCAAATCAAGAACGAGGCCGGCTCACTCAGCAACCACACGATCCCCACCAATCTCATTCACGCTGGCGATAAACCTTACGCAGAATACGATACCCACAACCTTTATGGTACAATGATGTCTGAAGTCTCTCGTACGGCTATGCTCGCACGACGCCCTTCAGTCCGCCCTCTGATCATCACACGCAGCACGTTCGCAGGTGCCGGTCGCTATGTTGGACATTGGTTAGGGGACAACGCCGCGACCTGGGCTCTGTACAAGACAAGCATTGCAGAGCAACTAGCATTCGCCGGTATCTACCAACTACCAATGGTCGGGTCAGACGTATGCGGCTTCGCAGGTAATACCACGGAGAACCTTTGTGCTCGCTGGGCAATGCTCGGCGCATTCAGCACCTTCTACCGAAACCATGCTGAGCTTGGAACAATATCTCAGGAGTTCTACCGCTGGGAATCTGTTGCTACTGCAGCACGGAAAGCTATTGATATCCGTTACCGCTTGCTTGACTACCTCTATACTGCTATGGCGCAACAGGCCAAAGATGGTACGCCCACACTATATCCACTGTGGTACCTCTATCCTGGCGACTTCAACACCTATGCGATTGACACGCAATTCTTCTTCGGGTCTGCGGTTCTCGTATCCCCCGTCATCGATGAGGACTCTACCAGTGTCACCATCTACCTACCCAAAGACACCTTCTATGACTGGTACACACTTACTCCCGTTCAAGGCACTGGCGCGATGACAACGCTCAACGGCGTCGACTTCACCACCATACCTCTGCACATCCGCGGTCGTAGCATTATTCCATTACGCAGCGAGAGCGCTATGACCACGACAGCCCTTCGCAAGAAGGACTTCTCAATTTTAATCGCTCCGGGCAGCGATGGGACCGCTTCCGGCACCCTCTACCTCGATGACGGTGAAAGCCTTCAGCAAGCTGCGACAAGTGACATTACCTTCACTTTTGGAAACGGAAAGTTCTCAATGGCTGGAAAGTTCGGCTATGCGGCTGGCGTCAACGTTGTGGAGGTCGTGGTGCTTGGCCAAAAGACTAAGCCGTACTCTGTCATCTGCGATGGAATGCCTTTGGCGCCTGATGCCGTGGCGTATAATGAGACGACCCAGGTTGTGACTGCACGTGTGGTGAAGGGACTTGATAAGGGCTTTCAGATGAGTGGCTTTGCTTGAAAAGTATGTCTAAAAGTATGTGTGAGGTAGGTTCAGCCCGTGTAGGATTGAGAAGTGGGTCAAGCCAATCTTTACGCCAATCGAGCACGCACGCACATTTCCTTTCATTTTTCTTACAAAATATTTGCATCTTCTTTCCTTCTTCTTTTCTCATCCATCCATTCATTCAACCACTTTTACCCCACCCCCATCCAATCTCATCAAAGAAAATGACACGCACAAGATTCACCTTCCCCACCTCCTGCAACCCCCCCGAAGACACTTCCTGCTGCTGCCACGAACCCTATTGCACGCAGCTTTCATGCCTCGAAGCGCAAGCTCAAGTGCGCCAATTCCGCCTCCTCCACCCCATCCCCCCCATTCCCCTCATCCCCCGCTACAGATGCGGCCAATTCAACAGATACTGGCCCCACTGCCCCGAATACGTCGATGGAGAGGGCGATACGTGCCCGCGCCATCGTTCGGGCTTTGAACCTGCCGGCCGCGCTAGATATGCTGCTAACCCCGGCGGAATGGGATTTCGCCTCGCTGACGATTGGTTGGGTGGGAGGGACGGGAGGGACGGGAGGGACGGGAGGGTTGGGGCGGGTTTTGGCGTTGTTGGTGATGGGAGGGTCCATTCGGAGCTGGTGGTTGAAAGATTTGGAGGGGGAGGGAGCGGGAGAGGGAGCGGGGGAGGGACGGTTCCAAACTACCTAGTCTGCCCCCGTTGCCAGAGACGTGGGATAAGCGCGCGTTGCCTGCACTGTTATCCCGCGCGCCGTCGTGAGGGGTTGTTGGGAAGCAGCATCCCGCCCCCTCCCCCTCGACCTGCTTTTGTGAACCAAGCACCCAGTGGTCACGATATAGCTATTAGGAGGGCTTGGGGGTTTGGGGGGTTTGGGGGGTTTGGGGCTGATGCCGCCGCTCTATTCGGATTCGCGCATCCCGATATCGGAGGGCATGAATACCACCACCACCGCCTCGGTGTAGACCCGCCTCCGTACTCTCGCTACCCGCGCTCTGAGGCCGCGCCGTTGACACCGGATCCCCTCCCCTGCCGCGACTGTGGGCCCCATTACTGGGCATTCGGCACATTGTGCTCCTCATGCGACCCCGAGCGCCGCCCGTCTCGAGATGGCGGGCCAGGCTCGGATAACGGTCCTATGAGGCACCACGCGCCTCCCGCCAGCTCATGGGGTCGTCGCCGGCCCCCACCCCCGCCGCCGCCATACACCCGCGACCCTAATCCGCCGCCTTATTCTTTCCGCGCGCCAGCAGTGAGGCCGGTGGGGGCCGGGGCGGGGGCGGCGCCGACTGTCACGTTCAGCGAGGAGAAGATTCGCTCGTTGCGCTTCGAGCGGTACACGGAAAGCACTGAGAGGAGGATCAGGGCGGAAAGGGAGGAGGGCGAGGTTAGGGAACGGGTGGTGGAGAGACGGCAGGTTGTGTTGAGGAGGGAGGAGGTGGAACGGTTGGAACGGGTGGAGGAGAGGGAGAGGGTGGAAAGGGTGGAGAGGCAGAAGGAGGAGGGGAGGAAGAGGTTGGAGAGGCAGAGAAAGGGGCAGGGGATGGGGGGGTTGGAGTGGGAGAGGGTGGCGAGGGAGGAGAGGTGGATGAGGGAACAGAGGGAACGGGTGAGGAGGGAGGAGGAGAGGGAGAGGATGAGGGAGGAGGAGAGGAGGGCACGGGTGAGGAGGGTGCGGGAGAGGGATATTAGGAGGAGGATGGGCATGAATAGGTGGTTCAAGGGAGGGGAAGAGGGGGGTGAAGAGGGGGAGAAGGCGGGTGAAGAGGAGGTAAAAGAGGAGAAGGAAGGGAAGGAGGGGGGGGGAGGGGAAGGAGGAAGGGAAAGGGAGGAAAGAAGGGGAGGATAGTGAGGCTGAGCCAGACAGGACTGTGACGACGAGGAATAAACCGAGGTATAGATTTTGACCCGGAAGTCTTTTGAGAAGGACTCGCTGCGTCCGGATGGCGTGGGGTCGTTGGCAGAGGTTGGTGAAGGGCGTTTTGGTGCTTGCTCAACAGAGTTTGCGTTTATTTTCTTTCTCGTTTCCGGTTGCATGCGGTTTCATTCGGTGTATCTTGTGTGGATTGTGCATACTTTAGAGTTCTTTGTGTTGGGACGTTGGGAAGAGTGCGTGATGGGTTGTGGTAGCGTAATATTTAGTGACTCCCACGAGAAGAGGAGAGAAGAGAGGGATATGTAGGTTCTGTTGGTGTTTGCTTTGTCTGCTAGGGGTCTAATCTTTTCTTATTGAATATAGATTCTGGTGGAAATTGGAACAGTTTAACTGAAATGTCTCGACTTGAGGTGCATTTCATGCGGCGGGTAATGTATTTCTTGACGGAGTGATAAGTCGGTGTAGTATGTTATGCTTAGGTCCTGTCCAGGATGTGGGATAGTTACGATCAACTGCGTCATGGTAAGGTACTGCAATGAGCAGTCACCACCGCGTTTCCAAATAGACTAGATAAAATAGGACTGCGATGAACCTGTCGGCGCCATCTGAACGAAAGTTGAAACCAGTATTCGCCATGTTTCCAGGTACGAAAAAGTCTATTCTTCGGAAAGATCGACGACTTCAACGCCACGAACTCGCTTCGAAGGCGCTGCTCCCTCAGAGTCATCGTGTACTCGCTTTCTGATATTTGAATTCCCCGATGTCCTGGTCAGAACGGTGCGATCGAACGCTCTCTTTGTCATCTCCTCTAAAATAGCATGATCGAGAGGGACGCCAGATCCTTTCGTCTTGAGACTGAAAGCGTTTAGGAGCTCAAGGTACTTGTCGCCAAGAAGCTGGAGTTTGCCTTTTTTGTGAAGATAGTGTAGAATCATTGCCACGTCCTTGCAATCTTCTTTCCAATGACTGACTTGCATGTTCCACAGCTTGTGGACTTTAGTCACGTTCAGCGGGTAGGGAGGCCCTTGCGAGTCTACTATCTTGACGGACCACTCTCGAGATGAACTTTTTTTTGAATTTCTGGGCTACGTGATCCCGATCGGTTTTGGTTGGGAGATTGATACACGTTTGTTCGGTGTTCGACATTAGAAAGTCGTTGACTTGGTCACAAAGAGGACACTTGCACCCTCTGATTGAGTTTTTATACCAGTAAGGCGGTTGCGGCGGCATATCTTTGACGTAGATATGGACGAGAGATGTGATAGACGTCGTGTAAAACTGCTCATATCGTTGGGGCATCTTTTCGAATGAGACTTCAGACGGCGGCAGCCATCTCCAAAACTCCATAAATAGATGAAATATCTTTTCGCCAACCATTTGGTGACTCAGGTCGTTAAGTGCTTCGAGAAGACTGATAGCGGCGTCTTCCAGTTGCAGTTTCTCGAAAGTTCGCAAAACGCCTACAATGAACAGCACTTCTCCAGTGCCTCCCATGTAACAAGTATCTAATTTGACAGTCTTGTGTTGGCAACCTCTACGCTTGAATTTCTCATCGCCTAAACGATTCTGCAAACCGAGTGCTTTGCGAATTACTTCGACAAAGTCAGGGCTTATGTCGTTCCACATGCGCTGGGCAAAATTGGTCGACAGTTCGCCTTTCGACACTGCATCTGCGGTGCATTCGAGAAGTGACTTGATGCATTCCGTCGAAAAAAGTGACCTTTCGATGAGTGGAACGAGTACAGAAAGGAGGAAGCTCTCCCCGCCAGGTCGTTTACGAATGTTGAACAACATCTTTGCTTCCGTCGTACTTGCGAAGACTCTTGATTCCTGCCTTACTTCAGGTGTAGCAGCCAGAAGCAGATCGCGTTCAACTTTCTTCATGTCATAGTTTAGGGATGGCTGCGATTGCAAGAGCTCTGTACCTCCAGCTATGTAGTTGTCGATGGCCTTCAATCTGGTCCAAAGGTCCGATACACGCGGTAGCAAAGCCTTGACGCTATTGAAAGTATAAGCGGACGCTGTTGATGCATAGTTGACAGTCAGCTCACCTTGAGTTCCATTCTACCGCGTTAGGAAAGCCGAGCCCTCGCGAGAGCTTGTGAAAAAGGCTTGGTTGCAGGATGTTGCAGTTTTTATTCCTGAATATTGATTGCAGCAACTCTGCATTGTGGAAGCGGATGGCGATATCGACGAAGTAATCAAGGTCAGCCGTTATTGCCGGCTTCTCTTGTTCGCTAGGTCAGCTTTGACCCTGCTGGCTTGTCATCGCAACTTACTACTGTAAACCTCGGCCAAGGTCAAAAGATTCTTTCTGGCATCTTCCATCTGCGGGTCATTGTCGAATTGTCGGTTCAGAATGCCAGCCCATTTGCCGAATTGAACAGTGCTCGCGTCAGAGATGAAACTGTGTAGGCAATGAGAAGGCACCACAACGAGGCAGCTGCGGCGATAAAAGTGATTCGCAATCCCCTCTCCTCCATCAGTCTGCCCTTCATATTTCTCATCGTCAGGCTCTTGATTCTCGAAGTCAAGACCTTGCAACTCGTCAAAGCGCAGACCCATCATCACGTCTTCTTCCTCGACATCAATATTCTCAGCAATGTCCTCACCTTTGATCGTGAATATCCTGAGCAAATCTATATGTTTGAAGGATTGTTTGATAATTTCATGGAATCCCTTACTTTTCCCACTGCAATTACCGCCTATCGCATATTCAAAATTGGCACAAAAGAGGCGAAAGCCGTACTTGTGAGCTGCTTCAAGCAGGCACGTTGCACGTTTGTGGTCCAGACCAGTCAAGGAGTCTATGCCAAAGTTTCCTTCCGAATATTCGTAGTCCAGAATGTGGATAAGCTTTTCATGCTGATGGTGGTCCACTTCGTACTTACTCCATCGCGAAAATATGTGGTCAATCGTTTGCTTGTGGTTGGTGGCAAAATTGGAAGGACAGCTTGACTGGAGTGAGGTCGTTTGATAGACAAGGTTGTACGTCAAAAGTAAACGATATCCAGAAGTGACGGGAAGGATTACGTGATCCAGACCTGAGTACCAAGACATAAAGCTGTATTCATATTCGCTGGCTTTACAAGTCGCGAGTTCTATCTCCTGCGATCCAGCTTTCACGAGAACACCCCCACCGAGATGTTCGGATGGAAGGGCGATGACCAAAGTTGCGAGCACACCGGGTTGCTCTTTGGCGCTTTGAAATGTCAGCATGAATACATTAGGCGTCCAGAAGCTTACTATCGATGGGAATCGGCATGATCGCCAGGCCCATCTAAGTGCATCCGGTAGAATTCATGGCGAAGGTTCGCCGAAGATCCCAAATCCAATTGCTGAGCAGCTAATGAAGCCAGTTCCTGGATAGTTTGAGACCACTTTGGATTGTTTAATTGGACCTGGCTCGACTCCAGCGCCCACGATCTTTGAAACCCGTCATTGGTAGTGGTTTTGTTACCTTCGTCCAGGGGCGTTTTGTGGCTGATGCGGATGATGTCGACTGCATCGCGGTCCGAAAGTGGGAGGCCAATCTTTCCGATACCCTCAACTACCAATCCAGGGTTGACAGCTTGAGGCAGAGGTCCTGAGGTCGCGAATGTTCCTGGACCAATGCTGCTGAGAGCCTCACGTAGGGTGTCCCTGATGTCACTACTATAGTCACCATTGTCTGACGATGATACGGTCTCTGATCCCGCATGACTGCCATCACTGCCGCGACTAGTGGTCTTACATGGACGGATGTTGCACTCCATAGGCCAATAGGAAGATGAAGCATCCACACCAAGTCAAGAGACTCCGACGCGTCTAGATTAACGCGCTAGCGACAGCACGTGATGTTATCGATAAGCCGCTCTCTTAGAGCCCCCTCGCCCATACGCCCTCGACCACCCATCTCTGTTAGTCTTTCTCATATTCGTTCACATCTCTCCTTTTTCCACACTTGCGTAGACGTGCTGACACGGCTGCCTTTGATGTTGGTATGACTTCTTTGCTCTCATCGACGTTGATTAGCCGATCCCATGTCCGCAGACTGCATTTAGTATACTGAAAGCTATGAGCAGTGCCGAGTTAACGACGATTACGTGTAATGACTTTGGTAACGAAGCTACAGCGAAGTCGGAGAATCCGATATGGCAATTGAGACCCTCGCACGGATATGTTAGCACACTCACCTTCTTCATGTGCATATCGTCATGGCCGTGACTGAGAGATGTGCGCCGAGATGTGCTGATGATCCTATCGCTCGTCCAACAACCTACAGGCCGCTCCTCCACTCAAAGGCCCCTTCAAAATCGAACAAAATCGCCCACAAAGGGCAAAATCCGCCATCGGAGCAACCACCCTGTGCAATTGCAATCGACAGAAAAGGGCCGTTTTACACTATGGTAGATGCGCGCCAATAGCAATGGCCCTCCCAAGCCTTTCGGCCTCCCCCACAAAAGTACTACAACCCGCACTTGCCGTGTCACTTGCTAAAAATCGACATTTCCGCCACCATCAGGCGGCCGCTAGAAGACCCAAGGAAGCCATTTGCTGCAGCTAGGAGATATTTCTCGACGCTAAGAGCACATGGTAGGGACTAATCCTCCGAGACAAGCCCCCTCGGTTAGATGTCAGCAAATAGCCTGCTTCATGTTGCCCTTCAGCTCCGGAGATCTCAGATAACATACGAAAAAGACTTTACATCCATGCAATACGCAGGTACACACGGCTGGCCGGGCCGTCTGCAGCTTTACTGGCAGCGAATCATTTTTTTCTCCGACATGGCTAGTGGCTTTGATTATGCACTAAAATTTTCGGCTTTCTGGTCGTCAACGCTATCACGTCAGAGGAAGCACTTGCAGGATCGGGAACGGGACGTTTAAGATTGTGATTGTTACTGATATGCCTCCTGACTTCTTCAAGACGAGCTCTCTGCCTCAAAATCCCACCAGAGTCCTTGATTCTTCCAGAAGGGAGGACATCGAAGCACAATGCACGAATACGTCTTTTCCGAGCCTGAAGGGGGTGATCAGTCTCAAGGATGGGCATTACTGGCAGTCACCTGGGCCTTCGTCACCTTCGCCACATTCACCACCATTCTGCGACTCTTCGTTCGCGCCAAGTTGACGCACAACGTTGGATCCGATGATTGGGTGATGGTGGTAGCTTTGGTAAGTTATGGAAAACCATACAGGATAGCGTAGATCACGGTGTGAACAGAGTCGCTGATGATGACCATAGATCACGACTGTCCTCGGTGCTGGATTTGTCACTTGCGAAGTTATAGTCGGAGGCCTTGGTCGCCATTCATACTACCTTACCTATGCACAGAAAAGGAACTTCACAGCCATAGGCTGGGCCGATTGGATACAAACCTTTGTCACTCTGGCCCTGATGAAAATCTCCATATGCCTATTTCTTCTTCGCCTTGTGGACAAGAGGAAGCTCAGACTAGCCCTCTGGGGCATGATTGGATTCCTCACGCTCTTCACAAGTGTCTTCACCTTCTTGTTCCTAGGAGTCTGCAGACCGCTGAAGGCACACTGGGACATCCGCATACCAAATGCAGTCTGTCTCGAGGATTTGCAAATCGAGAACATCACGCTGGCACAAGGAGGTATGTTGAAGGAACCTGACCTACAATATGTGTACCTGCTTACAATATCAGTCCTCTCAGCATTCACAGACGTCATATTGTCTTTGTTCCCCCTAGTCTTCCTCAAAGGCCTCCAAGTCAGCCTTCGCACAAAGATCGCTCTATGCCTACTGATGGGTTTGGGTATTATGTAAGTACTCACAGCGCCCAAGACGCCAGCAGTGACTAATGTTCAAACAGCACCGCGGTCTGCGCTATCGTCCGTACCGCCCTCTCTGGCGCCTTGACCAATCCTGACCTCACTTGTAAGTCTCCTCCTTTCTCTTCCCTACTATATCACTAATATACTACTCTAGGGGCCATATCCGCCAACCTAGCCTGGCGCCTGCCCGAAGTCAACATCGGCATTGCCTGCGCAAACGCCCCCATCCTACGCCCTCTCTACCTCTTCTTCCGCGGCCGCCTCGATACAAGCCGAAGCAAGAAAGCCAGCACAAGTGGCGCGAGCGCAGACCGCTTCGTCATGCCAGGAAATGCGAGGTGGAAGCGAGGTTCAACTACTCTGCACGGCAGTGCCAGTGTGGCATCGGAGGAGGGGAAAGAAGGGGAGTCATGACAGTACGATCTCGGAGAATGTTGATTTGGAGCTCGGGCCGCAAGTGCCGCCTAAGGAGGGGTTGGGGACGAGGACGGATGCGTGGGCTTGATAGGGAAAGGAGAGGGGAGGAGGTCGCTGGCCGGCTTATGTGATTTAATGTGAAAAAGAGAGTGCTGACGTACTGTTGAGGACGAATGATGTATTTCCGGTCAACGGCTGTATATAGTACTGACGTACTTGTAAAGGCCTTTTGTTTTTCTATTAGGGCTCGTGCGATACGGCGCCGTTCCCCACTCGCCAACATTGCGAAAGTTGTATTCGTGAAGTTGGCGTCTCCAAGCCGCGCCAGAATCAGAAAGAGGCTATGCAAACCCACAGAATTTTGCTCGTGGGGCAGCCAGCATCAGGCAGCATTTACACTGCCGAGCCCTGGTACAAGATACCTTTGATCATGCTAACCAGAAATAGTTAGAGGTGCGCCTTGACTGCCTCCATCAATTCCATCCATCCATCATTCATCACTGATATCACGAGCTACCTTGATGTGAGCCATGCATTCGAGAGGTGACGCTTACCAATATCAACCTTTGGGGCCTCATGGAGATGTCAGCGATATTCGCCTACTTAGTTTGTTCGCCGGGGAGTGGACCAGCCCTATAAGATGCACGTTGAAGATCGTCAGGCACAATTCCCTCGGTCCTGAAAAAATTCCGGAGTATGAAGCTCTATCGTACACATGGGGTAATCCTCAAAATGATTAGAGTCGTGACACTATCCGACATGATGAGCCAAAGCTTCAAAAGATCAGCATTGATGGCCACTCGATGGAGGTGGGTGATAATCTATATCAGGCACTTCTGCACCTCCGACAAGACATCACCAAACAGAAACGTACCCTTTGGATCGACGCCCTCTGTATTGACCAGGCAAATCTTCAAGAGCGAGGCGAGCAAGTGAAGCTGATGGGAGCGATCTTTAAGCAAGCCAAGCTTGTGATTGGCTGGCTCGGGGCTGCAAGTGAAACTACTGATCTAGCTTTTGACTCTATTGAAGAAATCTGTTTTGCTTTGAAGGCTAAGACGTGGGAGTATTTAACCCAGCATTGTCAGATGTCACCTGAGGACATTACTGAAAAGAACATGGACCAGATACTATTCCCAAGAACTAGAGACTCCAGCAGGCAGCGAATCTTTCATAAGGGTCCTCTCATGGTTTCAGATAGTGATCAAAACCGATACCATATGGGGATACTGCTGCGCTTCACCAAAGGCAATGTATATGATGGAGCCATGCCGTCATCGACGCACGTAGAAACGATTTGGACTACTGGAGGTGCTCTGGCAAAGGCCATTCTTTCGCACGACCATTCATTCTCAGACTCGATGGAATACTCTGACCGACTCAAGGCGCTGCGCGCAGTATTCAGGCGAAGCTTTTGGAAAAGGCTATGGATACACAATGAGATGCAGACCGCTTCGAAGCTTCATTTGATGTGTGGTCGCAGATACTTGCCCATCGAGTGGTTATGGCCATTACTCCTAGACCGTGTGGCGCACTGGGGCCGCGACATTGCTTCGAATTCTCTTCTTGGCATGAGCAAGCAATTCACCGAGCCAATCTGCCATGCGATAAATCCTGGACTCGAAGCTTTGAGAGCACATAACATGCCGAGGTTACCGATATTAGGTCAACAATTGATTCGTTCATCCGGCAAGCTCTGCACAGATCCTCGTGATTACGTGTTTGCAAATATCAGTACATCGAGACCTATTGATATAAAGGTGGATTATGCGAAAGATACACGTGTCGTTTACATTAATGCCACACGAGCAATCATAAGCCAGCAGCAGAGTATAAGCATCATTGGCCTCAGCTCCACCAAAGCCGTCAACAAAGACATGGCAGAAACTCGTCTCAGTCTTCCCTCTTGGGTACCACACTTCGAGGAGGCTCTGGACGAACCTAGACTGTACTCCTCATACGACATAGCTCAGCAGCTCTACAGTGCCGGCGGCCCGTTGCATACCTCTGTAAATGCAAATTGTGACGATTCCCACGATCGTCTTTTTGTCAGTGGCACATTTCTTGGGGAGATCCAAGCGTTACAACAGCTTGGCGATCTTCCCATGGAGCATCCCATCTTAGCAATTGGAATAGTCTGTGCACTCCAGAAACCTCAACAGACAGAAGAGACCGAATCACAAGCTATATCGAACGACGAGTTCTTTCAGAGGGTAAAGACGCTCTTTGCAGACCAATTCCCAGACAGCGCCCACTATGGCCGCCGAATCTCACAAAACAAGAGTGCTTATGAAACCTTCGAAAGGGCTTCGAAATCAATCATTAAGGCATTCCTGGAAGATGCCCCTAAGGAGAATAGTCTAAATCCTACTTTCCCCGGCCTGCCTGGTGCATTCGGTACGCATCTGATGCTCACGGCGAACAACAAAGCCTTTTGCATCACTAACCGCAATATGTTCGCTCTTGCGGACTCCGGAACTGAGATAGGTGATCGCGTTTTCGTCGCGAGGGGCTCATATCATCCTTTCATCGTTCGTCCAGCGATGGGAGTTGAGCTATCAGACGACGTGAGTTTTGGGGAAAAGGCCAATGATTCCAACGATAGCGGTACAGAACTTTATGAGCTTGTGAGTAGCGCGTACGTGCACGGTATCATGGATGGAGAAGTCATACAGATGATCCAAGAAGGGAAGATTCAGGAGGAGGAAATCTGCTTTGTCTGATGATACGCGGACATCGTCCAGAGTGGCAGATCTTCCACAGTCCGTCCGCTCTTAAAGCTTCGATATTGAACGTATTATGAAGTATAGTCCGTATTCTAGCAAACAAGCCCGCCTCTAATCTAATGGCTGCGCAGTTGGAACATAACCGTGTAAGGTATCAATGGCAAAAACAAGGGGCTGTTGCGTGCGTCAACACCCGACAGACAGGACACTCCACGAGCTCTTGTTATGAAATACCCAGAAGTCAGGGAAGTAGAATTGAAAGTGGCCGAACTAGCTCAATCGCACGACATCAGGGGCCAAAACCCGTCCTCAGCTAGTTGTGAGGTACTCTCAATTATTCACCCTACCTCTCATCAACTCACCCTCGAAGTTGATTCAACACAAGTCCGCGCGGCTCTACAATCTTTACAGAGAAGAAAAAAAAAACAAGAGCCTCGTATGTCACCCAATACAACACTTTCTGAGCTATCCTGTTGCTGCCGCGAAAAGCTGAGATCACATAATCCAGCATGACGGTATCGGACTTTCCGGCGCCAATTAATCGACCTCATCAGGTTCAAGTACAGAAGGCTCAATCTGCGAAGTGCGAATAACTTCTCGTGAAGCTAGTTCGGGACACTTCTGGTCAGCCGTCTTGGTGAGCGACTACTTGGTCAGATCTGGTCTGGTCAACATTACTGCCAGGCAGTGGCGAATTCGCAAAAAGGGGTCGGTGGGGTGGCAGATACGACTCTCTCCCCCCCGAGGTCTCTCGAAGCAGATGTTTACATCGCTGAGAAATAGCGTGTTTTAATATTGACTATTTGTGTGAAGAATGGGATTTGGCTGGGCAGATATGGACTACAGGTGACGCTGAAGATAGGTAATTAGATGAGAGATGTGGGAGAGGCATGAGTCTGTGAGACATTCTGAATCTTGTGAGAGTATTGAAGTGCTAGTGCGCTAGTCTCGCAAGGGTTTAATGCCATGTTTGTAGCTCGAGGACTGCTGCCTTGGTAAGTCTCCTTAGGTGATTTGCTGGGGCTGGGATATCCAGTATAAAACATCTCGGTACCGATCACTGGGGAAGAAGTCAAAGTACTGCAGCACTCGGGCTCAAGAGGCCTTGAATGATCTGTTCATTCCGTCTGCTGTCTGTAGCGCAATGTGAGAAGCCGCATGTCGTGATCGCACCCTCTGTTGTTGTAGACCAGACTGATGCTTGTTGTGATTTGAGATGGGAGATTGATCGGTACTAGACCTGGTAATGACAGAAATTAGAACATCATTTGGAAGTTGCGCAAACGCGCCATCCGTGGGTTTGGAGGATTTTTCAAGCAATGATTTTTCTGTATTTCGCCACCAACAAGGCGTGTCTCGAAGAACCATAGGATCTATCGCTACGTCTGCCACCTCACTTCATTCAACTGTAGAAGACGTCGTAACACTGTCAACATCGTGAAGCACCCGCCCTTATCACGGTTCCGTGTCATGCTCTAGGTACACGCCGTACACTCCTGGCACAAGAAGCTCGTGATGGAGTCTCCGACATCAACCCCATTATAATTGCGCAAGTTGCCTGTGCCTGGATATTGGATGAACGCATCACCATGCGCCGTGCACGTATTCGCCGACCTACATCACCGTCAGCTTTGCACAGCACAAACCGCCGCCCTTCGTGCAGAGCGGGGTTAGTACTCACGTCGTGAGACGGCAGAGAGCGCCCTTGTCTGGGCCGAAAGAGCCGATGTTGCGAAGACTGGATGTCGATGTCAGCCTTCTCTTCCATTCAAAGCGATCGATAGGGAAAGGGCGTACTATGGAGCCGTCAAGACAATGCACGTGTTGAAAGGCTGGACCTTGGCGCCGCAGGTGCCGGAGTAGTTGGCGCCGGTGCAGAGATAGATCTGTGCTTCGTCAGTGTTTTTGTTGCCAAGGGCTTCAAGATTCTGTGCCTCACATTGCCAGGAGTGCGCTTCTCCAGCGGGCTGGTCTCGACTGGGCTTGTTTCGAGGCGTCGGAGGATCTCGTCGCGCGTGATGGGCTCGAAGCCCGAGGGGAGTGCGTCGGGAGTTGGTGCACCGTATGCTGAAGTGGCGAGCGCAAGGACTGCTGTGGCGATGGCTGTGAAGAAACGCATGATGCTTGAGATTGAGTGGGATGTTGGTGATTGCTTCGCTTCTTTTGCGGATGTTGGTGATTCTGATAGTTGTTGAATAGAATCTTGGAGCAATGGGCAGCATGTCTTTATAGTTGAGAGTGGTGCACAATTCATGGTCTGGACCATATGCAGTATGCAACGTTGCAGAAGAATGGCTTCCGAGCACGCCGTTTTCGTGGAGGCGGTAAGCGCAGTATGTAAGATTCATTTATTTGCGGAGCTTTGTCAGTGAGACCTTACTTTCAAGAACCAATGGCAGCACATGAAATGCTATTCACTGATCAAAAACCTAATCGCTCCTCGACTTCTACTCCAATGGTATTCGACCACTCACATGTCATCAGGTTTGTCACAAGATTTCATGGCCTCGCAGTTGTCTAGTGCTGCTCAATTCGGCAACAAATGCGGACCTCATGCTCAACAAAGTAGACTCGAGGGCATGTTCGGGCACTGTAGCAGACTCGGAGGCATGTCCGCGTGGACAGAGCCCAATGAGCCGTACTCGTAAACACTCGCAAGGTCAGTGAGTGCCCAGGGCGTGGCTGCCATTGCTGTTTTTGGACAATGGTCTCTGCATCATGGCATGGGAACTTCACGTGGCAAAGCCGACTTCTCGTAGACGCGGGAGGTGACTAAGATTGCCATCGAATATGCAAGGCGCTTACATTCAGTGGCCAATTAACCGACCATCTCCGCAGACTATATGCATGATGGACGACCTGCAGCTGAATGCATGCCTCGTGAGTGCTGCTCGGTTAACATTCGTTGTAGAGGTAAGGTATGTCCAACCACCTTGCTCATGCTCGGCGTACCTAATCCGACTGCAGAATCTCGCGAGCGCCCCGTGGATATCCTGTGGCCTTTCCCTCCACAAGGCCTCAAGATCTGAGCGCTGGTCTTTCACCCACTCCACTCATCATGGCCTGGTCCTTTGACAGACCTCCAGGATAGCCGTAAAGAGGGTTAGAGATGCCATTGACCAGGCCCAGTGCAGAAGATGGGTCGTCGGGCTGTACCACGTTTGACAGTATTGCTTGCTGACTATCTGACTAAATCTTCAAAGCCGACTGTGACTTTTCATGGACGCCTTTGTTTCGAAGGTTCTGGATTTGTATTTAAAGTGGATGATTGGTATCGTTTGCCCCATTTGCGTAGGTCTCTTCCTGATCCCTGCATTTGTGTTGTTGGCCGGGCGGACCGAGCATTCCTTGTAGCTTGGATTGCATGCTTGCCTGGAATTATTGCCCCTTGTACGCTGGTCGCTTTCTGATCTCTGTATCTGTGGTTTGCCCGGGGGGGGAGTACTTCTCGTAATTGGGATGGAGTCTTTGCGTGGAGAGATCGTTTTCTGTGCGTTGACCCTCTTTCAATCCATGATGTTTGGTCGAGGTGGCGGAACATCTCTTGTAGCTGTGGTAGGAAGGTTGCTTGTTCCACCCCACTGACCCTGGCCTCTTTCAGTGATCTCCCTGCATCACGCTCATGGAAATCGTCGCCATCTCTTCTACTGTCGTCCCAGTGTTACAGCGTGAAAGAAGCAGATGGCTGGTAATGATCTTCATCGGTCCTCACGACTAGATTCTAGTCATTTGCTCGACCCTACTCCTCTGAGCGATCTCCTCGGGTCGCGCGGGTGTATTCTGTAGCCCCGTCTTCTCTTGTAACCCCATAGCTATAGTGTGGTGAATTTTGGCAGCCGACAACATTCTCTATCCGCTTCAGCGCGAGACGCATAGCCGTAGATCTTATGCTGTTTTCCACTCTGCACACATGCTTCTTCCGGCGCGTAACGGTGTGGAGGCTTCCTCCTCCTTCGCCCCTTCAAGAGTTACATACCCGCGGCGCTTGGTCGTCCCGGCTTCTTGGTCCCAGGTCAGGTGAGGTGAGGTCTGTAAGGGCGGGTGGTAGAAGCAAGCCGGTCTTGGAGATCGAAGCAACGAGAAATTGCTACATAGTGGGGAAAGAGGCATAAAGCACTGTAAAGTTCAGAAAGAGGTGGTTCCATGGCCTCTGATGAACTGGAAAGGCCCAGACGACGTACCTCGCTGGCGCTGGTCATTTCTGAGTTGTTGGAGAGCCGTGGACGTAAATTGATTGGAAGTTCTTCAAACTCGGCACAAAGATGATCCGCTCCGGAATTACTTACCGTCGCTGCCTTTTCCAAAAAAGAGGTACATCATTCAAGCTTTGCACGCGAGTCAAGTCTCTTCCAACAGGGACGACGAAGGCATAAAGCAGAAATGCCGCGCCAACTCATAGTACATCTTACGCAGCTCGATGACTGCAGATTTAAGGCAAAACGTGCGAACTGCGGAAAACGGGTAAATCGCGACACGAAGCACAGAACCCATAAACCTCAAGCAGGTCCTTCTGGTCTAAAGCAGGAATACCAAAATGTAGGAAAATTGCTCGACTCTAATCCGAATCCACGGGACACAGTATGAACCAAACCCACCCTCTGACCAAGAGCACAAATTCAAACAATCATCTTCACCAACCCCCTTCCATGCCCCAACATCTCACCCATATGCCCCTCCAGCCCCCCTCCTTCCCCACAGCCGCCTTGAACTCCTCAGGCAAGAACACCGCTTCCCCAAGCGCAAGCGTACTCGCCACCAATACTGCCACACCAACGAACGTCAGTTTCCATCAAAATCGCAGCATCTTACCGCACCAACAAGCGAGGGACCGAGGGAAAAGATATGAAAGGCACAAGGGTAAGGAATGGCAAGGGAGTGGACATACCTTCAAACATCACCTTCGCCTCCCCAGGCTTCTTGCCCGTGACCCGCGGCATGGGTTTCTGCTGCACGAGCGTCGAGAGCAAGATCTCGCTGCTTAGTGTCGCCGTCGCTGTACCCGTACCTTTCTTGCCCCCCTTACCCCCCAAGGCTTTTGTCTTGCGAGCCATGCCGGCCTGACTGCCTGAGCTTCGGCCCCCTCCCTGTCTTTGGTTGTTCATCGCTTTTGGTGCGCCTGGTGAGGAGGGTTGACTTCGGTCCTGAGCGTTTCTGTCCTGGCTACGCTGTTGTTGTGGCGGTATGCTTTGCTCGGGGGTGGGGGCGTTCATATCTCGCATGCCCTGGTTGGCGTTGCGGTCGCTCATGTCTGGCGCGTCTCTCGTTAGGCCATCCTGGCCGTTTGGAGGCTCTGCGTAAGCTTCGTTGAAGGGGGCATGTGGGGTAGCACGAGATGGCTGGCGCGGTTCGTGCGACGGTGGTGGAGCTCGCGCATCGTGGATCGGCTTTTGTGCGTCTTGACGGCCGAGGCCGTGAGGTTGCTGCGGTTGTTGTGGGTGCAGTGGTTGTCGAGGTTGCTGTTGTTGTTGTTGGGGCTGCTGTCGTTGTTGAGGATTTTGCGCGTGCTGTGCAGCCGGTTGATGCTGTTGCTGATGAGGCTGTGGTAGCCGGTGCTGTTGCTGCTGTTGGGGCTGTTGATGTTGTTGGGTTTTTGGCTGTTCTTGATGCTGTTGGGGCGGTTGATGCTGCGATTGCTGGTGCTGTTGGTGCTGTTGATGCTGCTGGGGTTGCCGCTGCTGCTGATGTTGCGGTGGCTGGTGCTGTTGATGCTGCTGGGGTTGTCGCTGCTGTTGATGGTGCGGTGGCTGGTGCTGTTGATTCTGCTGGGGTTGGTGGCGCTGTGATTGCTGTTGATGTTGAGGAGGCTGATGATGCTGTTGCTGCTGTTGCTGCTGAGGATCCTGTGACTGCTGGTGTTGCTGATGTTGTTGGGGCTGTTGATGCTGTACTTGCTGGTGCTGTTGATGTTGGTATTGCTGAGGTTGGTGGTGTTGTGGTTGCGGTGGATGCTGAAATTGTCTTGGAGGTTGTTGGTGCTGTGGTGTCTGATGCTGCAGGCTTTGATGTTGCGGGCTCGGATGTTGTGACATCTGGTGCTGTGGGTGCTGGCGTTGCTGCCCGCTCTGATTCAGCTGCGGGTGCTGCGGATGCTGTAGCTGCTGTGATTGTTGTGGAGAGAGCCCTGGACCTCGCCTTAGAGCTGATCCTGGCTGTAATATGTTGGGGATGGCTTGATGTTGCCCATTGCCACCAAAACCATCTTGCCCAAGAGGAGGAGGCTCCCGGAGTCGATCTTCCCCATGGTCAGCCATATTTTGTGCCTCCTCATCTCCGCGAGCGTGGCGTCCGAGATATGATTCTGGATGATTGTCTCCCTGCAACAACGGTCTCCCGGTTTCGCTTGGATTTCGGCGGACAGCACCGCTTCGTTGGGGTGATCGTCCCTGGCTCAGGCTCCTGGAAGCTGCTCGATAGTAAACACTGCCATGTCTACCGACTCCTGCAAGCTCAAGTGTCGTTGGAAGCTGGAGACTGTCTGATTGCCGGCCTTGGCCAAGACTCCCTTGATCCGTAGAGTCGAAAGGTGTGAACAGATCTCTGGGGTCAGAAGATCTTGATCTCGCAGACTGGGACTGCCCGAGGCTGGAATTGTCTGCAAAGTCCCCGCCTTGGGGCAGTACGAATTCATTTCTCTGCTGTTGCCGCCCGCGGTCTCTCATCTCCTGTTCCATGTCCACGTTTTCGTGATTGTTATCGTATTGGGTCTCGCCTACTTCTTGAGTCTCCTCTGAAGTGAAGTCTTGAAGGTACGTGGTTCGTTCATTGAGGTGTGGGTCGACAACAACTACATCAATCTCTGTTCTTTGCTCGCGTTGCCCGGTATCCTCAACCTGACCTTGGCCTGAAGACCTGAAGGACAGATCCATGATGGAAGGAAAGGGGATGCGCTTGACTTCCGTCAGCGTATATCAAGCCATTGCACGACACTAGTAAGATCGAACGACAAGCGAAGCCAAGCCAAATATGTAGTATTACACCAGCTTCTAAGACAGGTCTAGGCTCTCCGTGACCTTGTGATGCAAAGATCATGATGATTTGCTGACATTGCCAAGGCTGCCCCATAAGATGAGCAAATCTGACATTCGTGCCGCAGAGTAGAGTCACAAGACAAGCTCCGTAGTTGAGACTCGCTTGTATCTTGCCGAGAGCTTGTTGGGGGCCTTAAAGCTTACAGCTCGCGAATAAATGTCTCCGAAGCTGCAGAACACGTACTGCACGTATAGTCATATCTTAGCTGTCACAGCCCATGTTCCGATGGCAGCCACCAAACGGCATGGACGTTCTTTTTGGCTCAATCTCCGTGCTGATGATTCAGTGAAACTCCTAGGCTCCTACTCACATGGCTTCTCATAAGCAAAGTTCTCCGCAGCTGACGATCAGCGAACTCAGGCTTTTCATCAGGAACCGACCTTGACCTCGTTTTATTGGCAACAAAAATATGGGTCGCCAGTCGTCGTCCATCTTATTTGATACCTCCAACCCAGAGGTTCAGCTTCTGTATGAAGCATACGCTCCGCACGTTCAGCGCTTTGTGCGGGCATGTCTGTTCATCAAACGGGGTATTCAAACACCCTACCTTCCCTCCATCGTGAGGATAGCGCAAGTAGCCGAGACAATTGACTATGACCATCAACCAAGCGACGCCTACAAGTCCCGCGCATATCGCAAGTCTAATTTACTTAGCGGCGCAACATTGGGCGCAACATCGGGGAAGTCCCAGCCCCGCCCAACGAGGAAACCTAATAAAGCAACAAACTCAAAGCTCCAAACCCCTCATACCCAAGGAACAGGGTATGGGAATCATCAGGATCTGGCTAAAGTGGCTCTTGGTAGGGCGCTAATCAATACTTCAAATTTTATGCTTACGAGTACGTTAGCGACCGCGGCAACACTGAGACACATCTACAGAACAGCTGGCAAGTTCACCACATGGTTTCTAGTCTTCGGTCACACTAAGAAAGCCAAGGATCAACAACATTCATCTCAAATTGTGAACATCACAGGCTTGAAATCATGTATTCAGATATGCTTCAGTATCATCATTGGCGCAACTATGATGCTCCTACTAGCGACAGCAGGTCTAGTACTTCTAGCCTTTCTAATGCTGGTTTTACACCTGCGCCGTCTTCTTCGACCAAGATTCAACATTGAGTGTCTCGAGGACTGGGCATTCTCTGGAAGCGACCGAAAGAGTAGCTAACACTATTCATTGGATGCAAACATTTTTAATGAATTTCTGCGAATGAAGGACGAAATTTCAACGCTCAATAATTGACATGGTCTTTGCTTCAAACACTCTCAAAGCTCACATCATTACCGTGTCGATTATACTTTCCCCCGAAACACCAGTTGAGAAAGCCGCCGTCTGCTTGGAGGTGAAATGTCGCCGGCTTCTTTCCAACGTAGCATTCATCTGTTCAAGACCGTCAGCTTCATCTGGTCGCTCTGTTGTAATTGAGAGACATGAAGCAAGGAGACTTACATTGTAGTGTATTGTTCGCATGCGGACACGCACACTTGATCTTTCCCATCTTCCATCCGTTCTTTATCAGGTCGCTCGCATCATGTTTGTCGTGCTCGAAAATCACCATGCAATTGGTAGGCTCATTGACGAGAGCCATAGCCTTGCCGACTTGCTCTTGCGTGAAGGCTTCACGGATAGGGTTGTCGGCTTTGTTTGTGATGAGATTTTCGATGGCCTGGATGATCTCCCCGATGACTTTTTCGGCGAGCTGCTCGATTAGTTCTACTCCAAGTTTCTCGAATGCGACAGCCATCGTTGAGTTGCAACTATGCCAATCGAAGTCTCAGGTGCGTTGAAAGGTAAAGCGGTGGAAGTCTAGGTCGAGATGTCAAGGACGATGGTAGATGCGAATCTAGGCTTTTCAAGACTCTACTTCATAATAAATCAATCTTTGAATTATGTCAAGAATAGAACATTTGATGATGGGAGGCAAGATTCGCTTGCGGTAGAACGGACATTGAAGGTAAGCTGTGAGGTTCCGTTGGATGCCTGAGCTTTGCTTTGCCGGCAATGTTCCTAGGATTTCGCGAGATTACTCAGACGGAGGGCAAGAAGCGAGATCTGACCACTCTGCCCTGACATCAAATCGAGCTAAGCATATGCGCCTAGGAGCAGATCACATGTTGACTTTGTGGGTTCCTACATAAGCCCAGTGCTAAGCTTTGGCAGGGATCCGACTACGAAAGAAAAAACTTATGATAGCGAAAGAGATTCGGCTACAGTGAGTGACCGGATAATTTTGAGCAATTTTAACAGTAAGCTGACAGAAAATATATTCAGTACCCATATTCTGACACCATTCTATCGACCGTCGTACCTCCTAACCAAACACTGTCCCAGCGGAGTTGAACTTCCCATTGCCACTAGTTCGTCCCCCTACAAGCTGTTCTATCTGCTTTTGGACGCACCACCTTTGCCTCCACTCCCTGATGTGCTGCTTTAGCAGCCTCATCTAGAACATGACATATTGTCAGCTCCAAGAATCAATGTGTGAGATGCTCTGGAAATGACTTACGGGTTGGATGATGCCCTGCTGTCATACCGGAGTGAAAGGCAAGCATGGCCACAATCAATATCAACACGTGAATGAAGCTATGCACGTGGTCTTCGGTGAAACCCTCAGCTAGAAATCCGTCAGCTGTCGTTCTTGTTCTTGCGAAGTCCTCAGTCTTCTTCTCTACTTACACGCAACGTCATGGAAGTGCGACATCGTCTTGGAATGATGAGGGTCCTGGGAAAATTTGCTGTGCTTCACGCTGCCCCTTCCTGATGGAGCTGCGGCGTGACCTTCATTTTTTTCCTCGCCATCTTCCTCGTTCTCGCCGGGGTCTTCTTGATCGTCACCCACTTCTATATCATCTTGTTCTCCTTCATTCTCGTCGTACTGCTCTTCGCCTTCCTCGCCACCTTCTTGGTACTGCTCGTCTTCGTTCATGTCTTGCTCATTGCCTTCTTCGCCATACTGCCCTCCTTCATCATATCCCATGTCTTGCTGCTGGTTGTTGTTGGATGCATAGCCTTGGTTTGAGGAGCGTCCGTAACCTTGCTGTTGTCTTGGAGGCATGGTGCGTTTCTGGGATTGGGACGAGGTATCACCTGGGTAGCACTTTCTCAAGGACAGACGAGCTTAAAAGTTGAAGAATCTGGTCTTCGCGTACTCTCAACTGTTAGGAGAATGCGTGAGATATAGAATTCGTAGATCCTGTGCACTAAGCTCCTGCTGACTCAGATTAACCGAGACAGGGCTGCAAAGCGCACATGCACTAGTCTGATCCTCCGAGCCTAGTCTCGCTCTTAAGGTGGCGCTTGAAGTTTACCAAAGAAACCGTCCTATCCCCCCCAGCTTCCTGTTTGCTGCCGAAGACAAACACCAGAACCATGAGTCGGAGACTTTTCGAACTTGCCGGACCAAGCCGCTCTTTCGTCAGACTAACACCTGACTCGTCAGCCTTCGGAAGCTTCTCTCGAGTCCCTGTCAACACCCTATGACCACTGCTTACTAGATTCCATGCAACGAATTGCAGACTGGAGCTCTGTGTACTTCGGGTGGGTAGTACCGAAAATGTAATCTGCCGTCAGTGAACTAAGATAGCTAGGGTGCTTCTCACGAACTCCGTGTTGTATGTAGAGCGCCACTGTCACACGATGAACATATAGGCGAGTATTACAATCGTTTTCGATCAACAGGAAGCCGTGAGTCACATGGATTCAGGTCAGCATTGTCAGCATCCAGCCCTCGGACTTCCTAATGTCTATCTTTATTCATGTCCGTCGACTACTCTAGCAGCTTTTGTCGGGGGTCTCACATGGTACATTAGGCGACAAGTTTCACGAGCGGACTAACAGAATCTAACGAGGTCTTGACCATTCATGGCTTGCTGACTTGAGCTGAGTATGATCAAGTTGGTAGGCCTTCATACGTATCCTTTGCTCTTCCCGGACGGGGCAAAGTACTTGCTTTAAAGGAAAATTAAGATCACTAGACACATCAATCCTCGATCTAAATACTCAAGCAAATACTCCTGTTTGCTCCATCCATAGAACCTAGCCGCAGTTGAGACATGTCTGGGAACCCCCCGAAGGCCTCAGGGAGCACCCCTAAATCGCCTATTGCATCAGGTACGTAATACAAATCTCTTTAAAGATATCCAGGTTTGACGAGAGCATCTAACGACAATATAATAGCTCTTACGGGAGCCGCAAATGTAGGTGCGCAAGCGGCGACCAAGACTGGCTCCGGTAGCAATGCCAACAATGGGTCTGGTAATACTGGAGGAGGCTCGTCTTCCGCCTCGGGAACTCAGCAGTCTATCGAGAAGGCCTTAAAAGAGAAACTGCCTGAGCTTGAAAGTGACGCAGCTTCTCAATTTTCCGCTGCAAAATTCCATCCACTCAATCAGCCGTCTGGTGAATCAACGGCAACACAACAACCACCATATGCGTGGATTCGCGAAGATATTGAAGTCTTTGTGAAGACCTATTTCGAGGATGAAGCGACTTCAATCAAAGCACCTTCAATGATGCCTGTGGTCGAGAAATCGCATCTCATGATCAATGAGGCAGATGTGGTCCGCGCTTCTGCCCTATATTTACTTCATCCGGTGAACGTAGCTGGTATGTCGAGTCCTGAAAGCTTCATTAAAATTTGACCTTTGCGGAGCCTCAACGTAGAGACTCTCGTCTTCCAGATATCACTGATCATATTTTAGTCCAGGCTTGGCTTGAAACCAAAAAAGAAACAGCGCCTTTGGAATGTACTGCAGAGGTCACTGTCGTCAAGAAAGACCCAAAGGATAACACGAAAGCGGAAACTCGTACCGACGTCGAATGGAAGCTGAAAGGCTCAGATAAGGCATTAGCTGTCCTAGAGTACAAGCGCAAACATCTGATAAACCCCAAAGAGATCCTTGATGCCGAATACAAGACAAGTGAGCCAATCAAACCATTTATTGACGAAGTCAAAACGACTGGCGGCAATAAAACCTACTTCCTTCGGTCTTCCTTCTGGCTTATCAAACAGGCCACAAGCTACGCAGACAATCGCCAAGTGAATGATGTCTGCCTTTTCGATTATGATACGATGTTCATCCTCAATTATGCAGGTGGGCTGAATGCAGATCCTGCAAAGAAGGGAAAAGCTGCGGTTAAGGGAAAAGGGAAGGAACGTCAAGGAGATGATCCCGAGACTTGGCCATCGGGCATACTGTATCAAGAACAAGCAAAGCAGGCTTCGGGGAAGAGCGATAAAGATTATTATTTTCGCAGCCTACTGACAGCATTCCTGATTCGGGCTTACAAGCGCTCGAAGGGCGAGGTCAAAGACCCCCCAAATATGACGGTGGAGGTGAGTTGGACGAACATTGTTTCATCAACGCTTAACAAGACTGATGAGTTGATAGATCCAAAAAACGGCAAGCAAGGAGGCAGTAAAGCTACAGATGCTTCAGGCACACCAGGTGGTCCTAGTGGCGATGGAAAGACCACGCTTCCATTACACCCAGGCCCGCCAGATCCCAGTAAGACTACAGATGTCTTAAAGCTTACAGATGCTAAACAAGCCTGCAGATACCAACAAGCCTTCAGGGACCAACAAACCTCCAGACGCTAACAAGCCTGCAGACGCCAATAAGCCTGCTGATGCCAATAAGCCCGCAGATCCTGCTAAAGGCACAGGCAGCTCCACCGGAGGCACTGGTAGCTCCACCGGAGGCACTGGTAGCTCCACCGGAGGCAAAGGCAGCTCCACCGGAGGCAAGAAACCAAGCGGGGGCAAAAAGCCAGGCAAGAAACCCTAGCAGAAATGGTTGAGTACGATTCACATAGTTGCCCGGGGGTATGGGTGTGAGCTACGGCAATGATCGAGTATTTGCTATAGGCTATAGAGGTATATTCTGCTTTGGGAGAGCATATCTGTAAAATTTTCCCAGAAACAGTCTTCAAGGCGATTCACAGTACATTTCCTGATATCGCTGGAAACAGAGCGAAAGATTTCGCCACAGTCATTGTAGGCTTGTAGGACGCTTAGGTTTCCCTCCTCCCCTCCCATCTGTCCTGGCACACGTCGCATACATCTGCTGAGTAGCATAACCCCTACGCGACCCCACGTCTCCAAACCTCTTTCATCCCATCAGTGACATGAGACTTATCCGCGGCGTACAGCTCCCCAATCCACTCCTTCCAATCCCAGTCGATCCAATCATCAAACTCCGATAATCCCGTGTATTCTGCCCAGCGCAACAACGGCGAGATATACTGCCCCGGAAAATATCGCTGCTCGCCGTACTCTGCAATCATCCTCGGACTTTGACGAGCCAGATACGCGTTGTCGAAGTCTATCAACACCACCCGACATGTGCGTGAAGCCGGGCCTGCCCCTTCCTTCTTATCGTGGCTTTCGGGAAGAATCAATATGTTGCGGGGCGCCACATCATTCATCATCACATCCTCCTTGAAGACCGCCGTCTCAGCATCTATGACACCCTTCATGATATCCTGTTTCTGCCGCACGCTCAGCGCGTTAGGATCGAGCTTATACATCACCTCCCCCTCTACGAATTCCATCAGAATCAGCCTGACCTGGCGCGTCTTGCCTTCTGACGCGGGGAAAGAGCAAGTGAAGGAGCCGTAGAATTTGGGGACGAACTGGCCCTGCACCTTCGATACTTTGGCATACGCCGTAGCCTCGGTCGCATAAGTTGATTCGGCGAGATTGAAGATGTAGGACCCGACCTCGTCGTGGTCCGCGTAGAGAGGGTCGTAGAACTTGGCCACTATGGACTCGTCTTCTGGAGGAGCCGAAACGCTGTGCACGCTGTTGTCGCCGCTGTGTCGCTTCACTTTCGCACGCACGACTTGCGCTCGGCTTCCATCTCTGGCATGCAGGGCACTTTCGATATGAAGGTCGTAATTGTCGTTTCCTTCGGTTCCCTTTGTGGGAGGGTGCTTCAAGCAGCGAGCCAGGGGGCTGGAACTCTCCCATTCTTTGATCTCGTCCTCAATGGACACGCTGCTTCGAGGAGGTGGATATGTTGGCTTGTGGGCACGGATGTTTATACTGGCGCCGGCAATGTATGGGAGCTTGGGTTTAACAAACTCAGGGTGCGTCTCCATGTAGCTCTGTTGCGCTGGCATCCTTACGAGACGACGAAGAAGTATTCGCGAGCGGGCGAAAGCTGTGATGCGGCGTCAGCGAGGTCGGAGTCTACGTGGCTGAGCTCAGCGAAGCTCTTCATTACCCTCTCGCGAAAAGATATATGAAGAAGCCATGAGCTAGTCGTAAAGGTGGTTGTCATACTTCCTCTCGTCAGCTGATGCTTATGGGAAGTCGGGTGGCACCCCGCGGTAACTTGGTCGCATGAGAATCCCACGCTCAGTGCCCGGCGTTCGAGGTGCGAACATTAGCCCCTTAGTCCTAAATCTACCACTATGCCTGTATGACCTTTTCCGAGCGTTTGGTTGACGTGGTTGTGACTTTTCTGCCGAGTGACTATGAACATCAGCCGGATGCGAGGATACAGAGCTTACTGGCCCTTTGGGATCGCGGACGCTAGACTCGATGTTTGCCATTGTGATCTAACATTGGTACAGCGATCCTTTGACTGATTCTTCTGGACTCCTTTTGTTCAGACCATGCAGTGTCAACAATTAAAAGAGAAAATAAGCTGCGAAAGCAGATGACTTCTTTGTTGGACTTATGAGTCTTGGCCAAAATGGATTGCTCACTTGACTAGAGTATTGTCGACGAGCGGACTAGATTTTTGACTTAGATTTGAAGCAAGCCCTCGGGGCTCTCCTGACTCGTCCTACAATTTTTGGTATAATGCTTAAAGTCTTGAAGATTCTTTGCTCAAATTTGACACCTGTCCTGCCATTTTTAGCCGCCTCACAGCCAAATTTCTGATCTTATTGTTCCATGGCTCAGATAGCCATCTATGATCATTGCACATCCGCTTAAGCCATGTCTCGTTATCAACTTTACTCTCCCGAAGACTTTCTTGCATAAAGTGTTCTTTGCCCTTGTGTCTCAATGCAATAACGGCTGCCGTCTCCCGTAGTTCGTTGACAGGGCTGTTGTGCATCTCGGGTTTTATCAAGAGCAGAGCGATTGTAATAGAGTCCAATTGACGTATCGCCCACCTCAAAGCAACTCTCTATATCATCATGGGAAACTTATTGCAGCGCTGTCTCGGTTGAGTGTATATTCTGTTACCTCGTCACGACGTAATACGATGAATTGTATCAATGATGCCCCGAAAATGTTCTTTTGATTGACAGTGGTCTTGTAGTCTTCTACGAAAAGCTTGATCAATTGAACATTAGAGTCCCAGTCGTCCAGTGCATCGTCCGATAACGATGCGAGTTTCACGCTCCGCTCGTACGTCATATCGCCCATCTTTGTTGTCTTTTGAGCGTGTTCACAATATTTGTATCATCGATAGCCACAAACAAGGAGTTGGATCCATCGTTACCATCGAGCAGTCTCCATAGCTAAGGTTGTTTTTCGGGAATCTATAAGTGTCGCAAACTGTAGTACTTGTCTTAGCAAAGCTTCCACAAAGAAATCTGGTTAAGGGGCCTTCAAGTGGGGTTGCGGCTGACAGAGCTCGCCGATTTACAGAAGACAACCCTTGATAGCCCAATTCTCTTACCGTTTTCAGCCATTTCCACCCCGCCAAGATAGAATGGCAGTTGAAATAAGCCAAAGAAGGATTTGGCCAGAGAAGATTGCAGATCTTGACGAATGAAGAGTGAACATGGAAATATTGTATCTCAAGTCTACTACACCACATGATCCAACTGGTAGATACACGGTGCCAAACGGATGCTCGCAGCTCGGGCCGCGTATGATGTTATATGGCCTAAAGCTGCGTCTATACTTCTTGTCAAACACGCTATGACAGGCCTTTCGATATAAGCGCACGAGTCCCACACGATCCCGAAATAAGACATGAGAACTCTTTTAGCTACCTCTTCACGTTTCTCCAGATTAAGATGGTAATAGAAACGCAGCGATTTGTGCGCCCTGGAGTAGTCTTTTTGAGCACCTACCGTTTGCCCGTAGAGGCTCCGACGCGCATGATTATGCGGGGTCATTTCGAGACTGGAAATAACTTCGCTCGTCGTTCTTCTCTCGGCGTCCTGCATACTACACTTACCCTTTGAGCTTGTCGAGCGCGCGCCGGAGAAAAATCTCAGCCTGGATCATGGTGACTCCACCACCTCCAAAGCTTAAGCCACCCAAAGATGGAGATCGTCATAGGGGCGCAGACATCATTGTCACTCAATTCGTATTCGGGGCCATCGCTACATTCCTTGTGGCGACGAGAATGTATGTGCGAGCAACGATGGTGCGCAAGGTCGGCTGGGATGACTGGCTTATTGTCGGCGCGTGGGTGAGTGCTTGTATTTCTCCAAACCTGCAATTAGTATTACTGACATTCTTTAGATCTCCACCGTCATCGGCATCGCCTTCAATTGTGTCATGGTGCGAGAAGGCTTTGGACGGCATCAATTCTACCTGATCAAAGAACCTACCCACTTCGTGAAAGGAAACCACTACCAATCTATCTGGCCTCCCACCTTTTTCGTCTCGGTCATCTTGACCCGCCTTTCGATATGCTTCTTCCTACTCCGCATCTTCAACGTTAAGACAGCTTGGCGATGGGGACTTTGGGCTTTGACGGGCTTCATTCTTCTCACCAACATCCCGTCATTTCTTCTCGTCTTTCTGACTTGCAAACCGTACGAGAAGACATGGAATCAGAAGCTGCCGGGGACATGCTGGCCAGCGAGCACCACTACCGCCATCGGTCTCTACAACGGCGTCATTTCTGTGATGACAGACTGGGTCCTAGCCAGCCTTCCCATCGCATTCTTGTGGGACATGCAGCTCTCGCGCAAAGCCAAGGTTTGGCGTATGCGTGCTCATGAGCATGGGCTTCTTCACGGGCGTTACCTCCATCGTGCGGACCGTTATCACCAAGCGTGTCATCGCGCAAGGCAAGACAAGCGATTTCAGCTGGATCAGCATCGACCTGAGAGTCTGGGGCGAGCTGGAGATTCTGATCGGTATTATCGCTGCATGCGTTCCCGCTTGTAAGCCTCTGTATGTTAAGACCGCATCGGCTTTTCATCTTTCTTGGAGTCGGGGACGTATTAGTGAGGGTCGCGCCAGCAAGTATATTAAGCAGGGTGAAGGCGATGATAGTCATCAATTGAAGAAGATGAATAGCCAGGGACTGCCCTTTAAGGCGTAGTGAACACTAGATGATGTCTGATGTCTGGCATGATACGCATTGATACCCGTGTTGATTCAAATGTGAGAGTCGTATGGGCGAGATTGCTGGTTCTTGTTTCGGTGAGAGCATTGCACTTCCTGGTAAAGGCTATGTTGAGTGATAGGATATCCCTGTTCCGTTTAGCGCGCATGCTGGGCGAAGCTCCACAAAACCGCAGAGTTTTCGAAGCATCTTGCAGGCAGACGCTCGAAATATCAAAGTGTTGGCTTCTCTATCACTCATGAATCCCATTGGACGCCTCTTTCCAATGCAACGTACGGCAGTAATCAAGAGACCGTCGTGATATAGCGTAGTACTCTTGTAGTATTGATTGGACTGGTCTTGTAGTCATTTCAAACGAGCATATGCTCCACTAAACGCGATCAAAGCTCGTTCACCTACTTCTTAAAAACTATGTAGATATTATGTGAAGCTCTTAACAGTGAGTATCATGGCGAGCTTGAGACGTCGGCCAACGCGGAAAGGCGTCAGTCGCCTGGCCGTGTTCTACTTGGCAGTGACAACACCCACCCCTCGCGTCTTAGCCATCTTACCTCAACGCCATATCATTAGATGTGAGCGATAATGAGGGCAGTATCGTAGTAGCCGCAGCCATTTGTTGGGATACAGAATGCTCGCGTTTACTCAACTTCTGGCCTTACAGCCACCACCACCATAACGACCCACCTTTTAGCCGCAGATGTGTCAGAGCTCAGGTCGTGAGTTGGGGCTACGCCAACGAGGTTGAACAACCCTTTTTGAAAAGGTCGTGGGGAGCGATCAGGGATCGGGCGATGGGGATTGTCCTCGACCTCCAGGTTTCGCGATGGCGATGAAGGCCGAAAGTAATTGGGTTTGAGATGGACGGCGTCTGAAAGATGTTGCTTGAGTCGATGCAGCTTGATGATGTTCAAGCGCCTTCATGAATGCATTCTTCGAACCCATGCCACCCATCCTCGACAAGACGACTCTAGCGACGCGTTATTGGCCTAACAAATCCATCTCAACACCTTCGTCACTTCTTTCATCCGTGTTCTTACCCAACAGCCAACCCTCTTCTCCCGTGACGAGCCGGACTCTCATCTTTGCTCCTTCGTCCTTATCTAGTCTCAACCCGTCCCTCACTCCCGGTTCAAGAACCTGCATCGCTTGTAATTGGCTTGTTTTCCAAGCTGGGATGCCTGCGCGTTTGCTTTGAATGATCACGATGACTAGGAACATCAGGACCCAGAGGACGGCGGCAATAGGTAAGATCAGCCAGAAGAAATTGACTTTGATGAATATCTCGGTATAGGAGACAGTGCCGACTGCCAAGTTGCTATAATCCGCTGTGGTCCGCATACTGGAGTTTGTCAGAGGGTGGTGCCTTACTGGTATTGAAGGGGATGGGGGCGGAGAACAAGACTTACGCATTGGTTATCGAGATTGCAAGATTGTCCGTAAGCCTATCTATGCCCTCCCATCCATCAAAGGTCAATTCTCCCGAGTTATTGTGATATAAGGATTTCCCGATCGCCAAGGCGACATCTGACTCCGCCGCATCAAACCCCGATGTCATTAGCCACGAGCCGTAAAGTATTTCACTTGCCATATACGTATTCAACGCATCTTTCATGGCCTCGCTGGCGCTATACTCGGTCGTATTAGAACCAATAGTGTGTGTGGTGAATGCAGACCGATTTGACGAACTACCGCGCCATTGCCAGTCAAGATCCTCGATAATCACGTCTATGACTGTGGTATTTGTTTGACCGTTACGAACTTCTGTTTGGAGCGTATACAGACAGTATTCCAGTGTGACTTTACTAGCACCGACTGAGGCGAGGAGGTCCTTAGGGGCCTCCGTATATGACTTGTACGGATACATTACGTAGAACTCGCTTAAGACTTTCGGATCTGGGTTGGTGTATGGTCGCGACCAGATTTGCTGTGCTTTAGACCTGCTATCGGGGTAGGCACTCATTCCAACGTGAACTCGACTGGTGTCAAACGGTCTACCCCGTAGAGGTGGATGCGCCACCAGCTCATCAATCGTATAATTTGTTTCTCCATTGCTTCCATCCCCTTTTTGTACAATGATATGTGACTTGAAATCTTCCGTGGAGGAGCATATACCCAGGGTCGTATAGGAGGGGATAGTACAGTTGGCGCCCAAGCAGACTGGCTTGACGTCGCTATGACTAGCGTCTGGACCGAGTATCCCACGGAGGACATTGTTGTTTACTCCTGGGTCTGTCGAGGCGTAGGGAATGCCTACTCCTTCCACTCCGGCGTCCGTTTTCAAAATCGATTGGTGCAGAGGCCCTGCCCAATGTTCCACAAAGGGTATGTCGGCCGTATCGTTTGCAACGACAGTCTGGCGATTCACAATATTGACGGCTTGTTGGGCGAAAGGCCCCAACAAGAGGATCAATATCGAGGTGAGAGTGGCAACGTAAACCATAACGCTATGCTATGTGAGCAGCGCAAACAACATACTGCAGATTAGGCTCACCATTTTGGATGTTTGTAGGCAAGAAGAAGACTATCGAGCGGCTGACGGCTTGCTTTGTCAAAGTCTTCAATATTTGCGAGCGGATGAGGCCTTCGGTACCATATCCATTTCATCTGCGAAAGCGAAGAGGCGAGTGGCACCATCAAGGATGTTTGTGCGAATTGCGATGCAAAGTTGATCAATGTATTGACTGTGATCCGAGAGTGCCATTGGCTCAGCCGTTTATTGTCGAAAATGACAAGAATGATAACAATCAGCAGAGTAGAGAGTGCCGCTAGGAACCATGCAATCAGCTCTGCAGCCCACGAGTCCGTGAAGATTCTGCTGTAAAGACTTCTCGACCTTTCACGATCGTTGATCTCGTCGTCGATCTCGTCCTTGATTTGGGGCTCCACCAGTGATCCGCTTTGTCTTGTTTCATTCAAATCTACCGATTGGGGATCGCTACTGTCACATTGGGCGGGTGATTCACCAGAACGTCTTGTCGACAAAGGCGAAACGCTCCTCGCGTCATGCGCCTGGCCAACCATACTGTCAACCTGGAGTATTGTTGCTGGTCTTGAATGAACATGAGGTGAAAGGTTTCAAGTCGAACTTGAAAAATGGAATGAAGGATTGAGCTGAAACAAGACGGATTGCACTAAGCCTTGGACCTGCTGATGCCTGCGCTAGACGCGAACGAAGGATTGACAGCCAATTAGATTTGAGCCTAGTCTACAGCCAAGACTGGTGATAAATCAAATTCGAATACTAATCAATTTACATCCCAGTGGTGTTTGGTAGAACTCTGCTATACTCGGCCAGAGAACACTGCATCTTCAGCCGGAAAAACAATGGATATGTCCGATGGTTTTTAGATCAGAGAACTTGCTTGCTTGACTCATCTACAATTGCGTGAAGGGTATCAACAAAGGACCACATCTATGGACCACTGGCTCGAGCTGCAGGTTTGAAAACGTGATTGTGTATTTGAAGTACGAGAATGCATCTTGGAGGACTACACCTAATCCCATGTGCACTGATCTCCATCGGAGAGATCACCAGTTTGCTAGGTGTCTAATCAAAACGCTTCTCATGAACGGCTAGTGGTCTGAGCACACGAGGGGGCTATTTTACCCTTCTGTCAATCGTAGATCACGAGGCTTCCTCGGCTTTCTGGTAAGCCAGGGCTAAATGACGATACCCGGTGGGTTAATTTGGAGCTCATAACCTGGCGTTAAATATTGTTTTGTAAGTGCTCAAAAGCTCGACATCTGCATCCGTCTCAACCTGTCGTTCTCTGACTCGTGAATTCGGGCTTGCTTCGAAGCTACATGGGTCTCAATAGTCTGCAGCAGTTGTTGCGCTTCATCAATCCTTCTCCATTCGAGGAGCCAGTGTTGAAAAACAGACATGTATTTCAGCACACGACTATCTTGCCATCCCCAAGTCTGGGCTGCAAGACGAATCGCCTCACGTAGACTCAACTCAGCGCGTTCCGGCCGTGATCTTTCGAAGTAAGATATGGCATGAAGATAATAAGCAATGCTCTTATACTGTAAAGTTGGAAGGTCACTATGAATAACCAAGTCGATGATCACCTGGGCAGTGTGACCAGCTTTCTCCCAGTGATGAATGTGCAAATAATGCCATGCAAGACCCAAGCGGACTTCGAGAGTCTGTGGACATGTAGCACCAACTGTATGCTCAGCCTCTTTCAGAAGTCCCAGGTAATGGGTCGTAGCTTCTATGCCTTGAAGCTCCGTTTTGGATTGCAATCTTGTAAGTTCAGCTGCTACCGTCATCTGATTGAAATGACCGAGCTTCTGTCGGAAGATTGTCGACTGACAGTCCTGCAAGACGGAAAGAGTGTGTCCAAGACATGGCTGTTCCAATTCAAGCAGGAGGGCAAATATTACGTTGAATGGATGTTTTTGGCTTTTCAACGCTGCAGCCATTTCCCTAAAATGCCTCAGGATAGCTTTGAAGTATTCACCAAGATCATGAAAAAGGTAGGAGTATGCTATATGGGCAAGGTTGTCTAAAGTCTGGGGAACTTCTGCTTGCACTATTGCCTCGACGCGAGCCATCGCCGTATCTAAAGCTTGCCAACCCAGGGAGTCACCTCTCTTGAGGAGACGTCGCGTGAGATAGCAGTCGTTCCAGAAATCTTTGACTGCGCTCGTAGTTTGCTGAACATTGTAACATCGATTTTCCTCAAGAACGCAACTCATTGAGTCAATTGAACCAGAGATCCAGTCATGCACAGCCTTTGCCAGACGTTCAGGTATCTCCCTATCCAAGGGCAAGTTCAATGGAGAATTTACTGGTGTATAACAGAGAAGCTCCGCTGGTGTCGTCGCACGAAGACTAAATAAATCCTTCTTGTTTCGTTCCAAGGCCCTTCTGCAACGAACAATCCTCACTTGTGGCACCTCTAGATTACGGAATTTGAATGCTGAATTTTTACCGCGGAGAGCTCGTTCAGCCTGCTTACGCAGGATGGCGTGCATCACTTCTTTCTTGAAATTTTTTCAACATTCCATTGGCGAAAGCGATTCCTGTACATCTGCTCACTAAATATACTTGGATTAGTCAGGTTCAATAGTGATATCTCACTATTCACACCCTACCTAGCTTTGAACTTATGCTGTGCTTTCATTATTTCTATGACTTCTCTCAGAGTCTTGTCTTTGGATTTGTATAGATCCACAATCCTCGACTTATGGCTTTCCCACGCGAGCTCGTCTGGTCCACCAGAGCGCTCTATCACAACATCGTCACTTGACATGGATGAGCAATTGAGAAAATAATCGGCTTTTGAAGATCCTGTCAATAGGCGGTCCACCTGGGAATTTGGCATTTCCTGGGCTCGAGAGCTCCACGGCGACATGAACAAAGGTTGTGGATCAAATGAATTCATATTTTGGCAATAAGCGTCAATCGGTTGGCTGAAGCTATCTAGAGGGGTCATTTCGGGCAACGGTTGTTGACGATTCACATGCGCGAGATTCGTTTCACGTTGCGACTCGTTGGCTGGACCCCACGGCGAGATGAGAAGTATTGCTTCGTCACTTACCCGACAATTGTTCATGACCAGAACCATTAGAGACAAGGTAGCGATTAGTCCAACATAAAATTACCTTTGTCGGTACCCGTGGTGCTTTCGAGCTTTGAGTTTGCTTGACTATCTCTTTTCTTGTAAGGAAAGGAGCGCGAAGTCACCGTACATGAATGTTACGTTCAAAGGCGCACATAGAAATTTCCCAAGACTACAATGTCTTGCCGAACCAATGATGGGTCAGTCTCTTATACACGCCGTCAGCCCATCTGCCGTCTGACCAATCGGCGCAAATAAGACATGAAGCCTTCGCCATGTCATATCAGTAGCTGCCAAGGAGACCACGTCAGAGATACAAAGTGAGCTATTGGTATGCTTCATGTATCCAAAGACCGGGTCGCCTTGGGCACAGTATGTCATATCAGGTACGGGCCTCTCTCGGTCGCCGACGCTCATCATGTGTCCCTTGGTAAATTTCAACACTCGTTGAAACTTGGTGATGATTTCACCATATACAGACAGCTAGTAGTCAGAGAGGAGCATACATCGACTGATAAGGAATTGGGTACCAATCTGAATGAAAATGTTTTTTCACGCTGCAGCCTCCAGCTCGAGACAAAAAAATCTTGCATATGTACCTAAATGACTTGGCATGCTGCGCAATCCTATTATCATCGATGATGGCGTCTATGCCAAGACTTGTGCCTAAATGTCACCCCGCACATGTTGCTAGTAAATCGATTCGGAAGCAACGTAAGGTTCGAATGATATGCATTGTAATGATCGCGAGTGACGCCACAATTCAAAGCTCAAAGCAATGCCGGCACTAGCTAGCAATAGCCAAGCAGTATTCGCCGTCAGATTGCCCATATACTTAGTACTGTAGTAGCTATGTATCATTGTCATGATGTGGCTCCTTGCGTACGTGATCTAATTAGTTTAAGAAACATAGATAAGCTTGGTGAGAGTAGGAGGAGAATTAATTATTAATTACCCTTCTAAGAATTATTTTCTTTAAGAGTATATATTTACGCGTATTGCGATTTCTTTATAATACTTATATTACTACTAACTAGATAACCCTCTACATATGCCCTCCTACTTTCCTTACTCTAGCCTTACTACTACACTATATATCCTATATCTTTAAACTATAAGATCCTCTTAAATACTTATTATAAATATTTAGTTACTATTTATAATAAAGTAACTTTTATAACTAAAATATTTAAAATATAATTTAAAAGTTAATTATAAAGATTTATTATATAATAAATAATTTTAATTATTTATATAAAAATAAATTTTAATATTATTTTAATTATTTTTTCTATAATAAATTTATATTATTAAGATTTACTCAGAAAAGAAGAAAATAATATTATATTAATAAAAAGTTTTAAATAATATTTTATATAAACTATTATTAGAACTTCTATTAATATAAGAAAATAAATTATTTATATATAAGTATTAATATTTATTAACTTTATTGACTTTAAGTACTAAGTAACTAATATATATATTTTAGTTAAATTATTTATATTATCTTTTTTTAAATAATTACTATTTTTAAAATAATTAAAATAATTTTTATTAAGTATATTATATATAATTCTTTATTAATTACAATATATAGCTATAAAAGCTTATTAAATATTATATATAAACTAATAATATTTTAATATTTTAAAACTATTATATTTTAATTATATAATTTATATTTATTATTTTTTATAAATAGTTATTAATTTTAAATAAAATATAATATTTTAAAATTCTTTTTTATAACTATATATATATCTTTTATATTAAATAAATTATAAATACTTTTTCAAAATAAATATAATATAATCGAAAGTTTTTAAAAAAAGTTTTAAATAAATATAAGCTTAGAAGTTAATTAATTTAAATAAAAATAACTTAAATATAATTTTAAAAAAGAATTAACTCTTATAAGAAAATATATATAAGTATAAATATAAATAGTAATAAGAATATAAATAACTTAGAAAATAGTAAAATAATAAATAAGTTATTTTATAATAGGCTTTAAAAGCTTTTTTTAAAAAGATAATAATAAGATTATAGTAATTTAAAATAATATTATTATTATGACCCTAGTATTTAAACTAGTAAATAATATTAGTTAATTTAACTATAGGTTAATAAGTTAGTTTTCCTAGAATATAAATAGTAATTAAAAGATAAATAAAGGTAAGATAATAAGATAAAATTAAGTTATAACTATCTTAGATCTTATAATAAAGAATAAAACTTATATTAAATATAAAGAAATTTATTTAAAAAGGGGAATAAAGGGTTTTATATATATAATTTTATTTAATTTATTTAATAATATTTAACTTTTAATTACTTTAAGTTTACTTAATTTAAAGATTACTTAATATTCTTAGCGCTTAAGTATACTTAAGTACTTTAGCTATCTTTTCCTTTTTTTAGTTATTTTTCCTTATAATTAATATAGTTATAGTTTTTATTTTATAGTACCTTAGTTACTTAATTACATCTATTACGCAAGGTTGTAATATTATCTCTCTTTTTAATATAATTGTCTTTAGTTATTAATTTTTTTTATTATATAATTCTTTTAATTATATTATATAATTTTTTAATAATAATACTTAATATTATTATTATATTTCTAAGAAAAAAAACTTTATAGTTATTATATTATTATATATTATTATAAGAATTATATCTCTTAAGATTTTAAATATATAAAGACTAATTAGTTAGTTTACTATATTAAGTATAATAAATATAATTAAAAGTATAATCTAGCTTTTCCTAAGAAAAAAATAAATAAATAGTATAATATTCTTAATAATTTAGATAAATAAAAGCTAGCTACTTATTCTAAGTTATTATATATTTATAAGATAAGGCAATTTTATTTAAAAAAGCTAAATCAACTAAGTAATTTTAATATAAAGTATATTTTAAAGATAGAGGAAAATAAATATTATAAAGAAGAATAAAAATAGTAATTTAATAATATATATTTATCGACTTTAGCTCCTAGATTAGATTTAGTAATTAATAATCCCTTTTTTTTTTTAATAATCTTAATTTTTTTTCTTAGTTAATCTAATAAATAAATAGAAGCTTTATTTACTCCTATTATTACTGCTAGTAGAAGCACTAAAGCTTCTCTATATAATTAAGTAGTAAGTATTTTTTTAGTTCCTATATATTTTTATCTTTTAAATAGTTTTTCTATTTAATAAAGTATTAACTATATTATTCTTCTAGTATTTTTTTAACTTTAAAGATATTATGTTTTTTAGGTTTATATCTAAATAATATTAATATTAAATTAATATCTTTTACTTTTTTAAAAAATAATATATAAAATATTAAATATATTTTAACGTTATTTAATAGTTCTAATTTATAGTTAATAAATTTTTTTTATTTTTATATTTTAAATAAGCTAACTTATAAGTAATTTAGTTTCTTATTTAGTTATTTTATCCTAAGATTTTTTATATACAACTATATTTTATTTCCCTTTTTTAGCTAAGGTCTATTTATTTTATATTTATTTTCTTATTTTTTTATTTTAATTTATACTTTTTCTAGAGAGTTTATAATATCTCTATATACCCTTTTAAGTTTTAATATATATTTAATAGCTTTTTACAATCTTAGTAATTTTTTTAATATATTATTTATATTTAGATTTCTTTTATAATTTATATAGAATAGTATTATCTTTATAGTATTTAATATTAAATTATTAAATATTAGCTCTACTATATATAAAAGCTTTACCTAATTATTTTAATTTTAATTAATATAATATTATAAGTATATTTTTAATTTTAATTTAAATTTTTTATTTAATTATTTATTTTTAAGTAATATGTTATAGAAAGCTTTAATTTTATTTTAATTTTTACTATAATTATTTTCTAGAATAAAGATATAAATAGTTTATTTTATTTAAAATTATTTCCTTAGAGAATCTTTTAATTCTAATTACTTTATCTAGGAATATATATACTAATTATATTATATTATATATGTTATTAAATAATATTATAATACTATATTTTATATATTTATTAATTATAATTATTATAGTATTATATATCTCTTTAGTTCTTAGGTCTTATAATAGTAGTAGCTTTATTATAAAATCTATTATAATATATTATTATAGAAATTCTAGTAAGTATTTTTTCTATAGATAACTATATTTCTTATAGTTCTTAGCTTTATTTCTTTTATATAAAGGGTATTCTTTAATATATTTATTAATTACTATTCTTATATTTAATAAAAACTAATTTTGTTTAATAAGTTTATATATTTTAATTATTCTTAAATATTTATACTTTAGATTATAATATTATTTTTATATTAGTTTTTATAGGAGTTTCTTTAATATATAATATTATTATTAATATTTTAATACCTTTTTTTATCTTAATTTTAATCTATTTTTAAGCTATTTTATTATTTTAATATACTTTTTATATTTAGTTAATAAAGTTGTTTTTTATTAGTATATTAACTTATACTAAGTACAATATCCTATTATTACTTTATTTAAATTTTTACCAACATAAATCTAGTTATCTACTAAGTTTATTAGTAATAATATTTTAGGGTTATT